CAGCAGATTCATGCGCAGAAAAGTTATCCATTAATAGAATCACATTCCGACCAGCCATTTGTTTATCAAACTCACGAAGCCATTCCTTGAAGATATCCCCAGTCATCCATGCCTTCCCATTGTGCCGCCATTGGATACCGAGACTTTGAGGCTCAATATGAGCCTGTGTGAATGGTCGTGGCTTCTTTGATTTGCCAATAATCCAAAGAGGGAGTCGCTCCGAGCCATCTGAATTGCAAGCAAAAAGAATGCTAATTCGTGCTTTATCTTTCTTCCGGCCAGGTAAAATGCGCGTTGAGAGACTCCGGTCAGGATATAACTTCCAATATAGACCAGATTCATCGCAATTAAAGACATCTTGTGGAGAATATGAAGTAAGAAGTCGACGTATCTTAATCATTTGATTTGCCGCGTCTATAGCCAAGCTCCCAGCTTCTCCATGTAGTTTCCAGCTCTTTACATTATTCCGTGTTTGAAATCCATATAACCAGCCATTGCTGAGTGATGGCGTAGGGTTAGGATAGAGATGTCCCCGATATTGTTGCGCTTTATAACGTATAGCTTCCTGCGAGATAGGAGCCTCGCCCTCACTGTGTTTTATCCAGTCCATAACAGCTTTTTCTAATTCCGGCCACTGCTCAACACGGCGTCGTTTATCCTTCAATTGATACTCTTGGAGATCGTCAATAAATGCGTTATTCGGCGATAGGATTCGTGTAATCGAGGTCCGGTCGATCGGTTGCTTGTACGTGTCATTAAACCACTTTGCGAGGTCTTGATGCCTAAGATGTGGATAGATTCTTTTTTGAGCGCGTAGCGCTGCTTTCCACGCGTTGAGAATAGCTTTGCGGCGTTGTTGATGGCGTTGTTGCTCAATATTAGAATGGTTTGAGGTTGAAAATGCCGGATATTCTTCTTGGATATAAGCACCTTTGTATGGGGGCTCCAAAAATAATTGTGCTTGTAGCTAATACCCAGGAAACGCACATTTATATGGGGAACGAAATTTTTCAAATTTTTGGTGCTATAAGTCGGGTTGTGCTACTAGCCGGGGATCTTATATCCAGGGTTTACTGTAGTCCAGTTTCCGAAAACTTATGGTCATTAAAAGAGCTCGAGTTTTAACATTGTCCCTGTGTACAACAGCTTACCTACAGTTACGTAAACTAAAAGGCGTTACGAGTCTCCCGATTTTCAAAAGACAGATCTCTGATCCACTTATTACTTGCAATTGACTGATGATTAATTCGCCTTCAATTAACTTAATTAACTACCTATTTAGTGAAGGGTTATCAGGAAGGATAAGGAGCAAATGGGTTGAAATACGGAGTAGTAAACGTGTAGAGGCGAGCAGGGGAGCTATCGACCAGCTCGGTGATTTGGCTGACGACGTTCTTTCTGAATGTTAAAAATCAATTTTTTCCATTGTATTGAGCTCGGAAGCTGCTACTACCGCCTCTGCGAATGCGTTATAACCAAAAATGTACCGTTAAATTTTCGGATCACCCCTGCAGTCCACACCGGTTAGCATAATTTTTCTTAAATCGCAGGCTTATATGTATTACCATCGGCTTGGAAATCCGTCACACGGTTCTTTACCAAAATACTCATCGAAGATTCGATCCCTTTCTTGCTGTTGAGCTCCATCTTGCATATGAAATGCATTGCGCTGTCGAAATTTCAGTTAAGGAAATACGTTTTATTCCGTGTGGTGGGTTCAAGGGACATTCCATAATTGCCTGAGCAGATGATTCATTCACAAGAAATTCACTTCTTCGTTTCCTCAACGTTTGCCATATTTCAGTAGCTAGACTCTATCCGACAAGCATATATATAACTACTGGCAGAATCAACCTGATACGACCTTATGCGAGCCCCCTAAGAGGCCCTCATCTCCCCAACAACAAGGCAGAAGAAGGCATATATCGCTAGCATGGTTGTGAAGTCAACGTTTGCATGTATAGATCAAAATACAAGCGTAGTTATCTTACATGAATCCTGCGACTCATTTAGTGAGTAGATCAATGTCTACACCGATTTAATTCCACCTTTCCAATAACTAATTTGACATCAAACTACGTGGACATGCATCCTTGCCCTACTAACTATTAGCTTACTCTACTGCAGAAGGACTTCCTGGGTTTGTACTAGCCTAAAAAGCAGCCTGTGCCCACCCTGCACCAGGGAATGCGCTCTGCAATCCCTCCCAGATCGGTTTACCATTGTAGGTGATGTCTTCGAACGCCGGGCAGGATAGATTCAACAGCGGTGCAGAGATGACATTTGTAATCAGCTCCAAAGGCGCAGCTATCGTAGCAAAGATATTCGTCAAAGCATTGGGACTGGCAAGCTTAACGACTTCAAAAGCCAAACAAAGCAGATTATTATCTTTGAGGAGGTCTGCAGCGTTGAGAACACCGCCGGTGAGGTTGGTAATGTCGACGCCGGCGAAGTTATTCACAGCACCGAGGTTCCCACCGATACTGTTAATCTATGATTAGGCAAAATTGTTGTTTCAAAAAACTTAGAGAGAACTAACCTCGCTAATTCTGGATACTGTGCTACAAAATCCAGAATATCTAGATTCAGATCGACGAGGCCGTAGTCGATGGGACGGCGGTACCAATTTTCTGGGATACGTTCATAGCCGTAGTTGTATTGCAAGGCATCGTCGGAGCCGTTCACGCCGAACATACTCTTGAGAACTTCTTTGGCTTAATTGTTCCGTGGACCATTAGCATCGACTGTTCAAAAATATGCGACTGAAAGGGAGAGGGGGAGAGGGGGAGAGGGAAAGGCGAAACACACTTAGAACACCGTCGGGATACTCAGTAGAGTAATTCGCGAACAGCCGACCAGTAAACATATACCCAGCATTACGTGCGATCATTCCGGTTACTGGACCATAATAAAAGTTTGGATTCGTGGCGATGCTTTCGTAAAATCTATCTTTCGCGAACTCTGCTATCAGATCCATGCCAAAAGTGCCGTTGCTAGACATTGCGTAAAACGAATCGAACTTGGTTAGATTGAGTGTCCAGGCATCGTAAGTAAGGTAAAGGTCATCCCGGAATGGAGAGGAGTCAGATTCGATGAAATTGTGCGAGCCGTTCAATCCACGAGGAGTACCTATAAATCAGTTAAGTCTTTGGGCACATTTTGTCAACCATGTCAGGAGTATGACTGGGTAAGCGTACCTAGGAGTCCGAATGCGTCGTTTAGCAAGTTGTCAATTGCAGGTGACTCTCCGGCAATTGAGAAGCTAGGATTCAATGAGATCGGATCTCCAGCCCAAACAGTGCCCATGACGCCGAGAACAAGGCCGAGATCAAAGCCCATTCCGAAAACTTGATTTTGTTTTAATCCAAATGATCAGTGTTAATGGCTTCTTAGATATACATACCTTCGTTCAAAGCGGGAACCACCTCGGCCAGCTATATTCGTCAGTAAATGGACCAAAAAAAGAATCATGAATATGCTTACCGACACAACACCATCATGAGGTATGTATCCATGATTTGCCAATGCATTCAACCCAGGGCAAGGTCCACGTTGGTCTCCAGATGCAAAGTCCGGTGCCACAAATGCGTGTTCACCAGTAACTGGCCGTGAAGATATTGCTATTAGCGCGAACATACGAATATTGAAAAACAGAGGATTACCTGCTTACCTTTGATAGGAGAATATAGAGAATCAAGAATGTTGCGCTTCTTGATAGCATTACTAATTCCTTCTCTCACTTGTGAGAATGGACATCGTTTCTCGGCAGCTTCCTTGAACGCGAATTGGGCCAAGTTCTCTGTAGTTGGAAAGGCAGACACACTGCTCACAGCCAGCAAGGCTGTGAGAATTGAAGTTTCGAGTCTCATTTAAAAACAGAAACAAGAATTCTAAAGGAGCGACTGGTGTAAACGAATGTTGTTAACGAAAGAATATGAAAATGGCTCTGACAACCACTTCTGCTTCTCAGTTAATTTACGAAGATGGTGATGGATATTTGTTTATACATTAAACGTCCGAGCGAACCGATACCCAATCAACATTGCTTTATTACTCAAATACGTCTAGGATGTATTTAACAGCTTTGGCCAAGTGATTTGTGGTTATGATCTGCATATCTTCGGATGGTTTTATTGTTAAGTTTCAGGGGACCAGCAGGTCAAGAGTTCTCCTACTGCATTAACTTAATGATCGGCTCTTAACGAGGTGATGTACAGGGGTAGGAGTCAGAAGTATTGGCACACCTATATGAAGTACGTAATATGTATGGGCTTTCAGCAGAAAATTAACCTAATACACGACTAAAACGAAAACCACCTATTCAGGACAGTCTACAATTAGTCAAATCATCTGGTCCACAAAGATACGTGTGAAATGGTGCCCGTATTGTATAAGTCACTGCCGTGTGGGTATATTACACAAAAATACCACTTAGGCTTTAGTCTTATGGGTTTCTTACTCTTATCTTGTTCTTACTATGCGTTTGTTATGTTTCCTTTACACCGTAGTACGTTTCAGCAGATCAGTTCTCTTATAGTTCCCTCAATAATACTGATTTCGCTGAAATGTCTAAAGCCCGTGTGAACGCTGCTCCTTTCTGGGCGCTAAGTCAGGGGTACATAATGATAAACAGCATCTTCTCAGGGTAGTGTACATTATATAGTACGCGCACATAGTATGTTAGCGCGAAGGGCGAAACCAGCAGAACTGCTTGTATTCATTTCCGTTGTTGCTTTTATTATGTTATCAAGATGATTACATAGAAGAGTGAAATACACTTTGTAAGAAACGATAGGTATCCTGAAATTGAACAAAAGAATTGTCGTATTCAGTAATAGTATCTGTAATCATTTTGGACCAAATGATTCAGTAGTATCATGGTGTCTCCCCCATTCCAGAGGTTAGTGAGTGGTCCTCGCCCTGAGGGACACTACCAACGTGGACAAGAGGCATTGAATCTCCATCCTCAAGGTTAGCAGAGCGTTTCAGTTCGTAACAATTGCTTCTAAGTTGCCGAGCAGCAGATGATGCAGCAGACGGTGTCGAGCTTTTTGGAAGCTTCGTATTGCCACGTGTTGAGCCTTCAAACATTTGGGGGAATAATTTGCCCATGAGATTTCTCACGGCAGGAAGACATGCACATATTATTCCAACGTCAATTTCAATTGTGCTCCATACTCCAAGCTGCGTATAGTCCCCTGCACTCCAGATGTTAGCCTTGCCCTGAAATGTACTGTTGGCAGGTAACTCACATGTCAGATTGCTTGTACTGGCGAACTCGACCAACGAGTGTAGCCGAATCACGCTAACAATAGTTGTACTATAGTTCACCGTTAGCAATAAATCTCAGAAAACAAAAGTAGATTATCTTGAGTCGTACAAAATACCTAAAGAGAACATAACCATCAGTTGAGCCTTTCTCTGAAACGACATAGAGAGCTTCCTCAATTCCGGTAGAGGCAAAATCATTGTAAGAATATCCAGACATATGTTAATCGCAGCCGACGCCCATCCCTGTGCATTAATATTGTTGCATTTTGAAGGGTGTTCTTGATCCCATCGAAGCCACGCGGCGTCAATTGGTTTGCATTGGAAGACGGAAATAACCACAAACGCTATTAAATAGCCAACGTTCAAGGCAATAACGATGTACACGGCGATACGAAAAGATTTTTGCGGGAAGATTCGAAGATAAAATAGCAAGATAGATATTTTCGTGAGCGGTAAGATGCTTAAGTAAAAGTTTTCTTCGAAATAAAAGATCTGTTGCAATGTTAGAGCAATCGCCCAGCTGTTCAATATATCAAAGGAGAGGGGGGGGGACACACATAGAGGATGTAGTCAATGTCATCAAATGATACTTTCCACATGTCCTTCCCGAGACCGTGAGTTGCCACTGTCATAGATTAGTATCCAGCTCAAGATATGCTAGCTGCAAACTTCAATAACTCACGAACAACAGACCAACAAGCCCAACAAATTGCTATTCCCTGAGATTCAATTAGAATGCATTTATTTCAACTTTCACTGGTAATCGACCTACCATGACCATCGTGATAACTGCATCATCCCAAGACGCACCTCCATACCGAGGGAGACGAGCTATCATCCGTAGAGCATAGAAAATAAATGCAAAGACAACCCCAACAACACCAGCATAAGAGACCAAATGAGTGCGATTGCGTATAGGTGCGTCGCATAAAATGGTAGTTACATTTTTGGTAGCTGCTGCGGTTAGTCTGTTATTGCTCGGACACAAGGGGAAAATTGGAAAATCATACAGAGTTCATCTCTAACCGAGCAAGATTCCGCAACGCACAATGTGATCAGTTCAGTGAGTTGCTGATTTGTACATATGCAAGACAGATCTGTCTCTGAGCAGTTCGACTTGGGGATTTCCGAAACGAGACATTCAACCTACTACTATCAGTTCAAATCCATGGAATCAAAACATCGCGATCACTCCCTACCCCACAAGTAGGCATCTCTTCCAGGAGCTCCGTTTCATTGACGCTGGTCGCCTGAACTGCGACAACAGCCAATAGGGCTGTCACGACTCCGGCAGTAACTGACAAAAACCGCATCTTGCTTTTTGTGATTGTTATGTAAAGCCTCCCTGCGCCTTTGACAGCACAGCAGCCTTTCTTATCGACACAAATAATATAGAACTCCTGGACTAGAGGGCTTTATACCTGAGAATCCTAGTATATACTCTTGCGAGTTCCCCAAGGACAATAGAGTTTCCAAATGCCGTTTCAAGATTGGGCATTGCCCAGCCGTCTGAGTGATCTACTCGGGCCTATTAGAGAGGAGAAGCAAGGCTTGACAATTATTATCTCAGCCCACTGTAGGAGCTTCATCTTCCATGTCCTCATGCACCGGGCCTTAAGACAGGGTATATGCTCTTTCAAGACCACATGAAGGCCACGCAGAGCTACTGATCGACAACTTACGAACGGAAATTTTGGTTCTAGCCTGCCTCCAGCGCTTTGTTACCCTCAGTAACAGGTTTACTGGCTGAAGACGCTTTAATGGGGTGGATAACTTTATGTCTGTTAAGTTAGGAGCGTTCGTCACTGTACCCAGACTGGAAGGAGAATATTCCATCTGCTCATCATGATAGGGCAGTCAAGTGAGTAAAGCAAAATTCTGACGAGTCCCTCCCTAAAGATTGTGATTACAGACCGGTAGTACACACCCGACTGTCAAGGATGTCTCCTTCTCCCCGGGAGTACGTAGTAGAACCCTGTTGCTCAGTGACAGTACGCCACAAGACCTAGCCGTAGACCACATCCAGTATTTGCCAGATTCGGTAGTTTAGCGAAAGGAAAAAAGGGCGCTAATTAGAGTGAGACATTAAGCTCAGACCGCGGGTCGTTTTCGACTAGCCCCGTCAAGGGCAAGTCCGGAATTTGTTGTGGACACGATATTACATAGTACATACATAGTATATGCGGTGTTGTAAGCTCATGATTAGCCAAAATAAGATCACCAAGCAAAAAGCAATTCAATTCTAGGATTGACGCACCGGAAATACGTACGTAATCCTGTATGTCAAAATTGGTAACTATATGTCCAGCAACACATCCGTCGAGATAACCCTATGCACCACTTACTGTGGGGAGGGATATCCACCTGTCTACACGGAACAGGCCCACTAACGGGAATGGGGACCCCGGTTTATTTAGAACCACTCAAAAGGCAACCAATCTAATGTTATTAGATCGACAGGCATCCAAGAGATTCGGGAAAAGCATTAACTGCATGTTGCATTAGAGAGCCAGCTTCCTAATAAACCATTTACTGCCCCTTTACTTGCAATATTACATTTACGCAAAATCCATAGACTACGGAGTAGACCAACTACGGAGGCCACGGGTCGGGCTCACCAATCGGAAATTATCCTTGATACTCGTGCTTTCAATCCAATCCAATCCACTAGGAATTGAAGCTGGTCAATCATATCCTAATCCAGCTCGAAAACACAACGTGTTTTCCGATCATAACGTGGTAGTAAGGTGGTTAGGTTAAAGACTTCTAACTTGGGCCTCCCAATGTGGATATCTTAGTGCAGTTCGGCGACTACAATCCGTGCACAATCTAAACCTTGTCTGGGCCAAAAGTTGGAGTTCTATTAAGCACTGGTATATTATCCAGTCCGAGCAATAATCAACATACACCATTCACGCTTTTCATTCTCTGTATAACCACCGTTATTACCGAGGCAGTTTTGTTTATTCCATTATATATCAGGGTTAAACTTGGAAACAGGTCGTTTAATTGAGATGACAGGTGAGCCCTAGGATTAAATCTTGTGGGATGGAGGCTTAGAACATGCGCGAAATACAAACCGACAACTGCTTGGTATATACTATATGTCATTAAGTGCAGGGATGTATTGCAAATTAAAGGAGTAAAAGAGCTTAATAACAAATTATAATCATTCCGTAGACGTATTTTAAGAGGTACGAGTAATTTCCTATACCACTTCGTATGTAAATCCATCATGTTTAGCGTGATACTAATGAAGCCTAGGATACAAATGGAAGGGATTAGCAGAACCCATATTATTTGGGCATCATAGCTATTTTTCAGCTTTCAACGGCTGTCCGAATAAAAGTGATCGTCATAGCCAACCTAGCAAGACAGCACATATGGGTGGGGGGAGGTAATCCATAGCCTTTACTACCTACGATAAACCTCCTACCTCCTATTTGGCACTAACTGCTTACAATACACTGAACCATACAAGGAGTAGGTTACTGTTAGATTGTTTTATGTAGTAGTTGTGTTCAGTACGAGTTGACGGGAGTCCTCTCGTGCTCAATACGGATTCTGGTCTTACTACGAAGTAAATCAGGCAGGCAATAAAGTGAGACCTTTCGGGATGTGCCACACTCCCCTCTTTCCTCAAAGTGCTATCACACCAATTAATCAAGAAGACAGAGAGAACAAACATAAGGTTTTGAGGGCTTACTACGGAATAAACTTATCTTAATTAGATTAGAGATCAGTTTCACCTTCATCCCTTCTCAGTTATTCCCTCCGGTCCCTAGTGCAGCGGTCACGGCACGGAATAACCTCCCGTGCCACCGGGACCGTGACAGACTCTAGTAATTGGTTGTAAGCCTATGCAGGAGCAGATCTTGCCAAAATCGGTAGAAGGGTCGACTGAATGCCTGTTGCAGAATAAAGTTGCTTGGCTAGACTCAGTATACTCGATCGTTATCCCGTAGTGGTAATCTAACAACAAACCACGCTCTCTAGGCCATTTTCAAATAAAACAGGGGATATTCTAACGAAGAGTTCATCAAATTTTGATGGAAAATTATAGGCCCCGTTCATTATAGGGATATTAGTTTGGATTCAATTATATGGAGACCATATTAAGTCTCATACGAACCCAGGGATAAGTAATTTATCAAAAGAAAACTATGAGATCCTAAAAATCGCATAAAGAAGAGTACATCGAGGTTAGAGAAGGACAATCGTAAATCTTTTACAAGAGAGACGCACCTAGAGATTGAGAGAAAGACCATAAATAATAGGTGTAATATCAAGACCCAACACTAGGAAGATAAAAAATAAGCTAATACTTGACTACCACGGAAGATGACTTCCTTGTTAAGGGGATCATCGTTTTAGTCGAGCTGTCAAAATTTAGTCAAATTCCTGGGCAATAAAATGTAATCTAAGCTTCTGTCCAGTAAGTCAGTTACGCAAACATATCTCTTAGTTGAACTCCCTAGGCGTCGTGCTTGCTTGCAATGCGTCAACTCCACCATTATCACTACCTCAAAATTTTGTCCTTTTTTCTTGTATTCAGATGTGGAATTCTTTGCCATAGCCTTTCGTTTTCTGTTATATTCGTTTCACCGTGCCTTTCACGCTCATTCAGCTCGCTTCGCTTATTTGCTTGAATCGGGCACCTTCAAAATGATTATCTGCAAGGGCCTCAGCTACATTCTACTTCTTTCAAGATTAGTAACGGCTTCGTAAGTGAATTATATATCCAATACCCATGAAGCGTATCAACATGAAACTGACCTTAGAGCAGTCACTCTCCTCGATATCATGCCCACCATGCACGAAGCGATGTCGACTACGACTATGTGATTGTGGGATCTGGAGCTGGAGGCTCTCCTCTAGCTTGTCGACTCGCCATCGCTGGATACAAAGTCCTTCTCCTCGATGCTGGAACTGATGAGGGCAATTCTACTCAGCAGATGGTCCCAGCGTTGCAACTCCAGTCCGCTGAATATGAACCCCAGAAATGGGACTATTTTGTTCACCACTACACCAACCTAACCCGTCAAATGGAGGATTCGAAAATGGTGTATAATACGACCTCCGGAGACCTCTACGTGGGTCTCGAGCCACCGACTGATGCAACGCCTTTGGGAATTCTCTACCCACGTGCTGGGACTCTTGGTGGCTGTACAACCCACAATGCAATGATCACAGTTACTGCCGAGGATGCCGATTGGCAGTATATAGCAGATATCACAGGGGACAGCTCATGGGAACCGGCAAAAATGTTGACTTACTTTGAACGGCTGGAGGCTAACCGGTACCTGCCTTCATCAATTGTTGGTCATGGATATGATGGATGGCTCATGACTACCTTGACTTCGCTCAGTTTAGTGGTGGAAGACCAGAAGTTATTATCTTTAATTGTGTCAGCGGCCACCGCTGCTGGAAAGAGTCTTCTGGGGATAATCATTGACACTGTGGTTGGCCTCGCTGGTGTCCTGCTACAAGACTTGAATGCGCCGGATCGTAGCTCTGGTGTTGGCCCTTACCAAGTGCCTATTGCTGTGAAACTGCCAGATTCTTCGCGTACTGGGCCACGAGATTTCCTAATGAGTACGATTTCTGCTACAAACTCAGATGGATCGCGAAAGTACCACCTCGATATCCAGTTGGAGACTCTTGTTACCAAGGTTGTATTTGATCAGGGGGGCTCAACTCCTCGCGCTGTGGGAGTGGAATATCTTCAGGGCCAAAGTCTTTACCGTGCTGACTTGCGTTCTAATCGCGCAGGACCTGGTATTCCTGGAGCAGTTAATGCTTCTCGCGAAGTTATTCTATCAGCAGGAACCTTTAACACTCCTCAATTGCTCAAGCTGAGTGGTATTGGTCCCAGTGAAGAACTAAACCAGTGGGACATTCCTGTTGTTGTGGACCTGCCAGGTGTTGGTACCAATCTTCAGGACCGCTATGAGAATACCATTATTGGCGAGGCCTCGACTGATTTTTATATCACTGCACAATGCACTTTCCTTCGCACATCTCCAGACCCTTGTCTTGAGCAGTGGAAAAATAACAAATTAAATCCGGGAACATATGCTACTAACGGCCTTGCCGTCGCGATTCTGCGTAACACTAGCACGTCCGATGCCTCGTATCCCGATGTTTTTGTTGTTGGTGCGCCAGCCAACTTCATGGGTTACTATCCCGGATTTTCCAACGACTCGTTGGCCGATGCAAAACATTGGGCATGGATTGTGCTCAAATCGCACGTGCGTAATAATCTAGGCTCGGTCACATTGCGCTCGACTGACCCTCGCGACACACCCGTCATCAATTTCCGCTACTTTGACGAGGGTGTCACTGAAGGTGGTGCTGATGAGCTTGACCTGCAGGCACAATACGAGGGTATGGAGTGGTCACGCCAAGCTTTCGCAGATTTAATCCCTCTTGATGGCTCTTTCACCGAGACCTGGCCTGGTCCGAATGTCACCACTGAGGCAGAGATGAAGGACTTCATTAAACGTGAAGCCTGGGGTCATCATGCATCATGCAGTTGCCCTATTGGAAACGACACGGATCCTAACGCTGTTCTTGATTCTGAATTTCGAGTGCGCGGTGTTGATAACCTGCGGGTTGTTGATGCTTCAGTCTATCCCAAGATTCCTGGATACTACATCGTTCTACCCACATACATGATCAGTGAAAAGGCCTCTGACGTGATCATTGCTGCTGCACAGAGCAATGCGACCAGTTCTTAAGACTCCTGTCAAAACTCTACAATTAATGTTCATATAGTTCAAACTAAAGCATAGAATAATCAAAAAACCTCGGTTTATTACTTAGTAACCTCATGCATTGTGAATGATCTCAAGCGCAGTCCGTTAATCGTCTAAAAATGTGAGATTCATCTGATCATCATCTCACCAACGAACGCTGTCTTTCGACTGAATCAAACCTGTTTTTTTAATCCATGGCAATGTTGAAATAACTCAGAAAGTGTGGTCATAATTGACAATGGAAGTGAAAATGATAATCAGTATATCATAAAAACAAACCGGCAAACTGACTTACGTGGGTTCATTCAGCATTCACGTTTCAGTTCTCACGCCTTGGAAACCGATTATTCCACTGACTTGGTCATCAGCGAGAACACATCCCAGCTAAAAAAGAAGCTAAAAAGAAGCCAAATCCGAAATACCTACTAGAACTGACTTTCCAGGTCCTAGCATCTGGTGATAAGAAATTGACCCACTCGTGGAGGAATTCTGCATGGTAAGTTCGCATCAACACGGTCCCCAATTTTTACTATGTAACGACACTAAGCTTCTCAATGAGCATAAGTCTGGACTAGAATCTACTCACTAAGCTGGACCGTGAGCGCCCTCGTGAAGGCAGCGGGAGCTGAAAAGAAACCCCCCCCCCTTGGCAGGGAAAATATGGTTCGTATAATGACCCAGGTATTTGAAATAGTGAGATATATGGAGAAAATCGCTTTGTAATTTCATGTATATTGATAACTCCGGCGTTTGTATTAATATCCACGTGTATAGGGTATAGATAAATCTATCAAGCCACGCCATGCTTATATCAAACAGATATAACTAAGAACGCTCAATATTAAGTACTCATAAGACCTTGAATAAACGCCCCAGCATATGAAACATTCGAAGGAAAAGGGGGGGAGGGGAAATCAACGAGCCCTCTCAGGCCTAAACAAATTCTCATACTCATCAACCAACAAATCCCTCACCGTCTTCGCCAGCGGCCACCTGATCGCAAACTTTTTCAGTACACCTAGTGAATTGCCAAACTCGTTTTCGAGTCTTTCTTTCTGTGCTGCGTCGAGAGAGGGGATTAGCAAAGCGGCCATTTCGACGAGCATGGCGAGAGCAATTGCGTCGATGATTAATGGGCTTGTGCCCTGGACGAGGCGCGGATTATTGAGTTGGGTGGCGAGATGTTTTGCGGTGGAGATTAGGTGAATGCTTGATGGATCGGAGGTTGGATTTGATTTGAATTGATCGCTGTTGTTGTTTTTATTGCTGGTGGGGTGCTTAGATTGAAGGATGAAGCTGCTCGGGAATACGGGCATGCTGAAGCTCGACGAGTAGAATGGGGATTGGTCATAGAACAGATTTCGTTGAAGTTTTATGGGCGTAAGTTGCGACGTTTGTCGGTAGAAGTAGATCATTGCTGAGCAGGCGATTACTGTGGTTTGTGAGAGCATTTGTGCGATGTGGTTGGGTTGAGAGGCTATGCCCCCGATAAAGGATTTGTGGTCTACATGCTCGATTAAGCGGGGATAGAATCTTTCGAGTTCGGTTGCTGTTGTTGAACTTTGGGAAGTAAGTACTGAACCTAGGAAGTGGGCTGCGGCGATTCGGTAGGCGAATGATGGCAAGGGGTCGACGAGTTGGGCTCGGTTCTGGCAGTGACTGAGAAGATCGTGGATTGTGTGTCGTCCAGGAGGTGGTGCCTTGTATGGTTAACATGAGAAAGTCGAATAAAGGAATAGCAAGATAGTGACTTACATCGTAAACATGCAAATCCGTCATCCCCTCATCACACGGCAAAGGCACATCCGACGAAACCCCATACAACTCTCCACTCTCCTCAATCAAAGCACACAACAGACTCTGCACAACGAACAACTCCCAATAACATCGACGCCACATTTCTTCCAACAACGGGGAGCCGTAGCCATGTACCACGGAAAAGGAGTGCTGATTCATACCGAGTTTGAGCGCCAGACTCGTCGCGGAGTTGATGATGCGGATGGCATCGAGAAACTTGCCGTGGGCGTGCGCGGTAATAGAGAGGAGGAGCATGCATTGGACTTGGTAGCCGTCTTCTTCAGGGCGAAAGAGGCAGGAGAATGCCTCTGTTTCTAGGGCGTGTTTGGTGGTGTCGTTCTTATCGGGGGTTGGCCCGGCTGATATTCTTCTCCAATGGTCACGACTATCCGTTTGTTCCGTGGTGGTGTTGTTGATTGTCAAGAAATGACTTCCAATATATTTCATCACAGTGAAAATCTTTTCGGGGACATATTCTGTTCCGAGTGGGCCTTCTAGGGCTTGCAGTGGCAACAACAACGGATGTGCGTCGTGGAAGTATTGGTAGTATGCTCGGATGTAGTAATTCGAATGAATTTTTTGAATCTTTTCACTCATTGTGCTTGTTGGCTCATTGCGTAGATGTGTTGTTCGATTGTTTTTATCGTAGCTATAAAGGTATGCGTCTTGATAGAACGGGGCTTGAAGTGTCGAGGTAAGGATGTTGACTGATGAGGGAATTTGATAAGCCATGGATGCGACGAGGTTCAAACTTGTCAAGGAATATGGATTTGTATGGAATGGTTCTGTCCTTGAACGATGCCAGAAAATATGCCTCTTGCGCTAGTCAAGGTTCAGATCGATGTCGACACGCCTTCGGAGTTTCTGGTATGCCTTGTTGTGATCCTGTATCAAGTCTCTCTGAAAGTATTTGGATCGATATCGATATGATCTGTAGACAACTATGCATGCTAGAGCCGCAGGTCGTTCATATCACGACTTCGCTAGAGGTGTAGGTTACATCAGCTTGTACACAAGATCTCGGTGAACGAGGTTCACTCGAGGCCTATGTAAATGACTGAATCATGTTCTCGTCAGTGTTGGAACTGCTGGTGTCGTCTTGACTGATTTGTTAACGTGTTGCGGAAAGTCGCTCGTGTCGATGGGCCAAATACAGACCAAGTGGGTAGAGATTGACAAAGCCTTAAATCGATGTTGTCGAGCAGCTTTGCTAAATTTGTCCAATCAATGCAGCATCAGTCTCATATGACTGATCCATACCAAAGTCCAAAAGGGATGACAACACAGTCTACCAGTCATCGAGCAGGGCAAGAGCGAGCCGAAACCGACGGGCCCATTAGGGCTCGGACGCGGGCTCACGTTTATCATTCATCCAACCACTAAAGATTCATAGCTGCACATTAAACGAGCAGGTCACGTAGTGCATTACTTGTCTAGGCAAAAGGTTCTGGTGGTTTTGGCCTTGATGACAGGCTATAATTATGCAATTATACCAGTTCTGGCTCTGATGGTACAGAGTATTAAAGTTGCAGCTCCACATGTGATTGATATCCGGGCTCCAGTTGCCTGCATACCGGAACAGAAGGGAGGTTGAAATCTAACGTATTGGGGGTATATACATACAACTAAACAGTGTTTCACGTTTCATGTACGTTCTATTAATTCACCCTTTCCGCACAAAGTCTATGGATGTACTACGTATGGATCCCGTTCGGCGAAGAGGGAGAACGCCGATGTTATTAACCAGCAATATCGCCTTATATTAAGACACTAGACAGTAGGTCTTCTAGAAGGCTAGAACATGTACGGATATTAATACGAATTTTATACCATGCACTACAACTACTACGACATAGTGCGTCGAAAATTTGTCCTGTTTCTTACCTCTACTTACGTCAAGTCATATGAACTTCATGAAACATAATTTGGAATTCTCGACTCCTTACTTTTTCTTTGTCGACTTCTCTGGCAATGATTAGCGGTGAGGTCGTCACGATCGAGCAGAAGGAACACCGGTTCGTTCAGTCGCAACCCACTCTAAAGACGTGTGCATGTACCTGTGTGGATCTTTCAAATGTTCAGATCCGAGATTTCGGTATTCGTGCGTATTGCGTTTACATACATACATACATAAATATTGCATATGGTCGCCGAACAAACCCAACACCGACCGAGTCAATCCATTAAAGTAAACTTGATACCTTCGCTCCTGTGGTCCATTCTTGTCATCTTACATGAAAACAAGGACGACTCTGCGGTGTTCATAGGGCTGTATGATTACATGTAATACAGTCACACATGTCGTATCATGCATAATTTACGCAAGTTCGCGTAAATTACCCTCCGCACTAGCACCACAAAGGGTTAGAGCGAGCATTGATGGATGAGGTTGAAATCGACAATGATTTGGAATTATTTTAGCACGTCTGCCACTGGCACTGCCAGTCGTGCCAGTGCCAGTGCCAAAGGATCTCAGCGCAGCATTTCAACTTGACGTAAAGTGTATCACTCGGCTCTGCCGATGACTGAATCGACATAATCCAAGGGGATCGATCTAGCTACTAGTAGCTCCGACGAGAACGAAACGAATATGGTCGCCGACCTCGGGGTATACCATAACCGATATTGGGTTGCTTAATTACAACTTTCGAGTCCTACCGTGTGTTCAGGACACGGCGAATGAACGTTGACTGTTCAGAAAGTTTTCGTTCGGCGTTGTTGGTCTTTCGGTTCTCTGCTCTGTCGAAATTACTGCTTTCGATAATTTTTGGTTTCCGCCTAGATTGACGTAACCATATTGGTCTCCTGCGCATGTTTTCACACCGCATTGACTATCTTCTCTACTATATAGCAAATGAGACAGATGTGCATAACGAGTAAAATAAATGCATGCGATTGATTCTTTGGACTAGGATTAGCCTGAAAAATTACATATGTAAACCTCACATGAGGTGAGTGTTATCTTTTTCGTGGGGTGCCTCTTCTAGGGTCGTCTTTTGATGCATTGCTTGTATAAAGTAGTTTGATGCTATTCCGGTGTGTACTGCTGATATTTATACCTTATACTGGATCATGTCCTGGATCCTGAAAAAAAGCTCTCACGAACTCACGTCAACTCTAGCACAAGCTCATCAGGGATATCTAGCACCCCATAATCTTAATGTGTCGACACCAAAATTATTTCTATTTATGAGGATCACCTGTCTCTAGGGTATTCTCGCAGGAATTGAAAATATGCACGCAGAAAGTTAGGATGTTGCGCTCACTTGAAACGACCACTGACACTACTATTAGGCTACCTACGAACTTATATCCTCAATCCTAGAATTTATCAGCATACAAGTCTTATTATTATTTTGTTCACTTGTAACATCACCAACTGATTCAAAACGCGGCATCGACTCATTTACCTCCACCTGAATCCACCCTCGAGACTAAGCTTGGCTCTCATCTACTCATGAGCGGCAATGCTATTGTCCAAACACACAAATTACAGATAACAGACCAGATACTCCTACAGCCGACCTACAATCAATATCCATCTGCTTCATCGTGGTAGCCGTATTGGGCCTAGCGCAGCCCTAACTGTCTATACGCTGCTCAGGGGTAGCTGGACTTCAAGTTTGCTGCACTCCATGATTGTTGTTCATACCCAATCAGGAAATTTGTTGAAGGTCAGTTTTATCTTTCTAATTCTCGGATAAAGACGCTTGTGGCCTTGGGGCTCTAGAGCTTCGACGGAGTGATTGGCAAGTTTGTTTATTACTGGGTAGAGATATCAGGGATTGGCCAAGACTATCTAGGTATGAATATGATAAGGATCGTAGATTAGACTTTATTTACACTGTAATTTGAGTCTCTGTGGTGGTATGGTTCTTGATTCTTTCACCAGTAAGGTATATATAATGTCTGGCTGTTCATCTCAACTTTAGTATCCAATTATCACATGAGCTCGCTCATCGAATCGGTTCATCTCCACGCCTGATGTACATCATGCAAGTCCTCCAGACCGATGCACGCTAAAAATATTTGCTACGGTCATCTGCAGATACTCGGTATGATCAAGTGCGGACAGGATAGACGGTCAATACTCCCAAAGACGGATCTGCTTCAGGCCGGGACAAATCTTGCTTCCCCGGGTATGGTTGCACAGCATATGCTCGTATATGCAGGTGGCCAGTACCGACAGGGAAAGAGCAAGAGGAATAATATGTGCACCGGATTGAGCTATGTGCGTCTTGATCGAGCTGATAGTCCGTTCGTGGAGGTATGAAGGGATGGGTTTGTCATTGGTGTCAAGTATTTCATCCCGACTCAACCTCGGATATGCGCGGCACTGCCCACCAAGCATGGTACCGCCCTGTCGAGCCAACTTCTGGAATCTCAACCTTGACTGGCAATGACTTTCTCGCAGTCGTATTGGGTGTCGACAACGACAATTTGCTGAAAGCCTTGGTAACTGTCTGAATCGCAATACTGGCGCCTATACATGCTCGGAGCGAGTTCTTCGTATTGCGTTGCCAGTCCGCCTCAATGGCCGATCTACGCACTGCTTCACCGCTGTTTTGCTTCTGTTGTGTGGTAGTGACAAATGCGCCCTGTGCAAGCACCGCTTCCCATGCTTTGCGGGCATCGGTAATTGCTCCGCTGGCTCTTTTGAGCAACTCGTTATCAGCCTGGCCCTTGAGGGTGGCGTTATTTTCATATTGGTCGTATGAAACCAATTCCGGCAGACTGATGGGTAGAAATGGCTTCATGCGAAGTTCGTATCGAAGTCGGGCACTGGAGTATGCGGATTGTGAAGCTGCGTGAGGGAGAACCCCGTGACGCTCGAGGAACACGTAGAGCGCTTGAAGGCCGAGTGATAATGTCTCAGTTGCTATGAGCCATAGACTATGACGACCGAGAGTTGTGAGTGTTCTTTCAAAGGTGGCCTCGTTGCCTCTGAAACGTTTGCTTCTTCTACCATCTGCCTGAACGAACGCTTGTATTCGCTCGATGTGGAGTTGGTGACTGGAACATAGATGCGACAAGTACCAATACATTCCGCCGAGTTCCTCTGGTGCATAGATGGATAGCTCGAATCCCATTTGAAAGATGAGTTGCATCTGCTTTAGTTTTTCGTGATATACCCAGCTCCCTAGTGGATATGCATATGTTGACTGGCCGTTTTCCAATGTTAATGGTACTTCGCCGGTTAGAGTTTGAAGATGTGTGTCGAGTTCTTCAGCCTAGAATAATAGGAAATTATGAGTGTTCTTGTAAACCCATGCATTTTAAGGTACGTACCTCGATTTGGAGATTATCCCATTCCAGGATCGAATGACACAAGGCACGACGTACTCGAGATCGATTCAAACACGAAGTACGGAATGTGTCAACGAATGGCTGTAAATGGACATTAGCTAAGACATAACTGACTGACTTGATACGACTCACATGAGCAACACGAGTCACAAAAGACTCCATACTTTGGTGTATCTGAAACCGAGGATCACTGGGCACTTCGCACTCTTCATTTTCTGCGTCGAGCAGCGTGCTCAATGGTAATACAACGTCTCTGAGGTCATCATAGAAAAGCTGTTTGACGGATTTGGAGCCCAGTATCTTCATCTCATTCACAATGAATGCTTGCATGAGACAGCGAATATAAATTCCAGGGTTTGGCTTTCTCGACGCAATCGTCCAAACACAAACCTGAATATCGTTAGACAATTGATCCGTAAGGTGTGGGCACAACACATACTCTCAAATCGCTTGGACTACTATAGTTCAGTATTTCATGCAGATCAATAGCATCCTGGAACAGCCGTTTCAGATGGTCGATGGCAGCCCTGATATCAATCGTCACCATCGGCCGAGGCGGTATCGTACTCGCCAACTTTCTTTGAATCTTCAGTGTGAACGACTCCGGGATGGGTTTCCCATATGTCACGGATTGCTCGACCGGGTGAATCAGCGTCAGGCAGGCCTTGAAAGGCTCATTGTCTTGTGAAAATCCCGCCTCCAAATCCTTGCTCAACGCCTCGAGGAACTGTTTCCTTAACCGTAGCCTATCAATCAACGCTTCTCGGACAGCTGTACTTATTCTATCCTCTTGAAGCTCCTGCAAGTACTCCACGGCGGTCTGGAGAACATTTTGCACAGGCTCGATATCAAATTCGCTGAGGAGATTGCGATTATAAAGTTGCGGGACAAAATCCTCTTCCTGAACAGCATCAGAAACACTCTTCCCTCTGGAGACGAACACATTGATGCCAACCTCATAATAATATTCTTGCGTAATCCTCCGATGGACCAAGTCACAGGCCTTGACCAATCCTAGACAGTATGCTCTCAATACAACGTGTATGAGAGGTTGTTCTTGCTCGGGGTTCGATTGCGTCTGGTTATTGCGGTGGAAGGTATATTCGTCGAAGGATTTCGGGATCGGCCAGAGAAGTTTGTCGAGATATATCGATGTGAATAAAGTTTGTGAGAGAGGGTGTCCCATATGCCATGCCATCTATTTTCATTGTCTTAGCCAAAAATTCATTCCGAATAGCACGGTAAACAAACCTCATGACATAACAACTGATCCATGAGTCCTAGCACTTCTTCTGGTTGTAACTCTCGCATCACATCGTAATCATATTCGAGCGCTTCCGCATGGCTTTCACCGGGGCCTAGGTATCCACTGTCCATCTTGGAGTCCATGATCTAAAAATATTCCCGAGGTGGTGAGCATAGAACGAGTATCCAAGACAATCACTTTCGCAACAAACCTCCAACGCGCCGACGGCTTCGAATAATGTGAAGTCGGCATCTTTTACAAGCTCGCCTTGTTTTAATTCTGTGCAGATATGACGGTCAGTTTGGAGTTGTTGGCGACTTGACGAAAAAGCAATCCGCGGGGAATGAGTGACGCACTAGAAGCAGCGTTAACAAATTCCCGAGTAATGTCCCGCGCAACCATTTGCTGTGCTGGTATCAGACGATGAGGGACGCGAGCTGGGTCATTTGGGATCATGGCGGAAATTATAAATGAGGTTTAATCTGCGAGTAGCAACTTGCAGATGCGGAGAAGGAAAGAGTAAAAGGCAGAGCGAGCGGAGTGTATAAATTCTTGGGTGGGAAAGACAGCAGCGGCTGTGTAACTATGGGTCTCCGTGCCTGAGGTCAAGCAAATGCTACGATCGTAAATTACTCAACAAATAAGATCATACATTATAACAATTGAGAAAAACACTCTATTTCTTCATTGAGATCGAAACAAGAAATAGTCTCCAAGTATTGCTACAAGAACAAGATGTACAATAATCCCGCTGCCCTGGCAATCTTTCTTTCGCTTTGCCAGATCACTCGATTATCTTCATTTCCCCTACTAGTCCCTCCAACTCGACTCCCATCGTGGATTTTCATCGCTTATTTCTCGGCGTGAGCAGCCTGTGCTTCGGCGTTGGCATCAACAAGCTGCTTGACTTCACCCTGCTTTCCGTTCTGTCCGTAACTGTCAGCTCCGTCCATCAAATCGAACCGCTGTGTTTATCCTCTACTAACCTCCCACTTGGCGAACTTCAAGTCGGATTGTCCGCGACGCTCGGCATTGAGACGCTGACTGTCCTTGAGGGATCGGCGAACCGCGCGCGCAGCAACGGCAAGGTATTTGTTGTAACTGTTCCAAATCAAAGTCCTCCAGTTAGCAATTGCGACCGACGAGAGAACGCAACGTGTTGTGAAGAGATCAGGAAACGTACGTTAAGCCGGCGGCTTTCCAGGCAGCAACCATTTTGACTGATGGTGGAGGATGTGAGGAATAAAGGTTATGGTGGAAAGTGTCGAATTGTCAAGCTCATCTCGGGTTCAGATGGAAGGAGACGAAAAGTCCGCCGGGATGTCACGTGGAGTGTCACGTGATATGGCATCGGTATAGACAGACATACGAGCATGGCCTTTTGCTTAAAAATTAAATTGAAATTGATGCTGAAGGATCTCCATATTGAAATATTGTGTGCCTTTGCTGTTTTAAAGCAACTGGTCATGTTGGGTGGTTGTAAGATAGCTGTTTGTGAATGGGTTGAATGCAACACCACGACCAGTATAGAGGTTGTTTATGCTCTGAACATTAATGTAAGGTTCTTTTGCAAATGCATTTTATTTCATTCAAAGTGCAGTGCTAGTAGAGTTCCTTCAAAGCCATAGTCGTAGAAAGAATTATTTGTCCGCATACTAAGTGAGAAAATAACAGTCCTCTCACATTTTAAAACTCACAGCAACTCCCCCATCTTGAGCATCACGATTTCCCTTTGCGTAATGTAACATATCTAGCCAACCCCACCTGGGCACTCGAGACTAGTCCCGAGTCAAACAGTCACTCCCAAACCTTTCCCATCATCTCCCTCTCGCGCTCCCATCCTTCTCACTTTGACCTTTTGGACAGGTCCGTCCGTCTATTTGACCTTCATCTTCGATCATTTTGGAGGGCCGTCAAGATATCTCTTTTTATAACCTACCAGCAACCCTCAGTCTCGGGAAATCTCTACTTGACCTTTGAGCGAAAGATCTTGCCGCGCTCACCTCACTTTTTGTTCTCCTTTTCTCCAACTTCTGGTCGACTCACCTTTTTTGTGCTGTCATTTATACTATCCTGTTGAGAGATCTGAAATTATCTGGCTTCTTGACGCGACGTCATTCAAAATGGCACGCGAAGAGAAAAAGGCTTTGAATCGCCCCTCGTCGCGTAAGCTTGTACGGTGGAATGGTATGTCTCATCCAGTATCCTCATATCTCGTCCAATAACCATGACATGACTGACACGTTAAGATGATCTCGATGAGCTACTTCTCCTTACCATCCAGTCTATCTCCAACAAGGAAGGTATAAGACTCCCTTGGACAGAAATTGCCATGTCTATGGGCAACAATGTCAGCGAAGGAGCAATCGTTCAACACCTTGCCAAATTGCGCGCCCGCCGTGTTGAGAAAAAGAAGCAGGTGCCTCCTCCTTTGCGTCGTGGTGGTGGTTATACTGGTGCCTCCAAGACATCAGAAGCTCCTGTGACACCTCAGTCTCCAAAGGAGAAATCAGACGTGACGGAGCGTCGGGTAAACCAGCGCAGTCAGCCTAAGATCAAGGTCGAGAAGCGTTCCGCTAGCAAGATCACAGATGTATCTTCAGACAGCGATGAAGAATGGACGTCTGATACTCCCAAGAACAAAAAATCCAAACAGAAGCGCGCTCCGAAGAAACGCAAGACTACTCCAGTAGACCCTGAGCCTCCAGTCGATTACGTCGTTAGTGATGATGATGCCACAAATGAGACTACCGAGTCATCGCAAAGCGATGGGAAGGTGGCTGTCGGTGCTGACTTTCTGGAATTTTTGGGCGACGATGACGAAGCAGAAGAGGAAGATCGCGCAGTTACTCCTAGCGAGAACGAAGATCAAGCCTACACACAACAGTCATTGGTTGTCAAACTCAAGCTTGGTACTGACAACATGTGTCGTCTAAAGTACAAGGGCACAGGTGTATTTCAAGACAGGAACCCTGAACAACGCTGGGAGATACCTCCACCTGGGCCAAACGGTGAATCATGGGGCTTCAGCAGGGACTATTATGGACCGATTCCTCAGTCCGCTCAACATTCCCATAATCCCGGTCTTCTCCGGGGAGAGTGGCCACGCGAAGTCGCCATGAGACAGTATGAAGCACCGCAAGCAGTGACATGGTCACACGAGACCTACCATCCAGACCCGAGACTTGTGCATCCTGCCTTGTTCCTGGAGGACCCAAACTGCGAACCCCAGTTGCAGTTTCATCGCAAGCTGCGCACTGCAGAAGAAAGTGATCCTGTAGCTCGAGCTCTCGACCAAACAAGCCCAGCGTATCAAGCGTACGCCACCACACACCGTGAGCTTCCAACATACCGCGACTCGAGCTGGACAACAACCACAGCACAGCCGGCCCAGCATCTTTCTCTTCGCGATTCGGGTTATGCCAGTGATTTCGACACTACTCGACCACATACCGAAATGAAATTGGATACCCGTCAGCTTTTGGATACCAGGCAACTCCCTGGAACAAGTGATGATGAGCTGCCGCCTGGTAAGATTTTTACTGATGGCATGGTTGACGAAACCCTCGTCTCAGAAGCAGCAACTGTAGACTGGTGGCAGCACTAATTGTTATGTACCCAGTGACCGAAAAATACCCCGAGAACCCAACGGAGCAGCTGGCAGACAACGAACAAGACAACGGAGTTGATACTTCATCCTTTGACATAGATTACGAGAGCTTTTTGAATCCTATCGATGTTGACGAGATGGACGACTTTTTTTGACGCGATTACAAGTTCATAATGGATTGGAGATTTGTGCTTTGAGCTAGTTTTTCTTTAGGTGTTTCTCGGAGTTCTTGGGCGAAATGGTGGATACTTTTCTATGGTATCTTTTCTGAAACTTGATGCTTGTGATTCTCTGCACATCCTTTGATTTTTGTTCTCAAAATTCATACAATAATCTTTTTTTTTCCTCCTTGGTGTATTTTACATATCTTTACAAATAAGATTCAATTGACTGTAATTCGTTGATATGAGGTTGAGGTGACGACCGTCCGGGTTCTATGAGCTTCTCCGTGCCTCAGGCCGCCCGAGCCGGCTCAGCGCCAAGACATCTGGGGAATCTAGAAGAAGCTGGAAAATTTTCGGTATTTTGGTCGGCTTCATCTTCCTTTTCTCCATCTTCCCTTGCTTCTTCTCCTCCTCCTCCATACTTCCATACTTGCAGCGTCCCGTCTGGCTGTGTGCACTATATTCTATTCCTTTTAATCCTTGTACTTCCTTTTTATAATTCCCTTCCCTCACATCACAATGCAGCGCGCTTTCTCCTCCAGATCCGCTCTTACCCGAGCTCCTCTCTCCAAGCTGAGAACCTCGGGTGTCAGCGTGCAACAACAGCGATTTGCCCACAAGGTGCGTCTATATCATCAAAAGAAGCTATGCGGTAGCCAATTCACAATGCTTACCCCTTATAGGAGCTCAAATTCGGTGTTGAAGCTCGTGCCCAGCTCCTCAAGGGTGTTGACACTCTTGCTAAGGCCGTCACTTCCACTCTCGGACCAAAGGGCCGCAATGTCTTGATTGACCAGAGCTACGGTTCCCCCAAGATCACAAAGGGTATGTATATTCTATTGTCATGAGTCGTCTTCACACAAAATTGTGCTAATTTTGTAGATGGTGTCACTGTCGCCAAGGCTGTTGTCCTCCAAGATAAGTTCGAAAACCTCGGCGCCCGCCTCCTCCAGGATGTCGCCTCCAAAACCAACGAGATTGCCGGTGATGGTACTACCACTGCCACAGCTCTTGCTCGTGCCATTTTCTCCGAAACCGTGAAAAACGTTGCTGCCGGCTGCAACCCCATGGACCTCCGCCGCGGTACCCAGGCCGCCGTCGAGGCCGTTGTCGAATACCTGACCAGCAACAAGCGTGATATCACCACCACCGAAGAGATTGCTCAGGTTGCTACCATCTCCGCCAACGGTGACACCCACGTTGGTAAGCTCATCTCAAACGCCATGGAGAAGGTTGGCAAGGAAGGTGTCATCACTGTCAAGGAGGGCAAGACTATCGACGACGAGCTTGAGGTCACCGAGGGAATGCGCTTCGACCGTGGTTACACCTCCGCTTACTTCATGACCGACGCCAAAGCCCAGAAGGTTGAGTTTGAGAAGCCTCTCATCCTCCTTTCCGAGAAGAAGATTTCCGCCGTCCAGGACATCATTCCCGCTCTCGAGATCTCCACCCAACTCCGCCGCCCTCTTGTTATCATTGCCGAGGACATTGACGGTGAGGCTTTGGCTGTCTGCATTCTCAACAAGCTTCGTGGTCAACTCCAGGTTGCCGCAGTCAAGGCTCCTGGATTCGGTGACAACCGCAAGAACATCCTCGGCGATCTTGGTGTTCTCACCAACGCCACTGTCTTCACCGACGAGCTCGATATCAAGCTCGACAAGCTCACTCCTGAACAGCTTGGATCTACTGGTTCCATCACCATCACTAAGGAAGATACCATCATCCTTAACGGTGAGGGCAGCAAGGACTCCATCGCTCAGCGCTGCGAACAGATCCGCGGTGTCATGGCCGACCCCTCCACATCTGAGTACGAGAAGGAGAAGCTTCAGGAGCGTCTTGCTAAGCTCTCTGGCGGTGTTGCCGTTATCAAGGTCGGTGGTGCTTCCGAGGTTGAGGTCGGTGAAAAGAAGGACCGTGTTGTCGATGCTCTCAATGCCACTCGTGCCGCTGTTGAAGACGGTATTCTCCCCGGTGGTGGTACTGCTCTTCTCAAGGCTTCCGCCAACGCTCTCACCAACTTGAAGGGCGCCAACTTCGACCAACAACTTGGTATTGACATTATCCGCAAGGCCATCACCCGCCCCGCCCGCACCATCGTCGAGAACGCCGGTTTGGAGGGTAGCGTCATTGTTGGCAAGCTCACTGATGAGTATGCCAGTGAATTTAACAAGGGTTTCGACAGCTCAAAGGGTGAATACGTGGACATGATTGAAGCCGGTATCCTCGACCCATTGAAGGTTGTCCGCACTGCTTTGGTCGATGCCAGCGGTGTTGCCTCCCTCCTTGGTACAACCGAGGTCGCTATCGTCGATGCTCCTGAGGAGAAGGCCCCTGGTCCTGCCGGTGGCATGGGTGGTATGGGCGGAATGGGCGGAATGGGCGGCATGGGCTTCTAAGCGCATTACCCTGAATATCCGTCTATGCCTTCTTCTTTGTCGATTTGAGCGTGTATTGCATTTGTAATATGGCAGGKTTTCATATGTTTTTCCTTTCTTTCTGATGTGTTACCACCTTCAAAATCTTTTATTCCCTCTGCTTTCACGGCCAACCTTGCAAACTCTGGATCATTAGAAATCTCCGACAACATCTCCACTCAACGCTCGCATTTATTTTCACTTGAATTTGGCGAAGGTAAAGAATTATGGCTGGCTTGGKTTGGAAAAATTTTTATTGTACAATACGTTACCATGTACTTTAATCTTCCTCTCTGACTGAATGAAGACGACTATCGATTAATTCGACGTGTTTCTTGAACGTAGATAAATTTTACTGATGAAGAAATATTGTAGACTACATCAGGTAAAGTTTGATTATCGACGATGCTCTGCCCCCTACTCATGCCTTAACCAAACTCTTCACTTAATGAATGCTCTATCAAAATAAGAGTGATCATCGATTACCACATCAAATGCCTCTTCAACGCCTCCACAACATCTCCCGATTCAACCTCAGGACCAAAAACAGTCAAAATATGCTGATCAGGCCTTACCAACACAGCCTGTCCCTCATTCAACTTTGTCAACTCGCTCCATCTCTTCTCATATCCTTGCTCAAGCACAAAGTCAACTCCTTGAACAACTATTCCTACGGGCAGAGATATGTCAGAGGGTATCTGGTCAAGTGCTTCTCCTACAATGGTCCTGATTTTATCGGCATGGTTCTCGCCAACTAAAACGGTGAAAGAATCAAAGCGGCACAAGTCTAGTGTCGAAAACTGTTTTTGAGCTATGAGTTCCGGCGTGAGTTCGTCGACGTACGAGGAGTCAATAGCCGGCAGATGGGTTTGCGTTGCCGCTGTGCTTGGGATCTGAATCCATGCATGCGGTAAACGTGCACCGGCAATACAGACCGGTTGGTAGATAGACGCGTTATCTGGGATCTTTTCGTCGCCATAAACGTACCCAATATGCAGTCCCAAATTGTCGAAATGTTCTCGTTGGCCTTCGATGCCTTCTTGGATATCAATCATGACTTTGGCATCTTTGATATTGGCATGTAGGTTCTGACGGGCAACTTCAACGTCCGGGTCCGTGGTGCCGAGTGTCTTGAGGAGATTGAATATCTTTTTCCCGTTCTTCACGCTCTGTTGTGAGTTGACGAGGGCTACTTGTCGTCTGTCAAGAGTGTAGGAGTCTAATAGCCCCGAGCCGGCGAAGCCCTTGTGAACGAAGGACAATTTGTAAGCGAGGTTGTGGACGTCTCCAAGGCCGGAATTTAGGCCTAGACCGCCTGTTGGTGGAAAGGAGTGTGCTGCGTCGCCGGCTCTGTTGTATTGATGGTTGGTTGGATGTCTTGGTCGGAAGAATGGGGATGAGGACTTACAAAAAGACGCGGCCGACTCGGTAGGTATTGGCAACTTTTCTGCTCAGTATCCAAGGTCGAAAACTGAGGACATCGTATTTGGCCTTGGTGCCGATAGCTGCATCGACTACCTTGCGGCAATGTTGCTCGTTCCAGGATTCGACTGGGTATTTCTTAGACTATCGTCGAGTAGTTAGCAAGGTTGAGTCTTAGATGGTGGAGGCAGAGATTCACATCGAAATTGCATATCAGAACCTGATTTCCAGACAAATCATATCCAATGATGAATCCAGATACCAAAGGATCCATGACCCAGTGAAGCATGCCGACATTCTCTTTAACGATGGGACGGAGATCCGCATTGAAGTGAATCGTCATCATTGTCTCATCTACACTCAACCATCAGTAAAGAGAAACATGCCATTGTAAGAGAGGAGCAGATCATACATGAATCTTCTCCCTCTGTCTCAACTCCCAAGTGGCTTCGGACCGCGCTTTTGGCACCGTCGCAAGCAACCATGTGCTTAGACTTGACTCTGTAGGTTTTCTTGGTGGAGCGGTCTTCGATCGTTGTGATAACAAATTCACTGAACTTTGTACATTCATCAGGGATATTGAGCATAAAGGGCAAAAGGCAGCGTAATCTCTCACCTGTTCAACACCGACGAAAGTGTGGTTCTTGCGAATCTCGACATTGCTGCTATTAGCCAACTTATTGGCAATTAGTTGCTCAAAGTTCGGCTGTGGGATATTATGGATCATCTGCGAAAATTTTCATCAGTCAAGAGGGTATGCTTGTTTCATAGTGAAGAATAACTTACTGTAGGCGTATCATCCAAGACCTCAGGGTCCATCCGCTCATAAGGCAATTTGCCCACATGCTCCCCCGCTAGACTAGTAATGAAATTCACCCAGAATGCATCACTGCGACAGGTCCCGACTTTGCGTATTTCGTTGACATCTAATCCGAACTGACGACATAGTTCGAGAGACCGTGGAGATAGTGCGTGGGCTTTTGGGGCTGCGAGTCTTGTTGCATATCTTTCTGCAATGAGGGATCGAACTGTAGTTCAAAGATCGGGTTATTATATAGATTTTTTGTTTGCCAGACGAGAAAATACCGACTTCCAAGCTGATCTAGCATGTATGCCAGAAGGAGACCAGAAGGACCACCTCCAATGATGAGGATTGGGACCTCTTCATCGTATTCGTCTGAGATAGACATTTTGAATCTTGGTATTGAGAAATAATATAAAGATTCAAGAATCACAAAAAATCGGAGTAATAAATCAACAAGAAGTTGATCATATTAAACAATGCAGGTTGGATCTGATGCCTTCCCACCTCGTTAGGGCTAAGCATGCACCACTCTCCCCACCTTTCCCACTTTCCCACTTCTTCTCTTATCCCCCGGATTCCGGATCCCCGCACGTTGTCAACCTCCTGGTCTGTCGAACTTCTGATTCTTCAGAGTTGGGTTTTACCAATGCAGACCATATACAGAGCGGCATGGAGTCAAGTGGAAATGAAGGTGGAAGTGGAAGACGCTTCAGCTGCCCTAAATGCTACAAGGCCTACACGAAACAAGAGCATCTCAACGTTAGTGACTGACGTCTTCTCAACCTATTGAACTGATGCTAATCTAAATTTCAGAGACATCTACGAACTCGTGAGTCATTACTTGCTCTATAAGTGGCAGTACTAAGGTGGAAATAGATTACAACTCCAAGCCATTTTCCTGCGATCAATGCGGCAGAAGCTTCGGTCGTCAAGACGTATTGACTCGACATGCCAGATTACACACACGAGCACCAATTAACCGAGAAGCTCTAGTAACCCCAGATGTCAGTCCTTCTGCTATTCAAATTGATCAAAACGATGATGGACATGCCTTCTCGCCAGTCACACCAACTACTACCTGGACAGCAGCAGTACCAAAATCGGATCAGCCACTGCCGCCAGCACCTACAGACTCGGTGAGACAGCAGGTATCAACTAACTCGATTGATGGGCTAGTTGATCCCGAAAACTTCCTAGAATGGCTGATGTTTGATCTACGAAATCCGTCAATGGTGCCCTTGCCTTTGACAGATGTCTCCATGCTTTCGCCAATGCAGATTGTGAGTGGACATCGACCAACACAAGGTACTGAGGGAAGTGATCAAAGAGGCGATAACGCATATGAAGCAAGCAAATTGGCTGTGCGCCAGATATCGACTATAATCAATGATCTGTGCAGAAGCCTGAATTCTGATGCTGAGACGACGGGGGTCACATCGGACTTCTTCGATGCCTGTATACACGAGTATTTTGAAAGAGTACTACCATCTTTCCCGGTGTTGCATGCACCGACATTTCAAGCGCATGATTGCATCGCGCCGCTATTATTGAATATACTAGCTTTAGGCTCCCTATTCGTCACAATGCCAGGTTCAAATGAGAAAGGAGAAATCATCTGGCGTCTAGCACACACCGCAGTCGCCACATCATGGCAATCATTAATGGCTCSCAAAGGACCTTATGATTCGTGTCATGGCGTTCAGCTAGTCCTTGCCGCGCTTCTCGGTCAGACATATGCCCTCCTATCAAATAACTCTAGTATTCGAAAGACGGCATTCGTTTTCCATGGTCTCGGTTTCTATTGGGCTCGAACATCCGGGATGTACAACTGGTTCTCGTTCCCACTCGAAGACATCCCAACAACTGATGCACCCAAAGAAGAGAAGATGTGTCGATGGAAAACATGGGCAGCAAAGGAAACTCAACGTCGAGCCATTCTCGGACATTACATACTTGACGGACTGATTGCCCAATCCTCGGGGTCTGCGCCTAGTGCTCGGCACGTAATTAACTCTATCGGTACGGCGTGTAGGGAAGCTGCGTTTTCTGCGCAGACAGTGGAGGAATGGATCGCTGAAATGCAGAGTTCAATTGTGGTTGAGCAGCCGATTTCGTCTATATATGCTTCTCTTTTGTCGCCGGAATACATATCATCGCCGATACCTTTGAGTGAGTTCTCTATCTCAGTCGTTTTAGAGGGCTTGCAGTCTTTGGTCTCAGATCTGCATGAAGCAACCCCTCCGGCTATTGGGATTACGTCTCAACGTGAAATTATTTCTGCTCTGATCAACCTTTACGAGGGAAACATAGTGACAGTAGGGTTGCGTCCAGCTCCTGAGTGTCTCCCTCTTCTGCTACGTTGGCATACAATTTTGTTAGAGCTCAACGCTCCCTCCACAGCTTTATTTCAGAGCATATGCTCGGCACACAAATCACTGGAAATCTCCAGTCGAGGTCCGATAAATAACTACATTCAACAAAAATCGATAGATTTGGATCGCTGGGCCAGAAGTGCAGCTGGCATGCGAGCTCTACTTCATGCAATAGCCATCAAGCAACTTCTCTGTGACATACCTCCTTCTCGTGCTCTAGCTCCACACATTCCAAACGCAATATTTGCGTCCGCTATCATTTTCAGTGCCATGTGCCTTTGTGGGATATTCACGGTTAGGCTTCCGACGCATTTTTGTTGGCAGGATGCTTGGAGTACTGTGCTTAACCRGGGCCCGCCAGTCTACTCTCCGCTAGGACTCTCTGTTGGCTGTCATGAAGGAGTGGAGACGAGCGCTAATGATGTCCTCGAAAATCTTGACGCTGGTGGCGCAGTGTCGGTAAAAACCATCCATTTGTTGAATGATATCAATTTCTTGCAGCTCAGTCTGAAGACTACGATTGCGTCTCGATGGACTCTGTCAGCGGAGATGGATGGTATCATCGGTCAATTGAGTAGATTAGCTCATGAGCATACAGCAATTGCTCGTTGACGTTTTAGATATGCCTCAGTGATCTTGTATGTGTCACTTTCTTTAAAAGTGTCTCAATATATGTACTCTATTTTCACTTCGAAGAATAACAATCATTCAACAACATAATTTATCTCATATCGACATCCGTCCCAACTTCATGCTTTCCTAGACGGAATAAGTGGTAGCAAAAGATAAGAATCATACTCCCCTCCAGCCAATATAGTATGGACACCTTCATTCCTCAACTCCGGCAATGGATCAGTGGGTCGACAGTGTGGTTCAGGGTGATACCCCGAAATGATGAGCTGCAACTCCTCGCCAGGGTTACAAATCATTCCATACGGCCAAATCGCAATGTCCAATGGGACAATTTCCCCATCTTTGAGCAATTTTTCTTCCGCATGGGTATACACTGGACGCAGTAGAGTTGACTTTTCCGGGTTAAGAGCTCGATGACTCGCGCGCAAACACCCTATGGGTCCAGAGTTGAAGAAAGCAGCACCGAATTTAGGATCAGCGGCATGTTTGCTCAAAAGTTCTTGACGCTCCTTTTCAGGGTTCGGGGTGAGTCTTCCTACGTCTACCAAGACTGACTCTAAAGTTTCCTTTGTTGTGGCTTTGATTTTGCGTAACTTTACGAATATGTCCATGTCATTTGAGTCTGTGGTGGAAGCCCAGAGATGTAGATTGATGTAACCGGTGAATTCGACGGTTTCCTGGATGGGCCATGAGAAGACAACGTCCCCAGTGACGGCGTCGTATGAGACGTCTGACTGGGCGGATGGTTGTGCCTCGGATAAACTCCGGCTATCGGGGTGTAGGTACAGTTTGAAAGGGACTTCTCGCTCGAGTGGGAATGATGTCTCGGGACGATTGATCATATCCTTTCCTCCGGCATTCAAAACACTAAGTCGCACTCGAGGGGTCATCGGCCAGTCATTTTGTATGTCTTTCATATAATAGTCGTAAAACTTGCGGAGATCTTCAACGTTGTATGGATCATTTAGGTCTGCTGTCTGTTGGTCTCGTCTTCTTTCCCCGGAGGAGGGATGATCACATACCGGGCCATTCATGAGTATTATGCACCCTAAGCCATTTCTCACTACTGCCACTTTCTTCCCAGGCACGAAGCGTGCCAGTTGTGTGCAAAAAGTTTGTCCAGCTGGCAACAATGTATAAAGGGCACTGAATCTTCTCGACCTCGGCACAAAGGCTATCCCAAAAGCTGTTCCAGGCAGGGTATTTATAACACATGGCATGCATATCAATTCCCTTATTGCCCGTGAAACTGACAACATCACCTTTAAGCATGCCTTGCATGAAGCCAGGGTTCGGTACGCCTTGCAGAGACGACATTGAGATTAGCCGACCGAGTACTATTAGATGGATGATCGACAGTCAATCTACTTACCTCCTCGACGAATGTTATTGTTATAAGTATCTGAGATACCCTCCCATGGCGCCAGACAAGCCAAATGAGGTGGCCTCTCTACACCAGTAAACCATTGAGTCATGGCAAGATAACTATTACCCGCCATGGTCACTTTACCATTACACCAATCTTGCTGTGCAATGAACTCGATGATGTCGTAATTGTCTTCTCCTTCCTTCTGCGAAGGTACAATTACATCCCCCCCGGATTTCCAGGTCCCTCGACAGTCTGTATGTACGACTGCATACCCATTATAACACCAATAATCTGGATCTGGTCCCTCGAACTTCTCCAACCCTGAAGTCGCGATTCGCGGACATCCGAAACGCCATGGCCATTTATTGAAGTTGTTCTTGTTGCTACCTCCGTTTTTGCCAAAGGGGCCCGCAACTAAGATTGCTGGGATTTTTGCTGCATCCAAGGAGGCCGTGAATGAAGGGCGGTAAATGTCCGCGAAGATTGTGACGCCATCTCGGACCACGATGGGAATGTCATCGTCTAGAATTATGTCTTTAGTCAAAGGCCGATGTCCGTCAATCTGTACGGTGCCCGCTTTGAGGATACGTTGTTGACCTGGTGTGGCTGGTGGAATGTAGCAGTCCTTCTCTGCGACGGATGAGGTGGGAAATTGAATGATATCTATGTCTTGGGTTGAGGATGCCATTTTTTCTGCTCTGTTCTCGATAAGATTGATGTTAGATTCAAGAACTACGTAGCATACCAGTCAGTTCACTTCTATGTGTACTATACTTATTAAAATTATCATGATGTCTCTTCGATGAGATTGATGTGGGGACGAAGCTTTTGGCATTCCACAAACCCACGGACTTTTACTCCACGGCGAATACACCGAACCCAACAGTGAGTTCGTATGAGCACTTTCCCCGTTATTCCATGGCTTATGCAACTAACCCCAGACTTCCCCAGACGGAAACTCTTTCCACTCCACGGGGTAGATCCTTTACACACTGCAATATTGCATCCTTATTTATAGATGATGCCTGGGCATGCAATATGTCCTTTTGGCCTTGGTCGATCGCTGACCTTATGATATTACCGATATTACAACAATATACGCGACAACACACTGAAGGCGGAAGAAATGGCTTCAAACAAGCAAAGTGCCACTGTTGGCCCTGAATTGGCCAGGGTGCTCCCTGTATTGGACAAACCATGGTATCGCACTCCGCACTTGCTGAAGCTCAATATCCTTTTGCTTCTTGTGACTTTGTCGGCAACGGGCATGGGATTCGACGGGTCAATGATGAATGGATTGCAGTCCTTGTCGACATGGACGGACTATTTTCATAATCCGAGTTCTTATCTGCTGGGCATCACGAATGCGGTTCTGAACTTGGGCCCGGTTTGTTTTCTTCCAAGGCTCATTGACCAGGAGTAGCTAGACTGGCATCTTGCTTATCGTTCCATGTTGGAGTTTAGATCCTTTTCGGCGGACCCGTTGGGTGGCTTTCTGATCGATATGGACGACGCGTCGCAATTCAACTTGGCTGCCTCCTGATCATATTGGCTGCAGCAGTACAAACGGCTTCCCAGAACCTCGGCATGTTTGTGGCTGCTCGATTTATCCTTGGAGTTGGAATTGAGTTTTGCATCATCCCTTCTCCAGTTTTGACGACAGAGTTGGCATACCCTACTCACCGCGCCAAAATCACAAGTGTGCTTTTCACTTTTTATTTCATTGGCTCCATTCTCTCTAGTTGGACTACCTACGGAACTTATCGTATGAGTCAGTCAACTTGGACTTGGCGCATTCCATCACTTCTTCAGCTTGCGCTTCCTTCTGTGGAGTTCATAGGCCTTTTCTGGGTTCCAGAGTCTCCCAGATGGCTCGTCAGCAAGGGTCGTGTACAAGAAGCTCGCACAATATTCGTGAAATATCATGCCAATGGAGATGAATCATCTTCCTTGGTAGACTTTGAGTTGGAGGAGATACATCAGAATCTGCGATATGAAGCCGGTGCAAGCACTTTGGGTTGGAAAGAGGTTTGTTTGACCATGGATCTAGACAGCAGTCATTGAGAGAATATTAAATACTAACTCTGGGATAGGTGTGGAAAACGGCAGCCGATCGGAAGCGCTTAATACTAATGGTGTACTTGTCCTTCATGACTCAATGGTGCGGCAATAATGTCATCAGCTATTATCTCTCCTTGATCCTCGACTCGGTTGGAGTGACGTCTTCTGACAGCAAGACTTTGGTCAATGGCATCCTACAGATTGTGAGCTGGATAGCTGCAGTCATAGGAAGTATGCTTGTCGACAGGCTTGGTCGACGGTTCCTTTGGCTGTATTCATTGACCGTGATGATGTTGTCGTATATCGTCTGGACAGTTTGTTCAGCTTTATATGAGCATAATCAGTCACACAGACTGGCCATCGCTGTTCTAGCTCTCATCTTCTTGTTCCAGATTCACTACTCCTTCGGTATCACACCTCTCAGTATGAGTAAGTCTTCACCTCCTGGTTAGATGTCCATGCATAGTTGCTCAGAAACTACGGCTAGGTTATCCTGTCGAGATCCTTCCCTTCCACAGCCGGCAAAAAGTAATGAGTCTTTATTACATCGGCAATAGTTGTGCAAATCTCTTCAACAACTTTGTCACACCAGTGGCCCTCGATGCGATTCACTGGAAATATTACCTGGTGTTTATTGTCATGATAGCTCAATTCGTGGTTGTGGTATACTTTTTCTTCCCAGAAACGCGAGGCTACGGATTGGAGCAAATTTCTGGTTTATTTGAAGGTGATTCGCTATTCATAGGAAAGACCGTGGTGCAACATTCAGACGATAGCATTGAGACTTTGGAGAAGGCTCAAGCGGAGCTCAAAGATGACAGGGTCGAACAAATTGAGTCTGTGGTGGCCATGAACAAGATAGGCTAATTGGGCCAGGAGTACCTGCCATGTGACTTGATGCAGGTCGAGGCCCAGCTGCACAAATACATTCTGTAAACAAGGGACTATCAAAATCGAGCACTCAGCTACTTTGTGTCAAGCCCCGGCTGTCAAATCGCTTTTGTAAGTGCATTATTAGAAAATATTTAGGGTAGTTAGGCAATATTAGCACAGACACCTAGGTACCTCGGTGATTGTGGAATATTAAATTAAATACCTGGAGCTGTCAACCGATGAACTCAAAGCATGTAAGACTAACTATCTACATGGCCTAGCCTTGGAAATATCCGGCTTATTGCTACTAATTCAAATGTTACTGCCCATCATATTTTGTATTGCAAACAACCAAACCTCTCTAGATACCAACCTGAAAGCACACAGTATAACCCGGCTTTAACAGCCAAAAAGCCTCCGCATTTGCAATTTTAATTTGAATCTTTACTTGATATAGGAACGCAAAGTACACTCATATACGAATCTATCTATCTGTTCATAGTTCAAAGCACGTATTAGCTCCAGATCACCAAGATGTCAAATATTATCATTCAAATCAAGATCAAAAGCAAGTCTGTTCGATATAGTCAGGTTCGACTCTATGCACCTTCGTACCTATGCACTCGAAATTTCTGTCATTGCGTAAGCCTCTACACATGGTAATTTGGCAAAAGATGGGAAATCCAGACTCTTCGCCAGAACCAGCATAGTTTCGGATGAACACATGATTATTGAACCCGAGAGAACAAATGTCAGTATCTCCACATAGCCTACTACCTAGTGGAGCAACGCTTTGATGTAAAAGAGGTTGCCACCACGCGATGTTCCTCCACGGCTTAAGAGCTGACCGACTTAATCCACGGAGCTGCTCGGCTTTGAGTGGCACCTCAGAAGTCGGGGCAATTCAGTATGTCCCCTGTTATGGGCAAAGTGACGTTATGGTAATCCAGACTACTCTTGTTATAAGAGAAATTTGCGGTCTACTTCTCTACTCACATCGTGGACAAGTCACTAGAACAATACCACAGTTACCTTTCTCATGCTCAATCATTTTCACAACCGAGAATAAGAATTTCTTCACAAATTCGATATCTACTCTGTTATTCCTCAAAATAGTACATTATGGCACCTGGGAGAGTCTCACCAACCGTTCAGGATGAACCGATCAATCCTTATAATGGAGGTTATCTAAAAACCAGCCACGGCATTAATCACGATTATGGCACAACCAAAGCCGGCGGAACAACCGATATCCTAGAAAAGCAAATGTCACAGAAATTTGGTGATTGGAGAGATGACTTCTTCACCAATGGCTACACTGTCGTCAAGGGTGCCATCCCTCGTGAAAGAGCCATTCAGTACCGTGAGCGGGCCATGGAATGGTTTCAGAAATTTGACTTCGGATTCGACATCAACGACAAGAGTACCTGGACTCAGGAACATCTGCCCGTTATGATGAATGGTGGTATGATCATGGGATATTCTGCTACTCATGAAAAATGGGTTTGGGAGGCGCGTTGGTAAGATCATCCATCTTTGCGCAATGTATTTACATCAGTGCTAACGTCACCAAGCGAGCCGGGTGTCATTGAGCCCTTTGCAAAGCTATGGGGAACAGATGAGCTCTTGGTGTCATTTGACGCTGTCAACATCACGCTTCCAGGACGAACAGACGTTAGGTGGACTCCCTGGCCGCATATCGACCAATCTCCCACCCGCAAGGGTCTTGTATGTGCACAAGGTATCATCAATTTATCCGAAGCCGGTCCTATGGATGGTGGCTTGCAATTACTTCAAGGAAGCTCTGAATTATTTGAAAGATTCTTCATTGAGAATCCTCCCAGGCCCAAAGCCAAGGACGCCCCCGGTCAGTTTGATTGGTACGGCTTCACGCTCGAAGAGGTCGAATGGTTCAAGAACAACGGTTGCAAATTGATCAAGGTGGAAGCCGAGCCTGGCGATGTGATCATATGGGATTCGCGTACCGTGCACTATGCATCCTTGCCCAAAAGTGAAATCATTCGTACCATCATTTACGCCACTTATACTCCAGCAAACCTAGCCACACCAGAGGACGTTGCCCTGAAAGCCGATATTTTTCGTCGGTGGGAAGGAACCACTCACTGGCCCCATTGCAATATTTTTGCTCAGGGCAAAGCTATGAGAGGTGATATATTATGTCCAGGAGAGCGTGATGAGCCTCTTGAGAAGCCGGAATTGACTGATCAAGTATTGAAACTGGCTGGTGTCTTGCCATACTAAATTAAAACATAACCAGCATGTGTGTCTACCTAGATTGTTACCTACAGATTTTCTAAGATTTTGCTTTATATAGGTACTTGGGTAGTTAACCTAAATGGAACTTAGTATTGTATCAAAGGTATCTCGTATGTGAATATAGCTATATGTAAGGATTTTACATTTTCAAAATCGAATCTTCTCGATGTGGGCAGAAAACGAGGATGCAGGTCTCTCAAATCATGGAGTCCCTTCATACAGTATGAATAAAGCTAGAAATTTTCTTGCGACTCACTCAGAAGCTCCAACTATTAGTTGTGTATGCTACCAGTTGACAAACGCACCATGTGCTTTATCTAAGTACCAAGTTACCTAAGTCAAAATGAATGTTTCCACCGGCCGATACCTCGCAGCCATTAATTATATAGTATTTCAACCTATTTCTTGGAATTTTGAATGGATTGTCACGAATCTGGATTTCTTCTTTAACATAGGGCTAAACACCATTCTATGATACTCTTTCTATCTCATACCAATCACACAAAAGGAAGAATGACATGGCTAGGATATTCCCCACCAAAATGAATCTTGTGACTACCCTTATTATCTTGATTGCCCAGTTTATCTTTCAATTCCTTGAAAGAGTGAATCTGAGGAGTTTGTCCAGATACCTGAATCTGAACAGACTCTCCCGCCTCGTACTCGACACTCATCGCAAAGATGCCAATATCCAATTTCACCACTTCACCAGCCGGCACAGCTTGAGTCCTTGCATGCGGGTGGAACGGATAGTTAGGATGCATGGAGCGAGAGGGGTCAATTTCGCGATGGGATGCTCGAAGCATGCCAATAGGACCCATGTAGAGAAGCAAATCTGTCGCTTTGTCTTCAGGGATCTCCTCAATTGAATTGGGAGGGATAGAGTCCCAAGGAACATTCAGCGCCAATACGGACTTTTTATTTTTGTCCAATTTGCGAATGACAACATATACATCAAGATCATCCCGTGCATCACACGACATATATAGCACGGCTTTTGGAATACCGCAGAGCCTTGATTTATTTTCAAAGGTATAAGTGAAGGATGCATGCGAGGTCCCATCCTCCGAATTGTAGGTACTAACGCTTGTGCTAGAAGGTGAGCCATTTGGGTTAAGCACGCCATTGTCCAATAGGAAGAGCTGACGATCCTGCACCTGTGGTGGCGGGAAACTTGCGATAGGTTCGTCAACAACTGCATCCTGATCTCCGAAACGTAGAGTTGTCATGCGGATTTGAGGTGTTAACTCCCAGTCATTATCTATTCCTTTCAGATACTTGTCGAAGAAGCTGAGTAACTCCTGTGTGTACTTGGGAACTGCCCAGATATCATGCCACTCCTGGTAAGGGCTGAAACGGATCCATTTCTTTGGACAGTCGACATCGTAGAACCCTCGAATTGAGCCCATTGTATGCAATGCACTTGAGAAAGACGCTGTGATGTATGTTGGGATGTTGATCTTGGTAATATCTGGACGCTTATCTTCCCAGTATGGATTGGCAACACCTCCACTGCGACGATACATTTCCTTGAAGCTTTCCATCCCATTGTATCCTTGTATCATCACTTGTGAGATATGATCGAAAAAGTTTCCGGCATATATTCCGCCACGGACGAACTGTTCCCGGAATAAGTCACCACATCCCTCCCAGGGAGCAATTGCTTTAAGGGAAGGAGGGCGAAGTTGGCCAATAAACCATTGCGCAATTGCCAAGTGTGAATTACCGGCCATTCCAACGTTACCATTACACCAGGGTTTTGCGGCAATAGCCTCAATGCAATCGTATCCATCTTCACCTTCTTGTGTACCCATGATGACACACATTCCATCTGAGTCTCCAACACCTCGTGTATCAGCATTGATAACTGCATATCCTCGAAGCACAAAGTCTGCTGGGTCAATAGCCTCGAATTTCTCCAGACCGCTAAGCGTGTTGGGCTTTAGTCCCATATTGTAAGGCGTCATCATTCTGAGAAATTTGAGACCGTTGAGTTTCTTACCAAATGGGCTCCATGAGAAGATTGCAGGGACTTTTCTGCTTTCATCAACGGGCCGGTATATATCGACATAGATTTTTGCACCGTCGTGGACTTTGAGGCCAACATCGTGCTCGACAAGTATATCGCAGGGCAATTTCCGAGAATTGAATGGAGCGGAGCCCTTGGCTAGAATCTCGGTTTTGTTCAAGAATCCTTGGTACCCATTACGACCAATGGAAGGTGGATCGATCTGTTTCTGTGCTATTTGACAGGGAGCCGGCATGATTGCTTGTATTGAGAAGCGGGGACTTGCTGGATACGTTTCGTTCGTATGAACAAAGACTAACTTCAATACAACAGATTGTCCTGTGTCGATGAGACAATTGAGGATGACTTATACTCCCCTCCAAGATGTAGCGGAAGGAGGGGTACCTAGGAACTAGATCCTTTCCCACGGATATCTCAGTCTCGATTTCTAATATTGCCTAATGGGGGCTACTTGTTTCTCCGTGGGATAAGAGTTCGGCACGTCGTCTGGCTCTACGAGCCAAGCTACCAAGTTGATTTTCGTCTATTCTCCGGTGTTTTCGGGACTCCTTTATCAAGCTAGGCACCTGAACAATTGTCAAATCTAGATTATGACTTGTGAGTAATCGGCCAGTGAAGGCTAGGGTCGACGGTAGTTTAAAGATCTTGCCCTATATTCATGATCATGATCGGACAACACATTGGTATCAAAACTAAAGAACAAAGTTCCCTATATTTAAGTATATCATCTTGTCAATAAATTTTAGGATTCTTAACTATTTCGACCTGGGCGTCTTATCGCACTGTAAGTAGTCTTTAATGGGACAATAGAACAAAACGAACGGTCAGTTGTATCAAAGTAAATATTCATTCACATCTGCCCAGCCGTAATAAGTACATTGTTATCTTTCAACGCCTCTGCGCGAAAAGCATGATTCAAAGAAGCCTTAGAGAAGGGAGACATTTGAAAGTATCAAAGAGGAGTCAAACCAACATATTCCTTGAGCGCAAATGATTGTACTAAGAATTAAAGGTGGTAACCTTAGAAGCCTTTCAAATACATGGTGAGTTGCCATGTTCAATTTTATCGACAAATATACAAGAATGTATTATGTGCAAAATGAAGCTGTGGTAATAAGAGTTATCCTACATGAAGGACCAGGGACCCTGGTGATGAACCAAAATAGGTACTCGATCTCCATATAAGTTACTATGCTCTCTAATATCAAATATCTTTATTTCCAAACATGTTAAAATCAGGATAAAGGGCATAGCAATGACCGAGCTCCTCCCTAGCTTTTGTTGGTCCGAAACAGCAACAATGGACAATCAATAGCTTGGAAGAATTTCTCTTTCTCTAAGATACGAGACCGTATTGTTGTTTTGATTATCTTCATGGTATTTCCAATTCTTTTTGCAAGCTATAGGTGTTTTAAAGCTTCACTCCTTCCAAGTTCCAAGCTATGGAAGATCGATAGGTACTATAAACATGTCCAAGAGGCTGCTCTAATAAACTCCATCTCTCGCTTTCAACCAACGACCTCAAACCCAATCAAGAAGCGACATATTTCTCGACAACCTGTTGCCTCGCGAGAAGACACGCTGTGAAAAGATAGCAATCGAATAATGAACTCACACCATCTTCAGACAGCCGACAATGGCTCTGACATCAATTCCGATAATCAGGAGCGTTTATACATCCTGCAGCTGATGATTGAGCGGCAGCAGCAACAGATTGAGAACCTACAAGAATTATTATCAGTATCACAACTCGAAAACTTACAATACCGATTGTTGGAGTTGAAAGAGGCGCACTCAGATAAAGTCGCCTTGTACAACGACTTGGAGCAGCGCATCTTAGAGCAGGACCGTGAAATTTCAGGCGCGTATGAGCATCAACTTCTCCAGCGGGCTTCTGAGTTGGATGCATATGGCGATCAGAATCGTCTGTTTTCTCCATCTCGGAAATTGATCGACACGAGCCTCGTCGTCCACGACGCTGACATCAAGCTTGACATGGAAGCCGTCACTTATGTGGAGGGCCGCAATCAGCATAGGATAGCCCAAGTAACACGAGGATTCGAACTTCGATACTCCATGTTGGTTACCGACTACTATGAGTATGAGTTATGCGATGCACCAGATGCAGTCATCGATGCTTTGAACAAAAAGAGTGACTTCGAAATTTTGCCTCGCTATCGGAAACTCGTTGACGAGGATTGGAAACTTCAAGCTATTGCAATCTGTGAGTCGGTAATTCGGCAGTGGAAGGCTTTCAATGCGCCCTCGGTTGATTCAAGTGGATTCTCTATCGCAGCTGCCGAGCGACAAATGGAACGTGTCAATGACATGGTTGAAATCTTGGATAACGAATTACAGGTCTCTTCGACGGATGACACAGAATTCTCCGATGGATCATCTATCTTTTAAAGAACACTCGGGGTTTTCCGTCCGTCATGGTGTTGTAGAGTATGGCGTTCGGGCTTATTTTCGGCAGGGAGAGTAGCTTCAGATTGTGATAGACATATTGAAAAAGTGTCAAATAACTTTTTCAAGTGATTGCCCATAATAAGATGTGGAAATGTAGTCAAGCCAGTCCCTGCGCCTATAGGACTAATAGGGCCTAGCCCTCGTTCGCCGTGGGATATCGGAGGTCGGATGTTGTCACCCCACATTTTCCCCCGGATTTGTGCATTTGCATGAAACACGTGGACACCGTTCTCCGTGGAATAATCAACTCTCTTGCTGAGCAAAAAGACAGAATAGGAAGGTGAAAAGGTGGTCAAATATGTCCAGAGGAAATTGTTCAAAGCAAACATGACCGTGCACTTAGCTTTGCCTTCGAGGGTGTATGTGAGATGGCTGCCGTGTAGCTCAGAGTACTATCTCCTCGGGAGGAAAGAAATGATTCATTGGTTTTTCTGTAAGACTTTGAAGTGTTCCAGAGTCTTCAATAGCTTTGTGACCATCTTTGATATATGGAGATGTATCTGTGGTACTCATCACAGCTCTAGAAAGTTGCTAGCCTTCACTGTGGGCCTCAGGCCTCCCCGCTCCTTCCCCAACTTCCCACTTTCCACCCCGATTCACGACTAGATCACAGCCTCACCACACTTTTTCCCTTTACTCTTTAGATGTCATCTATCTCCAGTGCTAAAAATCCATTGTATCCTCATTTCAAGGCCTGAAAATGGAGCTGCCAGCCAGTGACGAGCCAACACATATTTCGAAAGCGCCAAAGAAACGGCGTCTTCGAGCAGTAAGCGCATCGATAGTACCTCGACTCATGTGCAATCCAATGCTAATAGTATATAAACCAGTGCGATTCTTGCCGTCAACGAAAGGTAGTATGCTATTCTGACTTATAAAGATTTCCTTAGACTCATACAGGATGCCCAGATCAGATGCGACAATCTCCCCGGCTCATGCCGCAATTGTCAAACATACGGCGATGAATGTATCATAACTCGCGACGGAAAGAGCCACGCTCGCTCAATAATGCCATCGTCTGTTCGTCCCTATATCAACAAGTCTAGCGCAAGCAGAACTTTCTCAAAATCAGATCATGATCGTCTGGCAACACTTTCTAGAGAAAGCCAGTCATCAGAGCCCTCCCCGCCGTTCAATACAAGCAACGTAACAACATTTCCGCAGCCCGAAACTACAGATACGGTCCAGTCTTTTGGAGACTTGATGAACAAGGACGAAGACCACCGAGCTGAGACTTTTGCGTCCGGCGGGGCTACCACTGAGACACCTGCTGCACTTCCGATTTTCAACTCGCCATCCGTATCGATAGATACTGTCCACGGTGTAATCACTACTGAAGTCGGTCGGTTTCCAAGAAACAGCAAATTTGCCGGGTTGAGCTCTCCTCAGGTCTTTGCAAAATCAGCCGAGGAGCACTTCAAAGGCATCGCACCTCACATCAATGTGATGGATTTTTTCTGCCCTACTATGAGTTTTGCGGAGGAACTACCAAACCAGCCAACCGAACATCGGCCACTTGTGGTCAAAGAAATTGCCGACGTTTGTATTCAGCGTAAGTCGGGCTACTCTAAGAGCCACCGCTCTACGCTAATGATGTCAACTTGGTTATTCTAGGCTTTCTCAGCACCTACAACCAACTATTTCCAATTCTTAATTCTAGAGCCTTTTGCGAAGCTTATCTACAGTTTTACGATGCGGGGAAGTGCTCTGACTCGGCAGTCGTTGCATGCTTCTATTTCGCCATTGCTCTAGGCTCTGAAGACGAGGAGATTGGTGACCTACATTCCCAGGCGGCTTGCAAGCTCCAAGGCGAGTTACTGGCCAGGCCTTATATGTCTAGTGTGCAAGCCTTGATCTTGATGGTGAGATCACCACTAATCATTGCGATCTCTGAGGTAGCTAATTAGAGGTGGTGCAGACACTTTGTCTAATAAACACAGGGAGAGACAGTCAGGCACTTCTAACAGTCGGAACAGCAGCTCGAATTGCTCAATCTATTGGCCTTCACCGTAGCTTGTCGGCACACAATCATCCACACGAATTTGAATTTGTCATGAAAGAACATCATCTACGAAGCTGTATATGGTGGGTCTGTTATTGTCTAGATAAGTGAGTGACCAAACTGTTTCAGGGGGTCTCGAAAATATGAGTATGCACTAATTGCATTGTTGATGACAGAAAGCTATCTTTTGAACTTGGGCGGCCATCAACCATATGTGATGACGACTGTGATGCAGATTTACCTGACATTTCGCAGGCATTCACACCTTCCACTGATCCAGCGCCAGAAACAGAAACAACGAATTTCCTCAGCTCTCTGATCAACCTCTGCTCGCGTTTATCCATCATAGCATCTACTCTATTCCACATCAATACTTTGAAACTCGATGAGGAAATAATCATATCTCGCGTGGTGGAAGCCGATAGGCACCTCCAGGAATGGCGATCATCTCTTCCACCGGAGATATCCCTAGATCGAGACTTGAATAAAAGCGAAACCGAGTTACAATCTGTAGCATCGAGCCTTCTCAACTGCATGTATCTGAACGCTCTTGTGGTCGTTCATCGATTCTCCCTGATCAGTAGAAATCGATCAACTTATCTGATAACACATTCAAAGAGACATGTCGTGGCATCTGAGAAGATTTGTAGTAGTGCTGCTCATTCTCTTGCGCATGTGACAAGTAACCTCATCACTGAGCAACGTGAAATTCAAGTTCCGAGGTATTCCCCAAGTTTTGGAAAAAATTTTATTTGGATTCTAACTGATTATCAGATGGATACACCCTTATGCTATCAATACCGTTATAGCTCTCTTTATTCTCATAATGAGATCACCGCGAAAGTGGTCTCGTGACGTTGATATCGCATTACTATGGAGCATGCGTCACTGTTTTCAAAGCCGCGAGGATGCCACTTATGCAGAACGGTTCGACAGATTAGTTGACTCACTGATTCGGGCTTTGGAGATACCGCTCTCAGGGCAACAGCAGGACGCTTCAACACATATAGGAGAGAAAGGAAATCCGAACAGCATCGGAATAAGGTCAAGAGCTCTTGACATTAACGAAGGGAGAGATGGGCATATTGCAAGAAGTCCGATCTCCCAACCTCTTGGTCCATTTCACTCAAATGATGATAATACTGCCGTCGCCCATTCTCCTACGCAAGAAGAAGCTGACGGTTATGAGGGAATGTTGGGTGATTATGCATATCTTGGTAACTTTCAGTTGTGGCCTGTAGCTCCCTTGTATGAGATTGACCAGTTTGATCCTAATCGCGGAGTTTTCTAACCTTCTCGATTCATGCTCTTAATGGAATGATTCTTCAATCTTCTTCTCACTGCAAAACGTTGGATCCCGCATCTAGTCGCGGTTATACGTCGAATATTGCTACGGGATATCCTCTTTTCGTCCCTCCAAAAAATCATTCGAAGAAGCCTTTACTAGCCGAGTAGGAGAAATGGAAGCGTAAAATAGATAGGCGACCGAGAAAAAAATTGAAAAAAAGTAGTAGCCCGATGCGGGACTCGAACCCGCAACGTTCAGATTGCTGATGGTTGTAAGGCCTCAGATGATAAGAGTCTGACACTCTACCGAGAGATAACCGGGCATGCTTGGTTGAAAAGACTGAAAGAATTTTGTATTATATTCTTGTCCTATCCTAACCAGGTTCTCTTTAATGACAATTTGTCCTCCTTTGTATAGTCGTAGTCAAATGCTTTGCTAGCAAAGAATCAACTCTAACAAAACATGGACTGAATCGAATAGAGTCAAAGAGATTGCAACATCCTAATCGCATTATTTAGATATTATCGCGAATCCGATTGAATGTCCTCCATAGATGACAGCACTTGAGAGTCATCAGCTCCGGGTGTGTGAGGGGGGAACGAAATATATATATGCAGCCATATCCCTAGACTGACCGCTAGTCTCCCCCGTGTCACGTTCTGGTTGGCCTATTAGCTGGCATTGTCTAGACCTTATCAGACCATCTACAACCCGGAATCAATCCCATGATCAGTTGCAGCTAGACAGTTGATGACACCTGTTGTCTTGTAATCTCTAATCCATACAACTTCCCGATCTCGACCGTCTAAGATAGCCATATCCGGTACCTGGGTAAGGTACTCAGCTAACGGACGAGACACGAAGTCAATCTCACTGGGAGCAGTTACTACAAATACGGAGGACACAGTCAATTATAAAAACCAGCTTTATATGATCTAGTTGACCACTCTACACTGAACGGAAACCACCGACTTTATCTCGCTTTCAATGATGCCGCGACCATGCAGACTAACACTCGGTCATAATGCAATTTTTCTGCGTCCTCTGCAACCAAGCATGCCCGGTTATCTCAATCGGTAGAGTGTCAGACTCTTATCATCTGAGGCCTTACAACCATCAGCAATCTGAACGTTGCGCATCGGGCTACTTTTCTTTTTCATTTTTTTCCCCTTCAGTTAATCATCGATATAGGTGATGAATGTGAGGTTGCTTTTCCTTTTTTTTTTTKTCCGGATTTGATCCAGGCGGTTGATATGGTTCTTTCCGAGATGAAGCCACAGTATTTTGCAAAGGAACTACGTACGTGTTATTCATATCGACTCAACGCTCTACATCTTGTAACACATACAACCACTATGCTATAAACCTCCACCGAACATCATCATCGCCCTCAAAATCTGCATTGTGCAAAAACGAATTATCCTTCGGTGGCCCACCAGTAATCTCATCACGTCTCCGATTTTCCCTCACTAACAAATGCCACAACAGCAGAGTAGTGACCAGCGTGCCCACCACAAAGCCTAAGGCCATACCATGACCTAAGGGATAGCGTGGCAACTCATCGGGACGATACAATTGACAGCCCACAACAGCACCGATATCACCAAATGAGATCTGTATAGCTGCAGCGACGCATCTCTTGACCTGCCCCGAAACATTTGATGCAATCCATGTGAATATCAAGGCTGCAGACGGGAAAATACCTGCGCATACAAAGAAAGTGCCTAGATACTGAACGCCGACTCGGGCGTCGCTCAAAAGGAGGATGTAGCCGATAATTGAGGCGATGCAACTCCCAACGATGAATGGAGCACGGGTCTGGTACTTTTCAGACAGGAGCGCGATACAGATCGAGATGATTGTTGCGAATGCGTAAGGCGGAACAGTCAATAACTGTGCATTAGCAGCGGAATACCCCATATTCTTGATTATGGTTGGCAGGAACAATGTCACGGTATAAAGTGGTAATGCCTGACCCATCCATGCAATCATGTATAGCCAAACCTTGACATCACGAAATGTTCGGCGGACTTCTGCCCATGACCAAGGCTCGTCGCGGAGCGCGTCGTTGTCCTCAAATAGCAATGCATTTAGAGTCTTGCGTTCTCGCTGCGAAAGGAATTTTGCCTGTGCCGGAAAATCCTGGATAAGGAAAAAACAGATCCCCGCAATCAGCACCGTTGCAATACCCTCAATGGCAAAGATCCAGAACCACCCATGCTTGCCCGCAACGCCGCTCATGTGTCCTATCCCATAAGCGAGGATTCCGCCAAATGCGCCGGCGAGGGAAGTAGAGGTAAAGAAGAGCGTTACCCGGCGCACCAGCGCTTTTCGCCCGTACCACATGGAAAGGTAAAAGATCGCACCCGGGAACACCCCGGCCTCCGTCGCACCCAGGAAGAATCTCGCAGCCAGCAGGCCGCCGAAACTGGTCGACAATGCCATCAGCGTAGCGACGACTCCCCATACCAGCATCAGCGACGGCAACCATATCCGCGGCGAAGTCAGTTTCAGCGCGATATTTGATGGGATTTCGAATGCGCTGTATCCGATGAAGAAGACGGACAGAGTGACGAGGTATTGTTCGCCGGTCATATTAAGATCGGTGGTGAGATTGTCGAGTTTTGCGTTGCCGATGTTGGAGCGGTCGAGAAACGAGAGGAAGAATAACAAGGTGATGGGTGGGAGGATGACCCAGTCGAGTTTGCGTTGGAGGAGAGCTTTTTCTTTCTCCGTGATGCTCTCATGATCATTATCGGCTGCTACGACTTGTTCTGGGTCAGATGGAGTGCTGAAGCCGTTATCAGTACCAGTGGTGACTTTTTCTTCGATGATGGCTGTCATTTTGCCCTACCATGAACATATAGAGATCACCAGAACCCTAGATTTATATGGAAAAAAGAGCTGATATATCCTACTGGGACCTAGTCTCATGTTATAAAGTCCTCGTAAGTCTAAAGACATTAAACAAACAACTATCCATATGGCGTCATCCAGTACTTCGAGATACTATACTCATGGCAGACAGGGTTCACGAAATCTCCTTCCTAAACCTGCCTAGCACAAAAATATTTATCATACTTAGCATGTACACTATGTGAAAAAATGAGTGGACTCTGTTGCAGATCGAAGTTCAATTAAGGTGTGTACATACAACCCTAATATTCTACTTGAGTATTGCATCAGGTGCGGAGATGATAACGACATCTGGGACGACTCGTAGATCGGCTTGATATGCAGCTAATATATTTGAGAAAGCCAGTAATATTGCTATCGTCATTTTTGAGCGATACACTTAATCTTAGAAGTTTTTGAAATGTTTTGATAGGATATTTCAATTTTAAGCATAATTGAGACTGGGAAAGTTTAGGTTCAGAAGATTGAAAAATTGAAGAGTAGCATAAAACCGACCTTTCTATATCTCAAATAGGCTTTGCGGAAGCATCACGAACTAATACACCGCTGCACACTTAACATGCCAACTACATAACACCCAGGTTCATATACCATGCACACCACTGACCTGGCGATTATAGCCTAACCCTATCTCTCCTCCTCGCAACCTTCAATGCCTGCAGACGCTCCGCAAACTCCTTGATCGCGGGAACATGGACCTTGTGATGCTCAACAGTGGCGTACTTGATCTTCCCGTCCGGAGACTCAATATATGCGCTAATCAGAGCCATTGTTTTGCCGTGTTGCTCAACTCGGCAGTTTATTCGTATCGTCGTTCCTGTTACTTCGAAGTCAGGTGGTCGATTGAAGTACAGTGAGTGATTTGAAGAAGAGGGTGGACCCGCGTACCTAAGGGAATGGCTTTGAGGTATGATATATTCAGCGTTCGTGTAACGCCAGCTAGGAATCTGTATTCATCAGAATTCGTCTCTATAAGTAAAGAAACATCCGTCGAGGATAATATTAGGAAACATACTCCCAATAACCAGGCCTGGAAATAGTCTGCATGGTAATAGCAGTACACATATCTACCGCCGATCAGCAACAATCTCGCCATCTACATTGAGCTCTGACAGGAGCTATGAGAGGGTATTTGGGCTTACCAAAAATAACGCCATACGCGCCTCCATGGAGGACGCCATTCATATTACACCACGTCTCATCGACGGTCATCTCCCAAACACATGAGCCCGAAGGATCGGCATCGATGAATCGGAGGTCCTCTGTTAAGAGTTTTGTGTCGTAGCCCTGTGGCCACAGATTCAGTTTTTTGTAAATAAGATATAGATAATTGCGGACGTACTTTGAAGCTCTTTTCGAGAACTAGTTGTTTGTATCTGGGATGCTGGTTAGTTTGTGTTCTATCGATATATCTGGTACGCTAGAACAATTAAGAATCGGCATATGGTAAAACAAAAAAGAGACATTTGAAGCGCTGAATCACAGGCAAAATGAGGCCATAGGTAATTGACGACGAGTACTTACAGTTCCATGAAACTCTGTACTGCCTCTGTGACATCCTGCTTGGTGAGAGGATGACGTCCTTCCTGGGCAGTCATTGTTGTACTTTGCTACAAGCTGATATTATTGCTGACTTCTTCGTAAGGCGCTCACATTGGTACGATAAAACAGGCACAAGAGTTTGAAGTTTGGCTCGATATATTGTGAGTGATGGACCAATAGTTGAGGTCGTTGAGGGGTTGCGAGGTGTGTACATACGTTAGATGCATCGGTCCGAGGTAAGTTCAATATTGTGCTTTGAACATGAAGCACCCGTCTAAACATGGGTTTTCAACATTTGAGAGTATCAAAATTCCTGCAGCTCTTTGGCTTATTTAAACCAAGCTTACATAGATTACTGATAATAGTAATAAGTTCAATATTGCTTCCATGTTCCCCACTAATATTTACACACATTCTAACTGGACGGAAAAACAAAGGACAAACAAATCAATGCTGGTGTTTATGACATGAAGAAGCATTCCATTTTCTAGTACTGATTTCCGGGGTACTGGGCGTAAATCTGTTTTGGTCGCAGGTGGACAGGAGTCACATTTTCGGGGGTTCCGGGAATAGTCTTCTTGAGGCCCTGCGCGAGTAATCCATTAGTTTGATTAGATATAGTGACAGCACTTGAGCAAGACGAACCAGCTTCTCAAATACGCATTGATTCAAGTCCACCTCCGGTTTCCGGCATTCGAACATGTGGTGGTTGTTGTTTTCGAGGCATTGCCAGTGAGCGTTGAACTGCTTCAAGCAGTGGGTGTTGATGTCCTTGATCCTGTTCAAAGTCAATTCCATCCGCCCTTTCAGCAGAGGTGCGAAGTACATACACACTAGCCGCACAGCGGGTGACTTTGCGACCCTCCTTCAGACAATCCAACTCTCCTCGGCCATTGGCATCGGACTTGCACTTCATGTAATCATCGTTGTAGGCACGGCAGCGGTCTCCGATAAAGAACGATGCGCTCATAAGGGGAGCGGATGTGGCACCGATTTCCTGGACTTTTGGGATGTCATTTGGCATCGGCGTCGTGTCGACGAGGATGTGTTGACTGAATCTGATGGCGGAATTGAATTAGCATCTCGCATATCTTGTGACAGAAAAGCAAGTCGGTGACATACTGGGGTTCTCTGGCCGCCATCTTATCGGTTGTCTGGGTGGTTGGTGCTCAATTCCAGATTGAATAATCAAGAAGGACGAGGGCGGAATTTGGAGGAGCTGCGAAGTTCACGTCGAGCCCTTTAGCCGCGATTTGATTGGCTCCTTCCTGCCGGAGCTGTGATGCTGACTAACCTGACAGTCGTCAATTGATGTTGACAGAGCAATACCAATAGAAATCAGAAATTGAAGTAAATATTTTGGACTCGTATTGAGACTTACTCTCCTCCGTTTGTCGCTGTTCATTGATATCTGCTCACTGTTGAAGGTCATCACGTGACCTTACCGCAAAGGGCGCCAATCTGAATGTTTTTCTTGGAGCTCCGCGCTAACAACCAAGCTCTCTCAAGAGTGTCTCCAGTTTTATGAACATTTCCAACTCCTCCTGCTTATGCGTACCGACCTAGTCGCTCTTTTGGAATAATATTTCACATTCCGTTAAGCGACCTATCTCATTTGGTCTTTGTTTATTCTGCTGTCGATCAATCAGGCCCATCATGTCGCTCTTCGGTGCGCAAACCCAGCAACAACAGTCTGGCGGACTGTTTGGTAATACAGCGACAAAAAGCCCAAGTCTATTTGGAACACCACAGCAGCAACAACCTGCAGCAGGAGGCTCATTATTCGGCAACACACAAAACAAACCGGCCACAGGGACAGGTCTGTTCGGCTCGAGTACGACTCCTCAACAACCAGCCGGCGGTGGTGGTGGCCTGTTTGGCGCATCAGCACAGACACAGCCTCAGCAGCAGACATCGAGTCTATTCGGAGCTTCTCAGAACAAGCCTGCTGGAGGAGGTCTATTTGGGGGTCAACAGACCCAGACACCAGCTCAACCGCAGTCGACGGGTCTTTTTGGAGCCACAACTCAACAAAAGCCGGCAGGAAGTTTGTTTGGAGCAACTGCACAACAACCGCAGCAGACTGGGACGGGTCTGTTTGGCGCGACGAATACGGCGCAGCAACAACCACAGCCGCAACAGCAGTCAATGTTTGGTGGTGGATCCATGTTCGCGAACCAACAGCAGCAGCAACAACCACAGCAACAGCAACAGCAGCCACAGTTAGGACAGTCGTTGGGTCAATCACAGCTCGGATCTTCGTTATGGTCGCCCGGTCGTGCGATTACTGGTGGTATGCCATTTCTTGCCCCTAAGTGTCTAGTATATAGCTAACTGAATAGTCCACCGCACGGTACCTGCACAGATGGAAATCATCAAGGATAAATGGGACCCTACAGTTTTGTCTTCACCTTTCCGCGCATACACCTACAATCATCCGGGTGAGGATCAGGCGCCATTTTTTCAACCTACATCAGACGACGATCCAACCAAATGGGAAGAAGCACTAAAGTCTCGACCGGGTCCTGGCTACGTTCCAGTTATCATCAAAGGGTTCATGGAACTGGGTAGACGCGCAGCACGACAAAAGGATTATCTCAGTGCCATACAAACACGTCTACACGAAATCAACAATTCCCTGACAGATCTGCTGTCGCGCCATGATCTGAAGATTTCGGTTAGGATAGCTGATTGTCGACGAAAACATCTTGTGCTCAGCCAGCGGTGTCTCTCGCTTGCAGCCAAGACCCAAATTTTGCGTAATCGGGGTTATGCGATGGATGATGCGGAGGAGGAACTCAAGAAGAAATTGATACAACTTGAACGAGCAATTTTTGATCCCTCGATAACGGGGAGAGCGGAGGAGATTTGGGCGCGCATGCTTGCGATTAGGGAACATTCGAGACGGCTTGCTGCTGAGATTGAGAAGGCTGGAACTGCTGGTAGTGGGAAGACTGATGGAGAAGACACGCTCGATGAGAATGCTATCAAAACTGCTAAGAAGGTACGCAACCCTTCTTTCCCCCGCATCACTTCATACAAACAAGTTACTGACTATTATGCGTATAGATTCTCGAAGACTACGCATCTCAAATCAACCACCTAAACAAAGAACTAGCATCCATACGCAAAGAACTAGACGAGGCACAGAAACTGGCCGGCACGAATAGCCCTTGATCGTTCTTGCCTTTTCAATCCTGCTTGGGTTTTGTTCATTCAATAGAAGAATTTTGTTAACGCAACGTCATCCAATCTTGCAAGTATTTAATTATTCAGTTGGTTAGTTGTCATGCACGGGGATTGGGATTACAAAAGAACCTAGGCGTTGGAGCGATTTGTTTGATCTTTCAATGTATTCGTTCAGTTTAGCGTGGAGATTGAAGGGCATAGGAGGACAAAAAAGAATCATAACCTATTTTGAATTGTGAAACAGAAATGGGTATACCCAAAACCTGAAGCTGTCTAGTTCCTAGATATATAATACATGATGTTGATCCGAGAATCGCGGGGATTTATTTAATTTGATGGGAGGAAATTGAATGCGGTTTTCACGATATATGAGCGGATTGCATGAGAGGAGGATATTGAGGGTTGTTGGTCGAGTTTAGAGGAATTTCTTAGCGATATCGATCGCGAATGGAGCTGTGAAGACGAGGCGGTATTATTAGTATGTTTGAAATACACGAATACGACAAGGGGAGCGTACAGAGGTAGAGCAAGATACCGCCGACGACTGCGAATTGGACGGTTTGTTGGGCCTCGATCTCGCCGGCCTGGTTTGTTCAGTGTCAGTACTCCGGGTTTAGTATGAGGATGGTTGATGTTGAGTGGATTTCGAGATGGTGTTTGTTTGTCTTCAATGGGCGAAAATGCGCAGATCAAAATGGAAGACATCGAATAGATGAGGGGAAAGTACCTTGATCTCCTCCTTGGATAGTTGTTGCTCTGTTCAAGAAGACGAATTAGTGGTAGTTCAATGAGGCGATTATGAAGTAGGAAAGGTTGAAGTGCTGGATTCGCTGGGTTACATTGCTTACCTCCGCCGAACATTGTGGCTGATTTGACTTGGTCTTGGAGAAAGGTGTATTATCGTCAGTGAATAAGAATCCTTGATTGTTATTGTTGTTGGTTGTTGAATAGATGTGAGTAGACAAAAGTGAAAGCTTGCTCCAAATTTCAGGTGAAGTAAGAGTAAATGCACGGACCACTCCGACCTCCTGCCGAACTTTCAGAGTCGCCCGCAMCTCGCGTTTATTCTTGCCCAGCCGTTCTCGCTGCATCACTGTTTCCTCTCAAAAACAAATACCCAGCATCAAGAGAGTAATCTGGGTAGTCAGACAATAAGCAAGATGTCGGCCTCGCCAGAACCCCAAGCTGACTCCCCAGCTGCCGATCGTGACGAACTCCAAGCCGAACTCGACGACCTCAACGACGATGGCGGCGACGGTGCTGCTGACGCAGGCTTATCCGACGACGAATCCGTCCTCTCCGAAGTCGACGAGGCACAATTCGAAGACTTTAACCCCGACGATGTCGACATTGAGGATAGACCTGCGCTCGATGTAGATGCTGAGAATTTGAAACTGATTGGCCGCCACAAGCGCAAGAGACGTGATGACGAAGATGGGGAACCGAGACGGACGCGAGAGGGGAGGAGAGAGAAGAAGAAGCGTTCGCAAAAGGATTCGGATGCTGAGTCTGGGGATGGGAAGGCTGTGCGTCGAAAGGCGAAGCCCAGACGGGAGGCTACGCCGGAGGATGATGAGACGTTGAGTCCTGAAGAGAGTGAGTATATTCTGGTGATCTGCATGGAGTGATATTAATGAAGTTAGGACGCCGCCGTGCGCTTGATCGTGCTATGGATGCTGCTATGAAGCAAAAGACGAGACGACGGAGAAAGGCTGATGGAATTGTATGTCCCTATACGCGAATTGTTACGGTATATGCTAACGAAGGTAGGACCTTGAACAAATGGCCGACGCGGAAATCGAAGACATGCGGAGACGCATGACAGACGCAGCTCGCCTCGACGCCGAAGCCCGTCGTCAAGGCCAACCAGCCATGCACAAACTCAAGATGCTACCGGAAGTGCTGAATCTGCTGAATCGCAACCAATACACAGCTAGTCTAGTGGATCCCGAAATAAATCTGTTGGAAGCTGTCAAATTCTTTTTGGAGCCGCTCGACGATGGCGAGCTTCCTGCCTACAGTATTCAGCGTGATTTGATGGATGTGCTTGGCAAGCTTCCTATCAACAAGGATTCGCTTGTTGCCAGTGGGATTGGCAAAGTGATTGTGTTTTATACGAAGAGCAAGCGGCCCGAGTTAAAGATTAAGCGACAGGCCGAGCGTCTTTTGGCTGATTGGACTCGGCCTATTCTTCAGCGGTCTGATGATTACTCGAAGCGTGTTTATGAGGAGGTTGATTTTGATCCTACGTATGTTCACTCTCCTGTCTTCTTGCCTGATATACAGTACTGACCTTAGCAGACGCCTGGTCAACCGTGTTAATATCGCTCAACAAACTGCCGAAGAGGCACGTGCGCGTGAGCTTCTGCCACCTCGTCTGGCCAACCGTGCTCGTCGTGAGATGGGTCATACCTCGTACAGCATTGTGCCTCGCTCGACGGTTGTTCAGGACAACAAGTTTTCGCGCCCGGTTGGTGCCAGTGGAGAGGATCGTTTCCGTCGCATGAAGGCCCGACAGCTGAATGCTGGTAAACCGTCGCGCAGGTGATCAGCTCTGGTCTTGTACATTAGCCGGATGGATTTTTTTTCTTCATTTCTATTCATTTTTCATTGGGCGTGGCGGTTAGGAGTTCTGGTGTTTTGTCGCATATGGTTATGCAGTGGATTGAGTTGCGAGACTAGCATAGAAATTGTAATGCATTTCTCTACATGCCGTACTTCCTAGACTGTGATATAGTCGGATCTGCGGAATAATGATCAGAAATTCTTCCTCTGTCTAATTTTTCGGTCATCAGTATATCCCAATATAGACGGATAAATGTGTACGTACGGAGTACTATATACAACCAAAATGAACCAATTGAGTAGAAGCTATCTCGGACGACAAAACATTCCGGCCAGACCCGGAGTAAGAATGACGTTGCACCACCTTCTTCGGCAGTAACACACGTGATTGGCTCGGCTGATACTCGGCGCGCACCGAGCACTCGGAGGGTGCCACGCTAGGCCCGAAGAGGAACTACTACAGCTTTCTTACGTTATCAGAAATTGTCTGTCCTTCTTGCGCAAACAATACGTATATATATAATCTGACGTCTCTTTTTTAACTGTCTGATTATTTGCCTCTGCTCAATTGCATTCAACTTCTACAAGTACACAGTTACAATCAAACAGCTATACCACAGTTGCAGCAACTACAGCAACAGACAGCAACAAGCTTTATTGAGATCAAACGACACACGTCATACACATCATGAAGATCTTAACAAAAGAAGAAGAAGCCGCTCACTACCGGTACGCTCCCTCCAACCAGCTCAGTACGGAATTCTACGAATCAAGCTAAACTGAAACAGGGCCGTCCTCCAAGGAGGTACCTTCGGCACCGTCATCGGTCTCGTCGGCGGCTGGGCCGGCGTCATGGCCGCTTCTCGCCGCTTCCACACAATCCGCAACCTCACCCTACCCATGAAGGCCTTCCTGGTGACTTCCTCGGGCACATTCGTCGGTATCATTGCCGCTGACCACTCATCGCGCCAATATGAGGCTGAGCGCAACGTCGGCTTGAAATATTTGGGCGAACGAGAGGAGCGACTCCGCCGCGAAGAATTGGCGCAGATGTCTCTAGGGAATAGAATAGGTGCCTGGGCTCGCGAGGAGAAATATAAGATTATTGGTGCTACTTGGATTGCCTCGATTGTGGGCAGTTTTGTGCTTGTGGGCCGCAATCCGTACCTCACGGGCCAACAGAAAATCGTCCAGGCGCGTGTGTATGCGCAAGGGCTGACGTTGGCGGTTATGTGCGCCAGTGCCGCTTTTGAGATTCATGATCAGCGTAAAGGACAAGGGTTGTTGGATACTGCGAAGAAGGGCCGCGAGGCGGTCAAGGAAGCCAAGAATCAGCCTGCTGAGCTGCACCATCAAAGACGCGATGAAAACACGGATTTGTGGCAGGATATGGTTGCTGCGGAGGAGCAGAAGCTCAAGTCGCGCCATCAGCCATTGTATGAACATGAGGAGAAGAAGGGTGCTGTGACGGAGGCTGTGAAGGCGAAGAAGGAGGAGAAGGCTCCTAAGGAAGCTCCTAAAGAAGAGGCCAAGGAAGAGAAGGAAGAGAAGGAAGACGAGAAGGAGGAACCCGAAGAAAAGGATGAAAAGAAAGAAAGCAAGTAAAGCTGACACCAGTCTTTCAATTCTCTTCTCTTTTGTCTTTCTATGCCGTCATGATGCATATGTTTTTAGGCGTTAGGTTTGGCAGCGAGGTTCATTATTTGTTATATAGATGTACGTAATATAAGTGTGCTGGATCAATCACAAAATTTTGTACAATAAACATTCCCTTTGCAGCATTAATAACAGTCTATCTATCTAATCCAGTCTATATACGCCATGCCTATCTATATACCCGCTGTCTATATTTATAGTCTAGTGATTAATTCTTCCAGTCAGCAAACAAGTTATTCTCCAATGCAATATACCCATGCACCATCTCAAGCCCCTTCTTCCGCTGCTCCTCAATGCGTTCCCACGTCCATTCTTCGCTCGACCACGACGCCGCATTTTGCTGTTTCTGTCTGTGTAGAACCTCCTCCGCCTGATCCCCCAATTTCGAAACTTCCTGTACAAGCTTGACTTCATCGAGCGTAGTATCGGGCAACCCATCCAGAGTTCGCGGCGTATCAACAGCCGAGCTTACAGCAGTCGTCACCGCAGGACCCGTTGGACTGGCAGTGTTATCAGGACGCGGTGGTAACAATCCACTAGCCCTAAAAACCCGCTCAATCGGAACTGTCAAACGACCCTTTTTGATACAGTATTTACTCAGCCCAATCGCTGCCACGGTTTTGTCACCCTTTTGGGCGCCCTTTTTCTTGTCCGCAATCAGAAACACGGTGACGATGTACATCCACTTCTCATCCCAAGCCGCAACGTGAGATCGTAACTCAAACCGTTGAAGGGGTTTAATCTCTCTCTTGAATGAGCAATACGTCGCACCTAGGGCAATGAACATGGGCAACTTCTTCTTTGGCGCTGGTTTCCCTTCTGCGATAGCGGCAGCGGCAATTTCCGCGTCGAGTTCTTTGCTCACGATCCCTGCTCCCGGTGTGTATAATGGCGTTACGGCGGAAGTACGCGAATGATCCATGTCCGCGAAATAGGTGCTGTTGGATTTGTGGATGTTGTAATCTGTTTCGAGGAGGGAGACATAGCTGTTTATCGAGGCAGCAGCAAACACGGGGTGGGTTGGGCGGCCCTGCAAGTCGACGGGGGGTGATTTGGGGGTGAAGTTTAGTTTGAGGGGGTCACGGCGGAGGTTGCGGTATATTTGGTAGAAGACGTTATACTAGAATACGTTAAGGTTCTGAAGATTTGGAAGCATGATTGAGTACGTACTGTCCATGCAAAGGGGAGGGATTTCCGGTTGACCAGCGCGAATGCGACTATCAGCGCTGTCTTCCATGATACCAGTGACGACAATGCTGACAGGTCGCTTAGAGTGGATAGGAAAGCCATTGTGATTCTGACTTTGACATATACCGGAACCAGGCTGTGTTCACCGACCGAGAGACTCTATTTGGTGCTATCAATTTTGGAGAAGGAGAAAAAGATGATAATTAAATTTTGAGATTGCGACTTCTTACGATATGGGGCGAAACAGGGCGAAACAGGAAGCCTCGGCACAAATGTCTTGGCATTCGATATTTTCCATGTCCTAACCATGGTGAGACTTCGTAATACATCACAAAGCTGAGTTATTGTGACATGTTGCTGAATCAAGTATGAACCAATGGCTGCTCTTGCCAGTTGGCTGAAAGTGGTAGATATGATCCTCCTCGCCTCTAGTCTAGAATCAGGGGTTCTAGAGACTGTCGCAAGCAAATTTGTGTTGTATTGTGAATTATGAGATATTCAGCATGGAGTTTAAGTGAACATGCTGCATGATATTTAATATGCTTACTGGTACTATGTCCCTGTGCCGTATGGTACAGAAGCCATTGGTGAACTCTGATGAGCTGAAACCATTTATGTATGTCGATATTTCAGTGATATCCTCTGGGCAATGTCAAAACTCTCGATTTGATAGAGACCGTCAAACGGTAGGTAGAGACTTTGACTGCTTCTGACCGCTGACGCTTTTTGAAGCTTGTCCATGAATATCGTGGCAAAGTTGAAATCAAATTGAGCTAGGAAAATTGTCTGGGAGATCCAACAACATTCTACCATACTTGATTGTTTACTGTTTTTGGGAGTGAAGGCACTGAAGGAAGATTGAATCACAAAAGCGGGACTTCTCTAAGGAGCATCTATAGTCAATTACCATTATCTTTTGGGAGGCCGCTACAGACATTGCTGGGTCGGGATATGCCGTCGTTTCATGGGGCGCACACATGACTGATTGTTGGAGGTATAAGCCTTCTTGTTTACCTTTTTTGTGTCCAGATTGGGTGAATTGTCAATAATTTGTCACTATAACGGGTTAATCTCAATATCATAACACGTCGTGCTTTTTAACATTCAAATGCGGTCTTTGACTGCAATCTCTTTCATGAATTCATCAACCTACAAACCTCACATCACAAGTTCACGCCCAGCAATGGACAACTCATATGAAGTTCCGGGCCTTAAGAGGCTCAAGACATATGACAACCTTCACGAAAACCTTGCTCTCCGCCCACGCCATCCCAAACCTCGTATTGGATGGAACTCCCTTCCTGCCGAACTACGTCTCGAGATTTATGCCTACCTCATTCCTCGCTTCGACCATGCAATCAACGTCTCGTCACCCAGATTCGAAAACCGCTTCTTTCGCGAATACTACGAGTCGATGAAAGACAACGTCTCGGAGGAAGAGAAGGCAAATCGTCTACCATGGACAAAGATCTTCCTCATCAACAAACAAATCAGCCACGAATGCCTCGACATCCTCTACGGGAAAAATTCCTTCCAAATCGAGATGCACAAGACGGGTGAAGCTGACATCCGCGCAAACTTCACACGCGAGAATCGCCACCGAGTGCGATACATCACAGTCGCCTTTTTGGGTACAGAAGGCGCGACTTTCCCACCTGGGAATCTTATTCCCGATCGCTGTCTATGGGCCGACATACTCCCCAACATCAGAGAGATGTGGCTCGTTACAGTGCAGCCAATGAGACCTCTTATTCCCGAGATAATACAGCCTGGAGATGAGTTCTTCGCGGGTGAATCAGCGATTCGGTTCGATCAGTTTTTTGAATGGCTGCCGCCTTACCTTAGATGTTTTAGGGAACTCCTGCGGCCTGATACCATTTTGTATAGCATGAGTGGTCAAGATGAGCGGGAGACTCAGCAGATTGTTTCGGGGTATTTCACATGGTGGTATTGAGCTTTTGTTGATCATACGATTCCTTCGCGGCCGGAGTCCGAGGGTGATGGGGACTATGGGACAACGAGCTCTTGAAAGATTGATTGTGAGAGGTGACGATTTTGGTTCGGATAGGTCAGTGATTGAGCGTCGAGGCGAAATACTGTGTTTAGATTGTGAGTTTGAGCGGGTTATTAGGTGTTCGGCGTCAGAGATTGTATCAAACTAGACTTGCTTTCCATGTATCCGATTCAACTTCAGCTACACCTAGATGCTAGTATGATCAATATCATAGAATGAAGTAATTCAATAACATATAACAAACACTTTCGACAAGATTCGGATTTAAGAAATGCGGTAGATGGAATTTGACGCAAGTCAAGATGGCCTATGTACCCAGCAACAGACATGAATGACGACGATGCTTGTGTAAATATCGTGTGGCAGATTAAACAGATATCTCAAAAGAATTATTGCAAGAATAGATTTACCTACAGTTCAGTGTACTGTATGAAACTACGAAGCCAAAGGTGCCTCCGCTCTTCGTGAAATTAGGGTTTCGAGACCCCATGCCGCTCTACTTGGCCAATCAGCGTTGGACCTTCAACTTGTCGTCGATTGTGTATCACAACTTTTTCTCTGAACAAAACTGATATTCATTGATTCAATTCCTCTTGGATATGAGTACAAAGACAGACAGATATACAGAAACCAACAATAACAGCCTGGATGTGATTATGACATGTCATCTTTACCCATTGTAAATGAGCTTGTGGTGGTTTAGTGAAAGGGGACATCTGGAAAGCCTGATATGTTGGGAAGCAGGTGAACATGTGGTATTTCTTTGTATGATAAGGAAAAGGTCGTCAGTTTTATTTCTTGCTGTAAGCAGAGCTATTAGTTCTTCTGTTTGGGTAGATATAAAACAGGCCACATTTCCTACCGGAAGCGAAAAACCATTTCTTTTTCAATTTCCAGAGACACTCTACTCTAAAATCATCAAAGTTCAATCATTACTATTATCTATCGTTACTCTATCTTTAGGTAATCAAAATTTACAACATGTCTAAAATCTCAAGACAAAACATGGCCAGCCTCCAGAACGAGGAGCAAACTCACATCCTCGACGCCATCGACGAGATGCGGAATTTCGGCGTCAATGAAGACATTTCAATTCCGCAGGTCTGTCTAACTCCTAAGATCATTACCAAAACAAAAACTGACTGATATCAGATCGTCGTCGTCGGCGACCAGTCAAGCGGCAAATCGTCCACACTCCAGGCAATCACGCACATGCCGCTGGCCGTCGACAGCGAGCTGTGTACCAGGTTTGCAACTCAGATTGTCCTACGACGGACCACTGAGTCAACGGTCAAAGTTTCTATTATTCCTTCATCACGCACGGATGAAGAGACGAAGCTGCATTTGTTGAAATTTACGCGCGAATTCTCGGAGGAGGAGTTCAATGAAGATGGAGTTTTTGGTGAGGTCGTGAATGATGTATGTTTCTACTATCAACTTTTCTATTGTATGAGAATAGTTTGACTGATGAGATTGTAGGCTGCAAAACACATGGGCCTTCCAACACCTGGTGCAGAGAGCAAGGAAGGCTTCGACAAGAGGTTCTCAGGAGATGTTCTCAAGATTGAGGTGTTTGGGCCTAAACAGCCCCATCTGAGTGTTGTTGATGTTCCGGGTCTATTTCATAGTGAGTATTCCCCATGCTATCAACGGTCAAGTGTTGCTGACAAGCTTGTGATTCTAGATGACACCATCTACCAGACCAAGGAGGACCTCGAAATTGTCCGTCGTCTTATGAAGGATTACATGGATAATCCCAGAAGTATCATACTGTGAGTCTACACTGTATATGTTAACGAGGGCCAACCCAGAAGCTAACAACCGAAGGGCCGTCATGGATGCCCGCGTCAACCTTTCCAACCAAGAAGTCTTTCGTCTAGCCCGCGAAGCCGATAAAGACGGCTCACGCACCGTTGGCGTCATCACGAAATGCGATGCTCTTCAGCGCGGAGACGAGAAAGAAGTTCTTAATATTGCGCAAAACACTGTTGAGAAGTTGAATCATGGATGGTTCCTGGTCAAGAATCGATCGACTCAAGACCTTAGGGATGGCGTCACTCTTCAGGAGCGAGATGTGAGGGAAAAATCATTCTTTGATACAATTTCTCCTTGGAATGTATTGTCAAAGGAGCGCGTGGGCGTTGAGCCGCTTACACGTTTCCTTTCGAATTTGCTCCTGAGTCATATCAGGAAGGAATTTCCAGTGCTGTTGAGTGAGATTGAAGCTCTCGTGACAAAGACGCAAGAGCAACTCAAAGGTTATGGGGAACCTCGTCAGACGCTATCTCAGCAGCGCCGGTTCTTAAGACGAATGGCTTCACAGTACCAAAAGCTCGTTGAAGACAGCTTAAACGGCGTCCATCTCTCGGACACCGAACCTGGAGATCCTACAAAACTGAGGTGGAGAATCCGTACGGCTAATGAGGCTTATGCTCGAAGTTTCAGGAGGAACGGACATAGATGGGTCTTCAAGACAGCCGAAAATACCTACGATTCGGATTTTGTCAACGTCTTTGAGCCCCTATCGTATGTTGACGAAGAATCTAAGGAAGAGGATTCTGATGACATTTACAACCGGATCCGTCAAGTCCACAATCAAACCAAGGGGATCGAACTTCAAGGTACCGTACATCCGCAATTGATTAAAAATATTTTCCGTCAGCAATCACAGCCATGGGAGGGACTTTCAAGGAATCATCTTACCAATGTCAAGGATATTGTCGATCAGTACCTCAAATTCACATTTCAGAAAGTTGCGCGTGACCCTTACGTGTTCCAGAACCTAGAAAGGTTTCTTCGTCCACGGATTCTTGAAGGACACTCCAAAGCTGACGAGGAATTGCGCAAGCTGTTAGAGGATGAGCGTGGAGGCATCCTGCAGACCGTGAATCATTACCTCGCGGAGACCTTGACCAAAATACGCTCTGATCGTGTTATTAGACGACTGAAGGATGCTGGCTACGAAGAAGGCCATGAATATAAAGTCAAGTTCAAGAATCTTGCCGCGACTAGCAACATCAGCAACGACGACAGTGCGATTTACGACATCCACGATACTGTCAAGTCGTACTACAAAGTTGCCATGAAACGGTTCTTGGACAATGTCATTATCCAAGTCGTTGAACGCCACGTGCTTGGTCCCAATGCTCCTCTACGTCTTTTCTCTTCCGACTTTGTGGATGATCTGGAAGATGATGAGGTCAAGTTTATTGCTGCTGAAAGTTCTACTACCAGCATGACGCGCTCAGACCTTACTATGAAGCTGGGACGGTTGCAGAAGGCGTTGGATATTGCACATGGCGTTTCTTTGAGTTACTAGAATATGTTAGGCTGAGAAACCTTGTCATGCTAAGAAATATCTGCAAAGAATTGATTTGATTGATAGCGTAATGCAACTTGACTTGGTGATATATTCTTCTATAGCCAAAACACACTAGAAAATAGCCATACAATTAGGAGGACTGCTCACGCCCCGAGCACAATTCAACGGGCTGCTGCTGACAAAGAAAGTCCACCTATTATGCTGTTTACACAACTCAGCCAGCCCATCCAAATCAAACATCTCACCAATAGGCATTCCCCAACCCGCCAGAATGTGATGATGTAAATCAAAATCCTTCTCCATGGCCGGATAAACCTCGAAACTGACAGCATCACTGGCAACGGCAGAGAAATGGTTGTTCCAGAGGAACTTTAGGACTCGCTCCGATTGCTCGATACCAGCGTGTTGAGGGACTGCTTGTTCGGAATATGTCTTGCGCTCTGCAGCGGACATTGCGCTCCAGGTTTGAGGGAGACCGACGCGGAGGAATAGAATGTCTCCTTGTTTGAATTCAATCTTGCTTTCTTTTGCAATTGTGAGGACCTCGTCGAGAGTAATCTTGTGGCGTGTCAAGGCATAGTCCGGTTTCAAACCCTTGGTCCGCTCAGCCCAGGAGGCATAATCGATCAGAACGCCACGACCAGCAATACCTTTCTTCGCCCAATGACCAATACCGATACGAGGCGAATCGGTATTCATGATCTCCTCCACCGTCGTACCACCATACCACAACTTCCTGTCCGGATTCTCCTTATCCGGCCAAGGCGCGGAATGATGTCTCAACCCATCCCATTGGGAAGACTGCTGAGGGTTGAAGTGGTATTCATCGTCCAATGCGACTCCATTGCTACCATCCACGACTTTGATTAAATGGTTAAATGGACGACGACCGAAGCCGGGCGGGTTGAGATTCTCGAGTTCCCAATTGAGGCATACACGTTCTCCGGACTGTATTTCGTTGCGTGCGGCGGAGGAGACGATTTCGGGAGTTAGAAGACGGAGCATACCAAGGCCTTCCTCGTACGAGCCGGGTGCAGCTGGCCAGTACTGGCGAGGGTTGGGGAGGTCCTCATATGCAGGGAGAGGAGCCGACATTTTGTCTGTTTATTTACTTCGGTGAATCGACTGCCAGTGAAACTTGACGACAAAAATTGCTTATATACAGTAAACTCTTGAAACCCAGACAGATAATAGTAAACAAAGAAAACTTTTCGATTGAAAAACGAGAGAAAGGGTCCATTTCATGAAGAAGTAACTACCGGGTTTTCTCCCGTGGGGGAGACCCCTCCACGTCACTCCCCATCGGAGATGCTCCGAGCGGGGGATATTTGGCGCATACTTAGGTACACTTTAACTTTATACATGAACCAGATAACATAAGCTTAAACTAGATCGTGTACCTTGATATTCAAAAAGTTAATCGAAGGCCTTTTTATTGTCCGCTTCAAAGTGCTTGCGTGATGGATCGGTTATGAATAAAGAGCAGGAAGAAAAAGGCTGCATGTTAGGGTTTATACGAAGGACCGCATATGCATTCTCCAGTGTAGCTTTCCTTTCAAGGAGTGGATTTAAGCTAGCATTATTAGCATCATGTATCTGTCTATAGTTAGAATAGAGAAGCGAATTGCTTCTAGATAGTGTTAAAGGTCCCTTGACATTCGGCTACCGTAGGAATAAAGGCGTTCTTCATCGCTGGAAACGTTCTCCTTGAGTCCAGATGTCGTCCATACGAACTTGCAATGTACGGACAATTTATTTTCATGGATAATATTCGACTAGAACATTTAAGGGCGGAGCTACTCAAAATTATACAATTCTTTCACCAATTGAACTATCAGCTGTTTCTCCAGCGGCTGTTTCTCTGGGAGATGTTTCAGTGGCTGTTCAATCATCTGCCGGCTCAAGCGAAGCACTGACCTATACCTAGGTTGCAGCCCCTGTCGTCTCATCTGTGACCCAAACAGCTGATAGTACAAGTGGTGGTACAAATTTAGGTTTCATCAGTTCTGGTCTTTCTCCCGCTAAAAGCGTTGATTTTGGAACTTCTCCAGCAAGATACTTCAACGTGACTGATACCCAGGTGGATGTCATGACACCTCCCCATGCGGCAGGCACTGTCCCAATCGGCATCACGACTCATGAGGGGATTAAGAATTGACTCAAGTAGACGTATATAATTTATATCTCTATGTTTCGCGCTTCGCTTCAATCTCTTGCTGCCTACTCTTATTCATAGCAGCATTGCCTTCTAACCCATAGAGAACATCAGCCGACATGTTCGGAATGATCATCTCAAAAACCTCCTTCACAACAGTCTACTGATAATAACCACAACGAGCAATCGGCCGAGTCTTCTTGATATCCAGAATACCATCTGTCAGCACATCATCAGCGATATGGACACCGATGACCTTCCCAATCACAATGTCAACCGTTCCCATAGGCGGATTGCCTGGCAGTCGGATGGTAGTATGATATTGGCATTCAAACTTGACTGGAGATTCACGAATCATAGGCGCATCAACGAGTGTAGCTTGTTCCTTTGAGATGTTGCCGCAAAGGTCGAATTCGTCGGTTCCGTAGGGGGTCTGCTCGGCTGTGATGTTCACTGCTTCGCGCAAGTCCCAGGTTGCGAGGTTCCAGACAAAGATGCCGGTCTCCTCGGCATTTACGACTGTGTCCTTTCGCTTGCCTTCCACCGTCTGGTTGGAGGAGAACATTACGTATGGGGGATCGAAAGTCAAATTCGCGAATTGCGAATAGGGTGCAAGGTTGCATTGTCCCTGCTTGCTTTTGGTGGAGATCCAGCCAATTGGGCGAGGAACAACGCAGGCCTGTAGTCATATTGTTTAGCACGGTTGACCCGTTAAATAGAAGGAGGATTCATGCCTTGAAGGGGTCATGGGGCAGTCCATGTTCGGTCTTGCTGGGTTGGTAGAACACATTCTTGAGTGGTTGCAGGATAGATCAAGAGCTTGGGTCTATGGATATGGAGAAATTTCTTTTTTCTTGCTACTCGGTGATGAAATATATTCCCTTTTTATATTGATTGTATTTGATAATCGGATACATCGGATTGGACAGTTGAGCCAAACCGAGCATACCGAGCAGACCGAGAGTCCCGAGCACGCCGAGCATCCATGATGTCAAACATTCATCAATCCAAGCAGATCAAATGGGCAAGAGCGTCTGCTAGAAATGCTTGCATTTTCTCTAATATGACTTACACTGCCAATGAAGAGATTCGCCGGCCTATCCCGAACGTCAAGCTGAGTTGAGTTCATATTTTTCCATATCAAAGTCAATTAACTTTGAGGGTCGTAAAAGGCCTCCTGGGACATGACGATGCGTCTTAGTCTTCTCAATTGGATAAGTAAAGTCAAGAAATACCTACCCTATGCATTGCGAGCTTAACATCGACCTGGCGTGCAATTATAAGCTTGTACAAAGAAACAAATTCTTTCATAGGATTGCGATTCTTGATACTGTTCAAAGTATCTATTATCTGGCTACAATCTGGTTTATTATTGAAGTACAACTAGAGTAGATATATATTTCTTTCAAAACGATCCTTCGCATATGAGATGTGCTTGAATATTGTGTTCAGGACATTAATGGTCGATCAGTCGAGTTTAGCCGGAATGCTTATAAACTCGAATGAGTTTGCCCCACCGATTCAATACCGGTATCTGGAAAACTTCCGGCTCTTTTTATTTCAACATCAACTCTAACGCACCATCTACCCATCTACTTCAAAAAAATAAAGTCAATATCATCTACTTACCGATGAAATCAGGACCCAACAAATCACCAAAGAACTCTGGTCGCAGGGTAAAGCACTCCCGAGGTGGTTGTTCCACCTGCAAACAGCGTAAGATCCGGTGTCCAGGTTAGTCCACTTTTTAAAGCCGGCGGATAGGAAAGTATGACCTTTGACATTGACACCGACTGAGAATAGAAAATAAACCGATATGTGACCGCTGCATTAGCGATAATAGAGTATGCAATTATGGCATTCAGTTGCAATGGGAGGACGATTCACGCAAACGTGGAATCAAACATGGACGCACCACGCGTGCTGATCGTGTTGGCTTGTCGGCCGCTAAGACGGCAACGTGGTTAGGGTTTCCGCGTGGTCAAGGTGGCAGGTATTTCTTGAATACATTTGCCTCTGATATTGATGGAAGAATTGTTGTGCCTGCGATGCAAGGGTTAGATTTTGAGAAAGATATGATATGGAAAAGGGAAGCAATGCTTCAGATGACGCCCACTGGGATGCCGACGTTGAATTCCGCAGCTTTGGGCAATGAAAGTCACAAAGCAGATGGCCTGTTATTTGATTATTGTAATTTGTTCCTGACACGCCATTTGTGGAACACGCGCTGATATAGTCACAGATGACAGAGCCGTCTCTCACTCTATAGTACTCATTGACTCTCCCACGAATCTGTTTCGCAACCTCATTCTTCCTCTGGCGACCACAAATGAAACAGTCATGCACATGGTTCTTGCCCTAAGTGCGTTATCACTTGCAGCAAAAGGGCAGCCGCAATATTACCCTTCGGCACTGCGGCACAAGCAACGCAGTATGCGCCTGATCCGAGAACAAATTGCGTCCGATGCATTTTCTGCCGCGAATGATGCGAATGTAATTGTTATTTTAATGTTATCCGTTTTTGAGGTGAGCACCTAGTCCCCCCTTTGCATCTTGTATTACGTATATCTCATTCTCGTGCGTTTAGATTTCTGATAATTGCCAAGTATCATGGTCAACCCATCTATCCGCTGCGCTTGACTTAATGCGTCTAGCTCGCAGTCGATCGCCAGCTCCAATGCAAATTAATTCTCAAGTCATTGAGTTCGTTTCAAGATTCTTTCTTGTCAAGGATGCTCTAGGGAGATCGGCGTGTCAGAAGGTGGCCAAGGTGATGCATGAAGTACCGCCAGTGGATTCTAATGAGATCGATCCATCTATTGGGTGCTCATATGAGCTGGTCAATATAATATCGAGAATCACTGATATGGCTAGAGATATGGTGAGATTATCAACTTGTGCGTCGTATCATAATTGCCACTTACTAATGCACTTTCAGCGAGATCCGGGAATTGACAAAAGAGCATGGCATAACGAAACACTAAGATTGGAAGAGCAGCTTGACACACTCATCCAGCTCCTCCCACCTACCTATCTACAAAACATCGACGTCTTGAGTCTCGAATCTCTGACACCGCCATCATCTACCTCTCCAGATGAACCAATATCAATCCTCCTCAACACATCCCTCCTAATCCAAACCGCCGCCAAACTCTTCTTCCAAGCCACTCTACGCTCCCTCAGCCCTCAAACACCCAAAGCTCGCTCTCTCAACACAGAGATAATCGGGTATACCAAACAACTCTCACCAAACCATCTCCGTTCCGCACACTTGTGGCCTTTGTTTGTTGGCGCGGTGTATTCTACGGGTGATGATGAAGAGCGCATATGGTTCTTGGATCAATTTGATATTATGGAGGAAAAGTCGCAGGCTCTGGTGGCGAGGGGTGTTTTGACGAGAGTCAAGGGGATTGTGGGAAATGTGTGGAAGAGAAGGGATTTGGATTCTGATGTTGCTGTCGGTGTTATTGGATTGGAAGGGGAGGATGGGATAGGGGATTGGGAGAAGTATGTACAGCCTCTGAGTGATGGATTGTCTTTGGGGTAGATCATCTTCCTACGTCTAGAATGACTGCTGAGCAATAGAGATTGAATGCGAAGACTGTTTGTGACGGGTATGGCAGAAGCGTAGATTCCAACAGAATATTTAGTTCCCAAGTAGCATAAGCAGCTATCTAATAAAGATTATAGAGATGTTACACCACATCGCTGAAGTCCTGCTTCACCGCAATATCCCCCCCAGTCGACACATCTTGAGCCGTCGGTACTTCAAGCATGTCATCTATATGTTTGGTGTACATTGGCCGCGTACTCCTGAGCCCGACGCCATATCTCTGCAGCAGAATATACAGCGGAATGAGTCCAAAGCTGCATATGATGCATTGAGCGGCAAAGGTCCATGTATATCCTAGAATAAAACTTTAGTGAGTACTCGATGCATGCTTTGGAGGGATGAGGCTTACCGGAAGCTTCGATCCAGTAGTATATAAACCATGGATTTATGAATGCCGAAAGCTGTACGACGGGCGTTATTAGCATAAAAACGATGGAGATGAAAGGTGATGAGTTGCTTACATTGATAATAACAGTGTAAAACGTAATAACCTCATTTGCATGCTCCGGATAATTGTCGACAATATAAGCCGACAAGACTGTATTCCCAGTCTGCAATCCCAGCGTATCTAGCACCCCAGAAAAGTCAGTAAGTTCTTTCACATAACTTTTTGATAGACTTACACAAGAAGAAAGCAACCTGGCCAACCATCCAATGCCAATTCTTATCCACACTAACCCCCCAGAGCACAAGTCCCACAGATGACACAACCGCAGCCGGATAACCTAACCAAAGCCTCATTTCTGGTACTCGCATGCCGCCATTCTTGCGCGCGAAATGTGACATCAATTTATCGCTTAGGTTCCCTGAGCAGACGACTTCCGCGAAGAGGAGGCCTACCAGTAGACCGATTAGGAGGAGGCCCTGAGTGCGGGGGGAGTCATTGATGTAGGCGTCTGGAACGAGGGTGGAAATACTGCAGATCCTGCTGGTGAATTAGTAGTGTTTTCAATGACGATTCATGGTGCATTGTACATACCACCAATACTGAAGAAAGCAGTAGCCGAGGACGCTGATGACGATTGTGGGGTAGCGGAAGAGATTGAAGAATTGGATGGTTGTGGTCCATACTTTGGGATGAGGGACGCCGGGGATTTTTTTGATGTTCTGTATATAACAGATGTCAGAGTGGAAGTAGCATTACTGTAAAGGTGAGGGGCAACTCACAAAGAAGTTCAACTTGCTTCTTTCACTTGAAGTGGGTGCAATTGAAATAATTGCACCTCCTCCATACTTTTGGCTTTCCTGAGCTAAGATAGCTGCTCGAGGGTACAGTGTCTCCGGCAGAAACAGACACTGCACAACCAACAGCACAGCAAATAAGATAGTAACATGATACGCTACCCATTCCCCAGACGTAGCCAACAAACCGCCAACTATCAAGAAATGAAGCGTCAGCTGCCCGCCATCTTAGACCTGGATCCAAAAACTTACAAACACCACCCAACACCGTCCCAGCATTAGCAGCAATAGTCCACATCCCCACCCTCAACCCCCTCTCATGCTCAAATGAGATATCATGAATAATCACCAGCCCAATATTCGCCGACGGGCCCGCACCCAATCCTTGAAAGAACCTAGTTGCCATATAACCCCCGAAATTAATCGTCTTGATCGAAGTACACCCACTCGCCACTACAGCCAGAGCAGTGCACGCAATCAAAACGGGTCGTCGCCCATACGTATCCGCCAATGCGCCCACGATCAATGGGCCTATGGCCAGTCCTAAACATGGTAAGGCAAAACTCCAGCTGACCTGAGAATAGTTGATATTCAGTTGTTCCTCTAGAAAGCCAAAGGAGGGGATGGGTGCGGTGGTGAAGTAGGTTAGCATGAAGTAGCTATACACGACTATGAAGAGACATGTTGATTTGCGGAGGAGGGACCAGTTGAGAGGATCCCTTGGGTCGGAGGTAGGTGTTGGAATCAGGGGATTGCCTTTGGGGTCGAGTCTTTCGAGGATTGCTGGTGCCGTGGTAGGCTGAGAGGTCTTTTGGATGTCCATTTTCGTGTAATTTCTGGATGTCATGCACACTACTGCAATAGATCTGTGAGGGGATGGCTGATCATTTATATCCATAGTCATATCACTATCAGCTTCATTATCGTCGTCTATATCAATCTGTCTGGTCAAGTTTCCTTCTATGGGTTAGCTCGTTAGGGCTACTCAGCGATGCGCTGATAAGAGGTTGCATCTGATTGGCTAAATCGGGCATCTCCTCGACTTTCCCAATGAGGAATGGCGCCAGATCGTGAGTATCGCTGCTATCGCTGTTTCTCCTCGAATTACTAAAAGAGGTAAATATCGAAATGTCAGATCTATTATGCCGAGCAATCTGTGTTATCTCGAGGGCGGATAATCGTGTCTGAAAGTCTATCTCCTCAACTTACTCAATTCGGCTTGACTTTTGGACATATTTAAAGATCGTTATCTGTCTCCGGACTGTGTAAAGTTTCGAGCCGACTCTATGATCGATTAAGCATTCTGATATCATCTGATCAAGGGTTAGCACCATGTTTGCAATCGCCAGTATAGCGCTATCAGCTTGGCTGCTATACGTCCTAGTCAAAGCAACCTGGGGATGGCAAGCCAAAGTACCAGGGCCTTGGTACACAAATGTCACTAGCTTTGTGTTGAAATACCACGAGTTCACAAAGAATCGTCGACTATGGATCCATGAACTTCATCGGATATATGGTCCGGTCGTTCGTGTTGCTCCGAATGAAGTCTCGTTCTCGAACCTGGAAGGGATGAAGGAGATTTATCAAAGCGGAGGGAGCGGATACGACAAGACTGAGTTTTATGATTTATTCAAGCAATACGGGCATAGGACGTTGTTTACAACGCCGAGCAAAGTTGATGTTAGTAGATCACTGTCAAATAGTTTCTTGTTGGTGGTTTTCTGACGAGAGTAATAGCATGCTGCGAGAAGAAGAATACTTGCAGACAGGTATTCGATGACGAATGTTCTTCGTGCTCCAATGATTGAAGGTTTCGAGCAGAGAGCTGCGTCGGTCTTGAAGCAATGCGAAGCGTCTCTTGGTGGTTATTTGGATGTCTACGTACGATGCAACCTAAATATCATCATCAATTTTTGGATCGGACTGATCGTCGTATAGGTCGCCCTGCATTGCTATGCATTAGATTGCGCTTCTCACTTTCTATTTAATCCCGGCGGCACAGATACTTTGAATAATGCGGAAGACTTCAAATTGATGCAAGAGCTATCCTATCATGATAGCATCAGGCGTGGGTCCCCTCATTTTCTGAACTAGACGGCATTCTAATCGAACCAGAACGATATGTTCAACATTACTGGCCAGCCGTGAACAAGGTCTTTGCATCTTTCCTCAGCCCTAAGCGAGTATCTCTCTCTCGAAGCTATGTCCTTGAACAAGCTCACCAGAAAAGTCCGCACGAATCATCTCTCATGCACAAACTGCAAAGCAAAGCCTCCGAGCTCGCCCCAATCCAAATGGCTGCAGAGTGTATGGATCACATGGCGGCAGGGATCGATACCACTGGAGACAGCCTTTGTTTCTTGATGCATGAGCTTTCACTGCCACGCTCAGAAAGTATACAGCGTCACCTACGGCAGGAGATTTCCCAGAACCCAGACGCAAGAATAGATGAATTGTTGTATCTTGATGCGGTTATCAAAGAGGGCTTGCGCCTGTTTGCGCCGATCCCGATGAGTTTGCCTAGATATGTGCCCGAAAGTGGCAGAAATATCTGTGGTTATGATTGCCCCGAAGGTGCCATAGTGAGCTGTCAGGCATACTCACTTCATTTAGCGAACCCAGACGTGTTTCCGAATGCCGAGTCATTTATGCCCGAGAGATGGTTGCAGAAAGAAGGGGAGGCCGAACGGAATAGGCTACTCTTTGCATTTTCTGCAGGCGGACGAGGATGTATTGGCAAGCAGTGAGTCTTACTCAACCGAATAATGTCATTATGTACTAAACTGACGTATCATAGTCTGGCAATGGTAGAAATGAAGACGTTATTGCGGAAGATATACGGGCAATACCGAACAAGGATAGCACCTGAAATGAGAGGAGACATGTCGATTCACGATCAGATCATAGCGTCCAGACCTAAAGATCAGACGTGTCTCTTAGTGTTTGACCGAGTATGAGCGAGACTCGATCCTCGAATGTGAGCGGGACAGCGGGTCCTCGGTTCTCGGCTCAGCAGGTGACATTGGCTTTGAAGCATGTTTTCATGGAGTTATACAAGTCGTAATTTGAACACTTTATGATCTTTATCTCTGTGAAAAAATTTAAGAGGCTTGCGAGCCACGAGAGGAAGTAGAGTGAATGAGTGGATATTGAGGCAGGTCCGGGTGGATCTTTTTGGTTGCTCACAACAACGGGTGCCTCAGGCCACAATGGTGCCTCGATTGTCCGACGACGTACATAGTGAATAGTCCCTCGCTCCTTCTAAGCTCCTTTGTTGGAGCATCGCATGACCTTCCCAGCACTGCTCATAAATTGATCATTTTTTTATACTTCTATAATCACAGCGTGCTCTCCGTCAAGTGCTCACTGTTTGCATGTGACCAGCCTCCCCGGAACGTCACCATCTCGCCACGATTCCATCTCCGCCCGAGCTACTAGTAGCTACACAACCGATCCACAACCCCCGTATTGCCCGCCTTCCCATCGCTCTTCCTAGAGACAACTACAACAACAGCTTCGCTTGGTCTGATATAGGAGGCAGCGAACATGGTGGATCAACGCCCTCGTGCGGAAAGCAGGAGCTTCACAGCTCCCTGCTTGATTGGGATTAATGGACACTTTGCGTCCGTGGGGGATGCGGCGCACGATCCCAAGGCTTATGAGCATGGAGTGCAGGTAATCGACGAGGAGAAGGAATTCAAGTTAGTTTTATCTTGTAACAAGACGCTAATAATGCGACGTACTGACAAACAATTATCTAGTCCCAATCTTTCCAAGTACCTCTCGCTCGAAGATGTCACCAACGCCGGCTTCAACTACCACCTCATCTCCGTATTCGGATCGCAATCAACCGGAAAATCCACACTCTTGAACCACCTTTTTGGCACACAGTTCTCGGTCATGTCGGACAGGGAGCGACGGCAAACAACGAAAGGTATCTGGATGTCAAAGAACAAGACGAGGCACGAAGACCCAAATGCGCGTATGGCGGACAACATCCTCGTCATGGATGTCGAAGGCACAGACGGCCGCGAACGCGGTGAGGATCAAGACTTTGAGCGCAAAAGCGCTCTTTTCGCATTGGCGACGAGTGAGGTATTGATTGTCAACATTTGGGAACATCAGGTTGGCTTGTATCAGGGCGCGAATATGGGTTTATTGAAGACGGTATTCGAAGTCAATTTGCAGTTGTTTCTCAAGGATAAAAAGTATGTCTTGCTTTCCGCCTGAGAGATATAGTTGGCTAATGTTGTGATAGTACGACTCATCGCTCCCTCCTTTTCTTTGTCATTCGTGATTTCATGGGCACTACACCATTGAAGAATCTGGAAACCACTCTTCTCGAGGATTTGTCGCGGATATGGGCTTCTCTATCCAAACCCCAAGGCTTGGAGCGCTCCACCATTCACGATTATTTTGACTTTGCGTTTTACGGACTGCCGCATAAAGGATACAAGCCGGACGAATTCGCAGCAGAGGCCAAGAAGCTTGGGTCACGGTTCCGCGAAGGTCGACGCGACCGAAAAGAGCAACTAGTTGGCGCATCCATTGAGAACGGTGTATTCTTGCCCGAGTATCACCGCAGAATTCCTGCCGATGGGTTTGCGCATTATGCGAATGGTATTTGGGACCAAATAGTCAACAACAAGGATCTGGACTTGCCTACACAACAGGAGTTGCTGGCGCAGTTCAGATGTGATGAGATTTCGAGAGAGGTCATTGTCGCTTTTGATGAGGCGATTAGTCCATTTGAGGAGAAGCAGGCCGCAGGAGTTCGCGCCGGTGAGCCGGTCATCCTTGGAGGATTGGGTCCAGTTATGCGAGGTGCGCGAACGAAGGCTGTCAAGAATTTTGAAACGGAGGCTAGTCGATACCACAAGGGTGTCTATCAAAGAAAACGCGCCGAATTGGAGGGCAAGATTGATACCAGACTAAAAGCGCTCTTCCAGGGTCAATTGAGTGCAGCTCACAAGTCCGGTGTCAAAGATTTCAGTGATGCTGTTTCCAACGCCGTGAAAGCCGGCCAGAAGAAGGGTGCAAGCTACGATTTTGCCGAGATCGTCAAGCTGGAAACCAAAGCTGCTCTGGAACGATATGAGAAGGAAGCTCGCGCTTCTCTGGTGGAAGGTACTTCGTGGAGTAACTATAAACAGGAGTTGAAGCTGTATCAAAAGGATTTGGCAGAAGTTAGTGGGCAGTTGCGTCGTGACGAAATGCGACGACTTGCTACAAGAGTGGAGAGATGGGTACGATCTCGCCTTTCTGATTCTGTTAGTTTGGAATTCAACTCCCTCGGTTCTGGACGTGGTGGTTCTGGTGCGCCAGAAAGTGGCGAGAAGCCCTCAGAAAGTAAGATTTGGGACCGTATTTGGAATTTGTTCGTTGAGACTGTTTTGGATGCGGAGCGACGATTTACAGACCGCGCTACTAGTTTTGATGCTAGCGTTGATGAGGTGGATGTTGGTCTTTGGCGGCTCCGAAGGAAGTCTTGGGGCGTCTTGCGTCTCAAGGTCGAAGAAGAGATGATGGAGGGTAACCTGCTGCTGAAGCTACGCGAGAATTTTGAAGATAAATTTCGATACGACGAAGCCGGTGTACCACGTATCTGGCGCCCTACAGATGACATTGAAGGAGTTTACACTCGTGCTCGCGAGTCTACTCTGACCCTTATACCGCTCTTATCCAAGTTCCATCTGGCTGACGACAATGCACCCCCTCCTCTCGACCGATGGATCGGACACACGCCCAGCTCGGCGACTGCCGCTGACGAGGAGGACCTGACACCGATTGGTGGCGTTGACGAGGAAGATGGTAAATCTCTAGAGGAAGAAGTCACCATCCTCAACGATGCCAAGCGTCAAGATTTGACTGTCCGGTTCAAAAAGGCCGCGGACGGAGTTTACGTTGAAGCCAAGCGCAGTGCCATTGGTGGTATTACACAAGTTCCATTGTACTTTTATGGATTGCTCCTTGCATTGGGTTGGAATGAGATCTGGGCTGGTAAGTCTTCTACTCATTATCTTCTAATCGAATCAGATCTGCAAATATACTAACCGAAGTCTAGTCCTCCGTAACCCAGCTTACTTCTTCCTTCTCTTCGTCTGCGCAGTCGGCGCATATGTAACCTACCAACTCAACCTCTGGGGCCCCATGCTCAAAATGGCCGACGCAGCATCCAAGCAGGCTCTCGAAGAACTAAAGAAAAAATTGCGAGACTTTCTCGAAGCTTCCGATACCGGACGCCAGGCCATGGCCATGTCGGCAGGAGAAGAGTATGAAATGAGCTCATTGAATCGAGGTGGCAAGAAGGCCGAGGATGAGGATGAGAATGATGATATTTAGATTGTATTCTTTTCATTCTTCGAAATATGCACTTATGCAAAAGCGATATGTTGTAACTTGATGTAATTATGATACTAGGACACGAATGATAAATATTATATAGTTCTGACTCTAGGTAATCCTTAGTAACCCTAATTGACAGGAGATGAACATGTCTGGATATCTAAGTGCAGGATCACAATTTGGAAATGAGACTGATCTAGTAATGATCTATCCCTACCTTGTATAAACCAGTTCCGAAACCACTCGATCTTGTGTTATAATATCGCAGTCGTTGCACATTAATCCATAAACCAAGTCAAATCAGTTCCGGGTTGAAACTCTTGCTTTACTCTCCCAATCCCCATGAAACGAAACCGATTCGCGCTTTGGTAGCGTATCACAAAGTCTTCTGGACGTAGCGACGAGACCATTTCACGAAATCCTAGGCCACTGCCTGCCCACAGAGCAGTCACCCGACCCTCAGCATTGTTGTCGTCGTCGTTGTTGCTGTTCTTGTACCAGCTCTTGCAAGGACTGCTCCAGATAAGCGTCTGCATAATTTGGTCTCCATAGGCATTGAATTCTTGAGTTACGTCTTCTTTGACGTCGACCCATTTGATATCTTCTTCGGCTATTTTTACGATCCATTTGGCGATGTAATCAGCCGTCCATCCCAAGCCAGCCATCAGAGAACCGTGGCCGACAGGAGCATTGGGGCCGCTGAACATGAAATAATTTGGGAATCCCGGAACACAGATACTGAGATACGCCAGTGGCCCCGTTGTTGCTGTTTTCTTCCATTTCTCGACCAAATCGATCCCGTCGCGTCCACGCAAGGGGAAATTTGGACGATAGGACACGTCAAACCCGGTTGCACAGACGATGACATCAAAGTCCCTCGAACAGCCGTCTGTCGTCGTGATTCCATGTTCGGTGACGCGTTGAATTGGCTCTTGGACCAAGGAGACATGCGGTTGTGTGAGTGCCTCGAGATAATTTAGGCCAGGCGTTGCACGCCGGCATCCGATGGGCCAGTTTGGGATGAGTTTTGCTGCAAGATCGTCGTAGCCGTTTAGTTTGGTTAACATGAGCTGTCTCGTAGCTACAACAGCTTGGGTTTGCATTTCAGATTCTTTAACAAACTAAAAAGTTGTAAGCCATCCACCCATGAACATGGAAATAGGTATTGCGAGATTCTGATACGCACAATTGAGAACGAGGAAAAGATTCCTTGCTGTATCTCTTTGCGATACGCTCTCAATGCATCTATATCATTTCTAAACCGGGTTTTCTCTTCTTCAGAGTAGATATAAGTAGCGTTTCCATCAATCATTCTATTTCCCAGCCCCGCAAGGATCCAAGTCCCAGATCGCGCAAAGTTGACCACCTCCGAGCCAACGCTGGCCATTTCAGGAACAATCTGTATACCAGAACTACCATTCCCAATGACAGCAATGCGTTTCCCCACGAAATCATACGCCTCATCCCAGGACGCGGAGTGCATAACGGGACCTTTTTGAAAGGAGTGCAATCCGTCGATTTGTGGCCACGTCCAGCGACTGAGGAAGCCAGTTGCGGATATCAGAATGTTGCACTGCTCAGTGAATACGTGATTTTCATGTTCGATTAGTAGATTCCATAGGCCTTTGCTCTCGTCGAATGTGGCTTCAGTCACTCGATGCTTGAACTTCATGTCCCTAGCTAGATTGTGTTCATCGACAGTCTTTTTTATATACTGCCATATTTCACGTCCTGAAGCATAGAATGAAGTCCATTCAGGATTGGGAGCAAACGAGACTATAATTCATCCATTAGCCCGTATATCAAACATACCAAGGTATCAGGTACATGGGAGAATAGTGGCCTACATGTATATAGATGAGCTGCAACATCACTTGATTAGACAGCATGAGGGGTTAACATAGTGTCCTTGTTTTGCTTTTCAGTGGTTGAATGAGGAGTCATCTTACCATGCAACACCAGGGTACCTGTTTACTAGCCACGTTCCGCCAACATCTGCATTGGCTTCAAAAACGGTTAAATCAACGTATTCACCGAGATGGTATACATTATATGCTTTGTAGAGAAACTCAATGCAAGCCATGCCTGCCCCAATCACGACCACTTTCAAACGCCTGCAAGGCGTCCTCATGGGCGCTTTGTACAGGGATGGTCCTTCATGCGGAGGCATTTGATTGGGGTGCTGTCCCAAGTCACTAGACATATTACTCAAGGTCAAAGAATAGGGTATACTTGGGAAGGAGGTATAGGTTATTCTAAGGAATCTTGGTGATGTTGAAGGGACACAGGAGGAAACAGCCTGTGGAAAATTTCCCACCGATTCAAATACGAATATGCAACTAGACAAGGATATCACAGAGATCAAAACGATTTGCCTGATAGGTGCTGCGGGGCAGTCAACTTACACCATAGCGTCGCATTGAGTAGTTGGCTAATCGTCGTGTGGTGTTGTCGCAATAATGTTGTAGTTATTAAATATAATATAAAAGCATTACTGTCATATTACGGTCATACTATCTTGATTACGGTATTTAGATGGGGCTATATACACATTTTAAAAGATTTCGGCTGTACAATCAAAAAACAGTATACCTCTATATGCTGCAACGCCCTAGAATTCTGCAATGTGTTGGAACAGAACGAAGTCCGTATGTATAATGAAGGGTAAAATATCTACTATACAGTTCAGATTATGATCTAGACACACATTAACCCATCACTGCTATACCCAGAATTAGCTGTTAAGCTCTACTCAGACGCCAGGTGCACTAGTAGAAGCGCGCCCTCTTGTTCTTAATCAAGTAATCTCAAGTCATTTAGCCGTAATCTTCACGTACATAAGGTATTAAAGCACTACAATGACATACTAAAGACCGCAAATCCACAATACCCCCAATATTGACTCTGTCTAGACGGGCAGCTATTTCTATGCGCGCTCGTTCAGACATATTAACAGGTTTATCTACAGTTTAGGCCTTGTTTGTTATCTACCTAGATAGATGATCATTCTTGCTAGTAGCTCATCTGGGTATGCCCTTTGAAATCGCCCACGTTACATGTAGGGTTGACTCACTATAGTGGTTGTGTCAGCTCATCCTACAAATTTCCCGATCTGGCAATCACTGACATGCTCGCGAAGCAACCGATCGAGATCGAGAAGAACACGAATCTTTTAAAAGCAAAAGTTCTAATGGCCAAAAGAGAAGAATATATCTGCTTCATAACGCACATATCTCCATATCAGAATGTAGTCTTATACATCCACGAGTGAACAGTTCTCAAAAGCAGGCGTGTTCAATAATCGMCCCCCGCCCCGAAAACTTCGTTGAATACACACGTTTGAGAAATCTCTCATTCTCGTCTCATAGTTCCCTATTGAGCTCTCCGAGACGCCGTCCTTGTGAATGATTTCAGCCAGTGTAGCAGAATCATGCAATGCAGCCATGGCACCCACACCTCCAGCTGGCGACATGGTGTGTATCGCGTCACCAAGCAGCGTCACTCGAGAAGATGGTGCCCACTCTTCCATATTTGGACTGGCGGTATAGACTCTCATACCAGAAGCCAGGGACTGCTCCTGTAGTTCACACAGCGAGCGGGTTGACGAGTGCCATTCACTGGTCATATCAAGCGTGATTTGTGCGGGTTGAGAACGCAAAGCCTCATCAAGTGCAGCATCATCGAGCGGAATTGCATCTCGACTGAAAATAAGACCCCAATAAATATAGTCTTTTGGAAGGTCAGACTGTTCGCTGTTCCGATTGAACAGGACTGGCTCTACTATCATTGAGAATGGACGTTCTCCGAATATTATACTCTGTAAAACCGGAGTCGAGTCTAGGATAGCCGTAAACCATCGCATTCGCAGCGCCGGGAACCGCTCACTCAGCTCAGGTGTGATATATGTTTTGCCGTAGATGCAGCAGCTTCCAGTATCTGCAAAGCGATACTCAGGGAGTAATTGCTTTCTCACCACCGATCGTATGCCGTCCGCCCCAACCAGAAGCAAACCACGTTCGACCGAGCCGTCAGCAAACACTGCCTTAACACAGTGGTCTTCCAGCTCATATCTAACAAACTGTTTGCTGAATAGCACAGAGTCTTCGATCCCTGTCATCATTGCAGTACGAAACATCCCCCGGTCCACTGTCCAAGGAAGTGGAGTGCCAGGACGTAGACGATCGCGACGCGAGGCTATGATGCTGCCGCTTGTTGCGCTTAGCGTCATCTCACCCTCTGCGCTGGCAGCTAAAACATCCTTAAACTTGGCCCATGCCTCGTCAGTTAACAATTCTCGTACTCTTGCTTGCATGGGMCCCGCTATCTTGAGCCTGTATCCCTGAAGTCTGGAATCGAGCCTGTCATCTCGTTCAAAGACGGTGAAAGGTATGTTTGCTCGTTTCAGACTCTGGGCCAGTGCAAGACCACCGATTCCAGCACCGATGATGAGGATACGATTGAAAGAGTCCATGATGTGATATGACTATTATGTTGTTAGGGGCACAGGATAATGTTGGAACGTGTTCAACTAAGATGCATTAGCAGAATTAATAGAGATTAGCCTGGTTCAACCCAAGTAATCACAGAGGCATACCTAAGCGGGAGACATACTGGGTTTTGCGACCGACTTTGCGGCGGAGAACAACACAGGTTATTTCGATCATGAATGTCCAGGCATGAATATCCTTCCATCGATGATGAAGCCGACGATAATCTAAGCGATGGAGGGCTGCACGGCGACTAGTGATATGCACAATAAAACCAATCGGAACGTAATGATCAGACCCGTGTGATTGTGGTTGCATTAATATAAGCCATTCATTTGTTATTACCAGTACAGACCCCAGTTCAATTTAATTACCTCCTCGTCTTCTTGATACATTGGGCAAGATAACGGTATTACCGCGGACCCCTTTAGACTGGTGAGTTCTTTTCGTGACATAACAGCTAGTGCGCACGCTATGTTTTAGTATTTTACCTAGGTACTTGATTTCAAGTCGAGCGAGCACATTCCACAGATGTAATCTTAATTGACGCTGTCGTCATCTTCTCCCCTTCATATTCCTGATCTGTATTTCAGGCGAACTCTTTCCAATTGAATAGTCAGAAAGCTATCGACAATATGGAGACAAACACGACTTTAGAGAGCATTACCGCGAGCATTGTAAATAATGTCAAGGTGATTCGGGAGTATCAATCAAAAGATTCCTTAGAAAACACCCAACTCCTACCACCAGACGCTCCACATGAAGCTCAACATGCTCGTCAGCTACTACTCCAGGCAAGCATCCAGCTACAGCAACTGTGCACCGAGCCCAGCGATCTTCTTGAACAAGCACAAATTCATGTATAGGAACTCCTCCATCTCCTAAGCCTTTTCATTTAATTAAAGTCAGCGCATGGGCTCATCAATCAAATTCTAAATTTAGTACCAACAATTGTCGGCACTACAGTGGTTGATTCACTTTAAGATTCTGCAACGTATACCACTTGGGACTGGTGAATCTGTTGCCTATGAAGATATTGCTAAGGCAGCAAATGTATCCTCGAGACGGTTAAAGAGTGTGGCTCGCATGGCAATGACAGGAGGTATCCTGGCCGAGGACGAATTGCAGCGACTAAAACACAGTCGAATATCAGCGCAGTTTGTTACTGAGCCGGCATTTCTCGACTGGGCTTTGTTCATGACCCGATACTCAGCGCCTACGGCATTAGCTTTTGCTAGAGCTACAGAGCGCTGGGGTGATACGAAAGAAAAGAATGAAACAGCGTACAATATTGCATTTGACACCCCAATGCCATTTTTTAACCATGTCTCTCAGTCAGAGGAAATGACACAGCTTTTTGCTGGATACATGCGAGCGCAAGGTCGAAGTTCGGGGTTAGTGGTGGAGCACTTGATTTCTGGTTACGATTGGGCTCGTTTGGGGCCGGCACATGTTGTGGATGTAAGTCTCCTTATTCCAATGATGGAAGCTCTTTATTAGTGCTTATGTGAACATCTATTAGGTTGGAGGCTCAACAGGTCAAATTGACCTCATGCTGGCCAGCAAATTTCACGATCTGAGCTTCACCGTCGAAGACCTCCCTAATACAATTGAGGAGGCCAAGGTTCAGTTAAAAGACATAGACCCGTTAATTGCTTCTCGTATCAGTCTCAAAGCACACGACTTCATGCAGCCCCAACCGCCCGAAATCTCTCGTATTGCAGATGTCTATCTTCTTCGCAAGATATTGCACGACTGGCCAACAGCCACTGCACAAAAGATACTACAGAGCCTGGTCTCATCGATGAAGCCTGGAGCACGCATTGTGATTATGGATACTATACTTCCTTTGCCTGGGACTGTTCCGGCGCCACAAGAAGCTGCTTTACGTGTGCGCGATTTAACCATGGCGCAGAGTTTCAATAGCAATGAGCGCGAGCGGAATGACTGGATTGAGCTCTTCGCCAGCACAACTCCACCACTACGGATTAAAAATGAATGGCAGTCGATGGAAAGTGTGATGGCTGTAATGGAGCTCATCTTACAAGAGTAGACTTTGCAGATCTTTTTGACGTAGGGCTATGACCTGAAGTGAAGTTCTATTTTCCTAAGTTCAGCTCTATCTCGCATACTAACAGGTCTAGATAGATAAATGTAGCTTGAATAATGCATCTCTCTGGCTTTTCGCTTGTTTGTAACAACGATGACTTTGAAGGCGTGATCCAGCTGGGATGGTCAATGTAAAAAGGTCAAAGATCGCTCAAATTGCGTTGCAAACCAACTCTCAGACATCTGCGCACAGAATGTCGTCTGCGATTTTCTCGGCAAGGGCATCTAGAATATCTGTTTAGCCTGAAGTCAAATTAACAAAAACATAACGATAGATTGCTCACAAACAGTAGCCTGGGGATGACCAGGAGGAAGAAGAGGAAAAGCCGAAATGTCTACGACTCGTAGGCCCTGCGTTCCAAAGACACGAGCCCTTGAGTCGACTACCGCTAGAGGATCGTCAGAATTGCCCATTTTGCCTAAGTTACGTGGATGAAAAAGTCAGCATGAAAAGCCTCGAGATTTTAAGATGAGCCTCACAAGTTGCAGCGGCGTGAAACACTTGAATCCCATTTTCTCGAATGGAGTACAAGATGTCAGAATCACTCTTCACATTGCGGCCAGGTAACAGCTCTTCACCAACAATAACCTCGCTGACAATGTCAGTATTCATAAGCTGCCGGATTCGTTTCAATGCTGCCACAGCCAGTTCTTGGTCCGCAGGATGGGTAAGCCAATTGGGGTTGATAAGTGGAGGATCATCCATGCTTGCACTCGTGATGGTCACGTTTCCGCGGCTCAATGGAGCCACTAAAGCTGCGCTGGGGCTCACGTACATGTACGGCGTCTTCGGCGCTCCGGTTATGTAGTTGCTGTTGTTACCACTGTATGCATCAAGGGCTAGGTATTCGATTTCTGGCCAATCTGGTGGAAATTCGGCAAGGGAAGCTAGTGTCTCAGGGGTAAGAGATTCACGCTCTGAGGATGGTAGTTTCTCAAAAGCTATCAAGTCTCCGCCGGGGTTGCCGAGCATGCCGCTCCCATTCTTTGTCATGTACTCTTCCAAGACCTCTGCCAAAAATGTCGCGTTAGACGTAGCTGAATGCGTAAGTGTCGACACCCGATAGCTCGTGCCAAAGAGGATGTGATCCCACATATTCTGGCCTACCCCAGAAAGATCGGCGATTATTGGTATATCAAACTGGCGAAGCGTCTCTGCTGGGCCCACGCCAGAAACCATAAGTATTTGGGGAGATTGAAACTGTATTGTCGCCCAATTAGTTGAAGTTTAAGATCTCCTAAGACGACGTCGACAACTGGAATAACTTACGGCACCAGCAGATACTATGACTTCTCGCTTCGCGAAAAGAGTGTAATTGAGGTTACCTGACCGGACAGCAACAGCAGATGCTGTTGTGCCATTAAAAAGAATCCTCTGTGCCATAGTTTGGTTGTAAATTCGAAGTGCGTTATTGCTTTCAACCATTCGCAGGTAGGACGTCTCCGAAGAGCTACGAGTTTGACGACGAGGATCGATAGTGTTCATGTTATATTGCACACCTATCAACGTACCACTGACGAAATCCACGACTTGTCGTAGACCAAGCCGTTCGTAACCTTTTTTAGCAAAAGACGAAAAGGAATTGGCCCATATTGGGATCGAGACTTGAAGTGGACCACCGGTGGGCGAGAATGCAGCCGGGTTATAACCGACGGACGCATTACGAGGACGTTGTTCATTGTCGGGAGGTGTGAAATGAGCACTTTTCTTGAAGTATGGCAGAAAAGAATAATACTCGTACGAGCTGTCATTCACTGTAGTCGCCCACATATGGTACGCATCGTACGTGCCATGGTGATATGTGAAGTAGTTCCGTGCTGAACTGAAGCATGCAGATAATCGTGAGCTTAAAATAAAAGCTAAGAGAGGTGGCAAGACAGCGACAAAGTGATACGTACCTACCGCCTAAACATTTCCCTCTCGCATAGTGGAGCTGTCTTTCGTTCATCCCCTGCAGCATACAATCAATCAGAACCGCTTTTCATAAATTTTTTACTAAGCATACCGCTTGCGGAGTCGTTACAAAGCCCCAATCGACACTGGGATTGAAGTCTGTTGGACTAGACCCTGCATACCAGATGTCATCTGAAGGAATGACGCTCAAGTTCCCATCTGACTCCTCATAGAAACCCCCGGCTTCAACAACAGCAACGCTATACGAGCCATTTTCTGCTAGCCGTGCTGCTATCGTCAAACCTGCTGTTCCACCACCCACAACGACGTAGTCATAGCTTGCATCATCCCCTGGTATTCCAAAAGATGGATCGGGAGGGCTAAACGGACTGCCAGATAGTGCTGCAGCAAATGATGAAGTGCAAGCAACCCACAGGGTGATGTACCATATCCAAGATGATTGTAGCATCATGACATGTTGTGATGACCTAGCGAAGCAAAAAAAGTCTACGAACCACAATGCGTTCGGATATACTGATAATGGCACCTCTTCTCAAACTGCACATACACCTCATAATTAACATTCTGCAAACTTGGCCCAAACTTATAATAATGGCAATCTGTCTACATAATCTATTTAAAGAACGCTCTCGTCCATCTAATTCTTGGAATCTGCTTTTCGAACGCAATGTCTGCTGCTCAGCCTTCTCAGCCCTGACTGCAGTCAATTTGCGGGTACGAGGAAGTATGAATTAAAAATATAATCACGCATCATAATAACACTTAATATTGATTTGTTTAAGTAGTTTGTGCTTGGGGCGGGCGCTTAAGGTACGTGAGCTGAAATACACACTAGGTAATACATCATGTAATTGGTATTACAGTTGGGATCGACAATCAAATGCCCATAAAGAGTAAATCGCGGAAACATGCTCTTGTCATGGCCAAACAAATGTCCGAAGAGAAGCGACGTTGGGGCCGGCGGCAACGATGCATTGAAACATTTCAACATGCATCACTTAAATACAGCCCAGCTGGACGAGGTAATTTTGGGGCCCTGCACTTGCAGATTCCTAGTCCCGCTTGTCGTCGTGCCGTAGCCTCCGAACCTCGAGGCGGAACCCCAATGCAATAAAAAAGAAGAGAAAGGCGCAAATGTAAGCCTGTGGAAAGCCGCCTCCAAATTCAGGATCGACCGGTAGAGCGCCTGGATACAACGCAGCGCTTAATTGCGCTATCCAATTCAGGCTCAACAGCCAAGTGGCTGTTCGTAGTGAATCAGCTTGCATGGCTGGTGAACTGCACGTCCGGAAGAGGTAATACAACCCCGATAGGCCCAACAGTAGCCCGGTCGACATGGTCTGGCCATTGTGGAATTTTGCATGAGGTGGCCAGCGCTCGTTAAAGACATGAGTATGGTTCCAATCGAAGATAAAGCCCCCAGCGGCTGTAGAAAATGCAACAAAGGAGAGCACCAGACGCCCCGTAGAGAAAGTCATTGTTTTGTTGTTTGTTGATTGGATGTGTTCAAGTTATGACCCTCAAAAAAGTAGACGGATTTTGTAGCGATATTATAGCTGGGAGGGGTAGAGGTATCAGCTAAAGGAGGAATCAAAATATGAGCTGATAGTTGCAGAAGAGAAGTAGAAGTACATGTAAGTAGAAGTCGGGTTGCGTGATACGCTTGGACATGCCCGGTAAGGACCTTGTTTGGTAATTTTACACTTAGAATTATATGTAACATCAATGCAAATAAGCAAATGAACGGCATATACCATCGCCAGCTGGCGTCTATATCTCCCGGCATGGATGATTATGAGTATTGCTAGTTATGGCATTGTTTTTCCACTACACTGACCGACGATTAGGACCGTGGCCTCGTGGTAACCTGGAAAAAGGTCATATTTACGAAGACAAGCGGAGAAACCCTCGTTCACCCATCCAAGAGCTGCCGAGTAAATATCCCGTTTGGATCCCAAGTCTTCTTTAGTTGCTTCAATGTATCAAGTCTCTCTTTGCCGCGAAAGCGCCATTCGATAGGCCCATCTCGCGTGCCATTGGCGAAATCCACGTATTCCGTGACGTTCGGACCTCGCATGATGGCAATGCATCTCTCGTTAAAATTATCAACAGCAGCTCGATTATCTGCGTCCGTATGCCAAATGAGATTGTTCCTATGATGCATTTGCAGTCAGCAATTACCGACGACAAATCTTGTTGGCCAATGTGTGAGCGATCGTGGTATAAACATACTGCCAGTACCGAATGTTCTGAAGGGAATGAGCAGAGCCCAATCTTGATTTCCTAGGTGGCCTCGAATCCCACTGAAAATTGAAGCCTGAGTTTATGGCGTCTGGACACTGGGCAATCATCTCCTTCCACACGTCGATGGTTTTCAGAAAAGCTTCCGGGTCGAAACTGTGCAGCCCTACCACTCCGAAACGTTTGAAGTCTCCTTTGGCCCCAAGTACACTGCGAGCGTCACTAGCATTTTGAATAGGCACCTCACCACCAGACGCTGCGATTGGCTTCAGGTCGTACAGAGGTTGATAAGCAGCCGCTGCTTCCTGGGGATTTCCCGTGTATCGTGCAGCCACAACAACTGACGGTTGGCGAGTCGGTGGAGGCGCCATTACCATAAGGAGCCCAGCTGTTGCGTATTTATTATTACTCATTAAGTCTTTCATCACAGCAGCCACTTCGCCTGCTCTATCTAAGGGGAACACAAAACTTCCCGCCCAAATGACGCCATGATCATTACCGAGTGCGGAGAGGGGGTATGCCTCAATCGTCAACTCTGTCACAAGACCAAAGAATTGACCAGCACCTCTAATGGCCCAGAGAAGTTCAGAATTGTGCGTTTGGTTGGCCTCGATGAGTTCACCCGAGGCAGTAATGAGTCGTGCAGCAAGGATCTGATCTGCACCGAAACCGGTAATAGACGTCGTTATGGAAGCTCCACCGTTAAGGAAATAAGGAATCGCGCCCACAGTGTTGCCGTTTCCCAGTGCTAAGTTGGCAGTACAAATCAACCTACAGTCACCGGCGATCCCGCGTTTCTTCCCCATATAACTCACCTGTGAAAAGGCCAGCATCTGCTAATGCAACAGCAACCTCCTTGCTAAGTATGCTGCCCCTGAGAATAGCCGTGCGACTAGTCACATCTACTTCGACGCTCTTGTATCTACCAAGATCAATTATCACGCCGTTTTTACCGATAGTCGACCACTCGCTGTGGCCACCGCTTCTTGATACGAACGGGATAGAGCTCTTCAGAGCCCATTGCACCTGGTTTCGCAGGTCAGCTCACAATCCGCCAGAGTTTTAGTTTCTCTGCACTCACAGTCTGCAAGCAATCACTTTCTGAGCTTGGAAGAATGATCGCTGCTGGCTCTTCGCGGTTGATGTCAGTCCATCTCTGAAGGCGTTCCTGAAAGTCTGAACTGGAGGAGTCTACTAAGATCTCGCTGGCGGATGATAGAGAATTCCTTAGTGAGGGTATGTGCTCTAGTACCGCCATTTTTGACACAGAGAATCGTTGGATGCGAGCAGTATTTAATTTTGATAAAAACGAGTGAGATTGAAGCTGAATTATATTACGACGTAACACGGCCGAAACGATAATTAATACACGCTAGTACGTAATGAAATGTTCCCGGTATTTAATACACATAACACATGTAATGTCAGCCATGCGTACTGATTGGCAACTCGGCGAATAAACCTAAGCAGTGTAACCTCATCCCATGCAAGGAAGTTGTACTTGACTGGCTGGAGTGTCACGCTATAATGCGGTGTCTATGTGCCATGATCGCTATCAACAGGCATATCCTGGCTTACTTACGTGGCAGTTGTGTCGCGGTTTGCAGGAATGCTTCGCCCCCTCCAACAGAGACGCATGACACCACGCCAATCAATAACTGGTGATCATCAAGTGGCATTCGTCAGCCTAGCCTAATAGATTCTACGCTGACTTGGGAGACTGCTAACAGTGCATCGGGGGATGGATCAGCTCACCATGTTCGTACTCAGTCCCAGAATTGTTGTTGAAGATTGGCTTCTGTTTCCAATATTGATGGAGAATATTTACCGATCGTCGGGCTGCATGTAGTAAGGAACTGCCAAAGCTAGGTAGGCTCTAGCAAGATCTATAATTCGATAGATCAGTGTGCGGGTGTAAAGTGAGGCTCTGTCCACGACTCTCCGTTCAGCCTTGAGGACAGCCAGCGACCAGCATCTATTGGAGCGCCTACTACACAGTTATTACTCATTTTTGACTGAAAAATACGCTATTTGGATTAGGCAATAAGCCTGAACAGTCATTCTCTTTTCCTTATCCTGTGGTTTTGTGACGATACGGCGCTATGGCATATGGTGGGAATGGCGACCGTGGACCCTTTCTCAATACCATCAACTGGGTTTTTAATGCCATCGCTGTTGGTATGAGGATCTTCTTCAATCTTTTTAGTATGAAGGGCATTTACCAAGTACAATTTGCTGACAGAATGTTAATATAGTGGCGGTTCTTCTTAGATTTGGCACACATATCATCCGCGATAAGCACATATGGGAACCAGACGATTTCTTCATCATTCTGGCAATGGTAATTACATGTCAGAATCTGCTTTAAATTTCCTGCTAATTGATGATCACAGGTAGTGAACTTGGCACGTTCAATTTGTCTTTCTATAGCTATTTCCAGAGGCTTTGGTCAACATCTAGCCATTCTGATTGAGGAGAGCCCTACTAACACCACCGCACTGCTGCATTTGATGGTCGTTCTTCAAGCAGTCGGTCTTTGGACATTCACTCTTCCGAAACTGCCAGTGGCCTCCCTTCTTGTTCGCTTGTTTGGGAAATTTAATCGGCTCGCCTATATTGTGTATCCACTGGTCGGCCTACTCATAATATTTGTGACTGTTACAACCATTACCACCTTCCAGCAATGTAAACCGGTGGCTGCGCAATGGGATACAAGCATCCATGGCCACTGCTGGAATAGGTCTGTGAACATTGGTTTGGGCTATTTTGTCGGATGTATGATTCCCCTCAATTGCTCATAACGTACCAACTTGCTGAATGCTTTTATACAGCATTATCGGCGTCTTTGGACTTTGGATTTGCGCTGTACGCCGTGGTTACAGTGATGAGTCTGAATATGACTCGTGCACAGAAAATTGTCATTGCTAGTTCTATGGGTCTTGGCTTTGGGTATTGTATATTCTACTCATCCCGGTGTTCGAAGTACTAATGCGTTGATGTTAGTGCCTGTGCTGTCTCGATCTACAAGCTTACCATCATCAAAGAGATCAATGATCTTTCGGACCCGACATGTATGCTTCACATCTTTGCTATCGTGGCTCSCGAATCGGCTGCTAATTCTGGACAGGGGCCACAGTACCTCTCGAAGTTTGGAACAGGTGATGTTAAATCCTTTGTTGTTAGCTATGACAAGCAGCTGCTGACTTACCAACGCCTGTAAAGTGTCGAGGGAACTGTTCTTATAATATCGGCCTCATTACCTCTCATTCGACCTGTGGTGTGGAAGTTGTTGACACGTTTGTGGGTTATGACAGTAAAGCTTTCGTCATCGAGAAGCACGAAAAACAGGAGGCAGTATGCAATCACGGATGTTAGAAGCGAGGATGGAAAGGCCCAATCCAGAATTTGGACGCATCGTCCAGCGTATGTCCAGGCGCAAACCAACGATTTCATCCCCTTAGTTGAACTGAGGACAGATGGGACGAAGACTAGTACAGCAGAGCAAGACGCAGTATAATGKTGGAAAAAACTCTTGATTTAGGGATGGGCTTATCACTCGCAGGCCCGGGCTATTGCTTTACAAAAATACTGTTTAATTATCTTTCTTTTATCACTTGTAGCATTAGAGGACCTAATATTCAATTACACATTAAGAAAAAATATAGGATTACAACAATCATTCTTAGCAGCGAATGCCCATCCCCTCAATTGAGGCGCCAAAGCTTCCCCTCCACATTTCGACGGCTGTCTGAGCAAAACCTACCGCAACCTCCTTCCTCATCTGCCCGTCCTGATCTAAGTCATTGAGACTAACATAAGCTTTTTCAATGTATTCAGCTAGCGGCATAGGTGCCAGTGCATTTTCCCCTTGCATGGCTGTCACGGCGCTGCGATGCTCTGAATCCAGCCCCGTATCGGTATAAGGCGGCACAACCTCAACTAGATTCAAGTTCTTTTGGATGTTATCTGGTAAAAATCCCAATTGCTCCCGAAGAGCGATGCACAAACCATGCACACCAGCTTTTGAGGCGCAGTAAGCTGGGTAGAATGGAAAAGGAAAATACGCGAGAGTTGAGCTGGTGACCAACAAGTTGGCAGGATTTCCAGCAGAAGCAATTTGCATTAGATGCGGAACGAATAGGTGTATCAGAAGTGCAGGAACGGTCAAGTTCACGTTAATTTCAGAAGATATGCTTTCGAGGCTCGTTGTCTTCGGATCTAGAAAAGAGAATGACTTTTGTATGCCAGCATTGATGAAGATTGTATCCAGAGTGGGATACTCTGCGATGATATCTGATACATGCTGCTCCAGGCCCGCAATGTCGGACAAATCCCACTAGGCAGGGGCGCGCGACGGTCAGCAATTTAATTCTCCTTTCGTCCCGCTTTCTTCCTAAATTATCTCACCTTTCGAGTTCCTATGCCTGGGAGCTCATTCTGTAGCGCTGCCAGACGATCCGTTCGGCGACCAGTAATAATCACTTTCTTTCCATCGCTATAGAAGCGCCGAGCGAATGCTTCGCCAATCCCAGAAGTGGCCCCAATGATCAGTATTGTGTTGATGCGAGAACCCATATTGCAGCAACTTGGAATGAGTATGATTCCACAAATGCAAAGTTATAGTCTCTATGAGGATTTCTTTGGTCAGTGATGATACTTCTAGAGCTCAGGGAAATGACGAAGTAGAGATGCTGGAGAAGTTGGAATATAAAGCTAAAGAAATGTTGTAAGGAACGCTACCTATGTACGATACGTCAATCACGATTGGGGAACCATTCGGATGCATGGAAACCGCATTAGCCAAAGTTGCACTCGCTAGGACTTTTGTGTAACAGGGTCTATTCAATTGCATAAATTTGAGCATTGACAACAAAAGGAGAACAGGGTTCATGGCTAGCTTGTATAGTACGGTATGGTAAGATTAATGGGAAGGATAAGAGAGTCTGGTAATTACATTGTAACGTAACAAGGTATTATTACGGTATGTGAAATACGATATGGAGCAACATGCACATGCTGTTCTATCAGATGTATCACGCCATAAACGGTGATCCACATTGACAGCCTGAGAATGATACATATTTAGCCGATAGAAATGTTTCTCAGCTTAAAGAAGAAGCCTTACCAGAACCCTTGAGATTGGATGCCTTACGACGAGACGAGGACACCCGAGACGAAGACCAAAGCCATTCACTGGTTAAGAAAACATCTATTCTCTGTATTCAAAACTGAATAAGCAGTGAATATGATTGTGTATGTATTTGGCGACCAGGTAGAGGACTACTCAACAGGGTTGCCCGCGCTGCTGCTGTCCGATCAAGACCCAATCCTGGATGCTTTCCTTGTGCAATCGTACAAGATCATTCGCCGCGAGTTATTGAGCGCTTTACCTTCGACCTCCCCCCATTTCTCAAGTCTGCTTGATATAGCAAGATGGAGGAGTCTTGGCATCCAAAACTTGGCTGTCGAGCATGCATTGACGACTGTTTACCAGATTGGGCTATTCATGCGGTAGGTTCCCAACCAGTTCCATATCATCATGTAGCGTTCAGGGCATAGGTGAAAAATAATAAATTTAGATTGCCACAAGGCTTTAAGTGTCGCTAACCTACTTGTATGATTGAGGCATCTTCATAAACGACATGGCGTATACCCAACCCCGCTGGACACGATTGTTGTTGGAATTTGTACCGGTAGCATAGCTGCTGCTGCCATAGCTTGCTGTAGGTCACTGTCTGAACTACTACCACACGCTCTAGAAGCTGTCAAGATCTCTTTCCGTGTCGGTCGCCTAGTATTGAATGTTGCAAATTGCATCGATATCTCGTCTTCGGCAGTGGACTCATGGGCACTATCAATCCATGGGTTGTCGAGAAAAGAAGTCACGGAAATGCTTGTGCAAGTTGTAGAGTCACAGGTAGGTCTATGTCACCGTATCTAAACAATAATAGCCATTTTTCTAACTCCACCACAAATGGGTGTCATAGGCAGTTCCAGTGACTTCAAAGCCATACATCAGCGGTCTGTCACTTCGCAGTGTCATTGTTGCTGGTCCACCTAGTACTATGGAACAATTGAAAAAGTCCCGACCCGTCACATCGTCGAAGTACGTCCAGTTGCCTCTTCACGCTCCTTATCATGCCCGCCACCTCTACTCAGAGCAGGACATGGAAACAATTCTCACGCCAAGTATTCTCATTGTGAACGAAAAAAGGGACTATAAAGCTATCCCGGTTATATCAGCTTCAACTGGCAGGATCAATATCCCTTCAACGATGAAATCTGCCCTGGAAATAGCCGTCCGCGATATACTACGTGATGAGCTCCGATTAGACTTGGTTCTAAAGTCTCTGTCTACCGATATAATAGAGCTATCAGATACCGACAAATCGAGTATTATACTTGTTCCAATTGCATCATCAGCGGTAAATGGATTGGCTGCCGCTTTACAGGACAGAGGTATCGACGTCAGACTAGACATGGATTCGGTTTTGGATCATGGAATACCAACCTCTAACCACATATATCAAGCTTCTTTAACCAAAACTGCGGTTCCGACACCTATCGCAATTGTGGGAATATCCGGACGATTCCCGAGCGCCAGTAGCATGGATGAATTCTGGGATGTTCTTGCAAAGGGACTTGATGTTCACAAGACCGTACCATCTCAAAGATGGAACGTTGCTTCCCACACAGATGCAACTGGTAGAAAAAAGAATACGAGCATCACACCATTTGGATGCTGGCTCGATGAACCCGAACTATTTGATGCGAGGTTCTTTGGAATCTCACCACGAGAAGCAGCCCAAATCGACCCAGCGCAGCGTTTAGCGCTTGTGACGGCATATGAAGCTCTCGAACAGGCAGGCATCGTTCCTGACGGTAGCCCATCAACCAAAAGAGACCGTGTTGGGGTTTCCTATGGGGTTACGAGCAATGACTGGATGGAAACCAATAGTGCGCAGCAAATCGATTCATACCTCATTCCTGGGGGCAATAGGGCTTTTATACCTGGCCGAGTCAATTACTATTTTAAATTCTCAGGTCCAAGTTATTGCATTGATACTGCTTGTTCCTCTAGTCTTACTGCCATTTATATTGCCTGCAATTCATTGTGGAAGGGAGAGGCAGATACCATAATAGCCGGGGGAACGAACATCATAACGAATCCTGACTTCACTGCCGGGCTAGATCGTGGATTCTTCCTGTCTCGCACCGGGAACTGCAAGACATTTGATGAAACGGCGGATGGCTATTGTCGAGGAGAAGGCGTTGTCACGTTGGTTATGAAGCGGCTAGAAGATGCGCTGGCTGAGAATGACCATGTGCTAGCAGTAATATCTAACGCGCACACAAACCATTCCGCGGAGGCGGAGTCAATCACCAGGCCGTTTTTCGGTGCCCAGAAATCGGCTATCGACCACGTTCTCGCAGGCGTCAACCCGGACGATGTTTCTTACGCCGAAATGCATGGGACAGGCACGCAGGCCGGTGACACCACCGAGATGACCAGCGTTCTAGCCTCTCTGGCACCGGCGACTCATGAAAAAGGGTCTAGACATCATCCCTTGTATCTAGGTGCAGCTAAAGCCAACGTAGGCCACGGTGAAGCTGCCGCGGGTGCTACCAGTCTTGCAAAAGTAATCTTGATGATGCGTCATGACACGATTCCACCCCATTGTGGAATTAAAACAAGGATAAATTCTAAATTTCCTTCGGACCTAGCTTCACGGCAAGTTTTTATTGCATCCAAGCCAGTAATTTGGAAACGAGATGGGGTGTCACCACGCCGAGTCTTGGTCAACAACTTTAGCGCAGCAGGTGGGAACACCACTTTACTCGTTGAAGATGCACCTCCAAAGCCGAAAATTGACAATGAAGGTAGTCTAAGGAGAGACCCTCGCTCAATCAGCGTTGTGACTGTGTCTGCTAAGAGCTCGCGCTCACTTATGAACAACTTGCAAAAGATGCTGGATTTCGTAAGCTCTGATAACCAGGAAAGACCCTTTGATCTACCGTCCCTGGCATATACCACGACGGCACGGCGGATGCATCATGCCCATCGTGTTGCAGTTACTGCAAGCTCTCTAGGATCTTTAGTCGAAGAACTCAAACATGCACTAGACACGAAAGTTGGCAAGAAGAGAACGGTTTCAGCTCCCGCAACGATTTTCGCGTTCAGCGGACAAGGCTCCCAGTACATTGGGATGGGCAAAGTTTTGTTCGATACGTTTTCATCCTTCCGTACCGATATTCATCGCTATGACCAGGTGGCTCGATCACATGGTGTTGCTTCGATTCTGCCATTGATTACGTCAACGACAGGAGATATTTCACAATTTTCCTCTTCAACTATACAGGTCGCTACAGTCTCCTTACAAATGGCTATATCCCGTTTTTGGCGTGCATGCGGCATACAGCCTGCTGCAGTTATTGGTCATAGTTTGGGACATTATGCAGCACTCAACTGTGCAGGTGTCCTCTCGGAAACAGACACAATTTTTCTCGTCGCTGCCAGAGCCCAGTTGCTCGAGAAGAATTGCAGATCTGGAACGCATTCCATGCTTGCCGTAAAGGCATCGTTGACAGTCCTAGAAAATTTCCTGAACCATAATCACATGGTTGAAGTCGCTTGCATTAACAGCCCCGAAGACGTCGTTCTGAGTGGCCTACATCAAGACATTGAGGACTGTGCTAAAACACTTCAAAGTAGCGGTATCAAAGCTATCCCACTTACAATCCGTTATGCATTTCACTCGGCTCAAGTAGACGGTTTGCTGGAAGAATTTGTAGTACGAGCCCGGGCGACTTCATACCACGCTCCTTCGGTACCTGTGATATGTCCGCTGGAAGGAAAGATAATTGACAAAATCGGCGCTGTTGGACCTGAACATCTAGCAGCTCACTGTCGCGGTCAAGTTAATATCGTCCGCGCCATGGATGTTGCGGACAGAGGAGGTCTATTATCGCGTAATTGTTGTATCCTGGAGATTGGAGATCATTATACGTTCTCAAATATGTTCAAATCGATTTTTCAAAAATCAAATACGCGGCCAGATATCAAGATTATGCCTTCTATGATAAAGCACATAAACACTTGGAAGACGGTCTCGGAGGTACTCTCTTGGCTTTACATGGCTGGAGTGGATATACAATGGCGCGAATATCACAGAGATTTTGTCTCAACCCTGGATCTCATCTCATTACCAGCCTATAGCTGGGATGCTGAGCCGTACTGGATCCAATATGTCAATGACTGGTCTCTGCGCAAGGGTGATCCTCCGATCATTTACCAGAATGGCGAGGAAATGTCAACTGCAGTTCAGCCCCTAGATACTACAGTTTACGACACTCTACAGGAAGAAATCGGACAAACATCGGGACTCCTTGTTGTGCAATTGGACTTATCTAGGGATAGTATGAAGGGTTTAGTCCAGGGACATAGAGTCAATGGAATACCATTGTGTACACCGGTGTGTTATTGGTTTCCCTATGTGTTTCAAATCCTTTCGTATACCATCCACTACCTAATGTTTGCTGTCAATTTTAAGCAGCTCTGCAGCAACTGTAGTTGTTGGGAAATATGAGTTGGTTGAGCATGAACTGACTGTGTACAGTCCGTATATGCCGATATCGCGTTCACCTTGGGAACATATCTCCAAAGACGATACCAATCTGTAGAAAATCGAAAGGTAGTGACTATATGCGACATGGTACTCGAAAGGGCTCTTGTGGCTCAAGCAACGAGCCCACAGTTGTTACGCACGACAGTAGAAGTTGACTGGTCCAAGGAAACGGCAATTTGTAGCTTCTTAAGCGTTGATGTGAGTAACTCTTAGTCTGCAGTGGTTTCAAATGTGCAGATTACTTGTTTTCCTAGCCAAAAATCACTGACTGGGAACAGGTTCAGGGAACAACGCTTTTCAAGCACGCCTACTGTTCCATAAAATTCCGTCAGGAACACATACTCAAACCCCAACATGCAAAAGAGGTACAGCGCAAGATTGAGAATCTACGCGAAGGAGTTGCCTCAGATAGGTGTTACAAGTACAATAAGTCAATGATATACCGCATGGTAGCGACTGTGGCGGAGTTCGACTCTAAGTACAGGGGACTGAAAGAGATCATTCTTGACAGCAACGCCATGGCTGCGAGTAGTATTGTTGATTTCCGAGCCCTTACAAATCTGAAAAGCGACTCGCTGTGTTCGCATACCCATCCGGCCTATATTGATGCCTTCTCCCAGGTCGCTGGGTTTGTGATGAATGCAAATGATAATTCCGATCTTGAAAATGAAGTTTTCGTGAACCATGGCTGGGAATCTCTTGAATTATACACTAACATTGATCCCAATATCCCATACCAATGCTATACAGAAATGTCGAGATTCGAAGGTAGCTTATATCAAGGTTCGATAATCATAATCAATGGCGATAGCGTGGTCGGAAAGTTTGAGAACATAAAAGTGAGTCAGTTGAAGCAATATTGGCAGCTTTACTCTACTGACTTGTTTTCGCCTAGCTCCTCGGGGTCAACAAGAAGATATTACATTCCATTCTATCACTGGGATATAAAGCACCATCGCAAGTTAGCGCACAACCTCGCGAGTCCAAGTCCTTCATCCATACTCCGTCTACTGTTTATAGTGATGAAAGTGAATCCCTACTGGGAAGTAATGTGAATGCTAAAATTTCCATGATGTTTAAAATCATCAGTGAAGAAAGCGGCGTGGGTGACGAAGACTTACAAGATGACACACCTCTCGCATCCGTTGGAATAGACTCACTTTTGTCGCTGATTATAACCAGCAGGCTTAAGGATGATCTCGGATTCTATACAAATTCTGGGATTACCGTTTTTGACGAATTTCGCACGGTAGGCGAATTGAAAAATGAGGTCATCAAGTTCTTCAGTCCCTCATCAACATTGTCGCCGTCATCAAAAACGAGCGATTCTTCGACAATTGTCTCTACAGGAAGTTCTTCACCTGTGGTGACTGAGTCATGCACCATAGAAACATCCCAGGAGAGGCACACACAATTCAAAGACTCAAATGACATAACCACAAGCTTCGAGAGCCGCTCGTCAGTCATCTTACAAAGACCTTCAGTTGCATCCAGTGTGGAAGTTAGAGGAAAAATCTTGTTTCTTTTCCCAGATGGTTCAGGCTCCGCTCTATCCTACGTCGACATCCCCCGTGTAAATGAATCTGTGACCATTATAGGTTTAATATCACCTTTTCGAAAACATCCAGAAGCCATGAAGACATGCAACCTGGATGAACTCATCTCCATATATTTGGCTGAGATTCGCCGTCGTCAGTCTTGCGGCCCGTATAACCTGGGCGGTTGGTCCGCTGGAGGCATTCTCGCATTTCGCGCAATGACTGAGTTGATACAGCAAGGTGACACTGTAGAAAACCTGGTCTTAATCGACTCACCAGATCCAACCTCAGGGCTCGGTCGGCTTCCTCAAGGGTTTTACGATCATTGTCAGGAGCAGGGCATCTTTGGTCAGATTGAGAAAATCAACATTGAGAATAATGTCAAAAGCGGTTTTGCGGAGGAACAAGCTGGTGGTCACTCTAAAGACTACACACAGGTTCCCCCATGGCTGATTCCGCATTTCAATGCTACGATTGATATGTTGCATGACTATCACGCTAAGCCCCTGATGAAACATGGCGAAAACATTGTTGAGCCCCGAGTATCGATTTACCTGGCTACAGATTGTGTTTTCGATGGGAATGACTATGCTAGCTTCCCTACCATGCCGGGAGAAGCTGCTCACAACACGAAGTTTCTGACAGAACCACGCACTGACTTCAGCGCAGGAGGGTGGGCACAACTTTTTCTGGGACAAGAAATCCAAGTGCAGCTTGCACATGGTGCGAATCACTTTTCGATGATGGTAAGTTTTGATATTCATATAGACTATTCTTTGTCGTTCGCTTACATACATATCATTCTAAAGCATGGGAAACACGCTGAAGCACTTGCACGATTTATCAATTCCGCTTTAGCGTGAGATATCGACTCAAATTTGAGAAAAATCCATGGATATCGCTATGTATATACGCTTCAGCGTCAGTCTACTATGCCAATATTTACATGTCTCCTAAATATACCCAGCTCTTTGGACCTGACTGAATTCCATTCAAATTTGCCAATGACAATAGTGTCAATAAAAATATCAGAGACATGACAGTCTTCACTTTTGGCAAGTAACTTTGGAATTTCCGCACATCACTTCTTGTCACCATCAAGCGGGAACCAATAATTGAATCGACCATAAGGATCATATATATTTTTAAGATCCTGAAGTCTTTGAAGGCTCTGGCCATACACAGTCGTCAAACTTTCGTCTCCGAACGCGTTGTTGATATACCTGGAAGCGGTTAGCTTTCATTTTTTCCCAGAGAGAGACCTCTAGGGCGGAGAGACCACATACGTGCTATTTTTCTTTAAGCCTGAACTCAGCCTCCATTTGTCCCTACAGAACGAACCAAAAGCTAGAGCGCTTGCATCAAAGCTGGAGCCATTCCATACCAGGGAGGCTTGAGCATTGAAACGAATTGTGGAGCGAAACGGATAAGCCGTAGAGGAATCAGAAATAGAACTAATCTGCGCAGTAGAGTATGCATCCAACAGAATAACGCTGTCCTGAGCTTCCGGATGTAAGAGAAATTCTTTATATGCGTCATAAACTACTTCCCATGACTTAGGTTCCAACCCCGCAAGCCCAGCACCAAAGGACGGCTTGTTACCCCCTTTGATGCACGACGTATCCTGGGCAGCATTCCAGTCTGGATACGATATAATTGAGGTATTATCTGCCACTGGGCCTATTTCGTATATTGGCGCAAAAGCGGCCTTGCCTTGAGCCTCGGTGCCGTGATAAAACACGGTGAGAATGATGAGTGGAGAGACTGACGCGTTCCCAGAGCTTGCAAATGTTAGTGACATGGCCATCCGGGGTTGGAGCGTGATATCGTTCATGGTTTGGATCAGAGTACCAAGCTGACTCTCTTCAAAGACAAGAGGGCCGAGCCAAGCGTTCAATGCGGTCGAATTGACAGGATATGATTTCACCACGGCCGACGTGACTGCGCCAAAATTTGGTCCGGCGCCACGCAAGGCCCACCAGAGACTCTCGTCGTATTCTGCATCAGCACTAGGTGTAATAGTTATTGCCTGTCCAGACGCAAGGACTACGTTTAGGGAGACGACATTGTCCAGCATGAGCCCGTACTGGCCCATCAAATAACCGGTTCCGCCTCCCAGTAGAGCGCCCAAGTAGCCAATGCAATTACATGTCCCAGATAGCACCAAGGCACTATTGGAGTAAGCACTTTGAATCATTTCCGACATCAAGGTCCCGCCTCCAAGGCTGACAAGTGTCTTCTCGGAATTGAACGTAACTCTATTCAGAGCGGCAAGGTTGATGATGACGCCGTTGTGGTTCAGCTGGCCTAATGTAGTCGACGAACCGTGTGCACCGTTTTGGACTAGGTATGGTATGCTCTTGGAGTTGCAAAATTGAATCTGAATGCGTGAGACATGACAGTATACTATGCCTATACTGTATTGCAGGTTTTAGGCTTACCGTAATTTGTACGTCCTTTTCTGCGGCCACGTTTATGATCGCGATCGGCTGTGGTGCATCGTAATCGCTCCATCTAGGCGCATCTGAGGTACTCCATGAAATCGATGCATTGGGAGACAGCTGAGTCCGGAGGTTGGCTAGGTCAGTAGCAGCAGTAATGGAAGCAACAGCGCTGCTGGCAAATATGCAAAGCCAGTGCCAGAGAATGGTTAACCTAACAACAGAATAGAAGGCCATCTTGGATTGAAAGCTGATTGCAGCAGAACGATGAAGGTACCTGAAGTACCTGAAATACCGACAGGGACAGTAGAAGAGAAAATTCCACGTGGGCGGATATTTTCTTTTCGGTCATCCAATAAACAAAGACAGGGCATTTCTTTGCTTGTATATGAATGTGCTACCTAGTTATACCTTGTCCTCTCAAGTGGCCAAAGCCCTTACGGTAAATGACCGTACGTATGCATCGAAATACCAATACATGATTACAATCAATACCGAGACGGTCATTGCAGTATTCAAGATCGCTAAAACATCGAGACGTCAGCATGCAAAAGATGCATCGCTGATGACCGTGCAGGATCGTGTGAGGGCACACCAGACTTTATTATGTAAAAGCTAGAAACTTGCGTCTTGATATTAGACTTTGCAAGTGGGATGTGGATTATCTCGATGATTGGGCAGAGATAAGCCTAGAGACAAATTACCCCATACTTCCAAGAACATTCTTAGTTCTAATTAGCAAGTTTCCCCTGCTCAATACCGTATCATCATAAAGAATTACACCTTCTCCTTGCGCCGTCTAAAGATCAGAGTCCTTGAGTCCTTGAAAAGACTAGAACAATTGTGAATAGACGCCACCATGCGCTCCCACCATGGCTGCGCCCGCTGCAAACACCGACGCCAAAAATGCGACGAAAGGCGGCCCAGTTGTACGCGCTGCGAAGAAGCCGCTGTGAATTGCGAGTATGTTATTAAACTCAAATGGGATGGTCGTGTACCGAGAAAACAAGAGCAGACATCGAGACGAAGGAGGAGGCGGAAGGCTGCTTGTTCTATTACTGCGACAGAGTTAGAGAGTTTGCACCACAGTCCACCGGCTCAACCTTCGATAGATGAGGAATCCAAATTGATGGAAGTAGACGCTTTCAAAGCCCTATCTTCCCGCGACAAATTACTGCTGAACCATTTCATAACACACGTCTCCAAATTAATGAGTCACACCTCGGTCCGCGAACAAGCATGTCAAATCCTACCCGTGGCGCTGGAAACACCTTCCTTACTATACGCTACCCTAGCATTTTCAGCACTTCATCTCTCGACTTTGATTTATACTAATTCTAGTAATGCAACTGGGGGTGGGATATGCGACACATCGGTTGCCGACATTCTTGCGTGCAGTATCACACATCTACGGCAGGAACTCGAAGACAAGGATCCTACATGCAATGTCAACCATACGCCGGGTCTGTTGCATACCGTAAAGACTCTCTGTCTTTTCGAGATCTACTCCGGTAAATATGACTCATCCTGGCGCGCACATCTCAAAGGCGCAAGGGCCCTCCTCAAGACCACATCGACCGGTCTATCGACAAATGCATCCTCCGGGGGCTGGTTGATAGCAAGATGGTACATTTCCATCGAAGCTTTATCTGCATTAACGAATGACGAAACTCATGATGAACAACAACAGGTAATTCAGCCCATGATCGATTCAGTGGTTAGCCAAGGCTCTATGCTGGATATCTATGCCGGTTATTCGGCTGATTTGCACTTGGCGTTTAGAGATATTGGGTCCTTGATGCAAAAATATGCATCTAAAAAAGATGAATCCTGCGGTGATGACATTCTGTCAGACCTGCTGAGGCATTGCGATGAATGCATTGAAATCGAACAACGGGTCGAAAACATGATCCATCGCGACAAGGATGGCGGACTCAGAATTTCCGCTGAAATGTCTCTGAGTGCAGAGGAAATTCGAATGTTTACTGCTTGCAATACTGCATACCAGTACTCGGCGCTTCTTCATATTCGTCGACGATTATATAACATGGCCCCCGAGTCCGGACAAGTACAACAGTGCGTCAGAGGTATTCTGGATGCAGTGTGTAATGTCTTACCTGTTACGGTATTGTCGCCGTGGATCTTGCTTACGACGCCTATATTTACCGCGGGGTATGTCTAGTTCTACTCTGAAATTTGAACGAAGTTCTTATCTAACGATCCATAGTTGTGAAGCTATAGCCCACGATAGAGAGACAGTAAAACACCTTCTAACGGAGCTATACACGATCCTCCGGATTCGCAATGTTTTGAGAGCACTGGAAGTACTGGAACAACACTGGAAAGGACCAGATGATAGCTACGCGGATGTGGCTGATTTCCTGCCTTTCTGATGCCCCTTCTAGCCAGACTTCTTATAGTATAGCTCATGAGATTGATTAAACCATTATAGCGATACCATCATACAAAACTGTGGATGAAGATTAAGACCTCCAACGACTATATCTAATATCACCTTAGGCTATATTTTCCTTCCAAAACCAATACAGATAGATTGGAATTATTATTTTCAACTCTCTTTCATTCAGTCTGCCTTACAGATATATAGTAGAGTATTATACTATTGCGGCAATCCAGCTCCCTACTCCTTACAATTTAGCCTTTTTTGCCTAGCAAAGAACTATGTACCAAAGTAAGGGACATTTTAAGTAACCTAGGCTTCGATTTTATAAAAGAGGCGGGGKAAGCACATGGTCGAAGATAGAAATACGAGAAACCAAATATTTCGCTGCTGCCTACGGAGTGCATTTTTCAAACATGGGAATAAATGCATTGAATTCTTCTACAGACTGTTTGAACTGCGACTAATCGTCCTAGTCCAATCCAAAAAATGACGCCCCTCCATGCTGAATGGAGCTCATTTATTACGCAGAATCCCAACGTGCGCCATGACGATGATGGTCAACGAAATAGAGACTTCTATGACTCTCCAGCCGGCCGCGACTTAATTACAGAGGTATCGACGAGAGATACAACCGTTCCAGCCCGTGATGGACACAATATTCCAATTCGAGTATACACCGCGAAGGGACAGGGATTTAGGCATGGAGTGGTTATCTTCTACCATTCCGGTGGATTTACAGGTGGTTCCCTGGAAACCGAAGATGGTACGCTTGAAATTGTTAGCGAATTAGATCGTAAATGGAGTGATACAATTAACAGAACATACACAGTAATATGCCGATACATGGCCCTATCCGGTCCTCTCACCGTTCTCAGTGTCGAGTACCGACTCAGCCCAGCACATTTATACCCTGTCCCCATCAACGATGGTTGGGACGTATTTCAGTACATAGTCACCAATCTCTCCAGCTTAGTAGCAAACCTCGCTTCCGGAATGATCAACCTAGTCGTAAGTGGAACCTCTTCAGGTGGGCAGATCGCGGCTATCGTCTCTCAACGCGCGCAAACCTGGATGAAAGGGAATGTTTCTTGTGTAAATATCACCATGAGCGGTGTTCTGCTCAGAGCGCCTGTGACTGTGCGTGGGACGGAGGCACGGTATATTCCTCCCCCGTTTAGAGACTTGCACCAATCATGGTGTGCTGAATTGGAGACTGTTCGCCTCACGAGACAGGGAATGGAAGAGATTCATGGTATGTATTTCACTTCATATTGACTATATAGCTAGCATTCGCAACGACTAATCTCCTCAAACTATGTTCTCTCAGATACACTTGGAGTCCCGCCTGACGAAAGAGATAGTCCAGAAGCGTATCCATTATGGGGTCAATTTCATGGCTTACCAAGAACATACATTCAAATCTGCGATGTGGACATTCTCCGGGACGATGCTGTGTGCTACGCGCAAGGCTTGCGAGATGCCGGGGTCGAAGTGCAAAAGTCATTGTATACGGTATGAATCTCATAGCACAAGCGCTTAGCTATCATTGATTAAAGCTCTGACAGATTCAATTAACAGGGCCTTCCGCATATTTTCTGGGTCTATGCCCCCCATTTAGATGTATCAAAAAAGGCTCAAGAAGACTGTGTGCGAGGTTTGAAGTGGCTACTTACACCTGCTACCTAGATAGAAAAGCACGATTGTGCAACATAATGGGGCTGCACTTCTTTGCATTTGTATTTACAATCATATGTCTTTTACCCTTTCAATACAGAGTTGATAGAGGGCTAGGACGAAATAGGAAAGTCGAGGAGATGAACCTTAAAGTGCGATAACGATAAGAGCATCCACCGATTTTGAGGGGCATCAATCATCATCACTTTCCAAGATTGGTCTGGTATATATAAACACTACCACCTTCCAAATAGATAAGTAATCGTTAACTTTACAAAGAAGGAAAGGAAAGGAAGAAGAAAAATGCCTGTCCGAGCCTCAACCCTAATAAGCGTCCAGTGGCCCCCCGAGCCCATCTCGCCGGGTCCAGACACCCTCGTCCTCAGCGTGGGCACATACTACGTTGATCTACGCATGAATCGGGACGATGGCAGCATCTACTGGGCGTTGGCGGGGAGGAGGATTGTCGTTTCTGAGGAGCCAAGTACGCCCCTTTCCCTCCTTCCTTCCGCTCAATGATTGTTGAGAGTGAATGACTGACTTGAAAATGAAAACAGGAAAAGTGAAATTCACACATGAAATCGACTCTCATGACACCACAACCAATGACAATACTGAGAGCAAAGAGGCAGGAGAGGAGGAGGTCGCAGACGAAGGCACATTCACAAAACTGCCTAATGGCGACGATCTCGAAATCGGCGAAATGCCTGCGCCGCATTTGGGCGGGAAAGTGGCGGCGTATAGAGAGGTGTGGCGCGAGTTGAATGCCTTCGACAATGACATCAAAAATGAGGATGATCGAGTTTGTTGGATGCTGGAAAGCGTTGAGGTTCCGGAGGAAAAGCAGGAGCGAAAGGAGAAGAAGAGGGCGTTTTATTGTCGAGTTGGGAGGTTTTTTCTTGCGTTACGGCGGGCTGAAACGCGAGTCTCTGATGACGACCCAAAAGCAGTGGAGGTTGAGTTTTCGGGGATTAGGCAGGAATTCGAGGGCAGAGAGTGGGTGACGAAGTATAGTGTTGGTACGGAAGCGGATGATATGCTTCACATGTCGACGTCCAAGTTTGTGTTGGAGAATGTTAAGGGCGAAGATTCAGCGTGGAAAGTTGATGATCAGGTTGTGATCATAAATAAAAAGGATGGCACAGTACGGGAAGCTTGTGTTGTTAGGGCAGTGAAATGATCAATCCGCAGAAAGAAAAGGTAGATAGAAAAGGTATGTCCATGTATATTAGTATAGGACGATGCCTAAGTCGAGGAGAGTGGTATCAGAAACAAATAAACCCAGCAGATTCTGAAACAATCAACGCCATCCCTCTGGTATATCTTTTAAAGTACATGATGCTCCCTGACCTGCCCACATTAAGATCTATGTATAATATACAGATCATTGCATTACAGCCCCCCCACTGGTCCAATCCAAATTCCACCCCTGATCTAAATCCAGATCCAACGGAATATTCGACCATAGACTCAAGTTCTCATTATTACCCAAAAACCCACCCATAAGCCCGCCTGCCATTTGCTCCGGATTGTGGTTCATCGACATGCCCGCGTTCAGGTTCATGCCAGCGTTTGGTAGCGTGGTAATATTCTCTAGTTGGACGCGGGAGGAGTCGTCCCATATCGATGAGGTTACTGGGTCGTTCAAAGCTTGGTTGTGTTGTTGATCTGGGCAGTTGGAGACGGAGCAGCTGGTGAAATCGATGTTTGACTGCGGCGGGGKGTATAACCCAAAAGGGCTGGTTTGTTCGGATGCACAGCCCTTGACGGAAGAAGGTTGTTGACTGAAACAGCTGCTGCTGCTTGGTGTAGGTTGTTGTTGCTGCTGTTGATGAGCGGCGGATGAACGATTTCGGACTTTAAAGGCTTTTTTGCCTGGTATCACTGTGACACTGCCGAAATACGGAACGGAGACTTTGCAGGATACGGCTGACGGGCATTCTGTTTCCATGTTTTTGCTCAATCCCTCCAAAATCAGAAGTGACTGTTGTGCGACTGTGCCGGCTGGTTCCATCGCGGCGTGACGGAGTACCTCTGTCGTGGCGTCGATGATTTCCCAGTCCTTCTCATCCTGTTCCGGGCTGTAATTTGGCGCGTCTTCGGAGTATCCGATAACATTGATAATCAAGAGCATGGCCGCTGAAAAGGCCTGAAAGTCAATCAAACGGCATATGTACGGACTCATCATATCAGCAGATCGCAACATATTATATGAGAGCAGCGCATTCCGAGTCGATTCCAACGCAGCTTCTCGGCTGAACTGATACCGGCGGTCGCCATGGGATTGCAACATGAACGGCAAATGTAGCGTGGCCCGCATATAGTGAAACACAAAAGGCAGCAACAATCGCTCAGTCGCTTCATTGACGGAGATCTTCTGCTCCGGAATTCGTCGCTGCCAAAAGTGGTCTGGCATGGACCTTGCCTGGTCTTGCAAGTCTTGCTCTAGCTTGAGTGTTTCTGCAATGGACATCTTGGTCGGATCTTCCTGATTTCGATCGATGATTGGACCCATGACAAGTGATAGTTGAAGGCAATAGGTTTCCATATTGGGAGGCTCTGTTTTCAAGCGTCGTTCGACCTGTGGCCGATACAGGCGTTCCTGAACCGCATACGGCAGACCAAGAATCATGCAGAGGAATCGATCATTTAGGCCAAGTACTGTCCACAGCTTAAGACGTCGGTCGTACAATTTATCGTCTGGATGGGGATCTTTGGCTGTCGAGATGTGCAAACCGGCTAATTGAGCTAATTCAACTCCGCGCCTCGTCAAAAGCCATGCCTTTCGCGGCCGTCCAATGCTCGTATACCATTTAGAGAGGAGTAGTATCGCCTCAAGACTGGGCAGAGTGCCGCATAAATCCTCATCATTGATAATCAACCGGTCGATTGTATTTACGCAGCGATCGGCGTACTCGCTCGGTACGATGGGCATTTCTAGAGAATTGTAATCGAACCCAGCCGGAAGCTGGTCGATACACATCAAGTGGCACAGTATAAATTTGGCAACGTCTCCCGGAGAATTCGGTATTTCAAAGTAATCCCGCTCACCAACGAGAACTGACTTGTCCCGTTCAGGTAGTTCGGGAAACATTTGAACCCACACAGACCACCAATTCGCGGCCACATCTCGAATGCGACGGAGATCGGCACGTGGTGGAATCAATTTGACGAGCTCGTTCCGTGCTGCAATCGCTTTTGGTGAGATGGCCTGTGTAGCAGCGATATTCTGATTTCGTGTTGCCGTTCCCTCGGTGCGGGAGATAATATTATTATTGAGAATCTGAAGTACTGGAGCGTTCTCGATCTGATGACTGTCCGTAATAGGGGCGCCCTCGACAATTTCGCTCGCAACCGTGACGGTCATCTGCTTCCCCGAAACGGGGACTCTCGGCTCTGCTGGATTTGGTTCGAGATATTCGTTTATGTAATGCTTACTGGTCTGCGTTGGCGGATACTTGTGATGATCAATCTGTGCCGCTGGTGATGCGGAAGCCGAAGATGGGGTTGTATGTTCCATCCGCTGCAAGATATCTCTGACCACATTCTCAAGCTGCGTTACTCGCTCACGCAAACTGTAGGATTGCTCGCCGGATAGAGGGCCCGCGACCTTGGGGTCCACGGTCCCATGTTCCTGATCAATGCATTCGAATCCTCTGGTATGGCATTCATTGCATATATTCGGGCGATCAGTGTCGTATGTGCAACGTATTTTGCGTCTGCGGCCTGTTCGCGTTAATCTTAGACAAGTTGTGAGGGACTTTTAAGAAGCTCACATTCGATACAACTCTTGGTCCCCTTCCGCATCTTCTTTCGGGGCGGGCCCTGGGAGTCTAAGAAACGAGCTGCAGACATTATGTATGGGTTACCGTTGGACCGGATAAACTTCGGTGAACTTCCGGAGCGATGTCAAATGTCAGACCAGAGGGCTCACAACCTCAATTGATAACAGATCCGATTGTTCGTCCGTTAAGAGTGTAGCTAGCACAATCTATGAAAGTAAAGAAGAAGTAGAAGCTCAATATCAAAATCCAAGTCTTGCTCACACGCGACTCTTTTTTCTCTAGTGATGCAAAGACAATTGTGACAATTGGCCAGAAGCTTCGACCAGGCAGCAATATTGCTCCCCAGCCTAAAACTTAGATCCAGTAATTATCCGGATTTAGATTGGAGACAAGGCTTTAACCCCGAGTTTGGAGATTGATGACTGATGGGGCACGGATTAGTCTAGTGCAGCTCCGGAGAGGGAAGAGGGCGGACGAAAAGCTGCGACTCTGAGCAGTCTTGTGTGGTGGTTGTGTCAGAACACAGATATAAAGAGGCGCAGATAGCCACCTTGATCAATTACTCGCAACGTGGCATGTAGTATGCTTCATTCGTATGTAATAGTTAGCTCTTAATAGAAGCATCAAGAAGCAGAGTAGAGTTGATCAGCTAATCAAACGCCGAATGCTTACGAAAGCTGAGCCGGGACGGACGAAAACGGCCGGATCTAGCTTTCGCAAAAATCTGCGCAAAGATAGAAATTTGTGGAACGATCCACTCGGAAAGCCTAAAGATCTAAATTTTTCAGACTAAGAAGGTTAAAATTAGGGCTGACGATGGGGCGTCGAAAAGGCGTAACGGTGGACCATTGAGAAGCTGCGAATTGTTTCCCTATTCGAGAAAGGAATTAGGCCAAGAGAGGGGTGGTGGTGCCATGCTCAGTCATAGCTCCTTGGCCTTAGTCTGTAGCTTACATTACTCCGTATTTAGTAAGAAAATGGAGAGTTGATGGTGACCAATCTGGGTATTAATATATTTTCGCCCAACGCCAAAGCAGGGTGTCTAATTCTGTATATCCGTACGTATACAGGTCATGTCATGCATATAACAAATAGAGATGTTATGTAATAAGTAACGTCATTTCAAGCACTCTCTGAGGCTCTAAGCCATGCCAGGCTGCACCTTGCCCTTGAGACTCTTCCACTTCGGAAACACCGAAATAATGCAACAGAAGCCTCCCAGCGCAATTGCAAAAATGAACGCGACTTTGAGACCGTCCATGTAAGCTAATAAAATTCCCGGTAGTTGGTCTGCAGTAAAGACTTTACGCAAATCCGTGGCTCCAGTGGCGACCACAAGTGCGGGGTTCACGTCGGGAGCATAGATGGGCAATTTCTTCATCAACGTATTTGTGAAACCGGCCTGAGCACCAGAGATCCAGAGCGCGCCACCGATGGTCTGGAAGAAGAGCGTGACGGCGGTAACGTTCGAGACATCCGAAGAGTCGACGAGGGCTTGGTTGACGATGATGGCGATTTGGCTGCCGAGGCCGGCGCCAAAGCCGCAGATGACTTGGTAACCGATCCATTTGCTGTGACCGGTGCCAATATCGAAAGTGTAGATAAGACCTGCGCCGATGGTCTCGATGACTACGGCAAGAATCATGAGATAGCCGTATTGACCGAAGGCGGTAATCAAAAGTCCAGACATGATGGCGCCCAAACTGCTAGACAGAATAAAGGGGACGTTGCGCACACCGGACTGGGAAGCCGAGACGTCCTTGATGGATTGGAAATAGATGGGCAGGTAGTAAATCATGATGAACATGGGTCCAATAACAAACAACACGTATGCGCAACCGAGGGCGATGGTGCGATCTTTGATGATACGCCTAGGGACCAAAGCGCGTTCTCCAGAGTAGACCTGGACAAAGATGAATGCGATGACCATTAGACCGAATCCGACCAAAAGACCGACAACCTCAGAGTCACTCCATGCCTTGGATACACCGGCCCATTGCATAGCGAGAAGGTAGCAGATGGTAGCGCCAATGATGAGGGTTGTTCCGAGAGGGTCCATCTGGAGTAGCTTCTCCTTAAGAGGGGCGTCGACTGGTTTTGCTGTGGAAGGAGTCTGGAAGAAGAAGAGAATAATAGCCGCACTGAGACCTCCGATGGGGAGATTGATGTAGAAACTGTCGACCAGCATTAGCTTTGTCTTTATGGTTTCTATCGTGGGACGAAACTTACCACCACCTCCATGTCACATCACTGGTGAAAACACCACCAAGCAGAGGACCAACAACGCTAGCGACAGAAAACGTAGCTCCCAAAACACCAGTCAGCGCCGGTCTCTGGCTCGGCGGCGCCGAGAACGCGATAATAATGTAAACACCACTAGAAATTCCAGCACCACCAATACCCGCAATGGCACGCCCAACGATGAAAGCAGTACTATTCGGAGCCACCGCACAAAGCAAAGAGCCAATCTCAAACACAAAAATGAACAGCAGAAACGACGTCTTCAAAGGAAAGAATTTGTACACTTTGCCAGATGTAGACTGAAATGCGGCCAGCGTCAAGAAGAATGCGGACCCGTACCAGGCTACTTGGTCGAGAGAGTTGAAGTCATCTGTGATTTGCGGGATGGCTGTTGCGACGATGGTCATGTCCAGAGCGATCAGGAACATGGATAGTACCAAAGAGACGACAATGAAGATGAGTTTGCCAGCTTTGGGGTATTCTGTCTCGCCACTTAGTTGTTCTGCACCCAACTCAGTGGGGGATGATTCATCCTTGTCGACTGATTTCCGTTCGTTCTTTTCATCGTAAAGAGATGAAGGTGTATCATTGTTTGTGTCGCTGTTTGAGATTGCTGTATCTTTTGCTACGGCAGATGCGGACTCGGTGTTGTCGCGATAAGTCTGGCTCGAGAGAGACGAAGCTCGAGTTGCCGTATGGGCGTCTAATGAGGATGCCATGGGGGCGAGGTAGTCGCGTCGAACTTTCAGCAAGCAGTTGCTCAAGACCCTGATCTAATATGTCCGTGCTGTCGAATTATGAATGCAGAGAAAAAGAAATCTTTATCGCAAACCGGCCAGCGCCATCCCTATATATTCTTCTGATCTGACATGAAATCCACCTTTCTCAGCCATGACACAACCAACTTCCTAAAATCCGTGTACCCGATAACATTGGCAAACATAATGTCAGATCGGCCGAAAATTGCTTTCCCAATCAATAGCGTATTATAAGAAAACGGTTAGATTCAATTATCGAAGCTCCTATTTCTTTTCTTTTGCCGCACGTAAGCAATTGTGGGTCTAGATATGGACGATTTAGACAGTGGACACGAGCATCCTGATTAGATCCATATGTAGAACCTGATACGCTAGCTCTTTCCAGTATGATATACTACGTACGAAAGGATGAGCAATTAGGTTTCAGCCGTGAACAGAGCTGAGGCCGGCCAAGGCTGATATGAGTCCTCAAATTTATACTACGTAGTATGTATGGCATCCAATCCAACGAATGAAAAACACGGATTCGAGCGAGCCGCTAATAATTCACCAACCAATACATCTCGAGTGTGATGATAATTGGGCTGTTGAAGATCGAAGCTCCATAATCACGAACGTTGTGAGACGGACGAAAAGGTGCGCGATTACTAAGAAAGAAAGATTCGTAAAGACGGAGGTGTTTCGTCCGTAGTGCCAAGAGAGTTCCTGCTTAATCATCTGCGGACGAAAACATACCAAAGTATAGTGTAGTAGCAACCTACTAAATAATCGTTATTGTTTGTTGTACTACTAAAACACGAATATTCGCACGGAGTACTGAAAGCGACTCGGCTTGCCGCTCTGGAAAATGACGGCCAATTCAACTATAACTTGAAGCTTGTCGGCCATCCAAAATGTTGCAAATTACCATTCCACAAAAAAGCAACCCTTCAGAGGATTTTTTGTTAGAGTGTCTCATGACTTTAACACACGATACTGCTGTATTGGACCAATTTTTAGCGATCATTCATCGCTGAGCCATGGATAGCTGAAGCTGATTCCTTGCCACAAGGGAGCAGGAAGGCTGAGACTCGGAGACAATGATTCTGTATATCTCACCGGTTTGTTGAACATAACAAGAGCAAGCTGCTTTACAAAACCACTATAGTCATAACATCCCCCAGCAGCTTAGACGTACCGCGATGCGAGAGCTACGTTATCTTTCAACAAGACCCGTATAGCCAGGACTTCTTCCCAGATCGGCCCACCTATCAACCTGTTTACGATGGCATTGTGGCTTCAAACATATCCTTCCCTGCGGTGCCATGCACATCTGGGAACTGTACCTGGTCCATAATTCCATCTTTGGGTGCTTGTGGAGGGATGTCGGGTAATAAATTGGAGCACCTCCGACAACTGTCTGGGCAATGTGGGAGACATCGACGACAATGGTCTTGGTCATGATGCAATTATACGTTACCAGATGGCAAAAATCTGACACATGTCAATTCTGGCGAAACTTCCATAATTCTCCAGGATATGGCTACGAACGCAACACTCCACAACTCGAGCTCGACGGACACGCGTATCTCTTGAACTTTGAGGTTATCGGCATGCCTTATGTAATTAGCGACAGGTCAGGATTTGACACTTCTCGGCTTACTGCACAGGAATGCGCGCTGTGGTATTGCGTCCAGGCATACAATGTCAGCATCACTAGCAATGTGCTCGACCAAACCGTGGTCAATACCTGAAGTACCCTGTCCTTAACCGGCGACATTCCAACATTCGCAAACATGTCCTCCCAAATGTAGGTTTTTACAGACTTACCCTCCTAAATGCACGTTCTCTCAGCTTCTTCGTATGGTGTCGCTCAAAATTTAGTCATGGGGCGACCAAACCGGTCTTACCTCCATTTTCACGGGAAGAATCTTTCAAGGAGCAATCGATTCTTCGCACGACAGTACCGCTTCTTCTTCCGAACCTTTTAGGGTTGTACAACAATCCAACTTGATCCAAGCAATTTGGCCTGCATGGGGGGCAAACACCAGCCTAGTCCAATTGGTTTCAAACCTAGCGCGGAGTTTAACGAACAACGTCGTGACAACATCTCCTGCTGCTGCTTCGCATGATATTAAAGTATACGCCGAAACTGCATATTTGAACAGGTCGTTGTATATGTCCGATGCGTATGGATGGTTTTCCCCATCGTTGTAGTATTTCTTTGGGTAATGTTTCTGGTTTCGACTATGCTACTGACCAGATGCAGTGGGGTTGGTGCGTGAAAAAGTAGCACGCTTACATCTAAAGTATTGTAAATATATCTCGCTCAAATGCCTTGGTGAGAAATCTTATAGCAGAAGATAGGATAGACTTTGAAGACGCGCTCTAATCTGGTAGATGATGCCTAACTAAAATGAGGTTTTTAGTCTGGGTGAGATGTGCTGTATATTTATCAAAGTAGATATGCTTGGAATAGTTACTATTACTAGGCATCTGGTAATCTATCTGAGATAGAGTAGTAATATAGGTAAATTCGTGGGCTGTTAGATATTCAAAAGCAAGCTTATAGATGCTAGAGAAGATCTTGATGACACTATATCTATAGAGTTGATGTGAATATCTAGGATACGGTTTTAGGTCTCTCATTAAGCACAAGCGTATCTACCTGGGCTGGCCCTTTATCAGGAGCCTTATATATCACCATACTAATGGATAAGTCCTTCACAACCTCACTAAGGATAGCAAGCTCTAATACTTATATAATTGGCCCTTCGTACTATTTAGTATCATTTCCTACTACCTTGGGAAGTTGGTCTTGTCTAGAGAGGCGCAGAAGTATTTCCAGTCTGATGTCAGGTAGTAAGGTTCAAAGTGGCAGGGTCTAAAAACTCTGGGTTTACGAGCCTAAAAAGCGAAAACACCATTGCCTCTCAGAGAAGCTCAATAATGCTCATAGTTCTTTCAAAATAGACTTGATAAAATTTGTATCAAGAGACACTTGACCTGTCTCAGTAGTTTCTAGGAGGCGACCTAGCGAAGCTATTGCCATGTAGCTGGCTCGGGTGGTCGATAATCCTTGGACAAACTTGAAACTGGAACAATGAATCATATTATAGCTTGTAGTGCTCCACACTTCTATATGAACATCAATTTTGATTATTGATGATAATATCAACGTAACTTTGACTACCTAGCTAGCTATATGAAATGAACGACTGCAATGCCTTCCGGCAGTCTTCTGTCACTCCCCTCATGCCCCTCCTATTCCTTTCTCGGTGCGGGCATAGCTTCATGTTGAGCAAGACCTTTAAGGGGTGCAATCCATTTGACACGATCCTTAACAAACATTTCGAGCTCAGGCTGGAGGCTGTCGAGGTCGCCGATATCATCTAAAACACCTGGCTGGAGGATTCTTTTTCCATTGATACCCCCAAATCCATCTCCCCACCTGTAAATCATTGTACCTATGGCCAGTTAATCACGGCACTCTTGAGAAGATAAACCATAAATTGAAGATAATGACGGGCAAGTTTTGCCAGCTCTACTTACCACAGTCACCGCAAAAGCAATTGACAATTTTGTTTCCGCTGTCCGCAATCTTAGGCACTTCTTTCGGTACACCAAAGACTGTGAAGTGTTCGCTTGGAATTACGTAGTTGACACTAAACATACTCCCAGTGTAATGGCGGCAGTTGGAGCAGTGGCAAATGGCCTGAGCTCATTGATATTAGCTCGCATTTATACGGGAACATGGGTCACAAGCATTACCGTAAGCTCGGGCTCGCCAGTGTATTCGATTTTAATCTTGCCGCAATAGCAACTCCCAGTAGGCATGTTGGTACTTTTACGCGATTAGGTGGACTTCGTAAAGACAACTTTACAGCACAGGGAGTCCTGTTGAGCAGGTGAGCGGGTATGTGGATTTTATAGACTATTAGTGGAAAAGAAACTACTGAGTACTCGCCGGATACGAGACTATCATTAGAGACCTGCACAATTTGGAATTATTAATCATACATTATAGCCTGGGGTGTATTGGTAAGATTAAACAGACAATTGCAACCTGCAAGCAGTCCCACAAATCGACTCCAATGCTTGTCATGTAAGTTTTTACAGTCTTGTGGGGGGCATATAGCTAGCTGAGCTCTTATGACCCATAACCCGCAGTTCAGTATAAGACTTCAAGTTACGTACATAGCCCCCTATATTGGCGTATTTCGATTTTGAAGAATCGTGCCTGTCAAAAAAATAGCCTGAATTGCAGACTGTTCATGAAATCAGCCAAACATCTGATATGTGAATATGCCTTTCCTGTAACATACTACGAAAGAACCAGACACTCAACAACGTCGCATATATTATGAACCGCAACGGCTCATAGGCTTGAGGAAAGTGTACGAGAGGATCTGAAGTTTCTGAGATCCCAACCTCTTATTAGGCAGGAAATTAAAGACCACGCAAAGGGTTACATTTATGACATCAAGTCAGGCAAGCTGAATCTTGTGCATTATGCAGATTGACGTGCGCAGCACATGCAATTGAGAATACGAAGAGGGGGTTAAAAACCTAGGTACAGAATGGAGACAGGATCCTGATCTTATCTCGCAACTTGCTAATATGTGCCCTTAGAAGATACGTACATATCTTCGAGCAGTCCCCCTTTCCAGTAGTACTTGTTCAATTTCTGTACTGGGGAATCTATAGACTAACCCATATCATACCTAAGTTGCACACTACACCGCACGTTAAACCGCACATTAAACTATACTGTAAGTCACATACTAAACTGTAATAAATTATATAATGAAATACTACGGAGTAGTAAGCTCTGTACTACTCTGTACACACACATTACTATTAGACCCACACTAAACCACACACTAAACGTCAAACTAAACCGCACACTAAACCGCAAACTAAATTGCACACTAAACCATGCTAGGCCTACTATCACATTGATTCCTTTAATATGTAGGATATAGTTGACAGCAGTACATTACTCTCCCTAAATCAGACCACCAGCATAAGGGCAATGTCTGGGAGTTGTCACTGCGTAATCATGATAACTGTCTATTTCCATGACCAATAACAATCTCCACGTGAATAAGGCAGTCAGTACTAGGATAGAAATAACATATACCTATGCCTTGGTATTGAGCGTACAAGAAGAGAATACATGTAAGACATATTTCCCACTGGAAAACTCAGTGTCTAATATCTTATGCTTATTTTGACAGCTCATTCAGTTGATTCCTGATGACTGCCTCGCAGCCCTAGGTACACGTGATCTTGTCTATTTATCAACACTTATAGGCCCGAGGTGAATTCACACCGTTATTAACTGATCTCCGGGATCTGTTTCGAGCTACTTTTAGCATTGAACATGGATGAGCACTCAAGTTTTTCCCTCCGCGAAAGAATGCTTCAAACGACACGGAAATTTCTCAATGCCTTCAACGAATTTACACCAGAGTCTATGGTCGCATATCGCAGTCCTACATGTCTCCACCGGCTTAGACCCGGATCACTGAATTATCCGGCTCTAACGAACGCCGAGTACTCGGCATGGGCAAGAAACTTGATGTCGGTCATGCGGGGGTTCGAACTCCATTTCAAACCAGACTATGAGCCTATCGTTGAAGAGATTTCTCGCAAGGTGGTCCTTTATCTCGAGTCGACGTGCGAGACGGATCTGGGAAGATATGAAAACGAGTATATTTGGATATTGAGGCTTGATAGAAATGGGACTTCTATTGATGAGATAATAGAATTTGCAGACAGTGCATATACGTTGGAATGGATTGAGAAGCTGCAGAAGGCTGCAAAACAGTAGGAAATATAGATCAAAGTTTGATAGGAGGGCGGATTGTAGTTCCACACGTATCAAGTCAGGTTCGGTGGGAAAAGAAACCTCGGGGATGAAATCATGAGAGCCGTCTGAGTAAGCGAAAATGTACGTAATTATATGCATCTCCAAAGGTCCTCAGACCATAACTGCGAAATGTGATTTGCATAATAATCCGACATCGGGCAGTGCAGCGAGTCAAGTACTTAAGCCCGTCGATCTGATTATGTCGTTCCCTGTTATAGTCCAAGAGACAGATCGTGAAGACTACTTCTTTTGGCCGTACATATCTCATTTTCCCATCTTCGACCATCGATTCCACTTCCTTCAATCTGCCTCCTCCATTCTCAGATCAATAATCTTTCGTCCTTAATATATCATAGCCTTCAAGGCGGACTCGCTTGCTATATCGGGTAACGAAGCACGCTCTCGACTGAGGAAAACACAATGGATACTGTGACTTTTCCTTTGCGTGAACTGCCACTGGAAATTCGAAGATTAATATATTACCATTACTTCTTCCGAGATGGGATCATGTGCCAAATAAGTAGCATCCCTCCGCCTTATATTAAGCCCCTGGGCGAGCAGCATGTTGGCGAGCAGCGCTTGCAAGCCACTGCTCCGTCGTCCTGCACGGGCTTTCAGGCGACTTTGAGATCTAATATTGACGCCATGTCTATTTTACTCGCTTGCCATCAAACGTAAGCCTGTCAATTTACAACACCCGCAGCTAATGGAAGAACGAAAACACTCACTGATTTTTCATGACAGGTATGACGAGTCTCTCGACGTTCTGTATTCAAACGCTGTGTTCCACATTGATGATTTGAAAGCTCTACGGCAATTTCTAGATTTGAGTCTTCGTTCGGGAACCGATATTTTCGTTCGCTCTATCTACTTTGACTGGGTCAGCTTTGTGTGGTTTGATTACGGCTCTCAGATCGCAGTGCAGGCATATGTCGATGAGTATTGGTATCCCGTGGCTCAAAGATTCAGTGAGATGCGAGGATTGCGGGACCTATGGGTTGCTATTCAACCTGGGAAGATGTATAAAACGGCCTATGACTTCGAAAATATAGATTACTTTCAGCCGCTCCGGAGAATTCCAACTCTACGCTTCGTCTTGGAGCGGCATGATTAGAAATGCCATTCAACCGGATGACCACGCCGTCAGCACATAGAATGATGTGGCATTATATGCGCGGTTCCAGTTACTCCGCTAGAGATTAATCCATTATCATGTACGTAAGCAATCCCAGCATGATCGCGCATTAGCATGCAGTTTAGCTTACAAGTGATTACTTGCTACCAGGTGTGGCGTAACTGAAGCGCATGGTTTAGGTACCTACGGGTTAGCATGCGGCTTAACGTTGAGAAACTCGGCCAGTGAACCCTGAAACCGAGGTCTTTACCAGCCAAAATACATAAAAAACAGGCTGCTATTTCTATTTTCCTGCGTGAATGTACACGTAACTATCATTTATTTGCGATATCAGGTATTGCAACTGGTACTTATGTTCAACGCTACCTCAATACAGACAGGATCAGTGGCGGCAGTCGCGACATTAACCATAGACCTAGCTCAAAAACTCCATCACTTCTTGAGAAATGGCTTCCGTATCGCTCTCAACAGCAAAATGGCCCGCATCAAGAAGTCTAACCGTTGCATCAGGCAAGTCCCTCCTGAATGCTTCGGCACCGGGGGGGATGAAGAAGACATCGTTCTTGCCCCAGATTGCCAGCAATGGAACTTGAGATGCCCGGAAGTATTCTTGAAACTTGTCGTATAGTGTTACATTATTCTTGTAGTCCATAAAGAGATCTAGCTGGATCTCCTTGTTGCCAGGCCGCTCAAGCAGTGCATAGTCTAGCGTATATGACTCGGGAGCAATAACCTTTGTCTTTGGGGTCCCATTCTCGTACTGAAACTTGGTGATCTCAAAGTTGAGCATTGCCGTTGCTACCTTGGATCGATCCTCGGCGTTGTTTTTGCTTGCCCAGAATTCCTGAATGGGACCCCAGACATCTCCGAAGCCTTCAATATAGGCATTTCCGTTCTGCGAAATAATCGCTTCAATGTCGTTCGGGCGTTCCAGTGCGAGACGGAGGCCCACTGGCGCGCCATAGTCAAATATGTAGATGGAGAATTTCGAAATAGAAAGCTCGTCCAAGAATTCCGCTATGGTATTGGCCAGTGTCTCAAACGTGTATTTGAAGCTTGAGGGGGCTTCAGTGAACCCGAAACCAGGCAAGTCAGGAGCAACAACACGGTATCTACTGGCGAGCAATGGAATCAGATTTCGGTACTGGTGAGATGAAGATGGGAAGCCATGGAGAAGGAGAATTATTTTCTCTGGGATCAGTGCATTTTCTGGGCTTTGTTCGCGATAGAAAATGCGTACTCCGCTCTTAGACAGAGAAATTGTCTTGATCTGAGTTGTGGGCATGTTTTCTGTGGGAAATAGTGCAGTAAAAATGTGAATAGAACAAGATACTTCAATTGGGAAAATCCGAACTTTTTACTTGGGAGAAGGGACCTTATTTATAGTCCGATGCTGGATCTGAAAATGATCTAAGTGGCGGAAAATATGATCATCATTCATGGGCCATGTGAGAAGTGAGTGTGCTGGGCACAGACCTGCTTTTGGCGTTTTTCGATGAAATATTCTTAGGATAATTTGTAATTTTGAACAATTATGATAGAGTGATTTGTAATATTCTGATCTTTAAAGGTCGTGCATTTGTTAACGTCAACTCCTTCCTACTTGGGAAGAAATACTAGCGCCTTACACCTGTGGAAAAGTATATAATCTGCATTGTCTTCCATCCATTCCTGTTTTCTGCTTGAAAGAATATATCCTTTCAAGCACCATAAGTAACTTTTCAGACAGCCATCCGTTATCTGACCCTTCCTCTATGATTCAAAATGTCGACTGCCTTGGAACAGCATATTCTCGAAGCCAACAGCAGATATGCCAATGCATACAACTCCGCTGGCCTTAATATTCAACCGGCAAATAAATTGGTGATCAGTAAGCTCCACATTCTGTTTGGACGTAAAGCTTCACCGCTGACAATATTCTTTACTACAGTTACATGTATGGACTGCCGCCTAGATCCCGCAGCTGCATACGGATTCAAGCTTGGTGACACGACTATTGTCCGTAACGCAGGTGCCTCTGCTCGTGACGGTGCCCGCTCTGCGCTTCTGACAACTCATGTTCTCGGCGCAGAAGATATTTACATTATTAAGCATACAAAGTGTGGCTTGTTGGGCGTCACAACTGAAATGGCTCATGGAATCATCAAGAAGAATTTGGGCCTCGCCAATTCGACTGAGGACCTGGATAATTTTGAGGTATTTCCTATTGCGGATCTAGAAGAATCCTTGAAAGAGGACGTGGCTTACTTGCGGCATCACCCACTGGCAATGAAAAAGGTTAGGGTGACTGGATGGATACATGACACGGATACGGGCGTGTTGAAGCAAGTTGTCCAATGATTAATTGCATGAGCATCCTTTGGTTACGCAGGATTAAAGACATGTACTGGTCGTTCATATCAATCACTCAATGAGAATTCGTCTCCTTTCCCTTGCTTCCTCCATCTTACATACAAGCACACCCATGATTACCTCCAAAACACAGAATCGACTCCTGGTGCCATAGTTCGCTGTGGTATATGTGTCAACGAATGATAGTATGGTACACAACATATATCTATATATATCTTCTGATAATTCATACCTCCAGTTGTACGCGTTTCAATCCCGTAATAATGGCTCTATATATCAGCCCACATCTAAACTGTACACTACACCGCACTCTAACCCGCACTATAACCGTACGCTAAATCCTGCGCTAGAGCGCACACTAAACCGCACGCTAAACCGCACCCACCTCCACCCCATTTCACTAGTATTAGTCAAATAAGTATTGTATGATTGACGTGTTCAATGAGCCTTTCCTTGTAAGATCATTTGTAACTTAGGATTTCATGTCAAGCAGATTGGACTTAAACCAGAGCCAATCCTCGGAGAATTTTCGGCGCAGATTATAGCCATTTCGAGCTCCGACACCAACTTTTGAAGCAGCAAATTTGAAGAATAACAACCACTCAGACGGCTACGGCACTCTTAGGGTTATGTTGCCAAAATTGTACGGTTCAACTTCGTACGAGGAATATGGATTTTCGAGGAGAATGCCGGCATGGGCTCACGATTAGTCAATACTTGAAGGGTCTTTTCATCTGGGCTTATGGATCCCTAACATATTCCTGTGTTGGGCCTAGTGCTCGATTGTAATGCTGTGGATGGCTTGGACGACTAGAGAATCTATATCATCATGGTCAGCTATCGTTGCGTCAGCTCTTCTCGGCTTTGAGGTGCTGTGCATTTTCATCAGCAGCTATCAATACATCATCCATACCTATAAACGATACGCTGCTGGTGGGCTAGTACTTATCACTTTAAACCGGTACCTCGCCGTTGGGGGCATGGTTATAGTCGGCATACCAATGTATAGGAAACTGGGTGTGAATTGGACCCTGAATCATTCTAGAATGCATCGGGGGGTCTTCTGGTGTTGATCCCGTATTGTCTGTATTGGTTGGGACCAGCTATTCGAAAATGGAGCAAACGTTCGCCATGATTGCTTTTGGGGAGGTCCGTGTGGGGAGAGGATAGCTTTGATAATCTGATTAATGGGCCGCAAAACAGGCAAATCGATCATGAATCTGTCAGCTGGTGGGATTCCCAAAACTGATGGACGTAAACGGTGTAAGCAATGTATTGAGGTCCTGTAGAGGGGGTCCGTCTAATAATATGGAGGAAAACTGAGAGGCCGTACTCAGCAGTCATCTTTATCCGAGAAGCAGGAGCGACGCCATATATTCGAAAGTAGTGTCTTCTCAAAACACATTGGGGGTCTTTTATGTACAGGACAAGCTGTGAAAAACAATGGTATCGAGTTTAACTATTAGCTCATCGAGCTATAGGGATCTCGGGGTGATTCCAGCGTGTGCCATGGTAGATGTGTTAGACTGCACTGTGCGGATATATGCCATTTGATCCTCCTCAGTGCGAGCTTACAGTACGCGACCATTTGTACAAAAACCCATGCTCTATATCCTTGTATCCACCATCACAAAGGTGACAGATTTAAAACCTCCAATAGTTTTCGAACCTCACGAATTTGACGCATTGCCTAGCATTCATATCGGATCAATTCCGCGCCAACCTTTGCCGGTGATATAGAAACCCTGAGGTGGAAGTGTTATGGAAGGCTTGCTAGAGGTTAGTGCGGCTAAATATCTTTCTAATTTCCTCCATTGGGAAGTCAGTTGGAAGTTGAATCGATTAATGATCATCCGGCAAGGATCACACTGACCTGTAACATGCCATCGCTTACTAAAGCATTTGAGAATCGTTGCTATCGTCTCTGCCCGTTGTTTATACGTAACGTCATTCTTCTGCTTCCACAGCCGGTTCTGCACTACCACCGTTTGGTACAAGACATAAGGAAGGTAGGGCGATAATGTCATTTTATTTGTCTCATCCTGAGCAATTGCGAGAAGGTGTTCCGAAAGCTCGGCTACCCTCGTAGATAGGGCGTCTATAGCGGGTAAGGTACGAGATTCGTCGAAGTCGCGGTTCTTCGAGCGGAGTATGGGAGACGTGTATAGTGTGAAAAGGGAACTTGAAGATGTTAGTAATGAGTCTGACTAGAACGCCTTGAAATTCGGTAGACATGGTGGATGAAGCAGCACCTTATGCACATTGCCAAGGCCCCGCAGTAGTTTCTGAACTTGAGTTCTTCCTCAGTCAGAAGAGGTACAAGCGACATCAACGTGCGCTCAAGTTGCGCGGCCTCATATTCATGAAAGTTGGCATCGGAGATAGGGTTAAAGACGTGTCGAACAACGCGCCCAACAAGATGTGAGACCTGGCATTCTCGTGCAAACTGGCCTACTTTGAAGGCGGCAGGAGTAGACAGATTTGCCCTGACGGTATCCGGCAAAGCCTACCTCAACATGATCAGTAAATTTGATCAGAATGGCTATGACATAATAGAGAAGCCGGACTCACATTTTGCGACCACGACCCATCTTCAGCTGGAAGGGGGTCTTCTATGTTCGCATCTTCGGTGGCGAAAACAGCGTCGCCGCCGTAGAGGTTGATGAATCTTCCATCAGATGTCAGGTGCAATACACTTCCAAAATTATATTATAGATGTGGGTGTAGAGGATGCTCAGGACTACAAGGAAGTCTTGCGGGCGCTGACGCATGAAACTGTGTTAAAACCCATACCTATCGAGATTATGCACCGCCCACCACGTCCTTCTTCTCTCTTCCTCGATGACCTCCATCGAGGTAGGCTCCGCCGCTTCCGAACTACCAGGGTGGAGACCCAAATTGCGAGCTGCTCTCGCACATGCTCCAATAGATATGGAAGCAGCGGGATAAATTCCATGCCCCATCTCATAGAGGACAAGGAGGAGCCGACATTGAATTGTATCCAGCGAATTGCAGCCAGTAGCTTCAAGCAGACTAATGCTGGTCTTGACAGTCGTATAGAGTGAGGACACCATAGTCTCTGTAGATAGTGAAGGGGTCTGCTGGACAAGGTGAATACACAAGCATAAAACAATGAAGTCTGCACTCCCCGAGACAAATAAACTGGGTAGGCGTTTGTAGAATCTTTCCTGTGATATTATAGGCAGTTTATAATGGGTTGAAGCAAAATATATACTGGACATTTCATGCACACGATCCGGTGACCCGAGAATCACAAGAGCCTCTGTTCGCATGTGAACATCAGCGCTTGATCGTTGAGGAATCTAAAGATGGAAATAGTCAATACTTGTTTCAATGTACAAAGCACAACTTGCCTGTACGAGACTCATTGAGAGGAGATACCGAGACATGTTGACTTGCCAGATCTACTGAAGAATCTCCGTCGTAGATGCAAAGACGACCAACCCTAGCGATGCAGCAAGAAATCCAAAATCAGCACGATAATGAAAAGACAAGGGTAAAAGGTGTGGTCGGGTTAAATTACCGGGAGCAGGTAGAGCAACTGGGTAAGGCCCGGTCACACCTTCTTTTGCCATGCTTGCACGCTATACACGAATTTGTGGGAGCTTGAAAGGAAATTGAAGCTTCTCGTTTTGATTCCATGCCTTTTGAATCTCATTGAGATTGTGACTGGTATAGCGAATTCTGTTCAGAGACCTGTATTAAATACCACACTCAAGTGTGAGAGGGGCCGTCCTCACATTCTGCCTATAGATACTCAACCAGTTTGGCCTGAGACTGTCTCTATTCGTACGAGTAGCGCGATAACTCTTTGAGGCAAGAGGACGTGAATCCCATTATCTCAACAAAGACGCTCCCTGCCCTACTCAGAAATGTGCCAGTTTTAGTCCTGGAACGGAAAATACGCTGGCTCCGAGCGGAGCAAGGAGCGTCTGAAATGGAATTTGTTACCTTCCCTCACCACCTGATGACTAACCCCACCTGGTATTTCTTCAAAACGCGAAAAAATGGCAAATAATTCAACCCATGATAAATCTACCAATATGGCTTCAATTGAGCTTACACTTGCAGCGTTCCGTTTCACGGATCCCGGATATCCACCTAATATTAGTTTGATTGGAAGAACATTCAGTGTTAACCATTCAACAGGCACTATAAAGGCGTACATTATGCTCAGTGAGCATATCAGTACATAGGTATATATCAACCAGATAGGCCCTCAAAGGCCCCAACAAGGTACCTAGGTAGGTAGTCTTAAAATCTATAGACATCATCAAACAGGTAAAAATACGGTTAAACACCATCAAGGAAATATGCCAACTTTTATAAATGGGGTATGTCGCTATGTTTCCCTTATGCTTGCTTGCTTGCAGAAATAAAAAGGTATAAATATAAGAGTCATGATAAAATATAAAAAACGAATGTACTCAATTCACCAAACGTGAAATCTGGAACAGGAGGAATTTGTATAACCAGATAAATAAAATTCAAAATATGACTCGAAATTTCAACCAGAGAAAGAAAGAAGTTTAAAAGTAAGAGGAAGGTGATATGGGAAATACACGACAGCCGAATGGACAAGCACAAACTTTTGTTTCCCTCAAATGAACACCACCGATTTCTTCCAAAGCCAACTTAAGCTCAAAAAGACAAACCAAGACATTTGCGCGTACGCTACAAGGACCAAGAAGGGAGTTGAGATTGATAACATTTCAAGATTCAGGATCAAGAAGGTTTGGGGTATTGTGTTGAATGAAAAGATGGCAAAAATCTTCACTTCAAATGTAAGAAATAAAAACGGCTTGCGGCATCACTTGCAAAAGAAATTCCGTGGACGAGATAAAGGCAAAGATAGGCAGACAATTTAGAAACCAGAGTCATCAATTTACCAAGAGAAACAAGAAGGGGTATTTGCCTTTCATTACAGCAAAAAAGACCGCGACATAAAACCCACCAAGCAAGGATCGATTGAGCCAAAGATTAGGGGACCAAAACATCAGGACTGGTAGCCACCCTGGTTGAAGTTGTTGTTCTGGTTGTTATTGCCAGGCTGCTGCCAGTTGTTACCGGCGTTGTTTTGTCCACGGCCGTAACCGCCCGCGTTGCTAGGACCTTGATAGCCCTGACCTGGAACAGCACCAGAAAAATTGTTACCCTGTTGATCCCAACCACGGCCAGCCGGAGCAGGACCTGAATTTTGTCAGAATACACGCGTGCTTTGGCCGTGGTGACTCTACTGAGCGGGCTCACCTTGAGGACTCATCGGACCTCCTGGCACTCCATACTGCGGGAAGTAAGGGGATGCGTTGAAGCCGGGGCCACCTTGCTGAGCTTGGTAGCCGTCAAACTGACCGGTAGGTGGACGATCCTTGCCCCACTATATTCCGTTAGCTTAAAATCCATTACATTGCACATTCCAACTTACGCTGCACTTGAGTGGACGACCATTGACCTGATATCCATTGAGCTGGCAGATGGCCATGGCTGCATTTTCATGAGTGTCCATCTTCAAGAAAGCGAATCCACGGTCTGCCTGCAAACGGGTTTCAACAACATAGCCAAAATTCTGGAACAATGGGACGAGGTCGGTCTGGGTTGTGTAAGGAGTAAGATTTCCAACATAGCAGGTGGTTTGCCACTGAGGGGTCTGACCGACGACCATGTCGTAGCTGTTGGCACCATGGGTCGGGAAGTGATGGTGGCCGAATGGTGCAGTTGGGGTCATACCCATCGCAGCCATAGCCTGCTGCTGCGAAATTGAAGGCTGTCCCTTTTGGTTGGCCCAGTTGCAGCGAATGGCTCGCGAGCCTAGCCATTCACGGTCCATCGACTTCAAAGCTTTCTCGGCGTCCTCGAATTCGCGGAATGCGACGAATCCATATCCTCGAGAGCGGCCAGTCTTCATATCCCACATGACACGAGCTTCCGAAACCGAACCAAAGGCGGAGAAAGCTTGTAGCAAAACTTCATCGTTAACTTCATTGCTCAAATCGCCGACGAAGATGTGGAAATGGTTCGATGTGTCCTCCTTGTGGGTGGTGTTGGACTGGTAGGCCCAGTTCACGCGGATTTCCTAACAAAATGAGTATTTACACTTTCATGATCGATATCTGAACTCGGTACTCACGGATTGGTGAATGCGACGGCCGTTGAGGGTCTGCATGGCTCTTTCAGCTGCGCCGGGGTCGTCGTACTCGACAAAGCCGTAGTTCATGCCTTTGCTCTGGAACTGTTGCTGAAGATGTTAGCCTAAGGATGAAATTTGGAGATTGAAGACGAGAGAACTGAGAGAAACGTTGACAGATGGAGTCGCGGAAACATAGCAGGAATGTGAAAGTGACAGCTTAAATACTCACATTCTTGTCTGGGATAATTTTGACACTCTGCACGTGGCCGGTGGTCTCAAAGATCTGCTTCAGAATGTCTTCGGTGACACGAGCATCCAAGCCGCCGATGTAAAGAGCTCTTTTGTTTGGCTCAGGCGCTGCCCGACGCACAAAGCCGCCTGTGCTGGTAGGCGACATCATCTGCCCGGACATGGGAGAAGTGATGGCTGTGGGAATCGGATTTGTTTTTTGTGGGATCACCACGGGCGGCAGCGAAGGAGGCATGTGAGCACCTGTCCCCTGACCGTTTCCTTGGGCGGAGTCGAATGGAGGCTGGCCTGGTGCTCCGGCGGAGGGTTGAGGGGGAGGGGGAAGAGTGGACGAGCTCGTAGGCGGCGCGTTTTCTGCCATGGCGAAAGGAGTGGTGGGCTGGAATGGAAGCGTTGATTGTCTGTATCAGGGTCTGGGTAAATCTTAGTACGGAGACAATAAGAAACAGTAAGTGAGTGGGTCTTCAGGCACAATCGTAGAGACCCGAACAAGAAACAAAAAGGACATATGATGTGACAAGAGCGAGTGAAAATTGTGGACAGGGGCGAATGAGAAGGCTCAGGCACAGAGTAACGAAGCGTGGCGGCTGGTTCGACAGATGTTCAACAGATGGGGTTCGGGGGGTACGTAATTACATACCTAAGGCACCGAGTAATTAGAACTAAATATCCAAGAGCTCTATAAGCCGTCCGCTAGCAATGTCAAGCGGTGCGAATTGATTCAGCGATCTGCTCGATGCGAGAGAGAATGCCAGAGACGAAACGATAGATTGGGAAGTGGTGCGCTTCGAGGTCGAACGGACGTAAGAGGAGAAACAACGACGACGCGGCCACAGCGAAAAGAAAATAGGGAAAATTAAGCACCCGCACTAGCAGAAAAAAGAAAAGAGGAAGAGCAAGTGCACAAGGCCGCAAGAAGCAACAAGCGAACACCGTCGAAAGAGTCGAACAAGTGAATCAATAAAGACTTTGCAGGTATGAGACGACGACAAGCAACAACAATGGGAATCAATAAACAAGCGACTTGACTGGAGGGAAGGAACGATCGAAGTTTGGACGGGCAAAGAGCCTCTTGCCGCTTGGGGGGAAGGAGGGGGGCCGCTAGCCAGAAGAGGCTTAGCGCGTGTGATCCCCTTTGTAAGTTAGCTACGGCTTCTGTCAAAGTTCCTCTCTCGGGATCCGGAGTAGAACTTCAACCTTGCACCACTGTCACACATTTGCTCTTCTCTTTGCTGGGACACACGGCTAGCTGCGCTGAGATAAGTCTGGGCGGTGCGACTGCTGAATTATTGCCTGTACAGAGATATATGCAGAGGGAAAACCGAATATCGTTCGACTCGGAAATTCTCAGGTCACGTCGAAGGTGCTCGGAATTCACGTGTTTTTGACAGTCAACGATTACGTGCCACCCATTCTTATCAGCTTCCAGACTGAGCAGAGAAGTCGGCTGTGCTACACAAGCTCTAGCATTCTTATCTCCGCCGCCCCATCGCTTACGGACTTACAACCAGTCGTTCAGCCAAGCCGCCTCCTTACATTATCTCTTCACAGCCGGTAAGGTTTTCCGGTGCAAGTATTTAGACCGCAGGAGCGACGGCAGTTGCGACTCGCTGTGACTGCGTCAACTATCAGCCGCCATAATGGCCACCCCACGGTCTGCAGCAACTGCAGAGTCTCTTGCAATCTTATCAGATGCAGTCAACCAAACAGTATGTCACTGCTTAGACGCATACGAACGCGCGGTGTGCTAACTAGGGATAGCTGATTGACACTGGACGCTTCTTCAAAAGCTCCGGGTCTTTGCAAAGCCGCGCACAGCTCAAGGCGTCCATTCCTGCCTCATATCAGAGGTTCCAGACGGCCTTGGACACACTGACTGAACAGATTGTAAGTCTCTTTTGCATGAAATCTGGGGTTGTACTTATGCTGGAACAGTTTATTGCAAAAGCATTCTTGGAAAAGGACTATGAAAATGTTACTGCGAGGAGGCTGGCGCCAAAGCCACAACCCGAGCCAGCACCTGCCACTGCTTCTGCACCTCCGCCAACCGAAGATATCGCCATGCCAGAAGCAGCCGCTCCGACTGTGGGCGAGCAGATTCAAGAGACTGTTGAGAAGACAGAGCCGATAGAAAACCCTATCAAAACAGAGCCTGCGGCAATACCGGACTCCGGTATTTTCAATGAACAAGCGATAGCCAGCACCGAACCCGTTACTGCAACCACCACAGCGGAACCTATTGCAGCTTTAAAAATGGATGAAGCGGCCGACAAAAACATTCAACAATTGCCAGTCAGCATGGGAGACGAGATGAATTTCGATCAAATGCTTGCAACAACAAGCCAAGCTCCGAATGATTTTGATTTAAGCTTCAACTTCACTAATGACGAGATTGGAGATCAGAATTTCCTTGCAGGGGCAGACTTTGGCAATGCGAATTCTGCATTGGGCGGAGATGCAAACAACGATAATGATGCCAATGCTATAAGCTCGCTACTTCCGGGTCTTGAGAGCTACGCTTCAAATAATGGCGGCGATAGCTTCAACTTTGATCTACCAAAATTAGGGGAACATGGAAATGGCGGTCACGATGACTTGATGGCGCCAGGTGAATCAAGCTTTGATGATCTATTTTTGGAGAAGAATGATCTGGAAGGTGACGATGCTTTGCTTGCAGGGGGAGAATTGATGGACTTGGGAGAGCTGGACGATTCTTGGCTTAACTAGCCCTCGAAATACAGAAATAGATGCCTAAGACCGCTTTAGAATGCGTTCTCTCATGGGCTGGCTCGATTAGTCGATTCTCAATTTTGTCGACGAGTATCGACGGAGTGTATTTAAACGACATGTCAATCGAACTTCCTTTAGTAGAGGAGACTCAATCTCTCCCTGGACGCAAGAAAATCGAATAATTATGTTTATCTGAAGTGGGATTCTTATTGAGCTATAGATTTAATCCAAGAGTTTTGAACTATGTAAGTAATCTGTGGACGTACATATACGGCACTCTTTGTTCCTGTATCAAGTAAGCTTTGAATTGGAGTATGAGCCTCCTGTTCGTTGAGGTTATCCATTTTGTGTCTAGGTAGTTATCAAACCCCACCTGCGCACATATTGTGAGACAAAATTCACTTCAATTTACTAGAAGAAACTCCCACTCCGGTCTCTCAACCATCACAGATCGGGCCATAATACTATCCAGATATACCAAGAAAAATGACTACATACATCATCCGCGACGCAACCCCATCCGACCTCGGCCAAATCCTTGCCATAAACACGCACTACATCCTCAACACCGTCCTCACATTCAGGCAAACCCCACCACCACCATCTACCCTTCTGAGCAAATTCAACGACATCAAAGCGCGACGCTTACCATACCTTGTCGCCATCGACTCAAGCCTCAAACAAAAGAACGAAGACGGGGATGAGTCCAACGACCTCGTGCTTGGATATGCATACCTTTCCCCTTATCGTGGCGAAATGCTCTCCTACGCACCAACAGTCGAACTAACTCTCTTCGTACATCCGTCTCATCAATCAAGGTCCGTAGGCTCAAGGCTTCTTGCCGCTATCCTCAAGGCTGCCGAGTCGGTGCTCCATCGCGGGTATGAGATTGGCGGAATCGTCGATGAGACTGCGACGAAAGCCGTTGCTGAGGAGAATGGGCTTGATATATCTGTAAGGAATGTATTGGCTGTTATGGCTGTTGATTCGGATGGACCGGACGAAGGGGATAAGTTGAGGAAGTGGTATGTTGAGCGCGGGTTCGTGGAGAGAGGGAGGTTGGAGAAGATTGGGTTCAAGAAGGGGCGATGGTGAGTTATCATGTTGCTACTTAGGACTTCTGGTGGGACGTTGTATTGACGATGATCGATATCTAGGGTTGATACGGTTTTTTTGCAGTATACTGTGGATACAAGAGAAGGGGTGTAAACTGAGTATATTTCTTGAGAATATTTAGATACATTCTTTTTACCAGGTGGACTGTTGCGAATCTCTTCGATCATAGGAAGGAGCAAATCTTTTGATGTTGATATCTCTAGATATCTAGATACCATTGTGTGTGAGAGTTCGGAAGAGTAGTACTTCAAGAGAACTCATGTAGTGCCCTTATGATAATATTATCTATAGAATCTTCGGTTAGTTGTCTCAGGGCTTTGTGGATGATTGTGGTCGATTTCACCTATATTCACTCATGTCTCAACTGCGAATCAGTAAACATCACTCAGTATCGAAGATTCACCCTCGCTTTGAGTTTCAATGTCATCGGCGACTTGAGCGAGAGCAAATTTTAAAATGGGCAATGCATTTCTTCTAGTACGAGCCCGCTGGGGATATCTGTTTGTTCTCTTTCTGCGATGTCCAATATAGTTCTTGGAATACTTTCACTATTTACCCCCATCAAGGGTTAAAGAATCCCACTTCTCCAAAAACTTATCCAACTCCATATCATCCGGTATGTAATCATCCTGCTGCCTGATGATAGCACCAAAATTAGGGTAGCGACTACTAAACTTTTGTACGTCTTCGGGTTTCCAGTATTTCGACTCGAAATCTTTGAAGAATCGCCGAATGTCTGAAGGTATTTCTTTGACTGTTCTCTGGGTGCTGAGTTGAACGAGTCGGAACATGCCTTTTTGAAGTGGCCACCTTTTGGCAAAGGATGTAGCCGCCTTGGCTAATATCAGAAAGTCGGATTGGCTACCTGGGTTCTCAAAGTCCTCCATCAGGATAAACATCGCAACGCAGACCCATTGTATAGTGTTGCCGGACATATCTTCAAAGCCCCAACGTGACTTTTGGATGCTAGCTAGTTCGGCAATTTTGTGAGAAGAGGAAAGGCAGATTTCTCTTGCTCGCTTCGATCTCTCCACGCTTGAACTCTGGGCGTCTCTTGGAGCTTCTTTGAGACGTGCCCATATCGTTACGATGACTGCATGATAGTACATACTAAATTAAAAAAAATTGTCAGGACGCGGTATGTGTATAGGGACGGATGGTGAAGTATATAGGACTCACTGAAGGGTCACCACACTAGGTAATGAAGTTTTCTCAACATTCATGCACTCAGGTAAACATTTTGCCCACTCGAGAAGTCGATCGTACCATCCAAGCACTGTCTCCTCAAGGTCAGCACGTGGAATTTTCTCATCACTACAGAAAAGAGTCACTGCTTCCCAAGCCACTTCGCTGATTTTTGCTTGTTGGTTTATATTGCATATTGTGTGGGCAGGCAGCGACTCTCCATACTTAGGGTAAGGTGACCATTGATCGTTTTTAGATTCATGTTCGGGTAGTCGAAGTCCCTTTGGCCGCAGAATTCCGTTTGACTTGTGTAGCGCTAGAGCTGAAGTACTAGATATTATTAGTGTTCCATATCTCTCCCGTAACACTTGGAAGGATTTCCAAAAAGCTAAATAAGATTTACCTCATGACTATAAAGGAACCCAGCTCTAGACGATCCATGGCTTTGGCAAAATCGCCAGCGGACAGGCTGGATTTTGAACTCAGGCATGTCTGGTTTGATCGTAATGTGTGAATCTGATCCGTTGCCTGCATTGCGTATCCCCATCCCAGTCTGTCCTTACCCATCGTGCAGGCGCTGTAGGGTAACTGGTTAAAATTGTATAATAAAGCCATATGATAGTGAGGGACTGCTCACCAAACAAACATCACAACAGTTCCCTGGGCGGTAGTGAAACTCACATGTCCCTCCTCAGCGTCCAGTATCCTCTTAGCCTCGTTCCAGAAGTGTTGACCCTTGATAGAGTCGCTGCCAACGACCGCGTAGGTTTCGGGGTAGTCGGAATAGAACTTGATTGCTCATATATCAGCAAGCCTTTCCCCCAATTGCTTGCGAACGACAGGTCTTATCACTTACACAAGCCTGCGCAAGAATAGCATTGACTAGAAATGGAGAACAAAACTCGGAATCAAGGTTACCGGATTCCATGTCCTTCAGAAAAAGGTCCGCATCAACGGGACTAGAAAACAGCCAGTCCCAAGTGAACCATAGTGAGATCAGATGTGACACGAAATTGTCATCATCAGTGACGGTGGTCCAGGGCTTCGCTGGAACAGAAAAAATCGGGATATCAGTGAGCCTTTTCACATCTAGAAGACTCTTGCGTTGCGACTCCTTTTCCAGTCTACGGACTTCGCCATAGACTTCTATCAACTCCGGTGTGCGCTCAAGCTGCGAACGTCGGATTTTATCGTCCAAATATTCCCGAACCTCTTCCAGCTCAGTGCCACCGCGAATGAGGTTCACCAGTTCCATCACATATTTGTTCTCATCTCGTCTTATTGCTTTTATTAGATCTAGAAGCAAAGCTTGGTCCGATTCCATATCCCCTATCTTTCATTTTCGGTTGCTCTTTCGTCTTTGGTCGGCTGACGGGTCGATTTGGCATTCTAAGTTTCTGACTTTGCACCTGTCACACGGTGCTGTCCCCGAACACTGCGGCACATCTTAGCATACAAGCGTGCTACAGTGGGCTTGAAAAAAGACGTGTTATGGCTTTTGTTTGACAACAAACCTTCCACTTATGTGTCTTGCACGACTTGCACGCGACAATCGATGGTTTTGCTGAGGCCCTGGCACGAGTCGGAGCAGCGCGAGCCGTCCTTTGTTGCTCTGCCATCTTCGAACTATCAGGAAAGGCCCGTGAGGGATGTCACAAGGATTTAGGTGGTCGATTGACCTTTTTTGGAGTCAACTAGATCTCACTATAATGACCTCTGCACACGTATTTTCCTTGATCTTGGCCGGGGAGGATGAAGTGCGGCCGCAACGTAGTCCAAGTGCCATAGAAACTACTAGAATGTAGAGTATACTTTTCGCGCTGAACTGTAGGTAACCCTGGCTTATCAAATAAATAACTTGGCCAGAATAGGGGGGGTGCGCGGTGGCTACTATGTAGTCTCAATGTAAATATCTTACTATGTATGTCGCGTGGTGCGTAGATGGGATATTATGTTTTGTACTAAAATACGGTAAATAGTACGTACTAGTAATCTCTTCATACAAGCCACGAACTCCACTTTGATAGCGCGTACTCTGGAAATATTTTCCAGGCCCTAACCCGGTCGACATGTTCCATTTCGGTCCTAGCCGCATCAGGATCGCCAAATAAGATCTGGAATTGAGTGACTATGCCTCCACCTCTCCAGGCATTTGGGCATATAGCTAGTGGATATATCAGGGTCAGCCTAAGCCCGCACCTATCCTATGGATCAGAGTCGAATTCGACAGATGATATCTCCAATTTGCAAAGAGGAGTATGCCTTTCATTGGTCGGGTGGAATATCCCATGCACATGCGTACAGAGCACAACCAGTGTGGTGAAATTTTGATCGTATCGTTGGATCGTTCCATCACCCACCAAGAAAAAGTGGGACGGAGACGCACTTCCGCCAATCATGCATTCTCTACAGCAAAGCCATGGCGTTTTCCATTTTGAAATGAGATGTACTGCATGAGGCAGCTTTAGGGATTTCTTTTTTCTTCCCAATTAGCGTGCCCTGCAACGTCATGGAAATCACTCCTAACTTCCAGGGATCTCTTGGATTTCCTTGAATCTCTGCGTCTCCGGATAATGCCAATAGCTCGAAAATAAATTTGGTCACTAGCCATTTCTCATGTAAAAGACTTGTACACGAAAAGATGTTTATCCTGAAGGGTATTTGCCACGTTGATGCGCTAGTGTGTTCCCAGAAGCATCTGCGTCCGACCGCACATATATTGACCTGAATGAATCAAGAAGGGATCAACAACCTGCTGGGTGTCATTAGGATCAAATCTTTCACCTCCCATCTCGCACATCACGAAGAGTATTCCGCGTACACACAATGGCTAATGCCGAAGTCTCGACGAGCTCAAACAACCCTTTGGCTGGTGGGCTGGTAGTCAAGGTACGTCGCTGAACTTGCTACGATCGAAGTTGAAAAGACGTATATCAACCAACTGGGTTGTTTCTTTAAAACAGTCAAACGAACGCCGCAATTCGAGCGGATGTGATTCGAAAGGCATGCCCATTCGCGGAGACAACAATAATAACGATAATAATGAGCCAAAATCGGATGAAAAGGCTACTTGCATCGACGCTGAACTTCAACGAATCCATTCCCGGGTCGAACTTTTGCTGGAGGGCCTACGTGTGGATGGTTATTGCAAAAATAGGAGATCGAAGGTTGTTGATGCGATTCGTAGCGGGCAGAATCTTGAAGCAGTACTCGCCATAGCTACACAGCTGATCAAACAAGTCGAGGAGGAGCATCCGAAGTTGTAGCTTGAGTGCGCACAATATACGGAACAATGTCTGCTCACTCCCCGAGGAACAACATAGGCCGTCTGGTCTATGACCAGTTTTTTTTTTGCCAGGAGAGGGCTAGCTATGAGGTGGATCACTCGACAGATAATTTGACGAGTTTAGTATACCGTCCTTCTCCGTGCAGGCTATACTCACTTGACGCACACTTTTTGGTTATTTATTTATCCTATAAACTATTTTGAAGATTTATGCCATCATAAAATAATAAATTGAATCGGATTCTCCGGTATTGAGTAAACAAACTATAGAGAAAATAAGCTTAATTTCATTTTGCGAAAGCGCCTAGGGAGCCTTATCGGCTGACTCGACCGTTCGTGACCAATAGGCTCATCAAGCTACACGGTATCGAATATACCTCTAGTTGGCTTCAGTTTCTTTGATTTTGGGGGGTTTTTTAATTTGTATGAGGCTTAGGTGTAGCAACTAATAGATGTGACAACAGCCAAGACCTTGCATTGGAAAACAACTAAGTGTGCTCATCTACAGGAACATCAAGCATGAGCAGGAAGTAAGGGAGAAAAGGAATTAATCTCGCTACACCTAGCTCTTTATACAAAGTCCTTTGTGTGAATAGAGCTTCCTAATATGGCCCTGCTCAGGTTCGAAGGCTACATCACAAAGGAAAGCCTCAAGGGTAGGAAAATTCTAGGCGCAGTGGCAGAACGAGAGACAAAAGAAACAAAAGGCACTTGAATTTACACGCGCAAAACAGGGGAGACAAATAAAGTCATAGAACTCGAGAAGGGAACGAGAAAACTGTGGTGCTGAGCATGAGGACATCCTTACATTGATAGAATGCATGTACCATGTACCAGGCCGATATTCTGAGTCCACGAGAGGTGTATCATGGCTTCGAACCAATCCAGTCAGAATACTGTTATTCTGCTTTGCTTTGCGCACCTGACATTAGAGAATTTTTAATCGATGGCGCTATTGGTCCCCAACATCCGAATCACCTTGACTTTCCTGGTCTGACCCTATCGTATACAGCGGGCATAAGCCTGAAGCTCCACATTGGGATTCCACCACACTTCTGTCTTATTAACGATAGAAGCGCTTTGTGGGTTGAGGCCTATTCTACTCGCGCCGCTAGTGATCAAAAGAATTTGAGGACTTGTTGCTTCGGAATTGCCTGCTGTACCGCCTCTTTTCGCTCGGTGCTGAGAGTGCTATCGTATCGCAGACAGTCAGTTTGAAACTCGTTCTTGATGACTAGATGGACGATGTCAAGAAATCTTAGGAAATAACTGAATACTATGATTTTCTCGTTGGGATGAGCTTCTCCTGCGTGACGGATTATGTCGATCAAAGCTTTCACCGGGAGACTTGAGTCTGTTATTCTCGGTTGTTTTAAGCTCACCAAGCCACTCTCTATGAGATTGACTGGAATCGACTTCATGCATTGCCACAAGGCAAACCACAGAATCCTCCAGACCCTCACCAATCTCTGAATAACATACCCACTTTGGCTAAGATTAGTTCATCTTCTCAATCTTAATCCTTTCGCCTATCCCATTCTTAAGATAAAAACTTGCGCACAGCCGTCTTTGGTATCTCTTCTTTTAATTAGTCTAATTTCAAACACCTTTGGATATATTCGCTGCAAAAGTGGGCATAGGTGTATTCTAGTCCAAAGTTTTGTGTTGTTGAGCATGAAAAGTTTTGATGGGACTGCGTACGTGTTGAACAGCCAGTTCCCAAAAATCGTGTCGCGAATCTTCTCCCATGTGTCATTGGTCGTCGTCCTTTGGAAGGTGTGAGAGATCACTCAAATCGTGCAAGAGGTCTTGGAGGATTCCGAATACATCACAATATGCTCTGGGGTACTCATGGGACCAGTAAGATATTGCTTGTACATGTAGAGCTCGGTGGACATTCAGATCCACGCTGTGTGGGATCTGTCTGAAAAAAGCATCAGGAGGCAAGACGTTCGCCCCATGTCGGGCGCACGCACAACGTCTCCATGGTAGCCTTGACCCTGTCCATGTGGACCTCAACCTGATTCATTAACGATTTGACATAGTCAGCGATTTTGCTGATTGTTGAGGGTGACAATTTGAGTTTCACTCGAATATCAGTTCCCAGAATGTATTTGACGTTTTTTCTTGTCTTTTGCAGGTCGACCCTATCTTCTCCGACCTCAGCAATGTTAGGGTATGCAAGTGCAAGAAACAAGTAGGCATGGCGTAAGCCAATCTTGAGTTTGGTACTTTTGAGACTGTTGTGTAGGAATTTGAGCTTGTCGGGGGAAACATGCTTGACTGCAGGCCATTGTTGTTGGATGTTTCTGTTGAGTCTCTCGGCGTCGGTTTCATCGAGCGTGTCGTCATCTATGGCGAGGAACTTTGATGATAGGAGTAGGGTATTTCTCCAAGCTCAAAATGGCGTTGACGTGTTTCGAGGGTGTAACATTAGCGGTAACCAGCGGGGAAGGGTCGGTCTTTGAACTCAGTTTCCAGCTCATACGCATTTCCATCTATGGTGAATGCATGATCGCTATTTTGTACCGCTGAAGCCATTCTTCCAGTGGACTAATCCAAGAATCACTAAAAAATGTTAGTTTAGATCAAGGACAGAACTAACAGAACGCAAGAGAAGAGATCAAGAAATAACGGGGGTACAAGAAAACATGCCTGTAAATGACCTCGGATTCACGTTCTGAAACGCTTTCGGCGGTGGAGAGCCATAGATTGGGAATAATCGTCAAAAGAGACCTCGAGAAAAAGTTCTGTGGTTTGCAAGAATAGGGACTGGAAGCGAAAGATTGAAAGAAGGTGAACTGAAGGTGAAGGATTTCATGAAGGAAAAATATTTGCAAGACAAAGAGGACAATCAGGGGAGGGGCTATTTATCTAGGCAACAAAGACAAACGCTAGGCAGTGGCCGGGCAACTTCTCCTCTTATGTTGGTTATATCATCTTGCCATTATCGGCTTGCTGTCATTCTTGATTATGAATAGTTACAAGAGGTGCTCCAGGAGACATTCAGTCACTTTGATGGAGGAAGTTTCAGTTAATATTAGGGAGGAAGGACTCAGGAGGTTCAAGTACGAATGCTCATATCTTCTACACCAAAGTGGAGAGTACAGTTATTTGCAGTATTGTACAGTATGAGATATAGGTCAAATGTTGAGTTGATATGTGCATTATCAGTGATAGAATATAACCTTTCATTAATAAATAGTCATGATTACCCGCAAGCCATGTAAGGATATAGTCCACGGAGCAAGTGTACCCTCAGCTCGAGACAGAAAAAAGCGATTACTCCTTGATACTTAGGTGTAGGCTATACCCCATCTGAAGCAGCTCCTGAGCTGCGACTCCAGTTCCAACTCCAGCATCAGCATCAACAAAATAAAAGCCATCACATGACCATCCTGATCATAGATAGCATACCAACAGCTTCCCGCAATTAGAAATTTGTCACTATCTTGCCCATAACATATCCAAAGCTGCTCTACACACACGTGTTCCGTTGCGTCGGATGGAGTGACGCGTCTCATCTTCGCCCCGAGGTATTGTGCGTTGATTACTCTACTGAAGCTATCTTCCATCACAAGTATATCATATAGCTTTAGCTCGAAGAGATCTCTGATTCCCTTATTTCATACTTTGGGATTAAGCTGACAGTCTCTTCCTTCTCTTGGGGTGATTGCTCGTCTGCCATACGCGCCAGAGATGGCATCCATCATGCCAGCCTCTGACATGAGCAACGAGGATTACAATGAGCGTTCAGCTCTTCGGACAGAGACTCTACGTCGCTTAAAGTCTCAGTTAGAAGAAAATCTTCCCGACGAACAAGTCACGTCGTCATTTTGGGCATTCTGCCAGGTGGCTGATATCACTAAACTGGACAACTTGGCGACTAGCCTAAGCAACCCTGGGATGCAGGGGGCAGCAGGATTTATCATAAATGGTTGCCAGGACGCTATTGCAAGATGTTAGTTCTCTTTCCCTTCACTCACTCAGCAAGACTTGAGACTAACTTCTTCATTAGGGCTCCTAAGCTTGAGTATCCGAGGTAGCTCACAATCTGCTTCCAGTAGAAAGACATATCGCTCAACCCCAGCAGTTAGAGAAGTACATGATCTTACGAATCCAAATTTGAGTTTTGCTAGTTTCGAATAGTGCAAGAGACGAGACCAAGGCCAATGCATTTTGACAAAACAAGAAGAACCGCAGGCTGCCCGTATCTACCCTCATTGCCTGATCGCAGCTTCGAAGAGAGGGCGTTCAGGATCCCACTCATTCTGGAGAGTCTTGACGTATTTTTGGACGCCGGATCGTATTCAGAGATAGCAAAATGCGGTCTTTCGTGACCCGAGACATAAGAAGGACCCCCGTGAAACGTGCGAAAACATGGTGTGTCTCAAAGCCAAAGTACATGATTTATGGAAAAACGGACGGTTTGCGTTACGTCCAGTGGACAAACCCGACGAAAAGACTCTAGTACTTGAATTCCATTGGCAAAGGGAGATGGAATGGGAGGGAAATGTGGATCTAATGAACGAGCCCAAATCTAGTCGGGGCCTCGATTCATATAAAAACGGAGGACCTTTACTTAGGATTCCATCGGGGGTCAAGGGACAATCCAAGATAATCAGATCTGGTGATTCTATCACTATGACCACCCCTGACCCAGAAAAACTCCCATTGCCGACTTGGGATTTGCTGGAAATGCAGTGGTATCTTCAAAGGGTTGCGGCAATGAGTGGAGTTGCTGGAGATGATGAGGGTTTCTACCACGACGAGGACAACGTTGAGATCTGGTTACGCGATGTCCCTGATGGAAGTGCCGTGGATGATCTCAAACTGTGATACTGGCGCTTTATGGGAGCTCTATCGATGAGAAACTACCGATAGAGAAACGGAATCAAACGGTGGGCTTTGTGCGGGAGCCAGCCACAGCTTTAATAGCCGTGTAGGGCGTCGTTACCTAATTAAGAAATAATGATAAGAAGGGAGGAAAATACACTAGAAAACACGTAATGCAGATATATGGGTATTTTGAGGCACAGAAAAGCTAGCCTAGGATTTTACATATAGCAAAATGAGTAGTGAGAGGGTTATATCCCTATGCGTCTGGATGGGTAGATGAGAGACGAAGCCACCTCGCTGAGCGATGCGAAACAGGCAAACATGAAGTACATAAAAATATGCGACCAGGTTAGACGGAGCGTCAAGTCGACGGCCTATGAACTTATGACCATCCAGCACGCAGACCTCCATGTCCACGTCCTCTTCGATTGTTGAGATATCATCTCATCTATTTGGCGCATACCCAAGACTTTCCTAACGGCCAAAACTCGTCTTGAACTCTGGTAGTTCCCGAACCTGGGTGGTTCCCTGCAAATCGCTAGCCATATACACAAGGAATTTGTCCAGGTAAGCATCCTGCTTGGCGCAGATATCATAGAAATTGCTTGATCGAATAACGAGAGAGTCGCCTTCCATATGCGCCCGCAGGAGTCGGCCATGTCTGTCAACGGTGAAGGAGAATACCATCCAGCATTGATATTGTGGTTGGCGAGGTCATGATCCAAGAGTTGAGCAAACATTAGCGAGAGAGTGATTTGGATTTCACTGATGAACAGACAGGCATTGTCGTGTGGGTATCTATGACTGATGGTAAGCATAATATGTGGATGTTCCTTTGCATGCCAGATAGTTTGAGGTTTCGAAAGTCGTGATCAAACCCAGAAGTCGGATTTAGTCCAAGGTCCATGATCAAATGCTCTCGTGTAATCAGTAGACACAAATTTGTTAGTATTTCTCTTCGATAGAATAGTTTGCAAGCCTAATAGAGTTCTTGATACGTACACAACTCGCCAGGCTTTGATCTCTTGAAAGGCTCGAGAGCCGTTTTCTCCTGCTTTCCTCTATCGCAGGCGACCAAAGGCTACTTCAAGTGTATCGTAGCAGCTAATCGGTATTGTTTCTATTGGCGGCTTGGTCGGCATCAGAAACGAGCCAGTGTTTAGGCGGCCAGTCGCCGAAATAAGTTTGCAGAAGATCGGCTTCCTGCAATTGGAAATTTTCACTATCTTGTCTATACCATGTCTAAAGTTACTCTACTCGTCCGTGTTCCGTGGCGTCGGATGGAGTAACACGTCTCATCTTCGCCCCGAGGTATTGTGCGTCGATTACTCCAGCGAAGCTATTTTCCATCAAGAGTATATCATATAGGTTTAGCTCGAAGGGATCTCTGATTTCCTTCAGCAACACTCCATCGGGCTCGTCAACAGTCTGAAATGTATGGTTTTCGAATTTGATATCATCGCGAAGGTTCACAAGAGCTATATCGGTATCTGCGAGACGACGAACGACATGCCCGATAATCACTAAATCACTTCCTAATTAAAGCTTTCTCCGATTACAGATTTTAAGAACGAAAGTTATCTATTCTTCGGATTAAACCTCTGCAAGTCCCATGGGACTGAAAAAACTTTAGTCCCAGTGCCATGGAAATTAAGAAAAAAATCCCACGTCCGCGGGACCGAGATATACACATATTCCCCCTGGGCATTCCATGGGACTCCCATAAACTATACTGATTTCTATATAAGAAAAAGTTATTATTGTAAGTATATTATTATACTAAGTTAAACCTCCTAATAAAGAAAAGTAGAAAATTGTAAATGAAGAGTTATTAATGCTATACTTCTGTCCATATTTGATATAGTATGATCACCTAGACTAGAAGAATCAAAGGAATACTTTCACCTGTATAACTATCTAGTAGTGGGTGAATCAACTATCCCACTAGCTTAATTACATTAATTACAGGGAACTACAGATACAAGCAGCAATAGGTTTCCATGAACTTCATATTACGTATAATTGAATCTTACGTTACCCGACTTTGAGTGACAAGTTGTTTGCCTCGTTGCGCGAGAATCGCCGTCAACAACTCTCGAATAGTAAAACCCAATTTCACACTCGCTCAGCCTGACGGCTGGTCTGCTGCTTGCACTAATTCAGAAGATCTGAAGATTTCTTCTCGCTGTCCAAGGTCTGATCACCTCGACCCAATCTTTGTCCCGGCCCACGTTTTATAGGCTTAGAATCAGGTGATAGAAGTTCATCTCGCTCTATCCTTCCGCTGCGGTCCGAGGAGACTCGTTGGAAAGTAGAATCGGCCATGTCTCCAAAACATTGTGTTGCGCGTGACTTCGCATGTATCGCTTTCGCGGTTGTAGTATATTGATTTGTGGATCCAATAAACTGTAAGGCATCTTCATCTCCGCGAACATCTTCGAAAACATTCCTATTTGGCTCGTTGCCAGAAGAAGTCGTGGGCGTAGGGTCTTCCTCGCGATTGTGAGTCATGCTTCCATCCATGTCGCTATCAGTCATACTTGAAAATAAGCAGAAAAGACGACATTTGAATCAATGCCACAGGTATTCGTGGTTTTGCAAAGGAGAAATGGTTCTTCTCTTAATTTTCGGCCAGCAAAAAATGGGAAATCTGAGAAGTCTTCATACTTATTTAGCGATTAGCAGAAAGTTTTGACTGCTTCTCCTCTGTAGTACTGTACTACACAGTAGTTGGAATGCGTATCGAGCGGGGTATGAGATGTGCGTGCGGTGATTGGAGCATATTTGTCGTCGCTAGACAATTTGTTGATGGGCTGTCATTGGCCAATAATCGTGTAGGTGGATAAGGCGCCCGAACTACTGTGATAATTCCAGTACCCTGAAAACGGTAGCATATCAGAGAGACTCGCTAAGCGCTCATCCTTGCATGAATATTACCACTACCATTTATTGGCTAATATCCTTTACAATCGAGACTCTCTCACTCGCGCGTATTTAATAGCATAAATATTGACGTGTTCGTGCTCATTATAGTATTTGCTACACAGATTTCGACATCCAAACCTTTCCCCTTCCTTCCATCGCTCCTCAGTCCTGTAAAATGGCAGATCCATTGAGTGTCACTGCATCAGTTCTTGCTGTGATAACCGCAGCTGCAAATTCGGCCAGGTCCCTTTATGAAACTATTAGACGTTTTCAAGATCGGAGCAAGACCTTGAAAAGGCTGCAGGATGAACTCGACGATCTTGCTAATATTCTCAGCTCGTTGGCAGAGGCTATCAATTCGGAAACAACGATGCTTGTGCTCCTACAAAAGCCTATTGATCGGTGCCATCAGGTATGCCGTGACTTCGAAGAAACCATGAAAACATTCAGCGGGAAGTCGAAGCCCGGCTTTCGGGATTGGACAAAGATGGAATTTATGAGGGGTGATATTAACGAATTTATCGACACTATTGCGGAATATAAATCAACGATATCGGTTGGACTAGGGACGATCACGCTGTAAGTTCTGTCCATGGATTTAGCTTACCGATCTAACCTCTTTCACAGAACCACCTCCAAGATTTCCCAGCAGGTCTTACAAGAATACAATGAGATGATCAAAGATACAGTCTACAATCTAGAGTTACGCCTCAAACGAATTGATGAGAAGATAGCACAGCCTATTCTTGATGATCGTGGTGCTTCAAACACAAGCATCGACCTGAAAGACGAAAGAGCTGTAACTAAGCAATGCATCCGTGTGTGTGAAGATGCCAAATCTTATATGGATTCTTTGATTAGTCGCGAATCATTCATGCTGCCACAGCTATCCTACAACGACTCTGGACACGTGCAAGCTAGCTTTGAAGCCCAGCGTCAGACGCGTCAAATCTTTGATGAGAATCAGAATCGGTTCGCAGAGCTCATCGATCACCTGCAAGAACGCCTCCGTTCCCTTGTTCTAGACAGGCCATCAAATGACCCGGACCGAGCAAAGTTACAAGAAGACATAGATATCTCAAGACAGTGCCTGGAGGTGTGTAAAACGGCGAGTGAAATCTCTCGGCAAAAAATTTACAGAGTTGGGGAAGTTATTGCGGATGGTGAAAGTGATCAGGTAGTGGTAACTACTTTGGCGGATCTTTTTGATGTCAGAAAGGCGTCGTCGAAAGGCAATTCCGCCCAATTAGTTGGCTCAATGACGACGGAAGATCTTCGACACTTGACTGAAGCGCGATATAAAAGTCGATTTGGATCCTTAGCAGCTACGTCTGATCCTGTCAAAACTGTTCCATCCAACCTGGTCCCGGGTTACGAAAGTGGGGACAGGAAGTCTGAAGTACACAGCCCAAGTGATCAAGATGAACAGTCCGTTGCATCACGAGCAAGATATCGCAAGCCGTCTTCTAACGAAATCAGGAAACGAGAGACGGCCAGTGACAATGTTTAAAATCGAGCAGTAAAATGCTTCATTTCGTAGCTAGTGGTTTAATTATGCAATAATCAATCATCTCGAAAACCCTGCAGCCAGTAATCTCAAATCCGGGCTAATACGTAAGGTAGTCGGGTTTGCTGTCGCGAAGGTCAGGCGGCTAATGCAGTTACGCCATTGGCCTTACGCTTGATCTTTGGTCGTCTCGGTTCAAGCATTCGACCAAGATGACCTTGAGCCGTATGATCCTTAAAAATATACTAACTCATATAGGTATCGCCGTTTCAGTAAGCGCCTCATTACTATGAACGGTTTAACCTCCCTTGGTGGTGACACTAAAACTATGGTGGGGAAAATTTCCCTCCATCTTAGGCTAGGCAATATATACTACATCTCTCATAAAAGGAAATTTTCTTTATTTCTTCATTACGTTATGTTGAAAACACTTATATCACGGAAAATCAAATATCGAGGATTACTCTACCGAAATTTAGTTTGTTATGGCGGATCCTCTTTCGGTTACTGCTGGTCTCGTGGGATTAGTTGGGTTTGCATTTCAGGCGAGCAAATCTCTCTATCAAGTCATCGAAAGTTTCAAATCCTCAAAAAGAGCAGTCCGTGAACTTCGAGAAGAAATCGAATCCTTAAATAGTGTCCTGGCGACGTTGTCGCAGATGGCTATCGAATATGATGCTCAACTAACGTCCTTGAAGCTTCCTTTGCTGCGATGTGGCAAAACATGTGCAGAATTTGAAGGTGTTATCAGCAAATGCGCAGGGCATTCAGATGGCCAGAGGACAAGCTTTCGAGACTGGGCGAAATTGCAGTATAGAGGAGGTGATATTGGAGACTTGAAGACTACTCTAGCTGGTTATAAATCGACAATCAACATTGCCATTGGCGGTGCTACTTTGTAAGTCAGCCAAAGAGAGAAAATTTTCTCCTAGCGAGGGGACTGATTGGATATAGTCGCCAGGCTGCCGTTACAGCAAATGTTCTTGATGATTATCGGAGGATGATTGAGGAAGCCACATCTGATCTGCAGGACCATCTGCAGCTAATTGATGAAAGGATGCAATCACTCATACAGAATACCGCTTCAATGCCAAGCCTAAGCCCTCCCGAGGTTGAAGAGATTATAGAAGAAAAAAAGAGCATACAACAGTGTCTGGCAATCTGCACGCAGGTTTCTCAATTGATAGAGGCATATCAGACTCGTCGGATGGCCTATCAAGCACCTACCGATTCCGTTCCACCCCGTTTCTCGACCTCTAGAGCAGAAACAGCGACAAATGATCTCCTAATGGGGTTTAAAAACAAGTTGTCTTCCAATGTTAACGACCTTCAAGTTCGGCTACAAGAGCTTGAGGATCGTCTTGGAAAACTCTCTAAAGAAAGTAATGACCAAGAAGACTTGAGTCTTCTCCAAGCTATGAAAGAGGAGAGAGATAGCATCACACGATGCCTCGAAATATGTACAGATGCATCCGACCTTACAGCAACAGTCCGTACGAATGTCTATGAGGATGTGACATCTGCCGACAACGCTCATCAATTGGTCGTTTCAACAATAGGTGACCTTATATCGGCAAGGCACATCATGACTGGTTCCAACTCAGTCCAGTGGCTAGGACAAATGTCCGATGAAACGATCCAAAAGCTTTCCGACGACAACAAACGCATTCTTCCTGTAAATCAGACCAGCACATCGCAAGCGCAAAAGAGTGTATTTAATGACCTATATGGAGCGGGATACCAGCTGAAAGGTGAAGTGAAAATGGCGAGTGACAAGGTCGGAAAATGAGGAGCTCATACATTGATTTAATGTAATGTTTACGTTTCAATTATCGCAAGTCACTTGGCTACACAAGAATATGGCATCTCCTCCACTCCAAATGACTAACAGTCAATCCTCGTTCGGGTGCTGATGACAAGATAATGGACTTTGTGTCTTGCTGTTGTGGCGGTAAGACTTGTCCTCTTCCTGGACAATTCCGCATATATGATTGAAGTAACCAATTTTCGTCCAAGCGTCTATGCTTAAAGGCTATTCACGTGTGTGCCTATAGATTCTTGTCTCAGTTGGGGCTTGCATAACGTTTCTTCAAAATCTGTTGAAAGGTAGAATCGGAGACGTCTCCAAAGCATTGTGTTGTTCGAGCTTTGGCAGAAATTGACTTGGCAGAAGTGGGGTGTCCATTCGCTGAGCCGATTAGTTGGAACACATCTTCTCCTGCTGTGATATTCTCGAAGACATTAACGCTGGGCGGATCGGACAAGGTGTCCAATACCATAGGATTGTAGAAAGTATGCATTGCGCCGCCGTTTCGGCGTTTATTGAACATGATTGATTGATCAAAAGTCGAATCCAATAGATCAGACTGTTTGGAGACGAGGATTCGATTTGTGGCTAGTTTTTTCAAGCAACGCCACTGTGGGGGTTGTATAATGCCAAACAACCATAGAGACTGACTATCAATAATTTGGAACTGTAGAGGGAGATAACCAACAAACGAGGGCTATCGAGATTTAGGTACGACATCATATGGATACCAAATAGTCCACCAAAGTTCTTGAAAAAATGTCGTCAACATGGAAGATGAATCGTCTGATATAGTAGCGATAAGTGGTCTATTATAGACAGTCTAATGCCATCTCTAATGCCATCTGGGGTCTGACGCAGATGAGAGGTTATATGCCCTTCTCTAGAGTTCGCTTGTGGGTTTCTCTTCTCTTGATACGTCAGACACAGGAAAGTGCAAGTAACTGAAACATGAATATGGTGGGCCTTGATAACTTATTGAAGTAAGTTTAGCAGCATCAAACCAACCCTGCTTAAGAAGCAGTTTCTTAGGTCGGTGTTCGGAACCCTACTAGATCGAAGAGCAGCTCTACGTCTTCACATTATTTTTACGCACTTAAAAGGTCTGTTGTCTACTCTCTCGCCAGCCTTTGATCACCCGAAAGGCTCGAGAGCCACTCCCTCCTGCTTTCGTCCGTCGCAGGCGACCAAAGGCTACTTCAAGTGGATCGCAGCAGCTATCAGCATTACTTCTATCGGCGGCTTGGACGACATCAGACACGAATTAGACTTCAGGCGGCCAGTCGCCGAAATAAGTTTGCAGAAAATCGCCAGTTTCCGGCTGCTTGTGATCAATCAGGTAATCTCTCACTTCATTCTGACCCATCGATATGAAGAAGGTTGTCTGGATTGCTTGAGGGTTGAGTGACTTGTCGCCCAGGATGAGATTCTGATGTCGAATACCGATATTCGAGATTTCCTCCAAGCCGGTTTTGTACTCGGTTGAAGTTTCAAGATGATTCCAAAGGTCATAGAGCCATATCAAGTATGCGTCAGCGACTTCATCAAACGAGGCAGTTTTCTTTTTCGACCTAGCAGAAATCGGGTGGTCTCCTAATTTCTTTTTGTGTGTACTCCATACCTCTTCCGGGATGCAGTAGAGGCTCTGCAAGAAAAATGTTCGATCATATTACCGTGTTTTGAGAAGCACAAAGAAATTGATATTTTTATGTATGCCAGAAGTCTAACACAATCTCCACTGCAATGAATTTGGGTTTTACACTCTACAAGACTAATTGTATCCACCAGGTTGGTGAAACTCCAAAATGCCAATCTACATGTGTACATATACATAGGCGTCTACAGGTGTATATAACCTCAATATTATAGAAATCTACCGTATTCAAAGTTATGGAAAAAACCGAGATCTCAAAAGGAATAGCCACATGGCACCCATGATGTAAAAAGCTGTCAATAGAAAGGTAGTCTCACATGGCAATTAACCTTGAGATCGCCTCAAATCGCCCAATCGGGAAGGATGATATTCTACTATGTAATTAAGTGCTGAGGCGGCGTAGATATCGATATGATGCTCCACCCAGCCTAAAAGTCACGGGTATTGCGGAAAGGAAGCTTACATCCTGCCAAGTCAGTTGTTCATTCTACGTGTAGTTCATATATACCTCGGAATGCTAAAAGTAGAAGATCTAGAAGGGATCCGAGATTCCGGCCGAGAACCGAGATGGCGGTAATGAGTAATTCATGGTGATGTAATTGATGCCTGTACGTCTACCACGAACACGTATGATCATTATGAAACATACATTGATCGTTTGCCGCTCGAATAGATAGGCGAGTCGATGTCAGGGTAATGTTGGTATCACGATCGGTAATTTTTTTCTACAGAGGACGTGCTCTCAACAAGTAGAAGACGTTTCAAGTAAAAATAGAAACGTTCTTCTGTATTGTAATTACAGCAAGTTGGTGCAGAGTGATGATGTCATAGAAGAAAGCAAGGTTTATCCCCGCAAAAAAAGCCACGGTCAAGCCACGTATTTTTCCGGGATTCGTATGATACACAGGACGCCTTAATTAGTTAACCTTCCAGGCAAGACGCCTGTCAACACAGGCCTCATCCTATACATAAGGGGCTACTTGTGCGATGATCGCGGTGATTTGTTCCGTCTAGACTTCAGAGGCTAAGCCCAACTTTGGGTCTGAGTGATCATGAGATTCATCTTAGGGTCTAGGCACAGTAGAACTCTCCTCGGAGAAAGGTGATCCCCCACATTCGTCTCGAACTAACTTAGACCGTACAGTCAGTCATCATGACTAAGTGCTGAGTTGCGTGTTGGTTAACTAAGATGCACCGCCGTATGTCTTAACAGAACTTCAGTACATTACAGGGTAATACATTGAATAAATACAGGGCAGCACAGAACAGTACTTCCGATCTAAGCGTCATCAGTGCAAGTACGTATTGAGAATACCGTAATTCAGCCACTTTGTGCTAAGCTTTGCGTAATTAGTAAGTAGCGCAATACGGGGTGCAAGACGCGGCCAGTCACCGCGCCCAGGTCTGACCTGCGTCATCCGCTCATTACACTCTCGTCTCTCATCTCGGGACTCTTTTGCGCTCTTTCTACCACCTGCCTGTAATCTCTTTGTTAGGTACTATCTTTTCTGAAATCTGCCATAGATATTCTCATATCTTGATTGTTCGCAGATCAGTCGACCACTGCACATACTTACGTATGTACATACAGCCAGCGCCCCCGCTGACACAGCCGTACATATTCCGTTGTTCCGCAATTGCAGGGCCATATGAACAAAAGCAGCCTTAGTCCTGCTGACCCATTCCGAACGATCCGTTATTATTCAGCGAATATTTTATATTCTAGAACTATATCTCTTGTGATTTCTTATCTTTTGAATTACTTCATATGACTTTTGCCATCTGACCCTGGACACCCTCGAATCCTCATCGAATCCTATCGTCGCGCCGGAACCGCACACATCGGATATCTGTGACCTGTTGCGCGCCTCGAGCAGGGGATCGGATCTAGCGAAGTTATACCTTGGTCACATTCGCAACTTTTCGAGTCGACACACATACATACTGCGGAGTACTGGGCAACACCCAGAATTGAGCGCAATAGAGATCCGACAGTCGTGCAGAAGTGGCTATTGATTGTCGCCGCCACTATTGATTTTCCTGCGGGACATCACCCGGCACAAACACTAAACTGTACGTCCGCCTCATCTATCATTTTTTATTCGCTTGCTTTGAGTTTATGACCACCCCTTGATTGAATTTCTTTTTTCTGGTTCTTTTGTTATTGGTCTTTTGCCTGTGTGCCAGATCAGACGAATGCCGATCGGAGTTGTCACACTGGGCCATATAGTTTTGTTTGCAATTGTTGAATGGACTTTAAATACACGATATGGTCGCATCACAACTTGCAACTGAGATTTATATCTTTGGTTGCTCTGCCCTCATCCCCCTTGACTATCGTTACTGTCCAAAATGGCCAAATCCTCAATGCGCTATCGTCCCATGACGACCTATGCCGTAGGCCATCAGATTGCTAATGATGGACCAAGTAAACAGAAACCAACACCGTCGTATTCAGACCATATCATCCCTCGATCTTGGCGCAAAGCACGCCGGCCCGGTTTCACTGCTCCGTCCAGCACAGATCTGGTCGAGCTTTGCGAGAAGCTATTGGAACGGCCGCGAGAAAGCGCGAAACGATTCTTTTGTCTACGGACTTTGAGCACTCAAGAAACGAACAGCATGTCGCTCGGTCTGCCCAGGCCGGGTCGATCCCGGCCGCACTCGGAAATCTTTGTTGGCGCGGATGAGGAGCGAGTCGCTCAATTTATGGCTGCCCAGATGCGGGATAGCAATTCCAGCAACATTTCACTGACTGGGGGAGTATCTCGACCCATCTCACGGGACAGGTCGAATAGCGATGACTCGACTGTCATTAGTAGTGGCACAATGCCGACATTGCGCAATGAGCGAGTGGTTGCCACGGGCAATGGGATTACTGTTAGTGTTGCGCTGGCTGAACCTTTGGTATTCCTGCCGGGCTATGATCACAGTGATCCGAGTACCAAAAGATCGGCTATTCTCAGGGGGCATTTGCATATCAAAACGACCAAGTCGGTGAAGGTGAAGAAGGTTTCGATATGTTTTCGTGGACAGGCACAGACTGACTGGCCGGATGGTACGTTCATTGTCCTCTAATTCGTGTATATGTCTAATGGTTACAGGTATTCCTCCAAAGAAAATCAACTTTCACGACAAGAAAGATATTATGACATCTGGAATGATTTACTTTAATCAAGGAGAGACCTCCATTGTACAGAACCCGTACGGTGCACATTATTACAAAGTATCAAATACGATGGCGTTGTCGACTACCAAAGAACCCAAAATCTACAGCGTGACTACGACGACGAGAGAGTTGTTGAAAAATGGTTCCACGACAACCGTAAACAGAGAAACTGCCAGAGATTTGAAACGATTATCCTTGCAGTCCAATCATTCACGCAGTTTCAACAAGAACGAAGCCCCCAGCGCGAACCAACCGCAAGCCGTACGGAATTACAGACTCTTCCCGCCTGGCGATTACTTGTACGCCTTCGAGTTCCCCATTGATGGATCGATGCCAGAGACCATCAAAAGCGAGCTTGGATTTGTACGGTACGATCTCGAAGCCATAGTCGAACGATCCGGCGCTTTCCGTCCCAATCTGCTTGGAAGCACCGAGATAGAAGTAGTGCGAACCCCAGCCGAGGGATCTTTGGAGCAAGTCGAGCCTATCGCCATATCTCGCAACTGGGAGGATCAGCTGCATTACGACATTGTCATTTCCGGAAAATCATTTCCAATGGGATCGCAGGTCCCGATTGCATTCAAATTGACGCCTCTCGCGAAGGTTGAGTGCCATCGAATCAAAGTCTATGTAACGGAGAATATCCAGCACTGGACGCAAGACAAGTTTGTGCATAGGTTACAGCCGCCGAAGAAGGTGCTTTTGTTTGAAAAGCGGGCGGATGTGCCTAGTATCAGCACGTATCCTGGAAGCAGTATGCGGGTGACTGCTGGTGGTGGCGTGCATTGGGATCAACGAGAAGCTGCTGCTCGAGGTGAGGAGCAGGTCAACCGGGGTGTTTCTAGTTTACTGGGAAATTTGTCCAATGATGTGGGAGTTGGGCCGACCGAAATGGAATTCAGTGTACAACTTCCGAGTTGTCATGCAATGAAGGGGAAAGACGAGGCGCATCGATTGCATTTTGATACGACGTATGAGAATATTCAGATCAATCATTGGATTAAGGTATGCTCCTGTCCGATTGCAAGGATCGGATCCCTACTAACTGAATAGATTGTAATGCGCCTGTCGAAAACCGACGAAAAAGATCCAACTAAACGCCGACACTTTGAAATCTCGATCGACTCACCTTTCCACATTCTCTCCTGCAAAGCAACACAAGGAAACATTTTCCTTCCTGCTTACAGCGACCCATCTTCCGATCCAGCAGTCATCCAGGACGAATATTCCTGTGGCTGCCCCGGAGCCCCAATGACTCGCCGAAGCGCACCAACCAGCCGCATCAACTCATCCACCGCCCTCGACCAAATCAACAACCCCAGCACCGATGCCAACTGCCCAACTTCAACCCGCGGCCTCCCGCGCAGCTTCACCAGTGGCTCAGGCGGCCTCTCCCGCCCTGAGGCAGCACACATCGCCCACGAAGCGCCCAACGAACGCGACGCGCGGCCCATGCATCTCCTGCGCGCACCGTCATTCGCACCACCCGCATTCGAAGAACTCGAGCCTCCACCACCACTCATCACTCCCCCACCAGAGTACGCCAGCATCGTGGGCAACAGTGACCGCGAAACCGTCTTGACAGATTACTTCAACCGTCTATCATACTTTGAGGAACAGGATGACGAGGAGCGTGGGCTCGGAAGGGTCGATGTTCCGCTTACCCCGGGTGGGCGGGTACATCGTAGTATGGATGTGCCGCGGGAGTGGGTGCGGTTGGGCGACGCTACTGTTCAGTAGTCAACTATATATTGAGAGCAGAGCCACGCTCTGCAAGTATATACGCCCTCCTTCCCCTCATTTGAATAACCTTCAAAAAACACTGACGACTTACGACACTATGATATCCACCCGACACGTTCGACACGTTCGACACGTCCCTTTCTCTACTTATTCGTACATTATGTACATACCTACCACTAGACCGCGACGGCGTCTTTCTTTCTTTCTGTCACATCGTTCTTTGCATATACTCAATTTGTAGGGCGGCGGGGTTGATTCGGAGGCGGAAAAGCATATCTATCTACCTACATAGTAATTATGACATTTTATGAATTCCGTTCGAGCTATCAGATATACTGAATATGTACTAAAGATAGTATATTGATTGGATCGCTTCAACATGCCTAGCGCGGTCTAGTGTGTCTAGTGTGTCTACCTGCCTGGCTAAGATCGTTTTGGGTATTTATCTAGGCCCTGGGTGGATCCCGTAGAACTTGGGGCGTGATAAACTGATAAGCAATCTCCGAGCTCTTTTGTATTTCTTCTTCTATATGCTTCGCCTTCGTCTTTTGTTTTTGTCCTTGGGTTCCTTTTTGCTTAAATTCACGGCTCGAATTTTTATTTTACTGTCGAACTGCGCGTTGTAGCAGAGATTTAAGTAGAAGGATTCCCGCACTAGAATCTCAGATCTGTGAAGATCTTATCAACTCCCTGGTTTTCTGAAGGTAAGGAGCACTCTCGAGTCAACACGTCACATAGAAACCCAATCTGCCACTGTCTGTGTCACTGTCTGTGCAACTACTATTATTATCATGCATCCTGTCTATACATTCATGCACAAAACCTCGAATCTTCCTTCTACGGCTTTGATTGGATGCCTCTCCGCCTCATTTTAACCGTCTTGAAACAAATGCATCGTTGCACAATCTTCGAAAACATCACACTCAACCAATTCGACATTCTTTCTAACTATTTCACAGCTTCATATCGAACTAGAACAAAACTTGAATTGTAGCAAAATGCCAATCCAAATCGTCCCACTCCAACAAAAAGACATCCCAGGCGTCGTGGAATGTATCCAGGAAGGCTTTGCCGACGATCCGTACCATCTCTGGGTTTTTGACGGCTCAAAGGTGAGTCGCGCCACCTCCCTCTTTCTCCCCTAAATCACTTAATAAGTGGAAGTTGGCTAATCTGTCGAGGCCGCTGACCGAGTCAAAATCCAGTCCCTGCCCTACCTTGCTAGAAATATCCACTTAGCGACCTAGGTATACTGGGCTAGGTAGGAGGGCACTGGTTTTTTCTCGCTTGCCTCCATTCCTCTGGAATAAAATGAAATAGTTCAATAAAGAGAGAAACAAATCTTCTCTCACTGCCCGCTGTCTATGGGGGATCAATAATGCCTTGTTCTATGTCGCCAAGGAGGTCGCCGACAACACCGACCAACAAGACGGTGGCCAAGATGCAGAGGGCAGGGTTGTGGGTGTATCATGCTGGCTTGCACCGCAMCCTGCCGCAACGCAAACCCAAGCTCAGAGCTGGTATGCATGGTACCAACTCCAACTTTTGTCTCTGCGCCAACTCCTCACAAATATCCGTTTTGGGGGACGGGGCGGCCTAATTACGAAACGCTACTGGATCTGGAAAGCCGAGCAAACAGCCGCACAGCAGGAAATATGGACTGATAAAGAGAAAGGATACTATTTTTGTAATATGGTTACGGTGAGGCCTGATGCTCAGGGCCAGGGCATTGGGAGACGATTGTTTGAAGTGGTGATGGATAGAGCGGATAGGGAAGGAGTGAAGTGTTACTTGGAGAGTTCGAAGGGGGAGCCGAATGTGAAGATCTATGAGAAGTTGGGGTTTGGGTTGGTGAAGGAGATTGATTGTGTGGATGGGGGGGATGTTTGTCGGGTATGTCCTCTTTTTCTTTGTGCTGCGAGAGGAGTGGTATAATGCTGACTGACTGACTGACTGGTAGTTATATTGTATGGTTCGAGAGCCCAAGGATAAATCGTGATTCTGGCTGAGGGCACTGATAATGAGAGAGATGATAATTTCATATATCCCTTTTTGTATAGAGAGTAAATCCGGGGAAAGCTTACATAACGCAAGTCAGCCCCACTTTCGTATCTACGTAGTCTGCTGCCGCGAATAAACTCATCTCTGCCAACCTCTACCATTACCGATATTGTCATCGCCCGCAGTCTGATCGCATGATGATGAGCTACGACTCAGCTCCCCACGGAGGATGAGAAATACACGACCGATACCACAATCATGAAGAAAACACTCTTGCTCGTTTTCATCCACGGCTTTAGGGTTCGCAATCCCACCTCTGCGTCCAGAGCCGGCTTGCTAATTTTCTTTGAGGATACAGGGCGGCAGTGATACATTTCTCAAATTCCCAGACCAACTCACCGCGCTGGTCAGACATGCGCTCCCCAATATATCCGTCCAATACGTGACGTACCCCAAGTTTGAGACCAGAGGCGATTTGAAAGAATGCGTGGGCAGGTTCCGCGAATGGTATTGCCCCCCTCCCCTTCTCCCACTCTAATCTTCATCCTGATCTTTCTGTGTTGATGTACTATGGGAACAGGCTACAGAACAAAGTAATAGACATCGAAGTCTCAAACTCCACTCCCTCTCCCACCATCGATCCCTCCGTGCACGTAATCCTCATCGGCCACTCCATGGGCGGCATCGTCGGCGCCGAAACTCTGCTGCTGCTTGCCTCGGAACAACCCATCCCTTCATTATCGGCATCACAGATGCGTGACTCCGCAGGCGAGTCACCATTTTTCATGTTTCCGCACGTCCAAGGATTGATGGCGTTCGATACACCGTTTCTGGGCATTGCACCGGGCGTGGTGTCGCATGGAGCGCAGGAGCATTATCGGACTGCGTCGACGGCGTATAATACGTTTAATGAGGTGGCGGGGATATTTAGGTATAGTGGGGGGAATAAAGCTGCTACTGCGGGCACGACGACGACGTCAACAACAGCTACTTCAGCTGCTGGATCAGTTGGAGCGAAGTCTGCGATGTTACCCCTCCCGCCCGCAACAACAGACGCAGCCGCCGACGCCGCGGCGACACCATCATGGTCGCGATGGGGTAAAATGGCCATGTTCGCCGGCGCAGCGGGCGCTGTCGCTGCCGGTGGTGCGGCGGCACTATACTCGCAACGCGATCGGTTCAATGAAGGATTGCGATGGGTTACGTCTCATCTCGAGTTTGTGGGTTGTCTTGCGCGACCAGGGGATTTACGGAATCGCGTAGCTTCGCTAGCGGATATCCAGCAGGAGAGGGGCATAAGGGCGATTAATTTCTATACGTGTTTGGGTCAGGGTGCTGCGCCGAGGAGTGTTGATTCTGGTACTACCACCGATAATGCGGCGAGATCGCAAACTTCATCTCTATTCCTGCGTATCCCCCGTGCTAAGGACCGCACGTTTTGTCATCTTCCTGAAGACTTTGATGTCAATGACCACGTTTTAGCGGGGGACGGCACATCAGATCATCCAGGGCTCAAGTGGGTTCTTGCGCTGAATGACAAGGTTGCTGACGAGACGACGGCGCATATAAGCATGTTTGGGCCGAGGGAGAATCCAAAGTATTACATGTTGGCCCATGAGGCGGCAGATACGATTGTGAGGTGGATTGATCAGGGGTGGTATGCTAGTGCTACTACCGATGGACCTGAGGGGGAGGAGCAAACATTAAAGGAGACGGAGGAAAAAGAGGGGAGAGGGAAGGGCAAGGATGACAAGGATGATTTTATTGTTTTATAGATTTTTGTTATTGTTAGATCGAACGGATGGTCATGGATGAAATGATTGATGAATGTCAAAATTCAAGATGGTATGTTATAATCACATCGTTACACGAAACACCACCAGGATCAAGTATGTACTTGTACAACTGCGAGAAAAAGAGAACATTATTATACCGCCATAGACATGCATCGGTAGGAACAGAAATAGTAAGTAGTAAATGTATGCTTTTGATCAACACAACAAAGTGCTCAAAAACAAGCGAACGTCCGAATCAAATTAAAAGAAAAATAGTCATGTGCCGAAAATTCCCTCGAAGCAAGGGTCATATATACAAAACGCCGTCGTCATAACAAGCTCGTTTGAAGCAATGTTCAATATCCGGAATGGTTACCGCCAAAAGTCGACGAGCGATAGTGCGTGCTGGGCGCGTACTCAGAGCCGCCGTCGGGGTAGATGGTGAGACGGCGATCTTCTTCGTATAGGTCCTTTACGTCCCAGTTGTTTGACTTGACGCCGACGGAGAATTCGAGATCTTCCTTTGTGATCGAGTCCCAGTACTTGTAAATCATCATGACAGCGAAGAGATTGCAGACTGTGCCAAAGAATAGTCCGTCGAGATAGTGTTGTATCTTGTTGCAGATCGTGGCGCTAAATGCGTAGACCAGGACTTGACCAGCAACGAAGAAAAACACGCCAAGAGCAATGTGGCCTAGTGGCCACCTGTCGTCGAGTGTACCCCAGACGAGGAGTAATTGCATACCGACGTAGAGCGCAAGACATATGGCGTTCAGCACGTAGACCACGACGAACAAGCCAACAGGATTCGCGGGGTCCAAGCCGACCCATCCCTTGAATGTGAAGAGACAGACGATGAACGAGATAACAAACATGCCTGCCGAGCTGGCTCGTAACAGCCACACCGAAAGATTCGTCCCGTCTTCGTAGAGTTGGAATCCCACAAAACCGTTGATCAGTAGACAAGTACAGGTTGCTGAAGCGAGACCGTTCTGCACAGCGACGAACCAGGGAAACGGCCCACTGCCGGGCGGCACGACGCCAGCGTCGACGACGAGGGAGAATGCGGTCAGGAGCATGTAGAGGTAGAAAAAGTCGGTGATTTCTTTGCGGCCTTCTCCTCGTCAGTCTTCATCTCATACCCGCTTGGAGGCATACTCACCAACAGCGGTAAATTTCGACCGCACATGCAAAATCATAATAACAGTCATGGACAATGCGGCAATGTGCGCAAAATCAGATGCACCCTGGAAAATGATCGTGTTACCGACGTCGATGTTTCGTGCGTAACAGGTTGGCAGGATTCCGTTGGAGCCCTGGATGGGCGACTTGGGTCCGATCAGGGCACATAGCGGTACTGGTGCCGTTTGGCAGAATTTGTCTAGGCTGGTGATTCCGCTCATCTTGATTGATCTTTCGTGTTGTTCGGGTCGGGTTTGTGATGGAATTGGGAGGGAACCCTCCAGGGCCAGCTGGTAAGAACGCCCCGAGAGTGAAGTAGCGAGAGTCGATTTATTGTGTTGTAGCGAGCGATAGGGTTTGCATTTAGCAATCCACGTAAGGAGAAAAGTTCGAGGAATGACACCGGGCTGATTGAGGCCGACGTGAGGCTTTGAATAATCCTGATGGATTGTTTCTGTTGCTCCGCCAATGTCTCACCCTGGCCCGTCATGTGACTTGGAGCTAAGTTTAGCTTTTGCCATTTTAGGATTAGCGCACTATCCATGACCCCGCTAAGCTAGCAGGTCACGTGAATTGTATCTATATAAATGTAGCCAATCAAGTGCTTACTTCATCTGAATAATATATCTTTGAGAGGATTGATTGACACCGTCTTCTACTCAAGATAAGAGGAATCTGGTAAATTTGTGAAAGATGAGAGACATAGACCAATTTATATTGAAGATATTTTTCCTTTCCCTTTATGGAAACGGCAAGTCGTTTGATCGCTTTGATTGATCCTATGAGCCATTGGACTATCCCTTCGCTGCAGATGGAAATCTACTGATCACCCGGTATAACGCGACATGGAGACCGTTCTGAATACTGACAGTCTCAATGAAAAGAACTCGAATGAGTTCAATGATGACGAGCACGAGCTGTTCAACCCAGTGTTGGCAAGTATCAGACTTGATAAACTGGCCGACTATGCATCCAGCATCCGCAAAACTCTGGACCACCACAGTGCAAATTTCAGCGCAGTAATAGTCGGCTCTCCCATTTTTGGCTCTTATCACATCTTGTATCCAATAGAATTTCTTGATAAAGTCCGTTGGCTGTTGAAAGTTCCCATAAACGGCACAAGGGATAAATTCTGCGATTTGGACGCCAGAAGCATACGATCTGAAGCTTCTACAATGCGCTATTTACGAAAAATCACAACAATTCCGATTCCCGATGTAATCACTTTCAGTTCAAGTTGCGACAATGAGCTCAATTGCCCATTTATACTTATGAGTTATATCGATGGAAAGCCGTTGTATGATATTTGGTTTGACAGAACACAGCCAAATGACGTTATTGAGGCCCGACGGACCAAAAGCTTGCAAGGCGTTGCGGCTGCAATGGTCCAGCTCGGCCAGGTTTCGTTCGAACAAGCTGGATCGCTGTTCACAAGCGAATTGAATGGTGATATCGATGCCAATTCCCTCGAAATCTGGCCTTTACGTCTAGTCAACAACATTGCCATGCTTGAACGCATGAAAGACGACGATTATGATGATTTGCCAATCTATCTGGAGGCCGGACCCTTCCGAGACTTCCAAGCCTACTTCACAGCTCTTCTGGACTATCGAGAAAAAAGTCCTACAACAGATTTCACGCGAGGCCAACTCATTCTTCTCAGGATACTACTAGATTGGATACCAGAACCGAAACTAAGAGACGAGTGCAAGCCTTTCGTTCTTGCTCATCCAGATCTAGATATTCAAAATGTTCTAGTTGCGGAAGACGGCACATTACAAGGAATCATCGATTGGGATGGAGTCTGTTCTGTTCCTCGACCTGTCGGAAATGAAAGGTTCCCAAGCTGGTTGACTCGTGACTGGGATCCTGCCATGTACGGGTGGAATGAAGACATGGAACGTGGCGTAGAACCGGTCGGGGTTTGGGAAGATTCCCCGGAAATACTGAGAAAGTATAGATCCATCTACGTTGGATTTATGCAATCCTTTGCCCGTTCGAACAACAATCCGCTCTTTGGCCTGACTCGCAACTCGATCATCTATGAAAATTTGTTGATTGCGGCCAATGATCCGCTTTGTACCTTTGGGATTTTGCAAAAGGTTTTTGGTGAAATTCAAAATCATGTTCGGACAGATGTGCTCCAATCAGAGAGTAGTGACGAAGAAGGGCTAGAAGAATTTGATCTTCACAACATCTCTTGGGCTTTGAGCGAGAACAGGCTGAGTGAATGTCACTTGAACCTGCTCAAACAAGGCTTCCATCTGTTATTAAATGGCGAAGAAGTCTTGTAGTAGGGTGGTCGTACTATATTCCGATACTTCTAGTCTTATGACTTACAAGTATACCTAATGAGGACATGAAAGAATTTGCTCTCCAACTATATAAATAAACCTTCTCAAGCCTTCTCCCTCAAGAATAGTAACCCCTTCCGCCAGAGCTACATCAAGTTCTCACTATAAACATCTCTCTTTCTTCAGAGAGATATTTTTACATATTTGGTAATCTCTATTATCTATTCATGCCATATTGATCAAGAAACCTTGCTCAATGCAGCCGCACTGATAGCAGCATGAATCTCCTGCTCAGCGCCAGGCTCAAGAGGAAGTAGAGGCGAGCGCACCGTGGCATGCGTGAGAATTCCACGCGCAACAAGAGCGTGCTTCAGAGCAACGGTACCTTCCATATGAGACCCACGGTGATACACACTTTTAGTGACTGGCAGAAGTTGATCGTGGATCGCGCGTGCTTTCTTATAGTCCTTTTCCTTTCCAGCCTTGATCAACTCGATCAACGGTTCCGGCGCAATATTGCCATATCCAACGAGGAAACCGTCCACGTCAAATGCAGTGTGTAGGAGATACTCATCATGACAGCTGAGAATCTGAAGATTGGGGCGCTCGCGACGAATGACGGGGATCTCAGTATCCCAGCGACGCATATTGCGTACACCATTCTTCATAGCAAATACTCCGGGCTGAGCTGAGATATCCAGCATGGTCTGAAGGCTATAAGTAGCCTTGGTATTGTCGGGGTATTGAAAGAGAATCAGCGGAAGCCCACTGACTTCATAAACTCGTTTGTAACGGTCCTGGGGAGCACCAGGCTGATATCCAAAACGCAGCCAGCCGTGAGAAGGGTAAAGAAGACCTGCAGCTGCACCAGCCTCCTTCGCACGCTTCGCTTCCAGAGCAGCAACCTCCGTGCCTTCTCCAGTGATGCCGGCAATTATGGGAATCTTGTTGTCGACAGACTTGACAAATGCCTTGATGACGGATTCTTGCTCTTCAGAGGTGAGGAAGGTACCCTCACCAGCATGACCGAGAACAACGAGACCTTTGACMCCGTCGATGCTGCCGAGCCATGAACCGAGACGCTGGATAGCTTCATAGTCGACCGCGCCTTCGGGAGTGAAGGGGGTAATGGGAGCTGGGGTCAAACCACGCACATCAAAGCCGACCATGTTGATTGATGTAAAGTATTCAGTTGAATACGTAATTTTATTGAGATGTGAAACTGTTTGAAGTGTAAACATATCATGGTATGTGTTTGGCATTTATATATTATACGTTGAATGTCCTTTGTCTGAATGAAATCCGTCTCCTCGCCGGATTTCCGGAAGATTACATGAGAAAACCCAGATCGATACCTATCTTAATTACAACAGATCACAATATCAAATAATAGATATTATGAGCGTTACCTAGGAGAAGATACGTAGGAGAGATCATCAAACAAATGTGGATGACCAAAGATCGGTCAGGAATCCTGAGAGTCCGAGAATCCGGAAATCCGTGATATCCGTCCCATTTAACTTCCCCGGATTTGTGGATCGACCTTGAAAACTGGGGTTCGTTAACCAGTCGAATATCATGTATCTTTCCCCAGCCTTGCATAAAGCTCGCAGGTCTTCTTTCTCGTCATGTCGAAAGCTTTACGCAAGAATACGACTTGTCTCTTTCTTACCTGCCATCAATTATCCTAGTCCATCCTCTCAAGACCCGCTTGCACACGATGGCACCATTTTTCGGCCTTCGTGGCAATAGTCTCAACATCGCTGCTCTCCTCGGTGTAGTGATGCCAGCAATTATGACATTCGGCTACAATCAATCTTTGCTCGGAGGAATACTGACACTTCCAACCTTTGAAAAACAATTCCCTGCCATCGACGCCCATGGGAACAGCCATAAGTCTACTATTCAAGGCACCGTTACGGCCCTGTACGCTGTCGGCGGCCTGTTTGGGGCTGTTTTGTGTATCTGGCAGGGCGATACTCTTGGTCGTCGACGAGTTATCATGATTGCAGCTGTTATACAGATAATTGGCGCTATCTTGATGAGTAGCGCATTCGATCTGGCGCAGCTTATTGTCTCGCGCATCCTCGTCGGAGCAGGAACCGGAGGTCTTCTAGCCACCGTTCCTGTTTGGCAGTCTGAGATATCCCCCGCTAGCAAGCGAGGAGCTCATGTTGTTACTACAGGTGTTTTCATTGGTATGGGCTTGTCTTTGGCGCTCTTCATGGACTTGGGGTTCTCCTTTGCCCATGGTAGTATCTCCTGGCGCTTCCCATGTGCTTTTCAAATCATCCTGTCTTTGATGGCTCTTGTATTCGTCAGCTTTATGCCGGATTCTCCTCGCTGGCTTGTTCGACAGAATCGAGTATCTGAAGCTCTCGAAATATTGGCAGTTTTGGATGACGTCGATACAACCTCTCCCGAAATCGAGGCGGAGATTAGAGATGCTCAGCATTCCCTCGAACTGTCTGGATCAGCCTCAGTGCGTGAGATATTCTCTATAGGTCCTCAGAAGATCTTGTACCGGACTATTCTTGCTTGTTCCGTCTTGATGTTCCTTCAGTTGACCGGTGTCAACGCCATTACTTTCTACAGTAGGTGACTTCCTGAGAAATCCCCTAATCTATCCAGACAATCATGCTTACAATATGTCAGCCACCACAATCTTCCAGAAAAACCTCCTTTTAGACTCCGTCACCTCCAGAATCCTAGCAGCGATCTACCAAGTCGTCAGCCCCATTGGCGGTATAATCGCCATCTTCACAATCGAGCGCTTCGGTCGACGCGGATTAATGCTAATCAGCGCTGCTGGAAATGCTATTTGCCTCATCCTGGTAGCCGGCCTGGGCTCTCAATCACATAACAAACATGCTATCGATGGGGCTGTGTTTTTCACATTCTTCTTCCATTTCACGTACGTCCTCGGGTTTGGTGGGATTCCTTTCTTATATGCTACTGAGATTGCGCCCCTTCGTCTACGGGCAGTCATCAGTGGGCTTGGTGTGGCTACATTCTGGGCATTTAATTTCTTAATGGCCGAAGTTACGCCCGTGGCATTTGATGCCATGGCATGGCGGTATTTCATTATCTTTGCCGCGCTGAACGCGCTCATGATTCCGATTATCTACTATTTCTTCCCAGAAACTTCGGGACGGAGTCTGGAAGAAATTGATGAAATATTTGCCTTGTCCGAGACGATACTAGATCCTGTTCGAGTCGCAAAACGGCTTCCGCGCAGGCAGCTGGGGAACTCGGAGATGCATGAGAGGGACATCGAAAAGATAAGAAGGGACTTTAAGGTGCACGATTGCGAAAGAGAAGCAACGTTTGCGCAGGTGGAGCGTGTCCCGGCCTAGGTAGTCACTTTTTGGTTAATGTTAAAAAATAATGTCCTCATCTATGATGCCCATGAGTGATTCAATATGGAGCAGTATGCGATAGTCTTTCTATTCTCTCAAATTATCCTTCTTTCTCCTCCCGGAAATAGCTTGTTTTCTGTGTAAACTCTGGAAGTTTGTAAACTTCGGTTAGAATTGAACCAAGTATAATTATTCTCCTGGATTGAAATCCACTTGATTACCAGCACTCGCGATAGAGCAGGCTGGCAAACTAATTTCAATATACTGTAAATCCGATTTTACTTCGACATCTTTGCTGGAACCTCCCTTCAGACGAGGAATTTGATGCGGTCATTGAATTTTTAAGCTGACCACGTAACTGACATACCCAGACACGGATTCGCGGTGATATTTCCGGGTTCGCGTTGTGTCCCACTTCGTAAACCTTACCTCTGTACCATTGACGTTTGATCCGTCTTATCCGAACACCTACACCGCCCTCTTCGTATCATCGCTATGAGTTCCTACGGCCAGCGTAACCCCAGAAACTCCACAAACAGCTTATCACCTGTCTCTTCTCCACGTAAGCGGGCACAACAAGATGCAGATTTCGATGCTTCGGAGAATCGAAGGAAAGACCCTAAAGTTAGTCGAGCCTGCGACTTGTGCAAGATCAAAAAGATTCGATGCACAGGTACGCTTCCCTGCGCCAACTGTACTCGCAGACGACTGTATTGCGCCTATGCGACCAAATATTCCCGCGGTAGGGCCCCGACGCCGCTACCGATGGAACGACAAGAAGGCCCGTCAGTGGTAGGAAGAGCCTCAATCGCTTCTCATTCCGGTGCAAGGATTGAAGACAGTAATAGTGGCATGGTTGATGGATCGGACCTAAATAAGATGGGAACTGGACCTCCATCATTCTCCAACGAGACAGCMCCTTCGCGAGACTCTCCTGAACTGGAGATTGAGGGTCAATATTTCGATCCAACTTCCGGTCTCACCTTCCTACATCGAGCATGGAGGAAATTCCTCGTGCAAAAGGTGGAAACGGAATCTCATGGGTCAAGTGAGATGGATAAAAGTCAACTCCTGACATGTGCAGGAGACAGACCTTTTTATCTCGGTGATCACAGCCAAGAATTGATTCCAGATGACATGACAGCACGGACATTGGTCTCATTTTATTTCGATACTTGCGTTGTGACGTATCGCATGTTTCATCGCCAGACGGTAGAGAATTGGTTGGAAGTACTCCTGAAAGATAGAGAACACAACCGCCCGATTTCGCAATCTCTCGGCAATGCCAAATGTGCAATTATCTTAACTCTCTTCGCAATTGCACGTTTTCGAAATGAAAAGCTCAAAGGCGGATACTACTCTAGTGACAACGAGGCATTGGCCTTGCGTGAGAACGACCGCTTGTTCTGCGCTGCGATGAATCTGACGGACTCTGAAAAGGGATTTCCACGCCTAGAATCGGTCCAGGCTAGATTAATCCAAGTGCTATATCTTCTGCAGACTTCGCGCATGAATAAAGCATGGTATACATTTGGCAGTGCATATCAAATTCTCTCGTCTTTGGGACTCCATCGGAGACGCTCCCAGGAGCAAGGGGTTCCCTTCAAGAACCATAGTAGAGACTATATCAGCCTCCAGTGTTCCAAACGCGTCTTTTGGGTTGCTTATACAATTGACGGATATCTTAGTGTGGTTTTTGGAAGACCAAGATTCTTGCATGACGAGGATGTTGATCAGGACTTTCCTGATAGTATAAATGACGAAGACATGGGGCCACACGGGCCTCTGGGATCCGAAGCCTCCGAGGACTGTCATGTCGACTCCCTCACATTCCATGCTAAGTGAGTCACACGGTAACCTGTCACCTCATGAAGATGACATACTAAAAGTATGCAGGATCGCCAGGATCATCGGCCGAATATCCCGTGCAGTGTACGCAGTAGGCGATGTACAGACTGGAGAACGAGTGGCAGCTGCGAATCGTCTTATTGGCGAACTGCACGAATGGCGCGCCAGTCTACCTCCGCATCTAGGCACGATCAAACCATCTACATTAATGCCAAGTTTCCGGCGAGAATCCTGTGCACTTAATCTCGCTTATTATCACGCAGTCATTCATGCCAATAGGCCATTCTTGCTAGGAGAGGGAAACGGTCCCAGCTGTGACTCACCAGATGTCAATGATCTAGTAGCCGAATGCATTTCTGCTGCTAGAGTTATCTTAGAATTGGTGGATAATATGGCAAACGACATCAACCTATTTCACTCCTTCTGGTGGACTCATTATGTCACTTTCTGTGCACTAGCGGTCGTATATGTCTGGGAGATACAGCGCAGTCAAAACAAAAATAAATACGAAAGACACTCCGATGAATCTTTTCACGCGGGACTGTTCGATCTGGCGGAGAGATGTCGCTCCCACCTGCTTCGGGCCAGCTCAGCAGCGTCTCCCAGTCGACGATACGGCATCATCTTAGAGGAATTGCGAAAAGAAGCTCAAGGCCAGACTGTCCGAAACAACAGATCTGATTGCCCGCTACCTTCGCCGAATCCAACGCTGATGCAAAACACCGAAACTCCTCTTATAGACCAAGGGCTGAACTTCTTAGAAATCCCTGAAACGAGTTCTCAATACATAGCTCATGCCAGCGCGAGGGGGGATTTTCCGAATGCAGTTCCCAGCATGCTAAATACATGGCAGCCTACAGATTGGTTGGATTTGGATTCCTCGGTATGGGACATTTCTGTTGATTGAAGGTCCCTTGCTAACGCAAAGCCCCTAGGCGTTTTATCCTTTTTTTGATATCTATGACGAAACATCATCACCGTGGTCGTCCACAATCACCTAGCTATTTTGATGAGATTTCTATTTACCAGGGTAGCTCAAGCTGAGGTCCGAGTTCACTCGAAGGATATGGTCTAGCCATAGCCAAAATGGCCGGCCATATTACCTAGGTTTGTTCTAGTATTGTCCACCACCTGTATTGATCACATCTGTAAGAAGCTTGAAGTTCAAGCCCATCTTGGTTCCAATATTTAGTGCCTTCGAAGCCTCCGGATACGGGAGCATCGGCAAATGCTAGTTTCCGCCCAGATTGGAGGGATGATGCTGTTTCGCGGCTGGCTTTGGCGACATCAAGTATAGTAGCGGTCTCGATTGTTCCGCACTCCATGATAATCTTATTGCCGTTAGATTGCTTTGAAGCAAGATTCTTGACACCAGCCAGAATCCCAGTCTTCTCATCTAGATAGACAGCTCTCACTACTGGGAAATTTGGTAGCATCGTGATGACTAGTCCCTAAGATATCATTATTATCAGTACTTGAATTGGAAATGTAAGGTAGAATAGGGTGCATTACAGCTGCCTGGACGGCTTTGTATCCAGTGTTCACCACTATTTGGCCTGTTCCCGCGACTTCTACTTGAAATCTGCGCAAGAAGTCTTGAATAACATCAAATATGAGAATTTTATATTCTGAACCAATTTTCTTGCGAAGGTTCAGAGCCATTGGGTATCCATAATACTAAGGATACACGCCGGCTATGTAAACTCATATCGCCACTCGTCAACCGGTCAACACCTCTCCAGATGTAGTCGATAGCCTGAAAGCCGGGAATCTTGATTCCGTAACAGATGTTGACTATGTGATTTTGAGCCATGTTCATTGGGATCATGAAGGTACGCCGTCCGATTTGGACAAGTCGACCTTCATAGTCGGACATGGCACCTTGCATTTACTAGAAAACGGGGCCCTTTGCATTATCCAGAAGGCATATTTTACTCTTAGCTACTACCAAGAAACAGATAGTGATAATTTGGGGCTTCGCCACGATCAGAAGCAAAATTTTGGTCCAACCAGAGAGTATATAGGAGAGAAAGCAGCCGCAGTCGAAGAAAGGATGTACACAAAACTTCACGTGACTCATGTTGCCCTAACCATGAAGCTGCAAGATTGAGAACGCTTATTGAAAGGCTATAAGTGATGGAGTACGCATCTAAACATTGGTTAGGGATTGTATTTATCTACCAGAATTATTTTCAGGTTACAACACAACCTGTTGGCTACCTCGACAACTATTTGGTTTTCACTGATATTTGATATCACTCGAGTGAAATGAGTTATCGTACGACGATAGCGTAATAAAACATCCTATGGCTGCCTCACCACATGACTGAAACCTGTGCGGTCTGGTTTGCAATATACTCATTCGAGGTTACATGTTAGAGCAATATTGATAGACTGGAGGGAGCGGAAGAAAAGTAAAAAGAATATATGTGAAATTTCAAGGCTATGGTATATCTGCAGTTGTCTGACATGGGCAAAAGTGTTCAACCCCTTTTCGAATGTGCAATCTTCTTCTTAAATGAATTTTATACGATGCAAAGTACGGATATAAGTCGCATAGATCATGGTTCGGATGAACATGTACGCGCGTCGGCACAAAATTCTTCCGTAAATCTCACTTTAAGCCTTTTATGACGTAAGATCCATCGAGCTAGGGAGAGAATAGGCTATCAAATTTCTTAAATTCTGCTTTGTACACTGTAGGACTCTTATCACGATCCAGAAGTCGATCCGGGAAACAGGCCAAAACCAATGTGGTTCTTGAGATCGGTCCTGTAAGTGGGGCCGTTTCGCTGGACGTGAACAACACTTTATTGCTTCATCACAAAATAAGCTCTTAGGGTCGGCGCCGGACCTCAGCCTCAATTGTTTACGTCCGTAAGAATACTTCTAAATTTCTCTTCATGGGTGACTTGAAGTTCACGACGGCAGACAGACGACAAGGACAAATACATAAAGATGTAGTGAGGGACTCGGGTTCGATGTTGCTTTCGTACCATAAATCATTCACCAAACGATACCGACAGACAATCAATTTTCGATAAAATGGCTCCTCATAAAGCGGCTTACATTCCGTCCAAAAAGGCGCGTTTGGAAATTGGCACAGCCGAGTATACTCACCCCCGCGAAAATCAGATCGTGGTCAAGACCGCTGCGGTCGCTGTCAATCCCTTGGACTGGGTCAAGCAGGACGTCGGTGATGTCTTCTCGTCATGGATCAAATATCCTTTCATTATGGGAAGCGATTTAGCTGGAGAAGTCTTCGAGGTCGGTCCCGGCGTTACGCGATTCAAAGTTGGTGACCGGGTTGTCGGCCATGCCGTGGGCATGGATGAGCGAAGTAATAAATCCTCTGAGGGGGCTTTTCAGGAGTACACCGTTATTCGAACAAACCTTGCATGTCCAATCCCTGATAGTCTTACGTATGAGGCCGCGTGTGTACTGCCCTTAGGCTTGTCGACGGCTTCGTGCGGTCTGTTTATGAAAGATTACCTGGCTCTTCGATACCCAACCATTGCGCCACCATCAGGTAGTTCTAATTCAAAACCGGTGTCCAAAAAGGAGACTCTTCTTGTCTGGGGTGGTTCTACGAGCGTGGGCTGCAATGCCATTCAGTTAGCGACAGCTGCAGGATACGATGTCATCACGACCGCCTCGTCACACAATCACGAGTATCTCAAGAAACTCGGCGCTATTGCGGTATATGACTACAAAAGCCCAACAGTGATCGCCGATATTACAGCTGCTTTTAAAGACAGATTATCAGTCGGGGCCATTGCGATTGGACAGAAATCTGTGGGTTTCTGTATTGATATTCTTTCTAAGTGCCAAGGGCGGAAATTTATCGCGCAAGCTAGCTTCGACTGGCCTCCTAGCGGGTTTCCACAGGGTGCTCTTGATTGGCCTGCCTTTTCTATGCGTATGGGAACTTCTATGATGTCTCTTAAAGCAAAGTCAGCGCTGAAACGCGTGCAAGCCAAGTTTATCTGGGGTACCGATAATATGGCCAATGAGGTTGGCAAGGCCATCTATGAGGATTTTCTTCCGCAAGCTCTGCGCGATGGTCGATTTATCGCCGCACCGGAGCCGCTTGTTGTTGGTAAAGGGTTGGAGCATATTCAAGAGGCTATGGATATTAACAAAAAGGGTGTTTCTGCGAAGAAAGTCGTTGTTGCCATCTAATTGAGCCTATAGCTATGGTAATATGCAAAGGCTCGTCATAGGCTAAAAGATCGTCGGGGATAGAGGAGAGTAGAAATTGATTAATAATAATACTGAAGAAGCAGCCATTAATTGTACATCAAAAACCGGTTTTCATAATGTTGAGTCTGAATTGGAGTGACCTATGAACTTTTGTGACCGTTTAATTCAACAAACAAGAAAATCTACGAGTTAGTGTTATGTTCCAATACATGCATGGTACATTAGGGCTTTACAACCTCTCGACAATTCTTTCATTCGGACCAACTAGTTTTTCGTCTCGGATAGTCAAGAAGCCGTTGAAGCGATCGGCAAGCCGGGAGAATTGACAACAAATGGCATTGCTTTGTGATGTTATATCCAGATTGCCACGTTGTCTACGAACCATAGAGAGTACTCGGATTAATTAAAAATAAAGATCTGCGATTCTGCAGCATGTATATACTATATAAAACGGTACGGACTGGGATACTGATCCAATAATGTTTTGATACAGTTAGCACGAATAAAGATTAACATATCTCCGCACTGGAGACATCTAGTTGCAAGCTATGGTCATGAGACGAAAAGAATTGTCGCTCTCTTCACTTGGTATTAAGCATTGCGWTTYCCCCGCCTCTAAAATTGGGACTACGGGACGGCGCGTTAGAGATTGAGCCGAAATCTGCAAACCTTTTACTCTTTCCGTCCTGGTCCTAAAGGACAGAAAGCCCCATACCAATGACTTGCTTCCAAAAGTCCCACGTCGTGTCTCATTTCGATCAGCAGTCATCTGCCAGGGTATAGAGCACGTAAGACTTGTTTGCTTTGTAGCTATCAAAGACCACTGTAGTACAAGCTTGATCATTGGCTCATGCAAGCTTGTGACGGAGGTAAAGGATCATGCGTTACTCAGGATATGTCATTGGTGTAATCACTACGCAGAATCCTCAATGTACTTCTCGTGACCGTTTCTCCAAGTATAGTCTCAGAGCATCAATCGTGATCACGCAACCTACCCTCATTAGAGAATTCCGCAACCCTAAAACCTAATTTTGTAGGGGGGGTCTGTGGGCTGGCGGTCCCCGGAGTTTCCGTACTTGTATTAATGGCCAGTCAATCAATTCGCGGTTTGTATTACATGCTTATCATGGATTGAAGGCACGGGGAGCTTTTGACTGAGGTAGGTAGGTCCTAGCGGACCTAGCCGCAACACATGCTTGTTTCAGACATCCCGTTGGATTGGCTGTATGAATTGAATGGTCCGGAAAGTTCCCAACAGTTGCCCAGACCTTCATATTAGAGCTTAGACTAATATGAGGGCACCTTTATCTCTCTATAACCAATCGAAACATGCGTAAGAGAACATTGAGCAAAAACGAAGAAATTACATCCAACAAAAGCAAAGGCGAAGTACGGAGTAGATATCAACGAAAAGAAGAAGATTACCCAGATCCATGTAACAATCTAATTTTAACCTTGCTAAATGCCCAACCTGATTCCCAATGCATGCTCATAACCCAGAGAATAAAAATCGCCGTGATTGAAAAACGCGAACAACTTTGAGAGAAGAGCTCCCTCGAATTAACGCCAACATAGATGACAGACTCCTATTTCAATGACGATTCTTTCATGAGGCCCGTCGCGACATTGGCTTTTTCTGTCGCCATCCATTTCGGTCTTGTGGAAATGTCCGCTAGGATCCCGGCATCCTGTGAAGACGTATATATTTTTGAACCAGTTGCACATTGTGTATAAGTTTTTTTTTTCTTGGTATCTGGATATTGACATGACTAATGCGCGTGAGCGAAAGTGAGCTTGAAAAAAGAAGGCTCGCAGAACTTACATATGTTGGGCCCACAGTACTTAGGTAAGGACGAAGATTTTATAAAGATTGACCAGTGGCCCAGGTGTGTTCCAATATCAAGACAGGTTCCGCAGATTTGTAGAGTGTAGTTATGGTCGGCTTATCAGGCCATCTTTAAGGACGGAATGTACACAACACGACATACAATGACAGCAGAGTAAATCATGTTCAGTCGTTCAAATACTTTCTCCAATCTAATATTTCAGGCAACTAGAGAGTGGCGACAGGCTCATAGATATAAGCTATAAGAATCCTCCAGTCTGATGATGTCCAGGATGTGATTGCTACCACTCGTGTCATGTAACAAAATAATGTCAAATAGCGTTAGGCCAAGTGCCTTGGTAAATAAAGCTCCAGGTAACATGGGTGCATACACTAGAGCACTACCTGTAGTAGTAATTGCTCCGTTTTAATTTGAAAGCAATATAAGAGGGTGAAATACCAATCGAAACGAAAATTTCATATCAGAAATCATTCGTAATATGTAAAGTTTCCCCTTACAACGTGACTCCGCAGACCCGGAATTGTAGTACCCTCCTCTTCCCGCCATTTACTAGTTCAAAAAATCATTCGTCGACGGAAGGATTTAAGCCTGAAGTTTATATTAGAAACGAGAAAGGAGAAAAAACGGTTACAATACAGGCAACATCCATGTAGGGAATATATTGATCCGCTACACCGGCATCCGGTTGAGTTCTCCGTACCTCTCTTATTCTTTGGCTTGCTCTAGGATACTTTTTGGTTTGCACGGAATGAAGCATCAATTAAAATCCCGGGTTTCATAATACTAAGATTCTTGACGATCAACTAGGAACCCTGCTTAGTTTAACGTATTTCACGGATAAGTGGGACACCTGTAATCACATAAAATAGCTATTTACAGTAGATCATTAATCCTGTAACAAATCTGTATTGTTTGTTTTTTTTTTTTCTAGATAGTAACTTGAATTGACTAGTTATAAGACTAATTAGAATTTTAAAGACTTTTATTCGGTAGTTGTTCGTATATAACTTGACCCTAAAATTTACACAATTTTTGTTATGAATTAATCAATAATACCTGTAACAAAAGCCAACAATATATATGGATTATGTATATGGTTTTATAACATTTATTTAATTTCAAATTTAGTTTAGATATTGATTTGTTGGAATATATGATGTAAAAGTTAGAGAAAACTAAGCAAATTTGAAGTATCCCACTGACCCGTACATGAACTTCCTGTTGTAAACGTCAGCCAGGTCCGTCTAGTAATACGTATTCACATGCACACACGTGGCGCTGAACAGGGGTAGATAAACTCAGGCAGCCGTTTTTTTTTTTCAACGGTCGATGTCGCCGATTTGGTCTTGGTTCATATTGATCATGATCGACTTCAGAAAGAATCATATGCCTGTAGTATTCGTGGCTGTGGTGGTGCACATTATTTGGATTTTTTTCTCCCAAAATACAACTCCCTGTTCGGGTATGATGTAGCCACTAAGCTGGACAGGATTGAATTGACTTGGTTTTGTGGCTGAACTCAAATTCAGACGAGACAAGAATCCGATACTATTGAGACGCGCTAGTAAGTGAATCAACGTGGATCAGGCCATCAACATGTTTGATCCACAATCACGACAGGATTTTCGTTGTGAAGATCGGAAACGTACTCAGCCTCCCGTTGTCAAGCGAGATATACCACGACAATTTGGTCTAAGGTCGGTGCTTAATTTAAGCCCTGTATAGCTAGCTCGTTACTGTACGTACGGACTCTCCGGACGAGCCTAGACTGCTGGAGCCGAGTGAGGTATTTGTATACGTGACGTCGCCCTGTCGATCATGATTCCCAAAGCGACACGGAAAGTTCATATATACTACCTGGACGGAATATTTTCTAGGGCAGAGACCTAGCAACACAATGCAACAATTCAATTCGACCGTCATCTATTGAGCACGTCATGATAAGATCCTCCACTTTACTGCAGTTAGGTAGCTATCTATTTTATCTATTGGCGGCAGGGATTACCCTCACTGTAACATGGGGGAAAACAACGACACCGCATTGCGAACGGTCAGACAGTATCACAAAGGGTGTGACATACCTCCACATTCTTGCTGTACACCGGTCTCGCCATTCGATATGCCAACGAGAGATAAAACTTTAACTACCCTTGATCAGTGGTCTGACCTTCATAGAAAGCATGTGAAAGTGGACATCAACAGGGTTGTTTAATGTTGACAAGCTAATACTCTAGAGCATGCAACAAACTTCAGTTCCTTCGAAAAGACTGAAATAGCTCATGTAAAACAAAATGAGTCGAATTTTGTGCGGAGCAATCAGTCATTGAACTTCTATTCAAAGAAGCCTTGAGGCAACATCAAGACCACACACCCACATTCCGCACGACGTTCTGCCTGGATGATCTACCCAAACACGGACTTCCACTCTGGTACTAGCACTCACAGTCCATCATATCCATGAATAAGGTTTGCAAATCCTCGGTACTTTGTGAAGTGCCGAAACGATCAAACAACAAGTGCTAGGGTTCGGCGAAACCCGCGCCGGCACAACTCGAAAGTAAAGATGCATATCGCATCCACCATCGATTTCGTGCTAAGCGTAGTGCTAAAATCCTGCAAAACACTTCGAGTTCTCACCAAAGAATTTAACTCCAAGTGGCAACTCCTCTGTACATGCTAGAAAATGTGTTGCAATCTCCTAGCTTTGGTGCTTATGATTCACAACCGATACCAAGGCGAGGGACTGGGGCCTCTCCACAGGAGAGAGAAGGAGAATTTTTGGAGCTAAGGCGTGAGAGTACGTAGTACGTTTTATCTTACTCCATGTAGTCTAAACTGATAAGAGATAATATGACATCAAATAACAAAAAAAAAACGTTTCCTTGCAACGCTTTGAGGCCAACATGTAACCTTCCGGGTAATCACGACGCAAGAATCAGACAATAAACGCGGAAAATTTTTATCTGAGCTCCAATGTAATCTAAGTAATAAAAATTCATAGCCTTTAGGCTCACCGGATTGGCTGATGAGTATATTGTTCATGCAAAAATGAGCTCAGGCCTCCAGACACCAGGATCAAGAGTCTAGCCTTTATTTAAAGTAATAACGAACATGTAATATAGGCACATTTCCAATAACTCATTAGCCTGTTTATAAGTGTATGTAAACAGCTTCGAGTTTCTCAACGGGTAGATTACGGATAAATCTGGAAAAGCACCTATATGTTTTTAATGATGTGTGATTGACCTGGGTATTTGTATCGATAGTCTGAAATGATGCCGTATCAGATCCGTTGGAGGCTTAATAGTGAGGACGCCATACAATATACCAAAATAAGTATGGCTGAATGGCTGAGTCTAGAGCTTTCACAAGGTTATGTGCCTGACTCGCTGAGAGCTTAGGAGGAGCACGAAGCTAGCTCTATCAGGTTTGTATTTCGAGATTTTTATTCCAGAGTCTTAAGTACTGTATCTAAAGAAAACATCAATACTTGTTGCTTCCGAGTCTACCCCGTGACTTCTTTGGTAGTGGAGCCGAGGAGGAGCGCGGAAGCTCAAGTCGTAACTTTCGGAAAAGTTTTCCAGAATTCTCCTTCAGACTGTATTGTGTATTTCACATTGCAATGTTGTTCTTCCTTCCTATGAGAACTGAAAAGAGAATATCATACATGACCTACAATTATAATCACCAACAAGAATACCAATTCATTTACCATCCCTGAACACCAGTTCCGAAAATAGTAAATCCGTGATTATCCGAGTATCAGCCAGGGCCGACATGTACTGTACGCATCACAAATAGCTTTACTTTGATTGGCGGTACAGATCCCGAAGCTCACCTCACGCGAAGAGCACCTGCTATTTAGGTATGCCGGTTGATGCCAAGCTATCAGCAACACAGCAGAGCTGTCTTACATCGAAAGATGAGCCTTTTTGCCTTTCCTCATCTATTGGGTTTTTTGATTCTACCCTCCAACTCCCCAAGGTCTGAAGTCACTTGTCCTGTGCAATGACCGAAAACGAAGAAAAGATAAGCACAATGATACGGATGCAACTGGGCGCCGGTATGCCCGTACACAGTACATACCTAGGTATGCAATCTCTGGGTCTGTTGCGGCCCGGCCCGTTCCCTTATTTCCGCCACGAGGCTTCCACTGAAAGGAGCATCTTATGCCCACCTCATTACCGGCAACTTGCCAATGTCAAGCTCTTTTGTATTTTGTATTTCGTATTAGAGAGAAATATTCCGCAGTCTGCTAGAAATAATGCTTCGAATGGAGCATCCGAAATTGATACAAAAAAGAGTTCAGACTGTCATAGCGTCAAACTGAGACAATCTCAAATGAGCATAGTCATGAAGCGCTGTTTGATCTTGGAAACTGCTTTACGTACGTAAATTTAGCTCGTATATGGAGTCAATTGGCCTCATTGCCGCTTCAAGCGTTCAGAGTTACAGTGGTAAGAATGAAACCTCGGGAGCCTTAGAAAAGACGAAACCAGTCTTCACTTCTTTCACATTTTTGCACCTGAGCTTTATTCATGAACTAGAGCTAATAGATCCTCGATTTGCTGGGTAAATGGGTCTTGAAGTCCGAAGAAAATACGGACACGCTTTACCCAACATAGACTCATATCAATATATAGTTCGTTGGGGACTAAGGACAATTAATTTTCATAATTCATCAGAGTTGAATAATCTTTCCGTCATTACTCGAATGTGGGAATGTGCTTCTTTTATAGCCCATTTAGAACGCATTCTTTATATTGGTCACCCTTATATTGATGCTACATTACGCACTAGCACGTGTATGTACCGAGAGCCTGAAAAGACTTAAGTCTGAGACGGTCAAACAGAGTCTCCCAGGCTCTCAGCAGAAGCATAACTTCAGTTCTACCTTTTTCCTTCTCTCGTTCGGCTCAGATATAGGTATCCAATCGGCGTAGGGACCTCTCCCACGACTTTCTGTGACTAGCTCTGTGGCATGAACCTGAGTACGTGGTACATGAATGGACGATAGACTCGGCTAACTAACACAATTCCGTAGCCACGTCCCGAGGTACGTACGACCTTTGGTGCTCTTTATAGCCGGATCCAAATTATTTCCTTTATAGGAAATTATCTGGCGACTTTATCAGCTCGTCAGCTCCCGAAAATGTCCAAGAGTTTTAGTTTACATACTTTAGGGCGCATATGTATATCACAATGGCACATGCAAGTTTTACTTTTCTCTAAAGTATCGATAGCTTTGTCGCATCTCTACATCATCGACTGGGCCAATAACCCAGATGATATCATAACTATGTTATGAAATTACTTGGGAGACATCTGGCTGGTCATACAGAAATGTTCTCCCTTCCTTTCTTTTATGAGCACCTCTACACTATAATGCGCAAAAGGATGGCATGGCTCAAGAGTCAATACCACCTTCTTCCTCATTAGGTACTGTCAACCAGAGCTTGCTCTTTCTTGTGATCCTTCTGAACTTGACTTTCCTACCGCACTCTTTGCAACGGCATAAGCTTTCGAACTATTCTCGATATTACGACTGAACGGCATTGAAAAAATACGTGATCTCTTCGAGCCGAGCTTTGATGATATTTCGTCAGCGTTCTACAATGACGTTCGGCATGCTCTTACTTGTCAAGTGAAGATAAGTACTTGACAAACTGCCAGATCTCGAATCTAAGCCGTCGTAACTGAATACCAAATACCTACATGCGCTGAATGAATGATATAATAATAATACATTATTCTCATATCCAATTACTCATGTCAACGTACAATCAATCCACTCAACAACGAACTTCGTACACGCCCCACCCTCCCTATCGATTCCAGATCTACTTCCTCCCCCGGGTGTTGTCGAAATATCGGCGCTGTAGAAACGGTCGCAATTGACGATGCTGTCTGCCTATTATTTTTCTTTCTGCTATGATACTGTTGCGATGATATATACGTATCCATAGACCGTCTACTTTTTCGTGCTGCTGGGGCAGGAGGAGGAGGGAGAATGGCTTKTTTWGGTTTGTCGGGGAGATGAATATCAAATTCAAAGTATGCCAGGCGCGGATCCTGGTCGATTGATGGCTCGGAGGCGTCTTTGTCAATGATGCCTTTCTCTGGCACGAGGGGTTTGCTGAGTGTTGATATTCTCTCGTGGTTGGTGCTGGTGCGCGTTCTCTGGTAAATGGGTATCCCTGAAGAACGATCTCTGTAGCTGATGAAGTCACTCGATAGTCGTGACTCTGGATAGTACTGTGACTGTACACGATAGTTGTCCCGGTCAAAATATTTGCGGTAGTAATGGTAATAATAAGACGGGATCGTGACCCTTGATGTCCTGGCTGTTCCAGGTCTACCGGCTGTCTCGACATCAATCCGCTCATCCGAATTGTTTGGAGAGAGTAACAACCAGGAAGAATCCGGTAATTTGGGCATATCTTTCTGTGGTAGCTCTGGTCCAAGCTTCGGTTCCGGAAGCGTATCAACATCGCTGATTACAGACAACCGCGCAGACTTGGTGTTTGAGTGATATGCATGTACAGGCGACAGTTGCTGCTGTTCTTGTTGTAGTATAGAAAATTCGGTTGGCGCGGAAACGCTGATCATTTCTTTTATGCCATATGACTTTCTTCTTCGAAGCTTTTCTAGTCTGAATGGTACTTTTAAGTGCCAGTTCCGTACTTGGGAGTTTGGTCGTCTTCGTATGTAGAGTAGAATTAGTACAAATGCGCCGAGCAATGCGCCAACTGATGAACAATCGCGGGAAAAATGTCAGTTTACCAATTACTGAGTTGTTCGAGAGGTCAGTGGAAAAAGACTTACTGACAACACCGACAATTAAACCTGTCTTATGGCCAGCGCCATCGTCGCTGCGATCTTCGATGTATACATATGAACCCACAATCGATGTGTCCAGCACGTCTTTGGAGCGAGTAAACCATTCCTTTGGCAAGTCAACTATGCGCACATTCGACCTTCGAATCTTTCTCATTATGGACGTTGTATGTAAATGAAGATACGAACTGTGGTATTGGGTTGTGAATAGTGTGCTTCTTGGGACATCGGATGTTAACATAGCTGTAGTGGAAGGAGGAAGATACTGAGGTATAGAGAGTATGACAATGTTCCGTGCCAAATAGCAATCAAAAATTTACCTAGGTAGGATTGCTACTCAGGCGTAAGAAAGGAGGATAATTCATGCTCCTTGGTCCATGAGTATCACTTTGAGGACTTCAGGGCTGATAACGGGCATCTTTATGACCCTTATCCAATTTACAAAAAGGCACTACAAAGCACAATAAAAGCTCCAAGATGGCACAGATAAAGCCTTGTCGAGTCGCAAGCGAAGGCCTGCTGTTGGAGGAATTACCTCATGAGACACTGCGGGTCCCAAGTATATCGTTAGGGTTAGAAATGTGAAACCCGAAAATTGGAGCGGCGCTGCTATTAGTCTCACCATACATTCCCATACGTCAATTGTCTTATCCATGATTGCTATCTGATGATTTGGCATATGCCAAGAGACTTCTCTACTCATGATCATTGTTAATATAAGACTCTCAAATAATTATGGGAAATAGTGAAAGCCTATTGCGTCGCCCGGATAAAGTCGGAGCCTCAGTTGTCAGCCATCATGCGTGAAAGGTATCCTTTTGCATCGGCCTCGCAATGAGGCGCCATATTACCGAGGCTGAAAAACGTATCAAGGCTCGTGTCTTTCTCATACTGCAACCGGAGGCTTTGAGTAACTGACTCGCGGGAGTAACGGAGTGACTGTGGCGCATGTGTTAGATATAGCACTGAAGGACGGTAAAATTTGAGAGTGCCTCTTGTCAATAGTAAAATCGATTTTCCCCATGGGTATGCGCCTTAAATGCTACCAAAAATAAAAATACATTGTGTACAAAACCCCGAGAGCTCAGAAATCTCGCAGCAACGCATAAGCAAGCTGATCTGTAGACCATCGTTGGAACACATAGCCTCTCATCTCATCACTTTCGAACATGGTGCTGCTTGAGTTTAATATTGTCGCAATCAAGATGTTCCCTCGTTAACCAATTAGACCCACGGCTCAAGAAGAATAAGGCGACGATCGAATAGCCGCATTCTCAGTCAAAATCGCCCTAGGAGTGGCTCTGCTAACGATGGAATCCGTGATATTCGTCTTGGTCCCATTCCAATCGACATGACCAGGCACGTTGTTGATTTCCTCAAGCTTATCGCCGATTTTGATGACCGAAAAACGAATCATTCGCGGGTCGAGAGACAAAGTGCGGCGAACAGCGGACTGGACGGGCCCTGAAGCATCGAAGCGCATGATGAAGTGCCAGCCTTCAGAGTATCGTGCTTGATGTTTTGTGGTGGGTTTGGGGAGGGTGAAGGTGCCCCAATTTGTGTAGCCGCGGACTACGCCGCCTGAGCGGAGGACTTGGACGCCGGCATTTTTGGCGATTCTGTTGAGTCGAAGGAAATTAGTATGCTGAGCAAGAACGCTGAACTAGAGATAGAGGTGGAATTGAAATGGTTGCGCAGATGGTATGGCGATGGTTGACGTACTCCTTTACCTCCTTGAGACTGCCCGGTCGGACCTATGAATAGTTAGTACGAGATACGTTTAGCACATGTAACAGTTCCGCGAGTCCGACATACAATTGCAATTAGCTCGTATAACATGGTGATGAATTGAATGAGACGTCAGACGTGCAGTGCCCTATGTAGGTGAAGTTGTTCCAATTTTTCCGGCAACGGTTGCGGAGACCGAAGTCGCGCCAAGACCTTATCATGATAAGATTAGACGGTAAAGCTGTCATAGCTCGGAACTACGTACTATATCTTCCTTCCATCGTCCATCCATTCCACTTTAATTTCTCTCAACTCTCCCCTCCTGTCCCCGACTCTCTACTTTTCCTTCTCCTCCAACCGATCAATTGATTGTCACCATGTCTCTCGCCGCCGTAACCCGCCCATTGGCATCTCGCATGCTCTGCCAACGTCTCCCAGCGTCCGTTGCTGCTCGCCGGACCATTCCCGCTTTCCCGCGGGGAACAGCCATGAGGAACTTTTCGAGGAGTTCGCAGTGTGCGTCCATTGTGTCAATTCATACGTACGAAATGAGGATGGCTATGCTAATAGACGTGGATAGTTGAGGTGAAGAAATACACCGAATCTCACGAGTGGGTTGAGCTCGATGGCAACATCGGTAAGTGCTACCTATTCACCTGCTGGTTCACATGTGAATCGCATTGCATGATAACCTCAATTCCTACCTTTCTCCCTTTCGCAAACACAATATATTGTTTCCCTCGGAATCTGATCTCCCATCTTCATAGCAACAATCGGCATCACCGAATACGCCGCCAAATCCCTCGGTGACGTTGTCTACGTCGAACTTCCCACCGCAGACCTCGAAATTGCAGCCGGCGAGCCTGTCGGTGCCGTCGAATCCGTAAAATCTGCATCTGATGTGTTGTCCCCCGTCTCCGGAAAAGTGATTGATGGTAATGCCGTGTTGGGTGACAAGCCCAAGACCATCAACGAAAGTGCGGAGGGTAATGGATGGATTGCCAAGATTGAGGTTAATGATCCCAGTGAATTGGAGAGTTTGTTGGATGAGAAGGCGTACTTGGAGTCTGTTGAGGATCATTAGATATCGTCTGTGTCTTGTTTGTTGTGTCGATAGTTATGACATGAGAATTTGGAGGTTGTGTTCATTCCTAGCTTGTAGAGGGTTTATTTACTCAATTTATATAATTACAGCCAAATTTTAGATCAATCCATGACAAGCTCATAAGCGGAATAGTGTTCATGTAACAGTGTCTATTTATAACCAAGACAAGATCTATACAACCAACGTCGAGTCTATCTACACAGGCGGAATCGATTCACGACAAATCGGACACTGCAACCTCAACCTCATCCAACTCTCCAAACATGTGCTATGGAAAATATGTCGACACGGCGTCACCATATATGCTCTTCGGCCCAAGATGCTAACCGCACCATCCGCCATACTCGATGCTCCGATACCATGCGGTGAGACGATGATGGGCACTTCAATATCTTGCATGCATATAGCGCAGTCGAAGATTTTCTTCTTCTTGTCCTTTGGTCGTGGTCCTTTGTCGAGTTGGGCACGACTGCTTCCTGCTGCACTGCTTGGTATGGCGGTATCTCGTTCTTCGGCGCGAAGGTAGCCGATAGGTAGAGTAGTGCCAGACTCCAAGTCATCGCCAGTTCCAGATCCAGACGTATCATGTATAATAGGATGATAGTCGTAAGCCGGAGGAGCCCAGCCTTTGGGGACAAAGAATCTCGGACCGAGAATATCTTGACTGGCCAGGATCCAGGCTTGTACCCATACCCAGCCGATCATCACCAATGCGGTTGTCGTGTCGGTACGGATGAAAAGGACGTTACCTTCTGCAGTAAGAAAGTAGACGAACGGAAAAAGGCGGAGGACACTCTCTCCAATAACAAACTCCCATGTCAATGCTTTGCGACAATTGCGCATAATATTTCGGTAGATTTGCGGTATCCAGAACGACAGATAGATGAAACTCAAAATTTTGGCGTATATCGCCCCTACTTTAACCGGGAATAGAAAGGACCAAAGCGTGACGATACTCAAGCAGCCTAGAACAAAGTAGAACCGCGCGTACATAGTTCCAACGTCTGCTCCTATTTCTGATTGTGATGGCATGGTATTGCCGGTTTGCGCGGGCCCAGGTGTAGTGGTGGTAGTGGTGGTAGTTGTGGGAGTAGGTGCAGGCCCAGTTTGATCTGGAGGTAAGACAACAGGAGTCGCACCAGAACTAACAGCTGCAGCTGCAGTAACAGGTGGTGGTAGAGTGTCCTGGTTGGTGCTTGTATCAGGTTGGCGATCTTGATTTCGTCGCTCGGGTACCTGTACTGCCCAGACTTCCATCATAAATCTCATGCCAATGTAAGAGACTGAGAGGAATACGAGGAACGCAGTTGCCGCTATCTCGATAAAAGACGTATCCGCAAAGAGTGATAGCAATGTCATCGTCATGACCATTGCATCGCCCATAGCCATTAGCGCAATGGAATAGAAACTAATACGGCTTCTAGTTGATGGTGTACAGGCTTCTTTTACTTGTCGCATTAACAAGTACAACTGTCCAGTCATGATTGCACCCAGTGAGTATATTGTTCGTGATGCGAATTTTCGGTATTCTTCTTGTTTTGGTCCGATGACGTAGAGATCTTCAGAAGGAGGAAAATCAGGCGCGCCCTTCGACTCTATTAGTATCCCACAATCCGGAGAAAACACGACAAAAGACATTTCAATCATTGGAGGAGGAGGAATCGGTATTCCCAATGGGAACCTGAGCTCCTGCTCGATTTGATTTAATAGTGTGCGGTCCGGCGCGCTCCCGCTGATGGTGACCGGGCGTTGTTGTATGTACATTATGTACTCGCATTTCGGCGTTGCGAATGCCATGGGATGAGCTCCTCTAGGAAGCGACGACCATGGAAAGAAAGTGGTTTCATAATTCCGTCTTCTGGCAATATTATCCGAGAGTACTTGCACCATAGCATCATGGGAAATATTGAATGTGTCTTGTGAAAGGGCCAAATGAGGCAAGGACAAAAGACCATCATATTTCTCGCTCGTGGTTGTCAAGATGATTGCGCCCTGGTCGGGAAAGTGTAATCCATAGGTCGACATATACCAGGTGCTGCCCCAGGAATCATCGGTCTCAATTGCCAGATCTGCGCGAATTTGACGCACTGGCGTGCCGGGCTGTTTGATCTTCTGTTCATCGGTACTTACGAAATCGACATATATTCGTCCAGTTTCCCCTGTAATATTTAAACCAAATTCTTGCGTAATAAAATCATTTTCTAGCATCAATGCGGTCGTGTTTATATGTGGCGCATGAGGTAACGTATGTCGAGTCCAATCTCCACGAAGCTTTCCCGTAATGTTTTGATACACCGGTAGCGATAATGACGATAGATTAACGGTCGGCGCTTGGTTTGGTGAGTCCAACTCCGGTGGACTCTGGAGTCCTCCACTCTCTAGAGCAAGTCGTATATTCCGTCTCGCCTTCTCTTGTGCTTGCGGCAACAAGTCCCAAGAATAACTGTCATTCTGCCTTAACCCAGGTATCGAAAGCCACTTTTTTGAAGGAGGACTAAAATCGCCGTATACGGTTTCATTCAGCAACTTAATCGCATTCTCCTCGTGGATGAGCCGTCTTTCACGTTCGCCGGTCTGATCGATCAGCGGAGCGCGGGACGATGAGCTGAGCAGGATGTACACCGCAACAACGAAAAAGAAGAAGCCGCCGCGGTTATCCATTCAGGCCAGCTGAAGGTGTCATCTCACCAGGTCGGCGATGAAAATTCTCCTGAATCAATACGTACAAGTTGACAATATGAACATGGCGAGTCCAGTCCAGTGTCGTGGTTGTTGAAGGATGACGAATGCGGAGGCCACAAGATTAAGTTACTTGGTAGGGGTTGCCGTGGTCAGCGGAGAAGCGCCGCTGCAAACTTTAGGGGGGTCGTTCTTATCGTTTTGGGGCTTCCGAGCTCCGCTTCTTCTTCTCCATCCATCCAAATTTCCACTCCCTCTCATCCCTCGGCCAATGGAGTGAACGCCCAGACAGTAAGTGTCACTCGCAAAGCTAGTCTTTTAACAGCTGCTAATCGGTACCGCAGAAGGTCCTAACCTCGAGGCCATGGCGTCTAGTACGACTCTCCAGATCCCTCTACCTCCCCAAACCCCCTCACCTCCTCCGGACAATCTGGATCAGCACAGTCTGGCTGCAGAGCCACAGTACGATCCAAAAGCTTTGTCGCCTATGCACGGAATGAAGCAGAACGAACGACTGAAAGGAGATATGGCCAACATGGGACCGACGAGCCCTACAAGCCCATCTTTTGGCTCGTTCTCGAGCCATGTGTCCAATACGAATGCTGGATCAGATCACAATCCGTTCAACTTCCAGCCTATGGCATTGGCAAAGTCGCCAGTTATGAAATCGGTATGATTTTCTCAAATGCGCATGTTGAAACCGCAGGGATTAATTGATATGCTGGTAGAACATCGGTCAACGACGTGGTCATAAATACAAGCACAGTAGTATCTCGCATCAAATATTCTTGGAACCACCACCTCGAGCTCCGTTAGCACTGCCAGCCTCCCTACCGATACCTACGCTTAAGGAATGCAGAAGCAGCATGTCCAGAGATCAGAAAACAAGATTTTGGTGGAGCGTGTGCCATATGCTGATTGCTGGATATACATTATGGTCGGCACATGGCTCTCTAGCTATGACGGCACTTTCGCATCTTATATTATTCGATTCTCTCGGTGCGCTGCTTTGCGTTATCGTAGATGTCCTAGGGAACTTTGAAGTGTGGAAACGGTCCAGTGTCCGTCATCCTTTCGGGCTAGAGCGGGCAGAAGTGTTAGCCGGGTTTGCCGCATCTGTTTTGCTTGTATTTATGGGGATGGATCTGATTTCTCACAATTTACAACATTGGCTGGAAGCTTCTCCGGGACATGAACCGCACCATTCGCATGAGCACGACCGGGTGTCAGCTGGTTCTGTCGATCTCACGGCGGTGCTCGCCATCGGTTCGACACTAGTCTCTGCAATTGGATTGAAAAATCACGCGCGTATTAGCAAGTCAATGCGATTCGCATATATCGAATCTCTTCCGTCTGTCCTCAGCAACCCATCGCACTTCCTCACACTTTCATGTTCGACATTGCTTCTGATATTGCCTCTTCTTTCCGTTTCACTGTACAATTGGTTAGATAAGCTATTGTCTCTGTCTATGGCTATTTCCATGTGCGTTCTCGGCTCACGCATTGTGAAGGCCTTGGGATCCATACTGCTCATGTCCTTTTCTGGCAATGGCGTCAGTGATGTGATGCGAGATATTCAGGCTGATCCTGCCGTCACAGCAATCGACGATGCCAGGTTTTGGCAAGTTCATTATGGACTGTGCATGGCAAATCTGAAGCTGAGGGTCACAGGCACGGAGGAAACATTAGTAAAGCTTCGTGAAAAGATCACAAGCTTGATAAGGAATCGACTAGGTGGGGGATATGGATCCGGAGGGCAGAAGTGGGAGGTGACTCTGCAGTTTGCTGCGGAGAGATTGTAATACTAGTTGTTTATATTTGTACATATATACTTTCTCGCCCTTGTCTCTGATGTACTCTTGCCGTTATACCAAAAGAAGGGTCGTATGACTGCAATATAGACATCAAGGTCTTGATGCAAGGCAAAGTAGCACGTACACTTCAACAAATGGAATTGTGTGCTAATATTGAAATACAAAGATCTATGAAGCCGCTTATCTGGAACAACGCTTTGCAGCGGACTCGTGGTACAATTCAGGACAAGGACATGTCCCCATCCCTGACCTTATTTTCGCATCTCCCTGGTATATCTCCTCTCAGGACAGCCAGGAGAAGTAGCTTTTTTAAGAAGTCGCAGCCAAAACACCAGCCTCCTCCGTCCGCGAAATCAGACCTTCCCGCTCATCCCGTCGTCGACGCTTCTCGAGAATGGCCTCTCGTCGCTGAGCGAGAATTTTTGTCTGTCTGTTCTCAACACCTTGCAACCAATAACCGAAGCTTCCACCGACACCAGCGAAGAGGGGGTAGACCCAGAGGGATTCCTTGCCCAGGAGAGGGCGCATTTCAATTCCGAGTTGCCATAGACGGACGGCGATGCCTGCGGGGACGGGTCGTGTTAGTCATTGACCATTCTGGTTAGACGAGCCATGAACGGGTAAAGAACGTACCGAAGCCGCTCCAGAAGAGGACTTTGTGAACCATTGTGTTGAATAAAAAAATGTGGGCGACGATGCGCGATGAATGGACCGGAAACCCGGGTCTCTGCAAGGACGTTTTTCGACTGTCGGATAAGGTAAAGAGGGCGAAAAACCGTACGATTGTATTCAAATTTCCCGAGACACAGTTCAATCCTTACTGTGACTTGTCTACTCGGTGTTTTTGTAGACTCGGGGTGTTGTTTTAGCGATTGGAATTGTCAGGAGTCGAGAGTTGAAGTTCTTGAGCAGGTTCGCCCGGAGTCATCGAAGCGGCCCGTCGGTGCTGGTTTGGAAGCATTGGCCAATCAGACGCGCGTTATTTGTTATTCCGCCTACGGCACCTTTTCTGCCGGATTTATTCTTGATGAGAGGGAGAGCTTCTTTCTTTCTTCTCCTCAAGGTAATCATCTATTTTTCGTATTACATACCAGAATTTGACGATGCTTGAATTGTATCCGTGACGAATACTCCCTTCGCGCTTGTTTGAGTATTGCCAGCAAAGCTTCGTGCTGGACACGATCCTTTCAAAATGGCAGACACGGAGATGGTGAATGGAGAAACAACTCCTTCAATCGATAAACAACAGCCAGAAGAGGTAGCCAAAGCACCAACAGAAATAGCAGCAAAAGCCGACTTACTTCGGCCCAAAAAGTACAAGACTTCAGATTTACCTCTCACGCAAGACCAACAAACCGCGATTCAAAGCCTGCTTGTCGCATTCAAGAAGAAAGGAGGCTTCGATAATTATCGGAAGAAGATTTGGGCAGATTTTGATAACTCGGTATGTCCTTTACGCCTCAGCGCGTCAATCGTTCTGCGCGCATTTGCTCTAACGTCTAATAATTGATCCATGTGCAGGAGTTTAAGGCCAAATTCACAAATGCTCTACAAGAACTCGCCGAAAAAGAAATTGAACGAGAGCCCGCCCATCTGTCGCGTGACAGAGGTAAAGCTGCGACACTGATTGAGGGTGCCGTCGACCGTAGCGATATATATAAGAATACTGAACATGACCTGGAAAGCTTCATGACACAGCATCTCGAGACCATGTTGACATCCATCCGCGAAATCAGACGCAAAGAAGTCGGCGAGGAGATTGCGCTCAGGGAAGAAATCGCAGGCAACAAGACAGAAGAGGACTACGACCGCTGGCGCAGTGAAAGAAGGGCAGCACGTGAAAAGATCCATCAGGCTGAACTTGCGGAACAAGCTCGTATCGATGCAGAAAAAGAGAAGATCAGGCAAGAGGAAGCCCGGAAACGGCGAGAAATTGAACGAAAGCGGGAAGAAGAGCAGAGAGAGAGGGACGAAAAGAGGCGCGCTGAACAACGCGCTCTTGATGAGCAACGAGAGAAGGAAAGACAAGAGCGATATGAACGCAGGAGACGAGAGGATTCCCGCGATAGGTATCGGACCTATAATCTCCCTCGAGGCTATGACCGTTACGAAGGTAGCAGTATGTCAGCATCGCGATATAGAGACCATGACCGACGCACAAGATCTCGAACAGGCACGCCCAAAGCCGCCACTCCTCCGCCACCACCACTTCCAGTTGATGATAAGACCTTGGAGGAAGCGGCTTTACAATTACTGTTAAAGGAAGGGGAGGAGCTAGCAGCAAAGGCAAAGCAGAAGCCAGAGTTTGATTTTGAAGAAGCTGAAGCCATTGAAAGCGGTCGCAAGCTTACTGCGCGTCCAAAGTCTATTACAGAGACCCGCTTCTCAGCTACAGGAACTCGGGATTCGTCTCGTGAGAGAAGACGAAGCAGTCGTACCCGTTCACGCACAAGACGATCTTCTCGTTACGAACCTGACGGCAGGAACAAGTCGAAAGAAGGATCTATCAGACTTCGGGATCGCGAAGACGATAAGCACTCTGTTCGTAGTCACAGAGACGAGCGGAGAGACAGGACGACCAGGCAGAGCCGAAGTCGGTCCAAGGCTCGCAATGACCGAGAACGTGATAGTCATAGGGCGAGCAGACGCAGCCGCACCAGGTCCAAAACTCGTGACAGAGAGCGTGACAGGGTCGACAGCCGCGATAGACGCGAACGAGACCGGGACCGTGATCGAGATCGGGACCGTGATAGAGAGCGAGACAGAGACCGCGACAGAGAAAGAGACCGAGATCGGGATAGAGATCGTGACCGTGACAGAGCTGATCGGGATCGTGATAGGGATCGTGACAGCTTCCTGGACCGCGGGTATGACCGCTACACCGGCCGTGATATGGATCGCAGCCGTGAAAGAGAGCAGGCACGAAAAAGGTCTGCAGAAAGGGACCGAGATCGTAGCAGAGAAAAAGACAAAGACCGCGACAGACCACGGATTACAGATGATCGCCCACGGTCAAGATCACGCCGCCGCCGCTCTCCATCCCACGCTGATCGATCGCGCACTCAACATCGTCGTGATCGGTCAGGTTCTCGTACTTCTACTCGCCGACGATCTCAATCACGACGAAGATCACGCACTCCGATTGATCGTTATGTCCCGGTCACCAGCACCCGCAGTCGATCTCCTCGTCGTCGAGCACGTTCACCTGAACGAGAGAGAGACAGGGAACGAGACCGCCCACGTGAGCAAGAATGGAACAGAGAGCCTCGTGGTGACAGGTACATTCCTGGAGTTACTACAGTAGACCGCCAGTCGGAAGCGGATAAACCAGGCAATCGAGATCGCGACCGAATCAAAGACGGCGATAAAGGTCATGAAAAAGATGGTGTCAGGGATCTTGATAGAGCTCGCGCCCAGGACCGTGACCGCGATAGAGATGCTGATAAGGGTCGAGCGAGAGATGGAGATAGAGAGCGCGATCGGCCGCGAGCTCGTGATCCTGATAACAGGGACGATCGAGTGAGAGATAGTGAACGAGATAGAGACAGAGAGAGGGATAGGGACAGGGAAAGGGATCGTTTAAGAGACGGTGAAAGAGACCGAGACCGTGACCGAGATCGGGATAGGGACCGAGACAGGGATAGGGATAGAGACAGAGATAGAGACAGAGAACGAGAACGGGAAAGGGAAAGAGACAGAGAAATGGATCGTGATCGTAATCGAGACCGTGATCGGAGTCGCGACAGAAGAGATCGTGACCGTGACCGCCGAGATGACCGACGAAGCAGCTATCGAAGAAGTCATAGTCGTTAGCCATGGCTTCGGTACACTGTGAAGTCTTGCGATCAATACATTTACAGTCGCTTTTCGCGTCTGGAGGCATGGCGCATGTAGAGCAATACTCAGTCAACTCAAAAGATCTATCTCTGGATATTTACAATCTAAAATCCATCCATGCATTGTAATGAATTCCAGATACTCCTATATACTTTCTAGATATCTTCGCCTGCCGGCTTGGCCTGATGCCACGCACAGATTTTTGTTGATAATTCTTCCCAACTTGATCAAAGTATACAAAGTAATTACTAGATACTTGTAAAAATCATTTTCTAGGACAAAGGAAGAACATTGTGTAAGTATTCGTGCTATACAATGCCCAACCAGCGATAAGCCAAACTCATCTCAAGCAGCAGTTACGTATCTGAAATGACTACAGCTATCCACGCTGAGAAGAATAAAGATAAATAAGAATGATAAACATACCTACTTCAAGCAACCCTACCTATTCATAGATGAAGTTAATCTCCGTACTCCCCATCAAAATCAATGACTCTAACGTTGTTATCCATCCTCGAACCCACTACACCAAGACATGAAACAGACAACACTGATAAGGACCGCTACTAGCGTCAGGACAATGCGTATCCAATGCCATCCCTGTTCGATCTAATAGGGATCCCCAGGGGGGGGCCATGCATTTGTGAAGAATGTGCGGGGAAGACTCCCTATTGGATGATAGCTCCATACAAGTCAGCGGCTAACATGGGCCCTGGCTGTTTCAAGTCTTGGGAGTTCATCTACATAGACTTGAGGATGCCACAATCATTGAATTTCGCATCATTCTATAAATATCAAATTTTTCGGACTTTATTTCGTTTGCGAGCTGTCTGAATTCATTCAAAGAGCCTTGTCGGTGGGAATTGCGGCGTTTGTTGGCTTGTCCAAGGTCAATAAACCCTAACGGTTACATAGTGAGACAAAGGAGCTTTATGCGCCATCGCAGACCTAACGAATGTTGAATATTGGACGGTTATTGTCAAAGGTATGAATACATCAAATCTGTGCAGAATTCTCCTTCATCGTTGGTTCGTGCGTTGAATGGCATTGTTCTCTGACATGCCAGCCGTGTGTTTATGGCTATGTCTGATATGAGTCATTCTTGTTTCCGAGATTCGATTGATCATGATGAATAAATCGTCTGTTGATTCTCGCTTGTCTGTTCGTATTGTCTCACCGGTCTTGTCACTGATATATAAGCAGGCATCTACAACGAGTTGACACTTCGAGCCAAGTTTAGATTCGGTGTCAAGATACCGGATCTTCTTCGTCGCTTCACACTGTGAACACTGTGCTGAATAATTCTGTCCGAGAAGACATCTGAGCCCTGCTTAACTGCCATAATGTCTGGACCAAGGATACAAATCAACGATGAGCCAACCCCCGCGGACACAACACACAATACTCGCAAAACACTCCATCAGAATATATTCGGCAAACTACGACCTGTACCCCTGCAGTACCACTGGACAGTCTGGTTTGACAAGCACAGTCCAGTCAGTAACAACTCCAGTCCAAATAGCAACAGTAGCAGCAGCGACACCCAAAAACAAGAACAGTATMCCTCCCGCCTCACCATCCTCTACGAGGACATCTCTGACATCGCCACTTTCTATCGAGTATACAACAACTATCCCTGGGACAAGATCCGTCTCCGTGATACAGTACACATATTCCGCAAGGGCGTAAAACCGGTATGGGAAGACCCCGAGAATCTGCATGGTGGATGCTGGACGTTCCGCGTACCGAAGGCCAAGGGGCAGGATTTTTTCCATGAAGTTGCTATTTTGGCGATGGGGAATGAGCTGCAGGCTGCTGTTGAGAACGGTATTTACGGTCTCGTCCATTTTTTGCCACTGGTAGATAACTGACATCTGAGTATCAATAGAGCATGACCATGTGATTGGAGTCAGCATCTCGATACGATTCAATACGCATTTGATATCTGTCTGGAATAAGCTTGGTTCCAATGAACGTTCAGTCAAGATTCTTGAGCAGACTATCATTGCTCGAATATCACCGGAGTTAAGGCCGGCTGATAATAAAAATTTTGCTTCTTCTTATTTCTATAAGAGGCATGCGGATCATGAAGGGTTTCAGGAGGCGGTTGAGCGAGCGAGGAGTTCCGAAGAGGAGTGATAGTACGATTTTTGGAGAAGAGTGCGCGGGGCATTCCAAGCTAGTTCTTTGTTTTTATGTGAGATTGAATCTATCGTATAAAAGTCGGAGATACCTAGGTACCTAGATAGTATTCAACGGAACATCATACCTACAGGTAATACAGAACCATCAACGCGACCACCACGATCTCGGGCACAATTTTGAATAGCTTCGAAACAATCAACGCCTTTAACAGACGACCAAAGACTGGAAAATTGAGAAAGGCTTGACTAAGAGTACTTTCTCATCTTTGCCATCTTCTTTCAAATTTTGTACATATGCAGGTTACGAAGTTCCAAAGCCGGTAGGAAGGGATCAGAGTCAAAGGAGAGCGAGCTGTTGCTGCATGAGGAATAATCGATTACCGCGCCCTACATTATTCAAATCCAATACAGTACACCACCTAAGCTAGTTCAGATTCCTGCATGTGGATGTGGCATGCTCTGGGTAGGTTCAGCCTAGTTTGTTTTGCAATGTCTGATTGAGCCACTCAATACAGGTCATATTGGAACCTTGGAAAGATATGTGTGCAAAACCAACTTGAGTGGAGCAAAAGGCTAGATTCTTCATACAAAAGCATAATATTGATAACTTACATAATAGGGAGCTTTTTTGGCGGACTTAGGGCTAGGCTGTACAGGGAGCCCAGAAAAAGTGGCCCGAGACGCCTAGAAGCTGGGGGCTTCTGTGTACTACATACATCTCGACAACAAAGACGGAACACTCCGCTAACTTTCTTTGAGATTTTGATCAGATGAGTCCAGTCAAAGAATATTCTGCTTGCTACTTGAGGTTACCCAGCGGGTGGCAGTTTCCTGACGAACATATCAGGTGATTAGCGATCATTGTTTGCCCCGTCATCATCTCTCTTCTCTTATATCCCTGACACTCTCTCCCCTCACCCTCTTATCACTCTCTTCTCATCACCTTACATCCCTTTCTCATTCTTCTTCCTACAAATCAAAGTACAACATATCACGATGCATTTCCCGCTAAAAATCATCAAGGAAAAGTATCAAAAACTGTTTCCATCCTCGCCCAAAGAAGATCGCTCATTTGAGGGACCTGCAACTCAGCCAGAAGAGCAAGCCAAGATCGATTCAGTCAGTGATGCATATACCAAATGGCTCTGTGATCTCTGGCATATTCTTCAAAAACAGACCTATCACCAAATCAAAGTTGATGATCTTGAAGCTTTCGGTATCCGCCACGAAAAATTGGAGTTGGACACTGGAGTCGATGGCCTCCTCCAACCACTTAACGAGAACACCTTCTTCTTACCGAACTTTGAAAAAGTCAAAAATCTTCAACCTGATCCAGATCAATGGGATTTTGAAGACCTCATGATCGATCTAGGTGAATGGCCTGAACCTTGGAAATCGCCTTGGAAATCAGAATTCTATAGAGCAGTGGACAGAGACCACGCGAGTTCATTATGTTCAGCACTTGATGTCGCCTTTGCCAGCCTGAAATGGAAGGAATACGAAAAGAAAGAGTCAATATGTCTCCAGGATCAGACAGATTGGAAACCCGCGTACGTGGTAAATTCTCCTTCTTATCAAGCTTAAGGTCCTTTTCGGAAATTTTGCATATGCAGCCGCCAGTCACACACACACACACACACACACACACACACACACAATCTTTCGCAGCAAGCCGAGGCTGAGCCGAGCGAGGCCTGTCAGCTTGTATCACTTTTCATTTTAGGCATTTGGATGATATGTATGTTAACCACTTTGTGTCTATTGACAGTGATTTCAGCGAGGCATTCGATTTCGATGACTGGCGTGTGTCCGGCTTTTGGCTTGACAGCAAACGGGACTCCTGGCCTGAGAATATCTGGCTTTCAAGAAACAAGCCACATATTATGGTGACAATATCACACGACTGCCCACACGACAACGGTTCTCTTCTTCTCTGTGAGATTCAAGCCATCATAGAGCTCATGATTGTTCGACTCGTCAACAATTCCGTTCCACAGCACAACATTGTTCCTGTATTGCTATATTCCTATACAGGTGATAAACACGGCCGAGTCTTGCAAGCTTACATGGATGATAAAAATCTTGTCATTCGAACCAGCAAGTTCTATGACTTCAGTGCTAAGCTAGATGCTAATTTGAAGCTCTTGCTTCAGTACATGGTCGGTGATCTCGTAGGGTCTACCATGACTTTGACGCATCCACAACTCGAGTCAATAAATCCTCGCGTTGGCTTGTTCAGTGATCTGGTAGGGTCTGAAACTACTCTGGAAACTCCAGATCCCAAATCTATTGATCGCACCGAGGACGAGGACTCTGACTCTGGCTTTGGTTCCACTGGTTCGTCTGGTTCGGCATGAAGGCGTCTCACTTTCGAGATTTGTTAGCATAGTTTGAATCAAATGACAAACATGCACTAGATTTCAACTACTCCTATTGATTCCTGAATTTAGTGAGCTTGGATTTCCATAGTATGTGTTAAAAGACTCCACAAGTTTCGCTGTAGTGATGTGTTTCTTTCGTGCTGCTGCACTCGGTCTCGACTTTTATCATCACTATGGATCTACTCGAATGATATGCTCTAATATTCTTTAGACTATTATCATGATATGCATTCAGTAGTGGATCCATGGATATCTAGACATGCTTAAGTCATGTCACAAAGTGACTTTTCCAAACACTTTTGGATATCATCAGAACAGCCATGTAATAAAAGATTTACTGGGACTCACAAAGCCAGTTTACTCAATTATTGTACTTAGTGATTATGGGGGAAATCTAGCCATGCAACAAACGGCATTCACTGTGCATGAACCCTATGCTCTAGAGAAGCCCATACAACGAATGGTTTGGAAAATCATGGAAATCTTGTCACAACCAATTAATGAAGGAGATGCACTGTGGCTAGACTTCTTTCTAGAAGCTAGTTGATTGAGTTCTCTAAATGTACCGTGAATCAGCAACCTATTACGATGAAAAGGATAAAAGAAAGGTTTTGGGAGAAGCCAACCCAAGCGACTTATCCAAATATATAAAACAAACTCATTTGATATATATATCTGAGAAGCCCGTCCAACAGACTTACTAAATTGTTCTATCTGCAATCCTCTCAATGTCCTCTCTAGAACTCATTTGAGTTGTCGAAAATGGCTACCGACCTAAATCAAAGGCCAAACCTTTTTAAAAAGGAGGTGACTGATGTGCCGAACTTCATCATCCCTGAGAGCCTTGATACTTTGAGCAACCTATGGGCTAAAGCAAAGATATCGCCTATCCATGAGCTTGAGCAGGGCTATCTTGGTTCCGGGAGCAAGGTCACGCAAACACAGTACCTGGCTCTCAGGATCATCCGTTCGTCCTCTATTCGAAAACCAGAATATATTAAAAGGTCCTCGAAGAGGTTTGGCCTTGACAAAATTTGGAACGATGCCACCGATCGTGTGGCTCGGTCAACGGAGTACAAAGCTTATTTACAGCTAATCCGCATGGGAATATCCGTTATCGATCTTGCAAGTGACCACCCGTCGTATTCTGGCTCTTTCAAGCCAGTCAAGCGAGTTCAAGAACAGATTGCAGCTGTCCAGGATGTGGATATCCCACCTGAGCATAGATATCGGCAATGGAACCAGCAGCTGTACAAAGTCGCAAAATCGGATACAAGGAAAGAAAAGGGAAAAATGGCTAAGTTGAGACCATCATTTGCATTGAAATTATCCTCGAGGAAACCGTCACAGAGAGACTCAGCCCGCAACGCAAAAGAACTCATCAGTGCTCAGGTGTCAGAACAGTCCGAAGGGCCCCCGATACCCGAATCCGCAGTTGAAGTAGATGAGCCATATGTCGACAAATACTACGAGGCCTTATATGAGACAACGCCCAGTTCAGCTTTGATACTTTTGCTCCAGGGAGTTTCGGAGTTGGTGGAAGGTACTGGTCTTGAGTGGACTTTTGATCATATCCATCTGAAGGCTTCCTTTGATAGAGGGTCCTTCAACGCGTGGACTGATGGTGCATTTCAAACCAGAGGCGGCAAAGATATTCTCGCAATTGTTGAAGTCAAGAAGAAGCCCAGGGAAAGAAAGGAAATGGAAATCCTCATGCAGGAGGGGGCCGAAATGGTGGCCTGGTTGATGAGAGAAAATGGGCGTCTTCCAGACTTGAATGGGCAGTGAGTAGCACTTGAGACTTCATATGGAAAGTGTGAACAAGAATTTCAATTGACTATCTACATAGCCGCGTTTTGATTTCCCAGGATTGCGACAAGATTTGGGTCACCTTCGCAATCTGTCACCCCGATTATATCGAGTACATTAAGAGGAAAGGAAAGATCACTGACAATACTTTTTTGAAGATGCAGACCTTTGGGCCATTCGATGTCAACAATGTTAAGCATATGGATATTTTAGCTGTTCTCATCACTGCTATCACTCTCAAGGCTTGATTTTGGTGTCTTTTTAGCGCTGTAATTGCTTGTACTGTTTATTGGCTTATTTGCATTGTTCTCTTTTCCATGTCTAATGCGTTTTCAACATCTTGTGCTGTGGAGTCTGCTGCTTCCAAAATTTCAACGCAGAGGCATGTATTTGATATGGGGGATCTTCTTAAAGCTTGGTTTCATGTTTTTCGACGTTTAAATTTTTTGTTTAATTATTATACGTCTTATCATATTTTTCTGCCATTTGTATTGCGGGGGCTACTGCCAGCGATTTATTAACATATCGATGTAAGCAAGCATGAAATGAACAGAGGCAACAAGAGATTGTATTAATGGATGTATAGTAAAATTACTTTTAGAGCTACTTATGTAGATTTTGCATGTCCTTCATTTTCCCTTGCTCGTCCTACCTTTCCTCTATTTCACTAGGTCTAAATTCCACTTAACAATTTCATCAAAATCACTCCAGACACTCAGACACTCGCTCTGAGCTTGTGGCTTGCCAGAGTTGTACCTGTAGATGTCAACGTGTATGTATTGAGAAAGAAATGCTCTAGCCAATCGAATGCCCGCACAGTAGGATGCCGACTGGATAGATCGATCGATACCAGTCAAAAGCATGATTCCAAAAGGCCGACCCGGAGAACCTATGCACAGCAACACCTAAAGATAACAAATCTTGCGGTCTTCTTGTAGCATTCTTAGTAAGGGAGTTGACGTCGTTGACAAACATCCTGTTGTTGGATCTCGTTTCAATCCGAATAACAATTAGGGCTAGGGCTAGGGCTAGCACTGTTGAGGGCATTCATCTCACCATATGGTGCCAGGACTAACACACAAATGAAGAAGTGCACGACCATATGATTAATAAACTCACCAGCTCATATTTTTTTGGCAATCTTTTTTACGAATGCTCATTGTGACCTTCTCAAAGCAACCTAGTCCCTGGCTGGAGGCTGGAAAGCCCTCAAGCAAACGACAATTTTGTTCGTATCACTTCGATGCGCCCGAAGGCTTGTTTCTGGCAGTCGTACCCGAAACTACTTGGTTCACACCAAGTAGGCAGCGCCATTGTGCAATTTTGTGTATTAGGGTTTTGTGCCCGGGCTTCTTTGTCTATGCCTTATACTGACACTTTTGACGGCTTTCTCCCCTGAGGATCTTCAAATACAAATTCCGAACTTCTCTCTTTTTTACATTTCTATTGCAATATATTTTTGGGTTCACCTTCTCTTGGTATGATGAAGTTCACTCCAAGCGATCTCATCACAGAGATTCTATCCCGATTTACACGCACGTCAAACTTGTCCTTTGCCAAGATGCAGACATCTGGTCCCTGGCGTTTTGATGGCGGAGACGACATAGAAGAATTATCCGGGACTTGTTCGGGACTGATACTAGCGTTGATAACTACGGCTGATGAGCGCTTCAAAGCCTGCTGTGAACAAATCCGTGTGGAGAAGGATCCTGCTGCGGATGCCGTGGTCAAGAGCTAGGTCGACAAGTACATCCGCAACTCTTACGCTCTTCCAAAGCGGATGTGCCGTCGACATCGGTACGAGAACAATATACTTAGCTTTCATGCGACCAGACTGTATTCGTATTTCTTTAACAGTGCCTTTCGAAGCTTAAGCTCATTAAGGTCGTATAAGTCTAAATCCTCAAGAAAATACATGCTGACTTGTTCGAGTTGGTCGTCAAAAATCACCTGATCTGATAGTCTAATTGGCCAGCTAAGAGACGGAAAGCCAACCCCGAAACAGAAAATATCTGACATATTCAGCCAATCACTCGCTAGAAAAATATAAATTGGCCTCCAATCAAACAATTTATTGAAACATACATCTTTAATTGGCCAAAAGACCGACGATTTTCTAGCATGATCCAAATTTATGATCGAGTCTAATTCTACTCCATCTAAAACAATTCGAACAACTACCTCGCCTTAATTGATGAAAACTTTTTACGCATACGATTCAAATGGGGCAATGATGACGCAAGCTTGAAATTCTCCCTCCAAACAATATCATAAGAAATGATTCCAAAACGAGGTCATACAGAAGACGATGGATTTTCGTCATCGAAACGGTCCAGAGCGTCAATATCACCACAACGACAACATTTAGGAAGATCCAAGGGGAAATCTACTTTACACTCGTCGTCGGAGGGAAGGTATCATGTCATTGAAATCGAAAATACCAACAATGATATTATCAAAGATGACGAAGATGATTATACATCGTCCTCAGGAACATCCTCATCCGAGGACGACAATAATGGGCAAGAAAACGAAAGATATGAAATATCAGAGACAATACCGTACATCCCCGGCCGCCCCAAACCGCAAATCTCTCTCCCCGCAAAATCCTCTGACCTATTGTCTCGTATATCATCATTCTTACCGCAACTTCAAGCCGCGAATGCGGATATTGAGCAGAGACTTGCCAGGGGCGAGAGCTTGGAGGATATGATTCTTGATGATGTCAAGGATGATGAAGCTCAAGCAGCAGAAGGAGAGGAGAGGACATATATTGAAATGGTGAGTAGTAACCTTTTTTTTGTACCATTGATGGCTTTGCGTGTTAATAAGCTTTTTGAGCAGAATCTTGGTTTGGGTGTACTCAAAGAAAAGAAGAAGAAGAGACAGCCGGGTGATATCAGTCTTGGTGATGAGAGTTCGTCGGGTAGTGATAAGGAGGAAGACGAAACATCTCCGAAAGAGGGCGCAGATGAGGATGGCGAAGGACAGGTTCTGAATCAACTCATGGGATTGAAGAATCGATCTGGACAGAAACTGAAAACGAACCCTGGTATTCAGGAAGTTGATGACGGATAGTCATTTACAGTCACCCTACGTGTGCGAGACTATGAGTGTTTTGGATTCAGTGTAAATAGTCACTGATAATATTAATTCCTCACGCTCTTACTGAGTTCATAACTCAAATACTTGTACATATTCGTTCAAATCCTACCAACCCATGACCTCTCAAGATCTGATCAACAACCGTAGAAACAATTCAAACAAAATCAAGTCTATAACCTGTTCCAACGAATATAAAACCGATACAAAAGACTACATGCTTGCATGCAGAAATATAGAAGAATGATTACACTACAATGCCTGTACAAACCTATCTCCCAGAATATATAATATCATGGCATCGTGATCGCAAAAGGTCCAGAATGCTGGTTCCTCATGATACTTCTTTGATGCGGCAGGTCCAGCCTGATTCCTGACTCAATAGCGGCAAGCTGAAATATATATCAGTACGATAGTTTCCATGAAATGACAACAAAGGAGACAAACCTTGCACCCAAGCACCACCCAAGTTCGTTATTCTTAATCTTCTTAGCAATCTTCACCTCACGAGATAGAGGCATCTCGTAACCAGTGTGAAGAAGACCAAGCATAAAGTTGAGGTCTAGACAAGACTCCGGACGACCTTCAAGTTCTTCCAAAGCTCCTTCAATACCTTCGAAAATACCCCAGTTGTCCTTTCCACCGCAGACTATCTCGGTCAAACGCTGTAGCTCATGGAGAGTGAAAGAGTCTGGCATTCCGAGTGGCTTCGTCCTGTCGTAGAAGTAAGAGAAGATGTAGACATCCTCCTTGGCAAAGGTCTTTTCGAGAGAAGGCTGGTGAACTCCGTTGAATGAACAAGGGGCCAATTTACAATCAGCTTCCTTGTGCAAAATCTTTTCGGTAATGCCGCGGCATTGAGCGGGTGCGGACAGTTCCTTAGGTCCAGTCATCGTAACCGAGACTTTGGGTGCTAGAGCATGGCCCTCGGGAAAGGTAAGATTGACCTGTCGTTGCATTCCAGGACCGATACAAGGGTTAGAAATTGGCCGATTCAACCAGGACAGATCAGTAGGGCTGGTTGCCAATTTAGCTTCCACGATGGACTTGTGAACCGCAGAACGGGCTTCCATGAGACCGTATCCAAGATGAGAGTGCTGGTAAAGGTCAAATTCCCGTCCACCGAACTGCAATTCGTACTTGTGATCACCCGGGGCAAGCTTTTCTGGCATACCACCAGATGGGCTGTCGAAGGTCGGTTGGAAAACAATCTGCGTCGAGGCACCGCCGAGATCGAAAACAGCAGCAGTGGGCGTATCGTCAGGACCACCAATCTTACCAAGAAGATAGTTGGTGGTGATCCAAGCATAAACACCCTCGTCACTTCCATCCAGGATCTGTATGCCTCCCTTTTCATCCGAGACGACAGGGAATGGATAGACAGTCTCCAAACGATGTCTCACGGCCTGCAGAATGTTTTTGCTAAGATCTTCTCCAAGCAAGCGCAAACCTGCAGTGGCTTTCACGGAAACCGGCGTGCACGACTTGTACTCATCAGGAACATTTGCCATGGCAACGTCCATGAGCACATCGAGACTCTTTGCGGCACCCTCGGCGTCTTCCTTGTACGAACTGAGACCGGATCCACCTTCTTTCTTCGGGGTCATTTTGAACACTTCGTCTTCGAGTTCTGGTGTCGGTCCGCAATTATTGAAGCGATAAACGTGAATACGAGAGCCGGTACTTCCTGCATCAATCATCAAAACGTATTGCCGTAAGGGCTTGGAGGGATCATGTGGCTTGGTGCATGTCTTCGTGGAAGCATCTGTAGTGTCGGACACACCTAGTCTTGTTAGTAACTGATCAACAATCTACTCGGCAAGAAATCTCACTTGATATATTAGGAACAGAGTGCCGCGAGGGAACCAAATACAACAAAAACAAAATCGCTCCAGCAATTATCAAGCTGGCCTTGACGAGTCGTGACCTTTGCGTCATGATGGATTTCTCTGAATGCATTGGCGAAGCCTTGTATGAATTACCAATCGGCGGCACCGCAGCAGGAGAAGACCGTTTCCGTGAGTGCGACGAAAAGACCGAAGACTGATGGTTTTGTTGATTGTCGATACTAGTGGACATGCGAGCAGATACCCAGGTGAGCGGCGCCTGCTTGCACGATGAACGAACCGAGAACTTTTAGGACGATGGCATGGATGACTGAACTAAACGAGTGGCATCCAAGTCAGACTTGGTGAGATGGCAATTGGCGAAGGCGAGCGAAAAGAAAAAATGAAGTTAAAAGTCGCAAGACAAAAGGGGCGATTCCTTGCTTGTTAGTTGACGGAGTATCAGTCTGGGCTGGGATAGGAGGAGCGATAAGTGGGAAGGAGCGCTAAGGTGGCGTTGCGGGTCTGGCCTGAGTCCTAAGGCACTCCACCTGTCACTCCCAGGTTGTTCCGTTTGCAGCTACAGCTCACGACCGATCAACAAAGACACTACACCATTGATATACTGAGATACCGAAGTTTATCTATCGTCCATACTATTGCTCCTAGGTCGATTCTCTTTTAAGACGACTGCTTTTGCATGCAGTAGCAACATGGCTTCCCTCCGGGGCACGGCTTCGACATCCCTCCTCCTTCGACAGGCATTCGCCGCATCACGCTACACAGCTACACGCCGACCACTTCAGACACCATCACGAATACAGCCTATATTAAGAGATCAAATTCGCACAATCTACCGACCAGCTGGCGCCGTCACCAACCCTATCGAAACAAACAGAGTTGTTAAGCCGCAACGCTACTCTCGAAAGATCAACGACGAAATCGAAGCCGATGTCATCCAGATCGTGGATCAAAATGGACAACTTGAATCACCAACACGGAAATCAAATATTCTTCTCGCGATGCGACGCAGTGAGCAAGTTTTGGTCCAACTAGATCCTGGAGATTCTACTCGCGTGCCAGTGTGCAAAATCATGAGAATGTCCGATTTCCGAAACGAAGAACGAGCAAAGGAAAAGGCCGTGAGAATGGCCAAGCATGCGTCCAAAACATCGACAAAACAGATAGAGTTGAATTGGTCGATTGATCCGCATGATCTCTCGCATCGGTTGAAGAAGCTGTCTGGGTTTATTGACAAGGGCCGGACGGTGGAAATCGTGTTGACAAAAAAAAGAAACAAGCGTATGGCTACGACGGATGAGATCAAGCAATTGATGGATAGTCTCAGAGCTGCCATTGAGGAGGCTAATGCTCATCAGACCAAGTCCATGGATGGAGAGATTGGTAAAACATTGACGATCACCGTGGAGAAGAAGAATTAGCGAGTTCTTGGATATTCTGTACTATTGCATTGTATATTACTGTATATACCCATCATAAAAAAATCTTCTGCAATTCTTTCAATTGCCACTACGAATCTTGAAATCACAGAGCAACACATGTGCTATCAACTTATGCCGCAAATACCATGCTCCCATTGGCCCATCGCGCTGACTAAGCCTCCCTAAAAATTTTGGGCGGAGGCTCGGCTTGACGACCTCAGAACAGTCGAGCTGTAAACACTTCTCCTTCCCATCATTCTTTCTCTCTTGTCTTGTTTCTTCCTTTCTTTGTTCATTCCATTCATTGATTGATTGCGATATAAAGAGGATTACATAATGGCCGGTATCACCAGATCAGTCAATCTCCTCTTGAGGAGCAGCAGGTCCTCCTTGTTGCGTCCTCGCGCTGCCAACCCAGTGCACCATGTCCTCTCCAACGAGAGATACGCAGCCCGCTCTTTTGCGACTGCTTTCGAGCGCACCAAGCCCCACGTTAACGTTGGTATGTAATTGACATGATTTGAATGTTACTTTGGTAATATCGACTGACTCTGGCAGGTACTATTGGTCACGTTGATCACGGAAAGGTGCGCATCTCGACATCAGGTTTTTTACATCACATTAACACTCATCTAGACTACATTGACTGCCGCCATCACCAAACGCCAGGCTGAAAAAGGCCTTGCCAACTTCCTTGAATACGGTGCCATTGATAAAGCTCCCGAAGAGCGAAAGCGTGGTATCACCATTTCTACCGCTCACATCGAGTACTCGACCGATAGCCGCCACTATGCCCACGTCGACTGCCCCGGTCACGCCGATTACATTAAGAACATGATTACTGGTGCCGCAAACATGGACGGTGCTGTTGTTGTCGTCGCTGCTTCTGATGGTCAAATGTACATATCCACGAGGTACTTATTACGGACATTGCTGATTAGAGTAGGCCCCAAACTCGTGAGCACTTACTCCTCGCCCGTCAGGTCGGTGTCCAGAAGATCGTCGTCTTCGTCAACAAAGTCGATGCCGTCGAGGACCCCGAGATGTTGGAACTTGTCGAGTTGGAAATGCGTGAACTTTTGACCACCTACGGTTTCGAGGGTGAAGAGACTCCCATCATCTTCGGTTCCGCTTTGTGCGCTTTGGAAGGTCGCAAGCCTGAAATCGGTGAACAGAAGATTGACGAACTCATGAATGCCGTTGACACCTGGATTCCTACCCCCCAGCGTGACCTTGACAAGCCTTTCTTGATGTCCGTTGAGGAAGTTTTCTCCATCTCTGGTCGTGGTACCGTTGCCTCTGGTCGTGTTGAGCGTGGTGTTTTGCGCAAGGATTCTGAGGTTGAGATTATTGGATACCAGAAGAACCCTATCAAGACCAAGGTCACCGATATCGAGACCTTCAAGAAGTCTTGCGACGAATCCCGTGCTGGTGACAACTCTGGTCTCCTTCTCCGTGGTATTAAGCGTGAGGATATCCGCCGTGGTATGGTTATCGCTGCTCCCGGAACCACCAAGGCTCACGACAACTTCTTGGTCTCCATGTATGTCTTGACCGAGGCTGAAGGTGGTCGCCGTACTGGATTCGGCGCCAACTACCGTCCCCAAGCTTTCATCCGTACTGCCGGTATGTCCCCTTAAACCTCACTTGAAGACATTCTTAGCTAACGGTTCATAGATGAGGCTGCTACTCTCAGCTTCCCCGGTGACGACCAGTCCAAGCAGGTCATGCCCGGTGATAACGTCGAGATGATCTTGAAGACACATCGTCCCGTTGCCGCCGAATCCGGTCAGCGATTCAACATCCGTGAGGGTGGTCGTACCGTCGCCACCGGTCTTATCACCCGTGTCCTCGAGCAGAAGGCTTAAATTACTCTCTGGTCAAACGAGAGTTCATGTACGATGACGGAGTGTATTCTTAACATCTTCCTTTTAGCAAAGCGCTGATATCAATCTGTCCGGATCTGGAGAAAATGGGAATGAATAGAGAAAAGGATGAATCAAGGAGGAGTTACTTGTTTCTTTACTCTGTTCTTTGATGTGTCTTGATTTGTCTGTATATTTTGTGGTTCGTTCATTTTCAGAAATTGTATTAAGTCTCCTCTTTTTTTTAATGGTTAGCCAAGATTACTCTCCACTTATGCTAGGTCAACAGGTTGATTGAGTCAGTTTGGTGTTGATGTTTTTCCAGATATAATGTAACATCTGTCCAAGATTATAGAAGTGACGTATACGCTAGGGACCTAGACACGGATTACCTCAACTTAACTTTCCCCCTTCGATATCAAGAACACTCACAACAATATACAGAAGGAAACTCCTCGAACAAAAATCATATACAATGGTCAACGAAATGAAAAAMCCCGCGGTCGTCGGCMCCTGCCACTGCGGCAAAATCAAATACCAAAGCAGCAACGCCGCTTACCAAATGACGTTCTGCTACTGCACAACCTGTCGTTCCCTCCACGGCGCACCATTCGCTCCTTTTGTGAATGTCAGGCGTGAGGAATTACAATGGTTTAGACGATCCCCATCGTCAACAAAAGAAGGGGACGACGAGTGGAGGAAACTCGGCCACTGGGATGAATCACCGGCATTACAAAAGTTGCAACTCAGCAAGGTAGCAACAAGAACGTTCTGCGGATCGTGTCATTCACCTCTGACAATGGTTTATAACGCTGTGCCTGATGAGGTGGGATTGGTTGCCACGACGATCGATGAGAAATTGTCAACGGCGCCTGTGCCGAAGGTTGAGCAGCATATTTATGTAAAGCAGAAGCCGGGGTGGTATGATATTCCTGTTCAAGAGGGGGTGAAGGTGTATGATGGACCTACAGATTCATTGAGGAAGTGGCTTGAAGATGCTGAGAAGTAGAGTGTTGATGTACCATTAATTGATCAAACCGATGTCAATGTGTCCATGTCTTAGGGTATCGAAGCCGAGTTTGAGATTTTCAGATCTGCGATGGCGAATAATCTAATACGTGCCATCCCAAATCAGACAGAATATATCCAAAATCATTTGGCAGGTAAAGCTCGAGACCGTTTGCTGATCATCAACTAACGACTCGGCTCGCAGATGTGATACATGTACTCCGAAGGAATGTCCATCCATTTCGGGGATCTCGCCCCAATTATGCTCCGCTGTTAACGTGTCTAGTCGGGTATGTTTCCGAAGATATGAGCCAAGATGTTATTTTCTCTTTTCCATGTCCGCAAGCTAAATAGAGAAGGTTGACGCTCAATACGCTCACGGTAGCGGGGATGGATGGATGTATCATTTGTTTATGTTTCAGTATATGTCCCTTTATTAATATATGTAGAACCCTGGTATTAGATATCAGAGACTGGTTTGAGGGACGCGATAGAGTGCTAACGTCAGGTACGAGGATGTTGTGTAACATGTACCTGACCAAATTAGGGCTTGTCGCTCGCTTTAGGTACCCAATCCAACCAAATACATGAATGGTCGCTGATTAGTATCATAAACTTGGTTTTATCATTTAGTGCTTAGCAGGTACTTCTTCTGTGTACCCATAAGCCGACTATCAGAAAAGCTGTATCTAGGTAAACGTCCGTTCTGCCAAGCAGTATATCCCCAACAAAGACTCAATGAGTACAATTCTCTATAAGACATTTGGACTGAGATCCTATATACATGTAGGTAGACTCATAAAACCCTGTTATTTTCTTCAAACAAACAGAATATTCCAAAATTTCATCAACTCCGATTCGGAGCATTCCAAATCTTGGGAAAACCATGTAAATCATTTCCAACTCGTCTAGAATCTCTCGGCCTATTGACGTACGATCCCCCTTCAGGACTACTTTCGACGCAAATCATTAGACATTCTAATAGATGAATAAACTAACAATACAAACAGAGAAGAATAGTAACTCCGTTTGAGTCCGCTCATCTTTCGAATCAATGATTCTGTGCAACATGAACCCCTGACTATCTTGCCTAGGTATCTGTCTTTGTTTTGTATGGAAAATGATTGACAGGTTGATTGCTTACCTAGCTTGTAAACATGTAGAGAGAAACGGTGAATTGATATTCGCCGTATTTCCTAATTATTCTTGTTTCTCTGTATAACTTCTCGTTTGCCACGGAATCGTCACTCTTTATATGAACAGTCATTCCCATATATCTTTCATTGATTTCTTCTTTATTCATATCCCTGTCTACCACTAATCGAAAAAACCTCTTTTTCCATTCATTCCAAAGGATCATAGGAGGCAAGATGAAGACTGCGGCCATTCTCCCTCTTCTTTGCGTCTTGGCTGCCTCGGCGCCTACTCCGAAAGTAAATTGCTTCTACTGACTTTGACAAAGACAAAGAAAGAGGCTAAAGCATAGATAGAAGGCCCCCGTGGAAGATGTCCATCGACGCCAGACTACCGATGTCGGTGATGCTGGACTCGGCAGTGTCCTTGGTGGATTGAAGGCTCGACAAGATGCTGGAAGTGACGAGAGCGATCCACTAGGCGGTCTCCTTGGTGGCTTGAGAAGACGCCAGTCTTCCGAAAGCGAGAATGGGGGACTCGGTGGTGTCCTCGGCGACCTCGGCGGCCTCGGCGGCCTGGAAAAACGTCAAGATACCGCGACTCTTCGTAGTGCCATTACCAGTATCACTGACGACCTGCCCGTCAGCGCAAACCAGAGACGCCAATCTTCCGTCTCGGGTTCTGATAATGACGACAACGACGACTCTCTTCTGAACTTGCTGGATGGCAGCGACCTCAAACTCGACGGCAACGGGCAAGACATCAACGTTGCCGACCTGCGTCGTCGTCAACGCCCCAGTCTGACGAACAACCGTGATGCGAATGGTAACAATGATGATACCCTCCTAAATGCAGTCGACGGCTCCCGTGCCGGCGTGAATCACAACGCGCAAAACATCTCTATTGCTAAATATAGGCGGAAGCGCCAGCTCCTCAACGGCCTCGGCGGAGAGTCCGAGTCCGTGTCCAACAGTGGAAATGGAGACAATGATGAGAGTCTTTTGAATCTACTCGACGGCTCAAGTGCGCAGGTAGATCACAATGTCAAAAATGTGACTATCCTCCGCCGCTACCAGCTCCAGCAGCACCAGTCCCGTCACGAATCCGTCTCCCTCGTTATGAAGGCTAGGAGATGGTTGAGCACTCTTTTCAGTCGAGATGCGCCTACTAAAACTACCACTGACAGCGGCAATGCCAATGACGATGACGCTCTGGTAAACGCGCTTGATGATTCTGCTGCCGCCGTAGACGGTAATGGGCAGGACGTCACTGTTCTACGTCGTCGACAAGCCTCGACACCAACACCATCTGCCTCCGCGGTGCCAAGTGCATCCGCAGCCCCCATCGCACCAGCCCAAGACCCTGCTGCAGCACCGGGACCAAGACCAGCCCTCAACGCCGCGGACGGCGACAACAGCCATTCCACCAACACCAACACCGGCGACAACAATCATTCCGACGACGACGCACTCGTCAACGCAGCCGACGGCTCAGGCGCAGACGTAAGCAAGAATTTGCAAAACATCACTATTCTCAAACACCGTCGCCAAGACATCGGCCACAACGACGAAGGCGACCACAATGCCGACGATGACGAGACAGTGGCCAATGCGCTTGATGGCTCTGACCTGAACGCAGATGATAATGCTCAGGGAGTTGATGTCGCGCCTCTTTAACTCCCTTTCCTCTATTTTTTCGGCAGATGGTGGATGCGTTTTTGGTGAGATTTCAGGGGGGGAATATACGTATAACTCGGACATACCTGTAAAGTGTGTATAGTCGTTAGTCGATGTTCGTTTGGTGTTTAAGATTTTGTAATAGAAATGGTTTCTACTTCTACTTACCTATACTAGTTGACAATAATTTCACTTCAAGCTTAATAATGTCACTTCAAGCTTAAAATGCTTCAGGGGCCACCACCTCCCCATGCCATGAAGTTGGGGCGTCAGCCGTATCACATCAAGTGATCCGTCCGACATTCAAGAGACCTGAACACCATTATCATGCTGCTTGCCGATTGCTGTAGCGTGCACTCAGGGGCGTCCCTCACAACGTTATCAGCAATCCCATATTCACGCTCGCAAATCAACAGAAAAATATATAGTAATATGTAATAATACAATTATTCTATTCCTTTTGCTAGCATATCAATGTATCAATGTATCAATGTATCAATGTTATCAGAGAAAAAAAGTATGTAGTACACAGTACACATTTCATGAACTGAAACGAAAAGAAAAATCAGACCGACAAACTAATTGGACAGAGGCAGGCAGGGCAGGGCAGGACATGAAAAGGAATGAAGAAAAGGAAAAAGTCTAAGTCATGCTTTTGAGAAAGGAAATTACTCGCGCGAAACGTCGCGGCCAAAGATCTTGGCTTTGATCCAGTCTGTGGCGACGAGGATACGGTTTCGAGCTATCATCAAATCACAATCAGCTCAATTCATACCCAGATAAAGAGGAAAAGGGGGACATACCGCTAAAAACCATACTCAAATACGCACTTCGCCAGAAGAGATATGTCATTGTACCGCCACTGGCAATGTTTCCACTCACCCAGCTGATATCGGCAACAGCGCGCTCCTTGCCGATGTACGCCAGACTTCCCTGGTGCGAGTACTGGAAGGGACCAATCTGTTTTGTGCGACGGAGCTGGCGCTGACGTTCCTTGATCTCGGCAAAGATTTCGTTGCGCGCTTCGTCGTTCTTGGCTTCTTGCTGCGCGACAGACAGTTTCTTGAGTTCGTCTTCGAGGGCTTCGGTTTTGGCCATTGTGTTGAATAGGCGGGCGAGGAAAGCGCCTTCTTGGCTGGCGACCTGGGCGGTGGGGGCGTAGTTGGTGATGGCACAGTCACCGACGGCCCAGATATTTTCAGTACCGTTGACGACCAAGAACTCGTTGACGGCGAGACCGCGGCGAGAGTTCTTTTGTGCGGGAATCTGGCTCATGAGGTCCTTGACGACGTCACGGACAGCATTACCGGTAGCCCAGACGAGCAGACCATAGGGAATCTTTTCGAGTTCTTTGGTTCCGTCCGGTTTGGTGACTTCGGCTTCGATGTACTTGTCGGTAACGTTCTTGACCATTGTTTTCGTGCGAATGGTGATTTTCTCTTCCTTGAAGCTGGATTCGGTGTATTCAATGAGTTGTTTGGAGAACATGGGCAGAATCTACCAAAAGTCAGCATATCCCATTTGGATCAAGCGAAAGAAAAAAAAAACATACGTTAGGCAAAGCTTCGACAAGCGTGACATGGAAATTGTCCTGAATACCAGGAATCCACTTGCGCAAATCCTCTTCAAAGAAATCTTGTAGTTCACCGGCGAATTCGACACCGGTGGGACCACCACCGACGACAACCATGTGCAAAAGACGCTTGACTTCTTCCTCGGTCTGGTCCTTGAAGGAGGCAGTTTCGACGCAGTCCATGATACGCTTGCGGATTTTCTGCGCGTCGCCGACTTCCTTCAAGAAGCAGGAGTGTTCGCGGACGCCGGGGATTCCTGCAAACATTAGCATTTACTCCTACGAGAAGAGACGGAAAAACTGACCAAAAGTAGCATTCTCAGCCCCGACACCGACAACCAACATGTCAAACGGAACAACAGTATGCGACACATCACCTTTAATCTCCGAGTCATCGCTGATATAAACCAGGCGCTTCTCGTAGTCGATCTTGGTGGCTTCAGCTTCGTAGTATTTGACGGTCGCCTTCTTGTGGCGGAGGATGTTGCGAATAGGTTCCATAATCGAGCGATGTTCAATCAGACCGGTTGTGCAGGACGGGAGCAAGGGCGTAAAGAGGAAGAAGTTGCGAGGCGAGATGACGACGACATTGTAATTTTCAGTGTCGAGTTTCTTGAGGAGACTGACCGAGCCCCAGCCGCTGCCTGTATCCATTGATTAGAGCCCAAAAAAATTCAATTGGAGTTGCAGAGAAAGACAAACCGAGAATGACCAAGGTCTTCTTGGATGGATCAGGCTCAATCTGCTCTGCAGGATGACGCAAAAGATAGATGCTATATCCCAAGTATCCCGTACCACCCAACAGCCCCAACACGGTAAGACGATACGTCCATCTCAGGAATCGGAATCGCTTCTTTTTGGGTGCTGCTGGTGCCGGGACGGGAGCTTCAGTTGCGTACGCGCGACGAGCGAATGTCGAGCGCTGCTTCGATAGAAGCTGTGATGGGGATGGTCGAGTCTCGAAAAGGCGCGCTGACGATGATGAAGATGATGACGCAGAGGAAAAAGATTTTGTAGCTCCTCGCGCGAAAGCTGCTGGCGCAGCAGCGATCCGTTGACGGACCAACATGATTGCGTAGTCAGGACTACGATATCAATCAATGTTGTCAATGACAGTTCAAAAGAATGGTGGGTGGATAATTCAATGGATAAAAGTCCAGATGGACAGGATCCTGGAAAGTCGTGCTAGGTAGTGCTAGACACGGCGGAATGCCGATTGCTGCTCGGCGGAGTCGGCAGGCGGGTCTGGAAAAAAAGAGCGTACTATGTTAGGGTAGTAATTCTCTTTTGGGTAAGCCGGTGTGTCTCTATCTCTCGTGTCGAGCCTGTTTTTCTTCTCTCTTCTCAAACACAACAGCACAACAATATAACAATTACAATCGCTGTTTGAATATCGATCTACGTAGCCGAGGGTATACTACAAACATCGACAATTGATTCTCCAACTTGAGTCATATCAGCTGGCCCAACACCCCCGGACGTTCCCGACTTTGACTTCCCCCATCTACGGAGCTTTACTCCAAAGACAATTGCCTTTCCTAGTACTTAGCCTGCGTACTCAATCAACCCGGCTAATTCAGGATCTAGATCTACTCCATAAGTAGATGAAGAATATAGCCGATGGGGCTACCTACAGGCTATACAGGTCACTGAGCAGGCAGGGAGCTCCGTATCTCCGTAATACTACAGAGTATATCACCTAGTTATCTGTATCTAGCCGCTCAATGCGCCATACAAGCCCTCTACGTACTATTCCCAGCGTGCGGAACCGCATGTGATACACAGCAAAACTCTGTGTTGATCCATGATTCACCATTGCCCTTTCCTCCGTATCTTTTCGCGCCAGCTCAGTCACGGAGTAAAATACCGGTCAAGAGGAGATCCTGTATAACACTCGTTCCCTTATCGTCAAGTCAGAAGCCCTCAATTGAGTCAATTCCAGACCAGACCAGACCAGACCAGTAGAATCACACCCAAATCTCCGTGTTCTTCGTAAATAAATTCGCAAATAATTTGTGCCGGAGCGCGCGGTGTAGGGCCTACAAAACACATACAATAAAAAAACAAATTTAATCAAAAATTTAAACGGAGTTCTCCCACGATCAAACTGATCAATTGAACTCAATTAGGAAACTGCAACCGGGCCGGTTTCTTGATATAGAAGTTCTAACCCAGCGACACGATTGACTTTATCATCTTGAAAGAAAAATGCTATAAATCCACATTGTTTGTGGTAAGAATTCATGTATGCTAACTAAAGACTAACGCCACATATGCTAATTGTCTCCCCTCCATACATGCATCGAAAGTAAAAGAAATATGCAAGTAATGACTGCTCTGAGTTTGGGCTCAGTGTATGCTCGAGATGAGAAAAAGTCAACCTCCGGTTTTTGTCTAGATGACGCCATATGATCCATGCAGAAAGAAAGATAGGAAATAACTCGATAGAAGCACTCTATCGCGGGTGTTTGGGTTTGGGTCATCAATAGTAAAATGGCACGCTCATAAGCCAGGTAACAGATAATTTGTACAGGATGAAAGTAAGGGGACTGTGACTAGTATTGGCTAGGAAGGAAATTCGGTTGTTGGGGAATGACTCCTTGCGGTAGTCCGTCGTGATGGAGGTATGGCAACACACCGGTGCGACGTTCAGTAAAGCTCTTGCCTAATGGTTGGTAGTGCATCTGGTCCATTGACAGGTGACGGGGTTGGTGTAGGGATGCAGACGGTGGCGGAATGAGAAGAGTATTCACGGCGCGCACAGGGCGGTATGGTGAGTTGCGGTTGACGAGGAAGAAGGACGGCGAGAGGTGGTTTTGAGGTGTGTGCACGTGGAATGCGGAAGATGGCGAGACTGCATCTGATGATACCGTCGCGGAATACGGACTCTGTCGTCGAACGGGGTCTGGAAGAGACACGGCCGAGTTGTACAAAGCCATCGGGTTGGAAGTTTGCGACGGAACGACTGGCGCAACCGTTGCAGACGGAATTTGTTGTGACCATGTTGACGAGGGATTGAACACTGTCGACATCGCGCGGACGTGAGGGAGAGGAAGTTGCTGCGGCATTGTAGCTGCAGGCAAGGTAGGCGGTATCAGAGCAGTCGAAACGGGCTGGTAAGTGGTAGGTTGACTCAAACGAGGAACAGGAATTGCCAACGACGGCACCGACAGAGGCATATTTGCACCAAGGACCGGTGGGAGCACCGGTACAGACATCGCAGCCGCAGAAGACATCGCAGCCGCAGAAGACATCGCAGCCGCAGACGGCATCGAAGTCGCAGAAACTGGCAGAACAGGCATCGGCGCCGAGTAGTTAGACACGGCAAATCGTTTGCTTGGATTTTCTTCCACATCATCCTCCCAGCTGCGTTTGCGTGAATACGGTGGGAATTCGAGGTTGGGTAAGGCCCGAGGCGAGGTGTTGAGCCTGTAAGGAGTTGTAGTAGAATTCCAACCTGGTCGTGATTGAATCTGAGGTTGTAATTGTGTTTGCGGCTGAAGAGGGTGTGTCGACGGTGGAGATGGCATTTTCGATGCTGGTGAAACAGGAAGATTGTATCGTCTAACATCTGCTGTGGGTGAAATCTGGTGCACAGGCGTTGTTGGAGCGAACTCGTTCTCTGGAGGCATACGTAAAGCTTTTTCGAAAAAGTCCGCAAACCGACTGAGCTTGGAATGCCATTGTGTCCATTCTTCTTTAGAAACGAACAGGTTGTACCGAACGTTGCTGAGGAATTCGACTTCCATGATGTGAATTTCTTGCACGGTGATTCCGGAAACCTCAGCCCATGTTTTGTTTGTGTACGTGTTGTCATCGAGGACTGTCTTATTAGTTTTTATCAGTGTCAATCTGATTGATAGTACTCACATTTATTGCCCATCATCAATGCAATCGTCATCAAGCGAAACTCGCTCCCCTTCTTTCCACGAACTCCAGGATTGAACTTTTTCAACCGGTAGATGAATAACAAGGCGAGCAGTATAACATTCTGACTGACTTGCGTCGTGGACAACACGGTCGCTACCCATTTCTGGAATCCGATTGTAGGAAAAGCTTCCTGGACGAGTGCGTATTTTTGCGGTGTTGACTCTTCGATCGTTTTGAGTTTCGACGTCTTTTCAAACCAGAACAGACAAGCAATCTAACAATTAGCTTGAATAAAAATACTCCAGTCATATCGTGCTACACACCTGGGCTGCGAATTCGGGCAGATTGCCTCCATTCTTCCTGATAGAAGTAGGGATCTGCGAGTACGACGGCAACGACTCCTTCTCACTTCTCTTGTGGCTTTTTTCAGTCTCCTCCACTTGCACGACCTGCTTGTTCATTGGGGGGAGGTAGTTTGGCGCAGCATTTGACACGGTATTTGCTAGCGGCACACGATTCGACGAGGATTTGGCCGCATATTGACCGTTGTGATGGTGGTACGCATACGCCGATGACGGAGCGAGCTGAGAATTCAGAGCCACGCCGTTCATGTCGGCGGGAGGCGTGGGTAATCCGTCTCTCAAGGGGGCAGACCAGTTCGGCAGCCCCGATGAGATTGGGTTCAACGTAAGCTTGCTGAGAGACGCGAGCGGCGAGTATGGTTGGTAGGCGTATCGGTGGAAGTCCGAGGCAGGAGGGAATGGCAGCGAGAAGGATGGATATGAGGCGAGTGCGGGCGACATGGAGGTTCCTGGAGGGAAGGAACTGGGGATGGTGGTAGGAGTTTTGGTTTCATGAGTCAATCATGAACTCCTCTTTCTCTTTACCTCTTGGTGGTTTTTGGCGGTAGTTGGGGTGATGCGGAAGTTGACGTTATTTTCCGTAAGGTTGTCTGGCCAAAGGAAGGAAGTCCCCGCTGACTTATTGTTGCTGGCAACTTGCTCAATATGTGTTCACAAACAATAACCTAAACAATCAATCAAGGATGCTGCAGTGCAAGGCAAGTGGTGCATTCACCCTGGCAGATGGAATGGACGTAAATGTAATGAAGGGGGAGCCAATGCACAGCAAGAGCCTCCCATTATTTGAAGCAGACTCGATCTGTCGGCTTTCAGTCCATCTATCACTGAGCTGTCTGAGCAGACTTCTCAGTTCCCAGGACTGGTGGTTGGTCAGTTGAGCAAGTATTGGCTGATTGGCAGATGGGCAAGGAAGGTATGTTTCTTTTTCTCGTTCCTCAAATGGCGAGACGGGTTGTCAAGGGGGCCTCCTTAGATCGTTGTCGCAGTATGGCTCTGTAGTATGCTCAGTAGGAGTCAAAAGAAAAGAATTTGTACATCGAAAAATGAGGATAAAAAAGGAAAGCACGGCAAGTGATAAATGATTACCTCATTGATGGTATTCCAACTCGTCGGCATTACTGTATGTATTATATACAGCGTTGTATCAATACAGTAAGTGTATTAATGCCACTACCAAAGAACATCCCTTCATGGACTACTACTTTGACCACCAGCAGAGAGGCTTGAGAAGAGGAAAAAGTAAATGGGGGCGTCAATAGTCACGATGCTAAAAACAGACAACAATGCCATCTCAGCCATCCATCCTGTCTTGCAACAGAATGAATCACACCTGCAGTTGAGTATGTACCAAGTATTGGGTAMTATCTACTATGTAAACGTATCAGTAATACAGAGACAGACTAGACAATCCACGGAGTTAGAAAGATGGATGGACTAAGAAAGACAAAGTTAATCAGGTCCACTATGCTCTTAGTACGTACAGCGTACTCGCACTGCAATACGAAGGCAATGAAGGCAAAAGGATGGTTGAGTTGAAACCACAAATTTAGTTTTCTTAATTAACCCCAAATCTTTTATTTTAGTTGGTCGCAGGTCGGCGAGGGCGGAGGGTCTAAGACGAAAACAGGTAGTGACTTGGACTTTGTCCTTTAACCCTGCAAATGTGCTAGCTGTTACTAGGTTGCTACATAGTAGACTTCTGACTTGCAAGTGCTAAGCCATGGCGAGGGGTGGATTCTGGATGGCACTAGTAAATTGCCAGATTCTGGGCCCCATGCCATTCGCCTGCTGGCAAGCCGAGCAAGCCTAGCAAATTCAAGGATACAACCGGCGATGGATGGATGGGGTTTGCCTTTTTTTTCGTGTGGATTTTTCCTCGGTTTTTTCTTTTTCCTGGCCCTGTGCTGGCCGCTATGGAGCATGCGACTGCTACGGTCCAGTGTACACCGGCTCGAAGAGACATACCCAGACCCAGGCAATGGTGGTATCGCGGTATGTACAACTGCGACGACGTACGGAGTAGATTAATAAGTTCATTAAATTGATATCATACCTCCTAGAGCTAGTACAAGGAAATAGGCAGGATTGACGCTCGCTTGGGGCTGGCTCGGTTTCTGATTCGGCGTTCGGCTGAAACTGCTGGGACTGCTGGATATGTAAGACAAAGACCTGTAATAAGACGTGCCAGTCAGGTTGGCATGATTGGCAGTGTGATCGGCTGTCTTTGTAGTAATATTAGATGGCTCGTAACTCCGCTGAGACTGATGTCTTACGCCTGACTAGCAAACCTCTCCATGCCCCATAGTCATACGCACACTATAGTTAGCCAAGTCGAGTCCCTGTACTGGAACTATGTATGGATCGCTGATTCATGATACGACGATACGGCCTGATACGCGGGAACAGATCATTTCTGCCGATCTGATTGGTTGTAAGGGTGTATGGTCATGTTTGGTACGGCTAATTTCGTCTTCAGGCTTTGGACTCGACAAACTGACACGCCTCACCATGCATTACATATTAATTCGACATGTGCCAGTGGTCATATGAAATGAGTTTCAACCCGAGCCAACTTGGCGATTCGTGAAGAATCAGAAAGGGGGACGGTTCGGCCAATGAGCGCAAAGTAACAAAAATGAGAAGAGGCGTCGGTTACTAGCTAGTCGAAGTAGAGCCTAGCACCTGGTGGGTAAGTACTACCACGTAGTATATACACTGTCCAGCGTATAGTAAGGAGTGTATGAAAGGAAGGCTGAGTGCAGGAATGAGCATATTACATAGTACGTGTAGCACCGCTAGCCCCGAAAAAGGACAGAGCACGCATGCCGCCCTAGCCCGAGAACGGTTATATTGGCTGACCTGAACGGGACTAGCATATATCCATTGCTCATTCTTTCTTTTGAGTCGGAATTCTTTCTGCTGATACGTGGTACTGCGACTGACATCAGGCATGCGCGGCAAACGACGAGTCAAGCTACCAAGGCTCGACAGGACTGATTGTGCTCAAAGTAAAAAGTGATGATTGACATCCCGCCTGATTGGTAGAGTCAAGTACCAAGTACGGAGTAGAGTCAAAATACAGACGGACAATACACGGAATTGCGCTTGGTGGTACGATAGCCCTGGGAACGGCTGATGAGGGCCGCGTAATATTCGTATTTGCCCGTACTATGTGAGTACTATGGTAAGTATGTATCTCAGCGGCCCACCTGACCTGCCGACCTGCTTTACAGTTAATTCGACAACGACAGTCTCTCTCTCTGTCTGACTGGTCCACCAGGCTCAACTTACCACACCAACGTATCTATTCCATATCCACTCCACCGTCAACGACTTACCAACCGAGAGGTCAAAGACAATCGCTTTCATGATCCATCTGCGAGAGTCTGAGATCGACTTACCCACTCCATCCTTGCAACTTGCCACGAGCGGCATTGCGTTGCGTCGTTTGAAGTTTCAACCGGCTTATTGATTGCTAGCCGTCATTCTTTTTGTCCGGATGATTCGTTAATTGGTATGTACTCTTTAGACTGGACGACTGCAAAGGCAAACTCTATGTAAGACGCCGGAGCACTGGGCTACTAGCCCCGGTCTGGTCCAGTCTGTGCGTGCCAGAGTCTATGAATGAGCCTGACTGACCACACGGAGCAGAGCACACACTACTAACCACTAGCGGTCGTACCGCTATCCCCTAGTTAACTGCTGTACATACATACGTACTTTTGCCTAGTAGTCAGTCGGAGGACGTACCGCCTATCGCCAAACCTGCTTTACATCCAAGCACCCTGATTCGTGCTTTGAGACCGGTCGCTCGCCCGTCGCCCCTATGCCATGCCCATCCCCGTCACTTACGCACTCCGTAAGTGCTAAGTACTGGCGATTTGCAGGGTATGGTAATTATGAAAGTCTATGATCCATCTAACTAACGTCACAGACTCCGTCTCCTTAAGAGTAAAACTATATTACGCGTTCACCTATGTGCAAGGTCGACACGAAACATATTACCAGAACGGAAATTGAGCCGGCCCTCACAATCCAACTTCCAGCCTTCGTTTCTCAATGATCAGATCGACTAGATTGAATCAAGTAGTAATACGAGTGATGAATGGATAAATAGATCATCGGCGTCTGTGACTTGCCCGCCTCCCACCCCGACTGTGGTCATGTACTATGTATGTATGCTGTGAGTGTGTTGTGATGGCTGGATGGATGGATGGGATGTGATGCATGCAGGGCAATGCATTTCGCTGCCTACACTGCACTACGCATCTGTAATTCTGTACTTGACTTCTCACTCGGAAAAGTGAGCATCGCTTGACCATTTTGGTCCTGTGCGCTTCCTCGGTTTGCCCGGGTTTAATGGGGACTATTGATTGTATATATCATACACTTCGTCCGTAGTCCGTACCTAGGTACGAATGCAAGTGTTTAGTACTCGTGACTCGATATTTCAATATAGCGGAACACGCCGGATACTTGGATCGTAGTGGTGGACACTGTGTGGAAATGGAAGTGTATACGAATCCGATCCTCATTGGAGCTGAAAACGCGGGTCATATACCAAGGTATGTTTGAACTTTGACCTGGTTTACCAAGGATTGATTATCGGGCGGTACGGCGAAAAAATGTCGGTGAATAAAAATCGATATATTCGATAGCATGACTAGGCATGTGTAGGAACTCTACAGGACCAGGTAGGTAGATGAGATATCCATGCATCATCATCACGTGGAAGTCGGTTGATTTGATAGGTACATGTATGTAGGCTGATGGTGTACTACGTATTATCTGATGCTTCCCATTAACTAGGATGTCTTAGGTTACATAAGTATCATCAAGGATGTTGTTAACTGCCTGCTGCCCCAGGAGGTCCTGCTCAGCCTTGCTGAAACAGCCAGCGTACTACGTACGTACGGTCATAAGACAACCAACCTCCCTGGGGCAAGGAAATACTGATCATCGTCAAAACTCTCTTTGGTTGAGTGTAAGAAGGTTTGATGGATTGTCAGACTCGCCCAGATGCGCAGATACTTTCTTCATTTTACATCCATGTAAACCTTACGCTTCTGCCCTCTTCATTTTTCAGTTGAATGTACTAAATTATTTGGCCCCTCGCATTGATTCCGTCCTCTATCTCGAACTTTGAGCATCTGCCTAGAATTCAACGTACGTATTTGTTTGGCTACGTAGGCCTGTCATTCACAGCCACGGCTGTTGATACATTATCCACTACCTAGTCAGGCTGTCGGGTTGTCAAATTGTCAGGCTGTCAGCCTTTCTTCGTACAAGTCGTAGTCGTTTCGTTTCACGTGGTTTGTCCTCCTTGATGTACTATGTAATAGCCCCTTCCGAGACGATGCGATGCCCAGGCGAAGGATGCGTGGCCAGCGCTTTCTGGCTAAGTGACGACGGCCGTATCCAAGGTAGTGTAGTAGCACTAGGATATTGATCCCCGCGGCTTGACAGCAACCATGGGCATTTTGAAATTTTATGAGTACAATGTTTTAGGTAATGTTGGTGGAATTCCAAGGTTGTCATCGTAGTACGACAATGGGCCTTGCTTCGTGTGTATCACGTACCGAGGTACAATTGATAAGTGAGCAAGTTGCGGGCTGCGCCTTGCTTACTTCAATACTTCCAAGATTATCTTTTCTGTGCTATTGTGGTATATTATATCCACTGTGCAGTAAGGGAATAGTCTTGGAGATGCACATGTGGTCAACTTGATTGATAGTTTTGGTGACACCCTTTTGATTGTATGATGTATATATATATATATAGGAAAGGCACCTTGGAGGATCGATATACATGTACATACATGTATGTAGACCTTGCAGCACATTGAAGAACAATTTGGATTGGAACATCAAGTCAAAGTCACCTAGCCAACCTTGAAAGTGTATTGAATAAAAAATTAAGACATGAGTGAAGTAGATTGATTATCATACAAACATGACAGACAAAGATCAAAGGTGTATCACGACAAACTATTTATATCAGGTGTATCATAAACAAACAGCAAAATAAAACGAGAGACCGCTGAAGACTGAAGTTAGAATAACCACCCCCTCCGCTCCTTCCCATTCGCTTCCTTGGGAATTGATTCTCGACTGGCATTCCGGGACCTCCCTTCTAATTGCCTCAAACTCTCAATCTTTTGTAGTGCGAGTTCGAGGGTTTCCTTCTTCTTAATTACGTCCAAGTGCTTACGGACACGCGGGTCTTCGCGCGCAAAGCGTTCGACTTCGCTGTCGGAGAGGTGGCGGCCAAGTCGTTGGTCGAGTTCGCGGGGGAAGTTGTAGTAGAACTCGGAGAGGAGTTCAACGTTTAGGAACAGAACGGCCGTTGAGGTGAGTTTGTCGGCTACGACGTCCAGAAAGACTTCGGGGCAGTAGTATTTGTTTTTTAAGGAGGAGCATTGCTTTGAGCGGACAGCTAGCATGCGCATTTTGATGATGTCGGCGCGGTCGCGGAGGAATATACCCTCTCGGCCTGAAGAGTCAGTATCGAGGTTGACAAAGTGAGAAGACGACGTACCTTTCTCGAGTAATGCTGCACTAAATCCACCAGCACCGCCCGCACCATTCCCATCCAAGACGACATCGCCTTTTCGTACTCGGTCTACAAAAGACATGACATCCTTGAGCTTTCGTTTGCCGATCTGGTCCTCTACTCGTTTCAGTGCACCCTCGCACGCCGTAAGCTCCTCTTTCAACACTTTGCCGACACTCTCGCGTCCCTTGGCCCATTCGGGGTCTTCAACCTCAATCTCAAACTTATAAGGCTTGATACAGTTCTCGACCTGGTCGCTGGTGCTGAAGAAGCGGTCGTTGAGAATTCCGTTGCACGCCTCCATAATAGCATTCTGCGCGTATGGGTGCGTTGCAAAGGTCGACTGCGCAACGAGGTGCTCAACATGTTGTTGCAAAGCACTAGCCACGACCGTAGTTGCTACTCTGCCGATTCCGAGCTTTGTCAAATTCGATGTTGAAGCATCCAGTTTCCGGTGCCAGTAAAGATTCTCCGGGTCCGCTTTTGGGAGGTCCTTCAAAGGATCTGCTTCCGCTAGCGCAGCTGCAAGATCCTCGACTGGTTTATTCCAATACCGTTGAGCGAGAATATCCATTACTCTCTGGTCGAGCTCATGTTTAAGTAATTCTCGCACTTGAGGACGCCCAAAGCTCTCCGCAAAAGCCTTGAAGGAATGCTTGAAACTATCCAAGCTCTCTGCCAGATACGACTCCGCACTAAGAGGCCGGTCGTTATACTGCACCTTGAACTCATACGTAGCCTCTTCCAATTCCTGGCTGATGGCATCTCTCGTGCCTGCGAGACTTCGTGCCATGGTCTGCTCAAGAACATTCATTAACTTCTCTCGAAGTGTCGGAACGCCAACAGACGTCTCCGAGTCCGGTCCGAAATAGCTTGGGTGTGCTGAAAAGTATGCCTTTTCATTCTTCACAATCGCGTTTGTGATATTGCCGCTGCCGCGAGAAAAGAGTGTGGAGGTTTGTGGTGCGCGGGACACAACACCAACGTATCCTAGTCGCAACGGATATTTCTTGTCGGTAAGTATACTGGCGCCACGTTCTGCATCTACCAGATCCATCTTTGTTATCACACCAATTGTGCGTTCGCCCCGCGGATCAACACGTCGGCTTGCACGGAGAGCGGTAGAGTTCGCCAGATCGACATCGGCTGCTGAAATGGCGAGAATGATATTGGGTGCTTGGATGTACTTGTCGCAAAGATCGGATATTTTCTGTTTCAATTCCGGAGGTTGATCGCTACCGGCGACTTGAATGTAACCTGGTAGATCGATCATTGAGAGATCGGGAACGTGTGGTGAATATATATGTAATTGGATCGGATCGTCGGAAACGCAGTCCTTATCGCTTACAGCCAAATTCAAATCGGTTAAGGTGCGTTGGATCTGTGAAAAATCTGTAATCTTTCCTAGTCCTAATGCAGGGAACTCGCCATATTCTGCCTGCGCGTTCGGAGTGTTGACCAGTGTAAGCTCAATCGGGCGGCGAGTCACCATATTCGAGCCTTTCGGAAGAAACTCGTGTCCAACAATGGCCTCCAAGACAGAGCTCTTGCCTGAAGATTGCGATCCGATAACAACAATTGATGGCAACGTCAGTGTATTTGATTGTCCGACCTGGGTCAGAATATTCCTAATCTCAATCATCTTCCGTGTCAAAACCATCATCTGATCATTATCCGCTTCTCTTCGTGTTTGATAGTCGCCGTCGTCTGTATTCTCATAGGCGTAGGCGCTTCCAGCTGCTGCACCGGCAGCCGCAGCGGCGACCTGGGTGTCATTCGGAGGTTTGTTTCCGCCGCTTCCTCCATCCCCGCCAGTCGACTCTTCTAGACGAAATATCTTTTGCATCCATTCGGGAAGCTCGGTTTCGTCCTTGACTCGCTGCCAACCGCGACCCGTCTGCGATGCGACATCCTGGAATCCTTGGAACAAATTCGACGCCGCTCCGCCAGCAGTTTCCCAGCCTTGGTTGAACAGATCAATCGCGTAGTTGCCGGCCTCTGTTAACCGTCAGTTAACTAACTACACAAACAGAGAGTAAGACATACGAGTTGCCTGATACTGCAAATAAGCCACCCCCGCAATCATCGCTCCTCCAAACATTGCCGGAATACGCGCCAACTTCAGGGCTAATCGTGGTAGTATCCGTGCAAACGATATATTCCGTACGGCCGGAACATTGTTGTGAATAGAGCTGGCACCGACAGGCCATGCCCGGCCTCTAACTGCGACATTATCGACACGTAAAAGACCGCCGGTCCGGCTGCCGACAAAGTTGGCATGGCGAGTCAGCAACAGACCTCTCCGCAGTTGCGGAGCGAGGCGTTGGGAGACAATCCTCCCGCTCATGGTGAATCAGTTCTCATGCGCTGTAAGACGTAGATATCGAAGTTCGTATCGACATGATCGCGAAATGTGGGTTTTGATGCAAGTGCCGGTTGAAGAGATGTAGGGAACCTAGTTAGTTATTCCGTGTGTATGAGGTCAGCATGTGACTTGCGATCAGCTCACGTGACCTCGGAGCACCAACAATTGCGTCAGTTTCCCAGTTGCCCAGAACAGTTAGGCTGATATCTGTACGACTGCCACATACTACTACATCCAGGAGACCGCTCTTTTGCCCCTGACAAGTGTTTCTTTTCTTTTTTATTATATTTAAATACAACAGTTGTCTTCTTTTTTACTTTATCGAATTGCGCTGAAGTCTCTTTATATCTCGCGTGCGCCGTTGTTTACAAGTAAGTGCAACACCATCCGAAAATTGTATGTGTCACGCTACACTTTGCTAACTCCGCATACAGATAAGCTCAACCTTTAGGAGCTATACGGCTGGTTCTATGTTTCAAAATCAATAGAAAAAGAAGAAGAACAAAAGAGCATAAGAAGATACAGACAGCTTTTGACTGTATCAAATTTACAGAGGGTGTGCCATGTGCCGTTTTCTCGTATGTCGACCTTGATAGACACATATATACATCTATATACATGTGTTTCATCGTAACTAACATATCACAGGTATACAAAGGCAGAAGCGAGATTCTTCTGAGTAAGCTGGTCACAGAACCGAGCCATTCCATCCTTACACAGTCCTATGACTCACGACTGCGACTGGTAACTATGACTCATTTTACATTTCTCGTCCCACGACTAATTTGGATATAGGACACTCGCCGTCCCGTCAACGGCGATGGCTTCGGGGTAGGCTTCTACCCGGACCCTAAAATCAGTCCAGAACCATGCATTTTCACCTCAACTTTACCAGCATGGAACTGCGAAAATTTAGAACGCCTCGCAAGCAAAACATGCTCGAATCTAGTGTTTGCGCATGTGCGAGCATCAACAGAAGGCGCGTTGGCAGATAATAATTGTCACCCCTTTCAACACAATTCTCTTATGTGGATGCACAACGGCAACCTCGGAGGCTGGAATTACATCAAGCGACCACTTAGTGAATCGCTAAATGATAAGTGGTATCTCGGCGTCAAGGGCGGTACGGACAGTGAATGGGCATTTGCCCTGTTCCTCGATTTGATGGAGAAAGAAGGCGCAGACCCCAGCTCTGATCCGGGCCCCGATGGCTTTGGGCAGGCGTTTTTGAGACAGGTCATGTTCAAGACGATTGCCAAGATCAATGAATTCATTCGCCAGATTCCTGAAAAGCATAAAGTCACCGACTTGGAGACGAGGAGTTTGCTCAATTTTGCGGTTACGGATGGACATACGGTGGTTTGCACGCGGTATGTCAGCAGCAAAACGGATGAACCGGCAAGTCTATACTTTTCGTCTGGTACGAAGTGGAAAGAAGGGAAAAAGGAAGGTCATTTTAAGATGGAGCGGCATGATAAGGGGGCTGATATTGTGCTTGTCGCTAGTGAGCCCATCACTTTTGAACGACGTAAGCCCCTTGACTCGATTTGGATGGAACAGAATGGGCTTGCTAACATCAGCTAGACAACTGGGTAACGGTCCCCACAAACTCAATCTTGACGATACACAAACAGACGGTGCTACTTCACCCGATCGTGGATGAATTTTACAATGATGACCCGAACCATGACCGTTCATCGGTGTACGCTTTATCGAAAGGGTTTGCGCCTCCAGCTATCGTTACTCCGAAGAAGAGTACGGCAGCCGCAAAAGCGAGTTTGGCGCTGGCTAATGGACCTACGAAGCTTGACTCATTGGCGCAAAAAGTGACGCAGTTGGAGCTTGCATCCTGATATATACATGAGAGCTGTTTGTTGGAAGATTATGTTTGTCATATTATAAGGGAGTTTCAAATTGTAAAAGGAGGATCATGGGTTTGGCGTTTGGGTTTGACAGTGTTTCGCAAATTTATTCTCAATTTTTTGGACTGAAGTATATACTGGCATAGGGAGTTTTGGCTACGAAAACAGAATTCATTTATGGACATTGAGTCTTTCGGATGTGAATATATTACAATAAGTACAATTCTTGCCCAAGATCAAAAGTACCGTGGCCAGCCACGACGAATTCATTACTCAATAAGGTTATCCATCATCAGCCGCAATATTAGCATGCTTGAAATACTTCATACCAACCCAAGCAACCACCACCCAAACCCACGCCATGACAGCCGTCAACACCATCAAAGCCGGATAATATCCTACAATCGGCAGCGTAGGATCATCCTCTAGCTCTGGAGGCGCATAGGGTGTTTCGCCGACATCCCAGGCCCAGCTCCAGACGCCAAAGGAGCTGCCGATGCCGACGACGAAGACGAGCCAGGTTACCAGCAGGATTATCCAGCCCCACCATTCGGTTTCAGAGTAGTCCCATCCTCCACTGGTACCGACGCCGACGCTGGGGTCGAGAGTGTTGGAGACGTTGCTTGAGAGTTCGGGGGCGATGAGGGGAGAACGCGCGCGATGGGTTGTAGGTGAGCGGCCAAGAGAGCGGGCAGTGGCGTCTATAGGCTCGTTGGCGGATGACGTTTTGTGGTGATGATGAAGATGATGGTGCGAAGATACAAAGTAAGATCCAGAACTCGAGGATGGTGTCGCAGTCAGTGGCGGGKTGATGCTGCCGCTGCTGCTGACTGATGAAGGGCGTGCATGTGTAGATGCTGTTCTTCCGTTGCTCGTCGTATTATTATTATTATTATTAGGTGTCGTATTGTTAAAATCCGATAATGAAATATTGTCCTCCTCGTCCGTCGTATCGCCTATCGAAGTGGGAGACTTAATCTCTGTCGATACAACTCCTCTGTCCATCGTCAAAGACCGAGGCCAGTACCCAGAATGTACACTCGCATGACCGCCGCCGTCATGATCCATACTTCCCCTCGGCGTCAAGTCTTCATCCGTAAGCGTTGTCGAAGGTGGAGGCGTTGTCCTGCTGCCATCGGTACCCGCAGAAATGCTTAATGGTGATGGCGATACCCCTCTGGAATTCTCAATGCTTCCATAATTCACTGGATCCCTTGCAGTACTAGCGGCGTTGTTGTTGTTCCTTTTCTCTTTCATCTCCAGTCTTGTACCTAGCAATGCGGTCTTGCGTAACGAGCCCCGCCGTCGCCGCATTTTTCGCTGGTGTTGTATGGCGGTGGCCATTGCTCGACTTGTACCACCCGCTCGCGATCCTCCGATGTACCCATCGTTGTTGCTAGGGTTGTGCCCGTCTTTAGGGCTGAGGTTACCGGCTGTTTCGTCCCCGTGAGTTCGCGAGGATAGAGGTTCATTGTTATCGGTAGACGTCGACTGGCTCATGCGTAGGAACGAGAGTTTGGACAGTAATGATCCGGAGACGCTGCGTTTGTGGCCGCTGTTGGTACTGTTGGAGCGTGCCCGTCCTGTTGCGTGTTGGCCATCGCTCTGTGTGGTGTTTATTACTGTCTGCGGTGACAAATACTCTCCATTTTCCATTGGAGTTTGCGATAGCAGATGAGTCTGATGTTCTAACGTTCCATGAATTGACGTAAGTTGTTGGCTGATTGTCAGCAGTCGAGATAGCTGCCTGGTACGGACCGAGAATATCGTTAGTGCCTTCTTTCAGGTAGGACGTTCGCTAAACGTTCGTACAAAATCTGTCCGCTTGTGAACCTATCAGGAGCATATAATTAAGAATCAATTCTATCTCATTCACGTTCAACTCGTAGATGAAGTGTATACAGAATAAGGAGACGCCTGGTTGGCCGGCTCGGCACCGGAGAAAGTCCCTCTCCGGCGAAAACACCATGCCGGAGATCTAGCACGATCCCGCAAAAAGATTGCAGAAATCACCAGCTCATAACAACAACCATGGCTGGCCGATTTCCGTCTCTGACGACACGGGTGTCGCAGCTCTCTATCAGTTCCATCACTGCGCCCACTCGCTCGTCTCTCCTCTCCTTGCTCGCTCCTCAATTCCATCAACAACAAACCCGCAATGCCTCCATCCTGAGCTCCATTTCCGATAACCCCGGTGCATACAACAAACGAATTCGAAGAGGTCGCGGTCCCGCCTCTGGAAAGGGTAAGACGTCTGGAAGAGGTCACAAGGGTCAAAAGCAGCACGGAAAAGTGCCGTATGGCTTCAATGGTGGTCAAACGCCCGAGAGCATTGTGCATGGTTCAAGGGGATTTACCAACTAGTATGCCTCCCCCTTCTATTCACCCCCCTTCCGCCCCAGTACGATGGTTGCTGACGATTACAGCTGGTCTACTGACCTCATAACCGTCAACCTCGACAAAATCCAAGAATGGATCGACCAAGGCCGCATCGACCCCAAATACCCAATCACAGTCCGCGAACTCTTCCACTCCAACTGCGTGCACCAATTTCGCGACGGCATAAAATTGCTCGCTCGCGGTAAAGAAGAAGGCCTCAAACAACCCATCCACATCATCGTTTCACGTGCCTCTGCAGATGCCATTGCCGCCATTGAAGCGGCCGGCGGATCCGTCACAACCCGATTTTATACAAATGCATCTATAAAAAGGATCTTGATGGCGAAGACGCATCCGTTCTACTCGCTGGCCTGGTCGGAGAAGAGCGGTAGTGAGTTCCTCATCAAGGCTTTGGGTGCTGCAAACGAGCAGGAAGCGGCAGAGTTGAAGGAGTCGAAGGTTATGGAGCGAGGAAATTTTACGTATCGTCTCCCGGACCCTACGCACAGAAAGGATATTGAGTATTATCGTGACCCTGCACACAGAGGATATCTGAGTCATTTGGTCAAACCGAGTGAGGGACCCAGTTTGTTCTTCTTGTCACCCGCAGAGAGGAAATCGTCGGCTGGTGTCAAGAAGGAGAAGACTTTGGCGCCGAATAGGCTTTGGTAGTTTATTTGTATTTCACCTAGTGCTTGCGTCTCGGCCGTTTGATGTTTTGAAAGTATGTATATTATCTTCGCAAATTGGTTCTGGTTTGTATGAATTGAAAGCAGTGGAGTTCATTCTTTTAATTGCTGATTAAAATCGATATCTCAATATTGTGAAACAATCTGCGCTTACTACGTACCTGAAGAAACTGATGAATGCGTAGAGAAGTCATAATAAATGGCTAATAATACAACACGGCCTGCTTGCATCGCATCAAGCACACAGAAAGAGAAGATTTGCCGAAAAAGGGATATAGATCTGCTGCATAGAAGTACAACTGGAAGATCCCAGATATCAAATTGTGAGGGGAGAAATCATCAGAAACGCAAAGCTGAGCAGAGGAGAGAAAAAGCAAAACAGAACCAACGCCTAGCTCGCTCCAAGCATACAGTCATGAAGAACCGAAGAAGAAAAACCGACGCCGCTCACAGGTACACGCTCTGCAACCGGGTAATAGACATGGGTATCATAAGTGATCATTGTGTTGGGGTATAATGATGAAGACGTCCAGTAACCGTAATGCAAAGTAAAGGAAAATCATTACTCCAAAACGATCCGTGCTAGACTTATACCCATATCGTCGTGAAGAAAGGTAAAAATAATGGAAAAATAATACAAAATGCGACAGAATATCAAATGTTAATAGAATCATAGCGAGGAAGTGTCTCTGGACTTCGAGGAGTCGCCTCGTAAGCGACGAGGTTATAGTCTCCATGACCGTTCATCGAGATGTTCGTCCGAAGGCTCAGTAAGATTCGCGAACCAATCGCATCCAAGAGTCTGTCGTATAGTCCATCGAGAAGCAGTGTCCTTGTCCAGACAGTGACAAATCAAATCCAACGCTTCCTGGCGATTGGTATCATCTTCATGGCCTGCAAGAACGGCATCATGATTCCATTCGCCATTGATAATACTGGCTTGTAGACGCGGACCAAATCCGTGCTGGAAAGGACGGGATCCTACCACTGTCGCATAGACAACGACGCCAAACGCCCAGATATCGACAACCGGATCAATCAAACCCGTAGATGAAAGAAGGAGTTCTGGAGACGCATATTCCAAGCTTCCTGCAACGCTTGTGCTAGAACCACTTGGTCCAATGTTTTGTGGTGGAGGTCGATCAGCAGGATTGTCATATGTATCCAATGGTTCGCCGCTGGTGTCGTTTGTCATCCATTCGGCCATGCCAAAGTCGCAAAGAACGAGCTTGGCACCCTCCGTACCGTCCGCGGACCTTTCGGGGTCTAGCAAACAATTCTCAAGCTTGATGTCCCGATGCACAACTCGCATATCTTCGTGCAGGTATCTTAGGGCAGAGGCTAACTGGTGAGAGTATTTCCTGGCGAGTTTCATATCCAGACCACCTCGATTAGCTTTGATCAAGTCGAAAAGCGTGCCGCCGATGAAGAGCTTCGTGAAACAGAAAGTAGCGTAGTCCGTTTCATATACTGCTTCTAGCGATAGGATATGGTGGTAATTCAGTTGTCGCCAAATCCGAACTTCATGATCAAATTCAGCTTGTACCTGATCGTTCTCCCTCTCGTTCTTGCCAGTAACATGCTTCTTTACAATCTTCACTGCCAAGCGCCTGGTAGAACCATCAGCCCCCACTTTATATGCTTCTTTGACTGTGCTAAAGCCACCAAAACCGATTTGTTTGCCAAGCACATAGTCTGTGCCTACCATTTGCCCCTCGTCATCAGGCTTAGTCGCTGACGCTTCCTCAGGAGAACTCCACATGGAAAGAAAAGCGCTTGCTGGAGATTTACCACTAGATCCAGTAGATCGACGAGAACGTTGTTGGCGCATGACCTGCCTCCAGCTATTTTGTCGGTCAATCGTGTAACTGCGCGGTTTGCCGGAGTAGGATCCTGCCACGGCTGTGGTCCACATGTTCGGATCGTCTAGAGAGGCAGCCCGTGGAACAAGAGGTGACGAAGATAACGGCGAAAGCAACATATCCTTGGGCCCTTCGCGAGGATACTCATAAGGCGTCCGCACCTCCTCCAATGGGGACATTGTCGACACCGAAGTAAGTGAGGTAGGCTGGTCCATGTCGAGAGCTGAATTTGCATTCTCATTCCTCGTAGAAACAAAAGAGATGCCACTATCTGGAGAGGTGACTTGCCGCATCTCATCCGTTTCGCCATTGGACTCCTTTGTATTGAAGCCGTCGTCATCCTGGATTTGTACCCTACGTAGAGCAGATGGGCGAGGTTTTGGTATCGATCTTGGAGCGAATTCTGGGAGGCTGCCTTCACTTGACTTCCCCTCGGGCAGCGATTGATTCAGTCGTAAAAATTCTTCAAAAGAACGTCGAAACTCCTCTGGCCGATGAGAGTAGCTGACATCCGAGTCAAAGTCCTTAATGCTATTGTCGTCCGATCGAGGAACTTGCATCGGAGGAGTTGCTGTATGAAGCTCCTCTATCACCTTGCTCTCTTCATCGTCATCTTGTTCCTTATGTGAGGCCTCTCGCCCCGAAAATTGTTCTTCTCCATATCGGTTATTTGTACTAGGAGACTGGTCTCTAGCGAACTTCGTGTCAAGCCTCAAACCGGAAAACGTTTCTCTCCCAGCATATGCCATGCCCCCGTTGAGAGCAGGAACTTATCTTGACACGGAGTATGGAGTTTGCAACGAGATGCAACGATGCATTACCGATAGATCGCGAGTCAGGTCCGACGTCGGGGTTGTATACTGGAGTGGCCTGGTGACAAGGAAAGAGACAAGCGACAATGTCGAGGAATGTACTATGCGTTAGAGCAGTAGAATAGCGGGTAACTTCGGGAAGAGTGGCGACTATTTTGAGTGTCTGTGAGGGTGGTCGAAATTTCTGATCCGTTCTATCCGATGCGAAAGATGGAGATGTTAGATGGTCGGAGATGGAGATGGGAAAATAAATTAACTTAAAGAGAGGGGCTCCTGCTTAGAGAAGGTAATACAGCGCCAAGCTCCACTCATACAGCGTCCGTTAAGTAAGTGGAAAGTTTATTACGTACTGTGGGAAGCCATTTCGTATTAGTAATACCGTTTACGTATTTCAATGTGGGTATCACTCCGTATTGAGTCCGAAGACAGCGGGAGTGGAGAATGTTCACCCAATGGCAGCGATAAGATTACAGAATGTACTACTACATAGCATGTAGTACGTCCACCCTTCGTCCCTTACCGTAACGCTACCAGTCATATCCGGTACGGAGTGCTCCGCTCTCCGCTGGAGCTTCCCGCGCCTGTTTTCGATCTTGAATGTTTCGACAGTGCAAGTTCAAGTTGCAAACATCAAATAAATCAACAAATTGAGCAAGGTCTGTGATGTCAACTCCCAGCCGCCCTCAAATCTCTTTTTATCTTCAATTCTCCAGATACAGAGGCACACCAAGCTAAGAATATCGGAGTTCATATCGGAGCAAATTGTGTCTTTCGCCTCGAGCCACGTATCGGCAAGATTTTGCCCAAAGGAGTCATTCCACTTCATTCATTCATGGCGCGCGTCACAAAGCGCCTCGCAAAGTTGCCTTGAGATCGCCCTATTTCTGATACTCACATGCAATCCGAGCCTTGGCGAAACGTCTACGTAGTACATAGACCAGTTTACATATTTTCCTGGTCTTGTGATTACGTAAAGACTCCATGATGTTTCGACTTGTGAACTTTACGATTGTCTGACAATAACATCGAGTCCAGAGATGAGTCCGCTTACCGCGCCTCATCTGCATGATGGCCGTAAAGTGTCATAGGTTGGATTTTTTTGTGATATAAATTGATTTCTCAGATTGACGTTGATAAGTTGAACATGCATGGCTTGCTATTCTAAACAATATGATGGTTGAAACATGAGCATAATGAACACCAAAAAAATGTCAGATCAGTTAAAATGTATCATGTGACGTCAAATACTGATAAGCGATAAGCGCGCGGAGAGCGCTTGTTCCCGGCCCCATAGATGCCACCATTCAACCAACCCCTTAATAATTCTATCCCAAGTTTCACATCAGATGGAGTAGCAAGCCACGAGTCCGCCTTCACAACGCCATCTGTTTTATTCGTTTACTTGGGGCCAGACTCCGAAGAGTTGCTTATTGCTTTTATACTCGCCAATTGCTCTCTCCAGCTGTGCAGCGTGCTGCAGCATTTCATTCCTTTACCGCCCCCGCTTGTCTGCGTTTCCTCTTACGGTCTACCTTCCTTTCGATTTTCAGCCAACGGCGCCACCTGATCTATACGATACCCAATTGATCTTGAAAAAGTTTCAATAAAGTTGCTCAAGAGCTATCAGCCTACCGATTACTGTGAGCGCATGCGCTCTTTCGATTCCACTACAGCGAGACCGGCCTTTCCATTTCAACGGAACCTATGACTCTGACCTGGCCGGACGTTGTCACTACCTATCATCATACCTCTCCTGAGTGAATTTGTGCGAAAGTATTACTACAACCGCCAAAATGACGAGACCGCAGATGATCAGAGCCGGTCCGTATTCTGTATGATATGGCATATTACATTTCCTAACCTGTGATTTAGACACGATTGACCTGCAGGATCACAAATCTCCCTCTGCCCAAGACCATTCCTCAGCCAACCAACGAGTTGCTGAAGGCCGAACCGGACCCCATCAGAATCAATCGTTGCGTCATGCAGAGCAAGAAGCCAGAGATGACATGTCAACGAGCCCTCGAGCTTCGCTGGACCATTTTGACGGTGGAGATCAAAATCATCACATAGATATCGTCTACGACGAGGCAGACGATTCAATGGCGGATCTTAAAGGGGAAGACGGAGACATTGGCGACGAGGAAAGCGATGACATGATGGATGACGATATGATGGACAAGATCTCGTCTTCACCATCTATAGACGACGGTAAGCTGGCCTGCGCATGGAATATGCACAGCACGAATGTCTAACGCGAGATTAGAGGACATTGATTTCGACTTCGTCTATGCTTTGCACACTTTCGTTGCGACCGTGGAAGGGCAGGCCAATGCCGCCAAAGGCGACACAATGGTCTTACTTGATGACAGTAACAGTTACTGGTGGCTGGTTCGAGTGGTCAAGGATGGCAGCATTGGTAGGCGGTTGTTTCGCCCTGCATAGAAAATTTGTCTGACTCTGTCTTAGGATATCTACCTGCGGAGCATATTGAAACACCCACAGAGAGGTTGGCTAGGTTGAACAAGCATCGAAATATTGATGTAGGTCATATTTCCTTGATGTAACGGCCTTTTACTAATTATACAGCTCTCTGCCACCATGCTCGGTGACAATGCAGAAAAGTCCAAGAATCCGCTCAAAAAAGCCATGCGCCGCCGCAACGCAAAGACAGTCACATTTACCTCGCCGACGTTCTTCGAGCCCTCTGACAATGAATACTCAACCGAGGAAGAAGAAGAGGAAGATACAGAACATGTGGAGGAAGAGGAGAGTCGAGCCGAATCTCAAGATACTCAATATGACATTCAAGACGAGGATATGGTTGTCGAGCCACTCAGACCGAAGCAGCACAAGGAGAAAGTTTCGCGAGTGGAGGAACCCGAAGAAGAAGAAATACCAATCGAACCCTCGAGCCCCGAGAAGCCACGCCCTAGCGACGAGTCATTCGAAAGACCAGGTACGTCGTGTGCTTTTTATTCCGAGTTGCTTACTGATTATTGGTTACAGCTCGATCGAGAAATGGTACACTACGCAATACGGATTCTTTCTTCAACGACGACACAGCGGAAACTAAAAAGATATCAATCACTCCAAGCCTTCTTCGCGACGATAGCACTTCCGACAGATCTAAGAGCGAGCCACAAGAGGTACTTGCCTGCTCTCCTACGGCATGTGTGATATTTGGCTAATGACTTTTAGGGTCGCGCGAGTATGGAGTCAATTGAGAAGAGCCTGGCTGCTGGTGACAAGAGTAAGCGCAAAGACAAGAAGCCCGGCATGCTCAGTGGATTATTCAAAAGAAAAGATAAAAAAGGCCGATCATCGGAAGACGATGGCGAGGACATGGAGAAGACGTCGGAAGAACTTTCACGATCATCCCCACAACCCAAGGTATCGACAGAATCATTACGAGAGCATACAAATACCAGACCTGCTGGCGTGCAGAGACAGTCAAGCAAGCTGCACAAGCAGCCGCCTGCAGAGATTGCACTGATCAATCAATCACAACGCACCACGCAGGAGCCTGCAATATCTACGAGCGAGGCGTCTTCGCCTATCAAAGAGGATTATGGTCCTTCAATCCGACGGGTGGTATCACCATCATCAGGGCCTAATGTGGCACCTCTCCAAGTGCGAACCTCATTGGAGAAGAATGCAGTTGCTCCCGAACAGCAAACACCGAGTAGTTATACTTCATCTCCAGTGAAATCATCTCCGGTCAAATCAATGAACACAACATCTATGGGAACGAACTCCAAAATGTATGACGATCCGATCGCAGAGGAACCTATCCAGATTATGGTTAAGGAAGAGCAACCCTCAAACCCCTTCTTCTCACCACATGAGTTGAGAGACAATGCTCACAGTGATGAGAGCTTGTCCGACTCCCTTGTGGAAGTTTCACCCAGTCAGGCTCCCATGATTTCCCAACCTCCAGGCTTGGTTGTGGACACATCGTCCCAGGAGGAACGATCTGTTTCCCCATTGTCATCTCAATCATCCTCTCCGGAGATCATTGAGCGACCTGAACCAAAGGGGGACGAGACGACACCGGTATCTACTGTTTCCTCTGCAGCAACTGCGACATGGAGTGATGCAAGTTTGCGGACTTATCTTGACGATGAGAACGACATTCGGGATCTCCTTATCATCGTGCATGACAAGTCAAACGTGCAACCTGCCGGACCCGACCACCCGATTACTGGCAGCCTTTTCAAGGAGGAAAGCAGACGTTTGAAAGAAATGTCTGGACGACTCGATGACATGCTCGCAGGCTGGATCTCGCGAAAGACAGATCATCGAGTCAGCAAAGCTTATTGATTTCTCTGACCACGTGGAGAGAGACCACATTCACACATTATGAATAGCGATTAGTATATGACCAGGACCAGCACTGCGCTGTCTTGTTTCTTTGTTTTGTACTTTTCTGCATGACTTTCTTTCTTCTCTTTTTTATACGCAGCCTGGAGATTTCCTTTACCTATCTATCTTTCCCTTCTCTTCAATCATATAACGGCGGGCACTGTCTGCCTTTTGTCTCGTTCCTTCTGTTTTTCTCATCGTCCTCTTTGGCGGCATTGTTTTGACTATTTGCAAGCTGTCTCGAAAATACCCATGTTCATATGACAATCAACTCTCTTGCGTCCGACCAACTTGTCGCGCAATGAAATGCATTTTCCTTTCATTCTACTTAGATCCGTCACATTAAAGGACTGACAAGTACGTCAGCGATCATACGTACCTGAAGAATCGCCAAGCCCTGACAAGCTGGTTGAATCACTGATAGGCTGGACTGGCTGGCTGAAACTTGGGATTTGTTCCCCTCAGCGGGGGAGTTTTGCGGCTGACACCACCACCTTTCCTTTCTGGGCATTGTATACGCCGCCACGGGATCAGACCTGATGACTGCGATGATGGAAGAGATGACTTGATTCTTCTTTTACTTCTTTGCCATACCGGAGAAATCACTGTCTTCAGATCTTATCCAAATATTCGCTTGGGTCTATATCAGCGCGGAAATTAAGACACCTCGGCTCTCGTTATCACCCAAGATGTCCGGATACTACAATCAGGAGTACCAGCACCAGCCTGGCGCCGGACAACAAGGCTATGGGCAGGGCTACCCTGATCAGTATCAGCATCAACAACAGCAACAGCCGCAGCATCAATACCTTGACCCTTCCGCGCAATACAATCATCCTCCGCCGCCGCGGTCTGCGTCTGGATCTCCGTATCCTCCTCAGGAAGGGTATGGCTATGGTCATCCTCAGCAGCATCAACAGCAGCAGCAGCAGAGTTATGGCTATAATCAGCATCAACAACCGCCTCCATATGAAGATCATCAAAAAACTGGAACGGCGCATGAGTACTAGTCAGTCTACTTCCTAAACTATCTTTATGATATCGTACAAAATACTAATCAGCATCGACCGGATAGCAACACTCACGACAGCAACGTCCCGCGCATAGAACACCAATCCGCTCCCGACACCACCGACCCCTCAGAATCCGGCGAGCGCGGTCTGGGAGGCGGCCTCCTCGGCGGCGCCGCAGGCATGTTTGCCGGGCACAAAGCCAATCACGGACTTTTAGGCACAATCGGCGGCGCAATAGTGGGCAGTATGCTCGAGAATCAGGTGAAGAAACACACTGGCGGCCATTCCTCCGGACATGGTAGTAGTACAGGACTCGGTGGCCTTGGATCATCTGTGTTTGGGCACGGGTCCTCTGATTCGGGGAGCGGATCGCATCATGGACACCACAAGCATAAACATCATGAGGGACGCCATCATAGGCATTCGTCGAGGTCGTCGCATCATTCGCATCGGTCGAGGGGAAGGAGTTCGTCGTCGAGTGGTGGCAGTGATGGCGAGAGGAGACATGGGCGTCGTCATGACGGATACTAGTGATGTTCATTTCGGTTTCTGCGATGCGATGATTATGATGAGTTTCTGCAGATTTGGCTTGAAATGTTCTGATATATTCTTTTGACGTGCTTTGTATGATTTGACGGATGGGTTGCTTTGGGTATGTTGTGATGAACAAGGACTATTACTAGGGTATTGTGTTTTATACGTGATGATTTCTTGCTTCTGCTACATTACGAATTTTATGAAATCGAGTTTACTCACTAGTAAGATTTTAAATATGAATCCGTAAGAGGATAGTAAACTTATTACTCTGAAATAATAAAACAGTCCGTGGATAGATATACCCACGGACAAAAAAGAAAAGAAAAGACTTCACAGAAGCCACGAATGATTTTCAAGAAAGACTGGCCGTCTGATGACAAGGAGCCGCTTAGCAGCTAGCGCCGCTAGGGATATTTTTACAGCTGCTGCTCTTCTTTCCACCGGTGAAAGTAACACCCTCCCAGGTCCAGTTAGAGCAGCTACCACTGCCACACAGAATGTAGACGTCGGTGGCAGAGCTGCTGACGCTACCCGTAATACCATCGATGGTAAGACCCGTGATGGGGACGCCGGTGGTGGGGGTACCGGTAGGACTGCCGTTCTCGTAGTCCTGCTCGATGACGATGCCGTATTTGGTGATGCCGGAGAGTGTGATGTCCTTGTAGGTTACGCCGGAGACGGAGCCGGTGGCGCCATAGACGGTCTTGATGCGAACACCTGGTTATACATAAGTTAGTTGAGCTTAGAAGGTGAAAGGAGAGGAGGCGTACCGTTTTGGGAGTTCTTGATGGTGGAATTCTCGATGTGGACGGTATTAACAGTGTTGTCGGAGCGGCCTCCTACGGATCCAATGGACAAGCCATGGCCACCGGAGCAGGTACCACCAGTGAAGATGATGTTCTTTAATTTTCAGTACAGGCCATTTACACAGAAAGAAGAGGGGACGTACTGTGCCAGAGTTGACAGCCAAGCAATCATCCTGATTCTGCACAATAGCGTTCGAGATGGTAACACCATTGGAGTCACCAACATCAAACGCATCTGTGTTGTGAGCACCTGCAGAATCACCAGCCGAGTTATCAATCGTAATAGAGTCGAGAGTGAGAGTTTGAGCACCGTCAATGCTGAAAACCTGCACGGGGGAGTTCAGGATTTTGAGGTTGCTGATGGAAGATGACTTGAGGCTGTGAGCGTAGAAGAACTTGGGCTTAGTCTTGCCGCCGTTGCTGCCCTCGCCGTCCCACCAGCGGGAGCCATCMCCGTTCAGGACGGCGCCAGAGGCTCCTTCGACGGTGATGTCAGTTCCGGAGACGGAGACGAGGGGACCGGACCACTCTTTGTAGCCGAAGGTGGTGGTGCCTTCGAAAATGACCTGTATTCTCACTATCAGAAGGTCCACATTGAAACGCTTGAAGGCAGACTCACCTTGGTTCCGGAATTGAGACCAGTCAGGTCAAGTGTGGTTCCCGACGGCACGGCAACATTTGACAAGACGATGGTCGAGCATGAAGTCTTGGATTTGCTAGCTGAAGCAGCACCGCTGGAGCCAGAGAATGTGCAGGACGCGGCACGGTTCTCGAGCGTAGCTGGTGCTGTGATAGCTGGGGCTGGCGCAGCCAGCACCGCGGATGAGAGAAAGGCCAGTCCGGCAAGGCCAACGAAGGAACGCATGGTTACAGAAGGAGATATACGAGAGAGTGAAGAAGGTAGGAAGATGAAAAGAATAATGTTTAATGAATGTATTGGGTTGGAGAGAAGTTTCTTCGCCTAGAAACAGAACAAAGACAGAGTAGGTTGGCAATCCGGCTGTCTTTATACCAGACTACGCATAAAAAATCGCTACTACTAATATTTATCACTCTCATTTATTGATATTGACGTTGAGACATGCAAATATAGTGGATCGCCTTACACACCTTAATCATCGACAAGGATACCCACAATCCACACCTTTCCAGCTTTTTTTGCCGGAGCTTCTACGATCCGTAAGTCGTCAGCTGAGGCGTTCGCATACGTGGATAAATGAGCGGAGAATCGCACCACGGTGTTTGAGGTTGTTTCGGTTCGCAGAAACTCAGATAAAGTGTTCACGTCTCGTTCTAGTGAGGAGCACGCGATTCTAGCAGCGATCATGGATCTTTCCTGGCTTCTGATTAGTGGATTTATATACTCCATTGCAGAACCCGAATACGACTCGAACAAGCATATAAGCCTTTTAAGTAGTTTAATTGGCAAGTTAAGGAGAAGGACCGTGAGGACACTGAGGAGAGACCAGATGATCCACTAAACCCAAAGATGGGGCCCACCCCTGTCTCCGTGCTTGGCGGCTCTTTCTCCCTTTCTGGAAGCGCCGGTCTAGTTTGTGCACAATTTGGTGGGTAGAAATGTAAAATACAGATTGCGATTCAGGGGGTTTTGTTTCAGTTAGAAATATGTTTCAGTTAGAGATATCGGAGATGAGAATGTTCCGAACGGCTTGCCGAAAGTCAACAATTGCGACAGCCGACTGATTTCAATTCGTGGGCAAACTTGAAGAGTGCATGGACGAAGCTGGCAGAGGTTTACAAAAGTGGGCATGAAGTAAACTTGGAGTTACCTATAAGACTGGATTTATAGTCATCTGGTGAACGGATGATTTCTAGAAGAGAATTTCGGGTTTGTAATCTGCCTATACCAATACCTCGAATGACTGAAAGTTCTAAGTAAGATGAAACATGCAGCTTAGTTAGTCTAAGTTGGGTCTTTATTTATGTCAGATCATCTCTGTAATTAACTGCAGTCTGTACAAGGTTTACCTACTGCATAATCATATAGAGTAAAAGAGCTTGAAAATTCTATGGTATCAGCAGCCAATGTCGTTGCTGACTGAATAAGTAATTGATTCAGATGCTTCAGATGCTATGGCAGGTTATCTCACAGTTACTATACATTAGCATATGCATTTGGTATTGTACATAATAACTCTCATGTTCATAATTAGTTGACTAGCTTCACTCTTGGGCGAGCTTCTCCACCTGTTCCATCCGCTTTTTCAACACGTCACGGAGTTCTTCAAGAGTCTCCTTGAGGACATCCTCTGTCTCGCTGCCTTTCTTCTGGGCAGTGTTTTGTAGCGTTTGTAGTTGTGATATCAAGTCGGAACCACCGGGTAGCTTATTAAGCCACTGATCCAATCCGGAAAAGTCAGTGTTCTTTGCTTGATCAACCTTTTCCTTGATGTATTTCTCCACATCCTCCGTCTTTCCGGAAGGAACCTTGTCCTTAAGCAAGCCCCACAACTCCTTGAAATTACCCTTCTTCAAGGCATCGGCATTCTCTTCGATCAATTGTTTGAGCTTGGGGTTCTTCTCAAGGTAGCTCTGACTCTCCTCCAGTCCCTTCTTCCATGCCTCATCTCCTAGGCTCTGAAGCTTCTCCTTCTTCTCTTGAATGAGAGACCTGATCTTGTCCGCTGAATCGACACTCACGCCGGCCTTAATGATGTCGGATATTTGCTGCCAAGTCTTATCAACTTCCTCTTTTGCTTTAGGGCCATACGCGTCACCCATCTGCTTGAGCTGGTCGTAGCTGCCACCGACCTTCTCCTTCAATTGAGGGTGGTTTTGCAGAACGTCACTTGCAGCGTCGCCAGCAAGGTCGAAAAGCTGCGACAGATATTTTTGTAGGGCTTGTGCAGCCTTGGACGCTGAAGAGGTGTTGAATCCTTCCTTACTGAAAATGTCCCTCGTCTCATTATACGCGTCCTTGACGATCTTGTCAAAGTCTTCTTGGTGGTTGTTCCGGATCTTTTCGAGGTCATCGAATGCGGTGTCAACGTAGCCGCGTGCGCCAGGGATGAGGACAGCATAGCTTTTGACTGTATCTCTCAACCAGCGGAACGCTTCACTGGGTTCTGGTGTGTTTTGTACGACGGTTTCTTTGGCCTTTTTGATGTACTCTTGCGTTTCTTTGCTAGTTTTCACGAGCGTCTTGGCTCCGGAGAAGTGGTACCATGCATATCCCGAGGCAAAGGCAACAGCTCCGCCAGCAAGACCGCCGATTAGAGCAGGGCTATTACCAGAGGAGGCCGTCTGGGAGGTAGTGGATTGATAGCGAGCATTGACGAAACGAGCTCCAGCTCGAGGTTGCTGTCTGGCGCACCGCACAGCAGGTGCTGCGGCTGTTCTGAATGTCTTGTACATTTTGGTGATGCGAATGGTAGCGAAGAAAAGTGGAGGAAGATGAATTGAGCAGAAAAGATGAAGATATTTTGTCAACGGCGAAGTATTTAAGCTTGGAAACGGACGCCGCCAGCCTTGGAAGCTCGTGAAAGCTGCTTGAGATGATCGTCAAGATGACGTATTTGACAGACAGATCGATCCTTGATAAGGGTTAGGGTAAATAGGGCTTGATAGACCACGTGACAACACATGGAAAAGCCCTAGCCCTAAAATCGATTTCCTCCTAATATGGGACAACATATAGTTAGGTAGCATGCTTGACTAGTTCGTCAGCGTCAACTGACAGAACAACCCGTGTCTCATTTTTATTTGTCAGACCTCAAGAGGATCGAAACAGAATAAGATTGAAGGGTCTGCCTCATTGGGCTGTATGTACCACGAGTAGGATGAATGTCGGATTAAATGCTATTCCCAACTCCGGAAATATTCTATGTTCATCGTTGTCAACTTGCCGACAGTCCTTGAAAGGCTCAACCGGATAGATAAGGTAGATCCTCAGTTATGTTGATTTTCCGGTGTCTGAAAAGGTATACTACATACATCGCTGATCCTCACGGTCGAAAGAGTGTTTCATCTCATCCTCATCTGCCGATGCCGAGCCAATTGGAACGGACCCCGCATATGGCACTGAATATCAATCGCGGAGATGCGGAGAGTGAGGAAACAACACAAATTTAAAATAACCAGTTTTCTCCATATACTCCGCAATCATGCAGGCTTGGAGTTTATCTATGTCTTCTCAACAAACTTGGGCCGTTGTCAGCCGATTAGCAAGCGCGGAGCAAAGAGCGTCGGTCAATGTTCATGTCCTCCGCGGTCATTGCAAAACAGCACGTGGAGAATGCTGCTTCTATGTTGATATTCATGTGTTGTCATTCCCCGCCAGATTGACTCCAGTCAGTATGGTAGGCTCCTGCATAATGCATGTCCTTCAGATGCAGCTTCCGGCAGATGGACGTATAGATCAGGGACTTTGAGGGGTAGAAACACTTAGCCCGAGCTAAAACATACCATAATTTCGTTTACTCAGTTTCTACTAGAGGGTAGAGGCTGAGTGTTAATCATGAGTGAGATTAGCATCAAGCCACTTAGCCCGATACTGTAACGCTGTGCCTTCATGTGCCTTCTATCGCGCCCCGACATTCCGCGGTACTGCAATTATGAAGAAAAACACTCACGATGATGTAAAGACTGTTCTATGCTTTCATTATCTTCGTTTAGCAATTGCTTTCAATTTCAGAACTATATAATGGTGGTATTTCTCTTGAAGAGTTAGACATTAACAACCACAATAATCAGCCATAGTCAGCTAGAACAGAAGCAATCGACACAATGTCTGCTTTTAACTCTTTCAACATGTACAAGAGCGCCCTCATTTTGGGTTCCTTGCTGGCAACAGCCAGTGCTCAGCAAATTGGTACTTATACCGCTGAAACCCATCCTTCTTTGAGCTGGTCTACTTGCAAATCAGGTGGTAGCTGCACCACAAACGCCGGTTCCATTACGTTGGATGCCAACTGGCGTTGGGTCCATGGTGTTAATACAAGCACCAACTGCTACACTGGCAACACTTGGAATACCGCTATTTGCGACAGTGATGCTACCTGTGCCCAGGACTGTGCTCTCGATGGTGCTGACTACTCGGGCACGTACGGTATCACTACCACCGGCAATTCATTGCGCCTGAACTTCGTTACCGGTTCCAACGTCGGATCTCGTACCTACCTCATGGCCGATAACACCCACTACCAGGTCTTCGACTTGTTGAACCAGGAGTTCACCTTCACCGTCGATGTATCCAACCTTCCTTGCGGTTTGAACGGTGCCCTCTACTTCGTGAACATGGACGCCGACGGTGGTGTCTCCAAATACCCCAACAACAAGGCTGGTGCTCAATATGGTGTCGGATACTGCGACTCTCAATGTCCTCGTGACTTGAAGTTCATCGGTGGTCAGGCCAACATTGACGGCTGGACTCCCTCCGTCAACAACTCCAACACTGGTATCGGTAACCACGGATCCTGCTGTGCCGAGCTCGATATCTGGGAGGCAAACAGCGTCTCAGAGGCCTTGACTCCTCATCCTTGCGATACAGCCACCCAAACCATTTGCACTACCGATGCCTGCGGTGGTACCTACAGTAGCAACCGTTACGCCGGTACCTGCGACCCTGACGGATGTGATTTCAACCCTTACCGTCTCGGTAACACTGACTTCTACGGCGCCAGCAAGACTGTTGACACCACCAAGCCATTCACCGTTGTGACTCAATTCGTCACTAGCGACGGCACTAATACCGGTACCCTCTCCGAGATCAGACGTTACTACGTCCAGAACGGCGTTGTCATCCCCCAGCCTTCTTCCAAGATCTCTGGAGTCAGCGGAAATGTCATCAACTCCGACTTCTGTGCTGCTGAGATCTCCACCTTTGGCGAGACTTCCTCCTTCACCAAACACGGCGGTTTGGCTAACATGGGTACTGCAATTGGGGATGGTATGGTCTTGGTGATGAGTCTGTGGGACGACTACTCCGTCAACATGCTCTGGCTCGACAGCACCTACCCCACAAACGCGACTGGTACCCCTGGTGCTGCTCGTGGTAGCTGCGCTACAACCTCTGGTGACCCTAAGACCGTCGAGGCGCAATCCGGTAGCGCCTATGTCATCTACTCCGACATCAGGGTTGGACCTCTCAACTCTACTTTCAGCGGTACCCCCTCTACCGGCGGCACTACTACTACTTCCGCCACTGGCACTACTACCAAGACCTCTAGCACCAGTACCTCGGCCTCTACGACCACTAGCTCTGCCCCTTCTACCGGCACTGGAGTCGCTTCTCACTATGGTCAGTGTGGTGGTCAGAACTGGACTGGCCCTACCACCTGTGCTAGTGGATACACTTGCACTGTCTTGAACCCCTACTATTCTCAATGCTTGTAAATTTTCTCTTCTTTCTTCACCGATTGATTGGGCTATAGCAATAAAAGGGAGAGCTAGGTTGGAAGATATCAAATCAAAATGTACCGAACACGATGCGTTGATATGCTGCACATGTGCCTAGTGTCCATTCGTTCAGATTTATTTCAAATTGAAACTTTTCGTATCTAATACTGACCAAAAATTTATTTCCACACTATAAGCGCTACGTAGATTTGTACTATATGAGACTGTTCGGGTTCGGCACCTGCTCTTGTTGACTTTTCAGAGCAACGATTGCTCGTTACATAGGTCAGCTGTAAATCATGGAACCTCAAAACCTATTACTTGTATGTATGTTCGATTTAAGTAAGGAAATACCCTCGGCTTATCTGAGGTCAGGAGGCCATACACTTCTGACGTAGTGAAGACTTTGATTTGCTTATGTTCACCGGTTTAGGGCTTAGGGCGCTAACGACATCTTTCGAGATCGGCCATCSGAGCCACACCACTAGGAGGTATGAATGAGAACAAGATAATTTTAATATGCCAGTTCAGACACCGTCGACCTAAAAAGTTCCGATGGTACAGATTAGGTCCATTGAATCCTTGGCTAGAACCAAATCTATAAAGTCTTCTTGTGAGGAGAGGTATTGTAGTACGGTAGGAAGCTACACCACCTGCAGTGTCCACTGTCCTCATGAGGGGGCTTTGGACCTTATGGCGCGATGTATCCACCGGCGTTTCGTTCATTGGTCATAGTCTTTGAGTATCGAGTATAAGAAGGTCCAGTTACTCCAAGTTATTACAAAACATTTCAGATTCTCACTGATTTACCTCATATCATTTCGCTCAAAATGTCTCGCGCCAGCGTTGCCGACTTTGTCGACTCCTTTTTCACTCGCACCCTATTCCAGGCTGATGACACTCTCGCAGCCTCGGTGCTAGATACAGACCTTTCTCCAGATGTCGAAATAGTGTAAGTCGCGAGTTCCGCCCTTTCTACCCCGATAACATACTCAAGTTAACCTTCTCACTAGCATCAACGGAACACGCTTCACAAAAGCCACATTTGTGACCCTCATCACGGAACAGTTCCGCTCTACTTTTGTTGCATCAGTCACTGAAATTAAAGACTTGAATATTTTGACTACAAATGACGCTGGTTCTACGGGCGTGGTTGCGCAATGGACTTCATATGTGACTAAAGGCAAGGACGATGGGAAGGATATCAAGCAGAGCGCAACGACGGTGGTTAGGGTTGAAGAGATTGATGGGAAGCATGTAGTGACTGGTCTTTGGGAGGCGCAAACTTCGGAATGAATGGAGTATGTTCGTGATCAATTTGAAACTTGAGTTATTATAAAGGAGTTGGTCCGGTTATTCTGGGAGTATCTTTTCGCGCTGAGTAGCCGCCCCAAGACTAGATGATCGATTTTACGTCAGTATTTTCTTATGATCAGACTGGATCAGGGATTTAATGATATAGCCGTAGTCATACCTCGTCATATAGTCTAGAATCAACTCCGATAGACTGTAGAGTTAACCAATTGATCGCTGCGGACAGCCCGCCTCCACAAGCTACAGTCATGGTTATTCTTCATTTCCGTAATATTTTCCAATACAGAACCCACTGTTGACTACCGTCGCTTTGCCCGCGACGATCTGATCGAGTTTATCTTGCCCAAGCTGCTGCGCAATATGCTGCTTCAAATCCTCCGGCTGTCGAAGATACGTGAAATTTGCCTCATCCCGGAGAAGGGAGGACGGAAAGTCTAGAAGGAGAGATGTGGGTATATGGCCAGCTTCATAGGACGATGCAGGTCTTGCATCGATCAAGAATTTGTCCTCGGCTGATGCAGTCGGCCGTTGTGCGAGTTTGAGAACTTCATCAAATTCTACTAATTGGTCAGATCTGTTTATATGGCAAGGATTAGAGGACATCACGCACGAACAACGGCATCACGCGCCACAGTCGGAACTGGATAATGTGTTTCCTGACAGTCTCAATAACTTCATTCGCATTTTCAGTGGTCTCCGACTACTCACTTTGAACTCTTTCGGAGGGCCACTTTCAAGCTTGACGCCCTCTTTCTTTGCTCGCGGCAAACCGCCATTGATCACGGACACTTTCTCATGTCCATAAACCTACTGTAATTAGTTATCTACTCTTACAGTCCCGAGTCAAACGATAATAATCACCTTGAAAGTCCACACAGTCCTCGGACTAGAGAAAATCCCCTCGCTATCATACACCACAACATGCGAATTTTTTGATATTCCATGCTTTCCTGCAAACTCCGCAAATCGCTCGGGTGACGGGAGCATCAGTATGTAGCCATCTGGGTGAGGTTCGGAAACAGCATCTAAATCCCAAAAGCGCGCATTCGGAAATCGAGGACCTGCAACGAACTCGTCATGAGCGTTGCGAGTCGGTGGATCGGGCGCGTAGAGCCATGAAGCGTCGAGGATGACCACGCTAGGGTCTGAGAGAAGAGGGGATGTTGGGTCTATAATGAGCGGTACTGACATTTTGGATTTAAGATAACACAATGATTCTTTAACAAAAGTATTGTGATAAGCTGTGCAAGCCTATAAGTATCAACGGTTATTCGTTTGAGCCCTATAGAAAATAAGTTGTTGACATTGCGACATTTGAAGTCTCGAGCTCGACGAGTTTGCTTGTTAGGGCTATGCTCGGTCATCCGAGATCATTGCGTGCTCTCTCTCGGTTGACCGAGGCCGCGTATATAGTGTACATTGCATTGCGCAATGAACTTCAGCTATGGCATATCAAATAAGGTTATCACTTTTATTGTCATCTATAGCATGCTTGCCAATCGAAATTTCGTCAGAACTGGACACGATTATTTCTAATCTTTGGAAATTACATGCCAGTCCGTGATCCAAACTAAAACACCACCAGTCAAAGATGACTATCGCAACCAGACCATCGGTTCTGATCATAGGCTGCGGACCAGCGTGAGTACGCATGTATTTAGAACGATAACACATAGCTGATATATATGTCAAGCGGCCTCGGTGCGATTGAACAGTTCAAGCGCAAAGATTTCGATGTTGTAGCGTACGAGGCGAGGGACCGCGTTGGGGGTCTGTGGTACGTCGATCCTGACTATCCTTCAAAAGCTCATTTCTCATGTATATGGAATGGATATAGGAATTTCGATGCGATACCTCCGCCATGTCATATAACCTTCGCTGCGGATGGCCATGCCATCGCACTGACGGACCTGGAACGATCCGGTAGGCCAGCACCGGCTCCAACGCCAATGTATGCGGGTGTCACAGCGAATACGCCTAGAGTATATTCCAACCCCTTCATCCTGAAAAGTGCTTGTACTAGCTGACTGATTCGCTGTTCAGGACATCATGCCTTACAGATCGCACCCCTACCCGAAAGGCACAGCAGAGTATCCAAATTACGAAGTGATCTATCAATATCAACAACGGCACGCTGCGCGTTACGAGGATTACATTCGACTGAACAGAGTCGTTACTCGAGTGCGACATGCGCCCAAGGGCAGTAGTCATAACAAACGATGGTCGGTGGAATGGACGCCATCTGTAACGAGCAACTCGCCGGACGTGGGAACCAAGTTTGAGGAAGGATTTGATCATATCGTGGTCGCGAATGGGACGGATTCAAGGCCGTTTATTCCGTATACGGATGGCTTGTGGGATTGGAAGGGTGAGATTGTGCATTCTAGGTGGTATAGAAAGGCCAAAGCATTTGCGGGAAAGGTGAGTCTGTTGTGGGATTCGTCTTGGAGTTTATTCAAGCTAAGTGATTGGAAGACCGTCATGGTAGTTGGCTCTGGCCCTTCTAGTAAGCAGCCCCATTCTTGTCTTTTCGGGGTACGGTTCAGCTGACAAGTTTAGGCGCCGATATCGTGCGTGAACTCGGTATGCTTTGTGTTGAGCTATCATCTCTCGCGCCCACCAAGGTGTACCGCTCTTTTAAAAGCAAGCTTCGATACGATATCGAACAGGAAAAGGGGTGGCCTAATCACATCACGAACGTTGCACGAGTACGATCTATCGAACCACCTTCTTCTCATTCGATTACTGGGCGAATTGTCACTCAAGCAGACGAAATTCTGGATGATGTGGATGTAAGTTTCCTTCCTTTCGACTGATTTAGAATGAAACTTAGCGTGGAAATAGGTGATTATATTCGCTACTGGCTATGTAGCTCGCTTCGAATTCTGCCGCGAGTCAGATGCGCCGTTCAATAAAGCTCCCTTGGTACACCATCCGGATACACCCCCAGGATCTCGCCGCCCACCCAAGAACTCAGTCGATCAGGCCGACCTCGAAGGGGGACACCGTAAGTTTCAAACCACCACACAGGATTGGCGACCACTAACAACAGAATCAAAATAGGCGTGCACAACCTCGACGCATATCAACTTTTCTATCTCCCAGACCCAACTCTTGCATTTCTCGTCCTTCATGCAGAAGCCATTCCCTGGCCATTCTCTGAAATGCAAGCACGAGTTGTAGCGGCACATTGGAGTGGTACACCGCTCATACTAACGCCGCATCCTCAAGAAGACGATGACTCGCATGATGTGTTGGTATTGGGGCATCCGGGAGAGTAAGTCTTTCTTACACTAACTTTAGTTCCCCCCAGATGACAAGCGACTTAGCTAACCTGTCATTTTTTTAAAGGTTCACATATGCCGAGCACCTTCTCAAATTAATTGGTGAAGGAGGACCGGAAGAAATCGACGATCAGGGCAGATGGGGCGCTTGGCCAGCTTGGAAAAAGAAGATTCGTGAACTCATTGATTAGAATCAGACAATGGTATAAGGTAGATTACATCATGTCAAATAGACCATCATTTAAGAATGAGAATATGCCATCTTCACACCAAGAATCCACCTCCACTGTATTGTTTATAGATAGAGGGTTATGTATGGCCCATTGATCTGAGTCAAAGACCAATGAATTGGATGGAGAAGTAAAATTCCAGCCAGCCGCTGGCTCTTCGGCAGTTGTGCTCGTATCGTTCGGGAAAGTTTCTGCTGAGTGTGCAGATGGAGCTGGAGCAAGGGTATCTAGCATTAATGAGGAACTGTTGGATTGAGATCTATTAGTGGAGAAACTAGTGTCAACCAAATTTCTGGATGGAAGCGCTTCGGTGTCCAGGTGTTGAACGGCAGTGGCGTTCTCCCCTGATGACCAGACTGATGAACCCATTGACGACGAAGATGGCTGCTGTTCAAATGCGCCTATTTGAGAGTGATTGTTAGATGGAGGAGGTGCAAATTTCCTAGCGAGGACACGAATCGCTGCAGCTTCAGACTGGCTAGTTGAGCCATGACGGTGATCCACTGTTCGGGATACCTGAACAAGAAGCTGAGCGACAGATTTGGCCGATGGGAAGGAAGATGAGAAGACGAGCAAAAGATCAATTGCGCTAAGCAAATCCGGTCGATGTTCGAATGCCACGTTTGAGTTACGTAGCATACATGCGATAAGTGTATGTGCTGCAGCTGTGATGTGGGAAACAGCTTGAAACCCGCAGAAGCGAAGATGGCCCGTATGTCGGAGTCGAGAATAGGTTTTGATAATGTCAATTGAAAGGTGGCAGGCTTCGGATGTCGCAGAGTCGATTTCTTCTTCACTCGGTGGTGGGTTTGCCTCGAGTCCGTCGATTAGGGCTTGRCGAGCCATTAGAGTTCGAACGAATTGACAGGTCGCCCGTACGCGGCTGGAGTGAAAGAATTTCGAGTTTGGATTGGACGAGCTGTCGATTTGGGATAGAAAAGGTGGAAGGTCGCGCTCAATCTGGCGGGGAGTCAATATTTTGCCCTTTTGATGCTATTAGATGTTTCAACCGGGTTATAGAATACCTGATCAAGTCTTTCTTGAGCTCGTGTGAAGACATGATTTCTTTCAAAAGGACGGCAATCAAGAGAGAAGGCTGCAGCAGCAGTCTTTGATGGAGCGTTGATTGCAGACAGTACCTAAGTTTAGTTAGTATCAGATGGACTGACCTCAGGAACACAAAGTACCTACCTGTTCGAGAACCATGTATAATTCAGTGATCTTGACAGCCGCTGCTACGGCCACAGGTGGACTGCTCTCCGGTTGAGGTAGAATAGCAGCCTTCGTGACGTATTGATTGTCGACGATGGCAGGTAGTTCCACGCTGCCTGTTTTGACTCAGTATCTGCTCGCATGGTGGTATTAATGGACTTACACTCGGACAGCCTGATAAGTGGCGGGCGCCCCTGAGAATAGGTAAGGGAAATGTCCAGAGAATATAAAGCCCAAAAGAGCCGTGTACGGATCTGTAACTTAGCATCTTCGAAAGAAATTCATCAAGTTAAAATAGCCTACCTGTAGTGTCACCGGGTCCATATTGAAATCTTTGGTACTGCGATGCAGCCCCGTGGTAAATGCTAAGCCAATGGCTTCAGCTACGAAGCTAGAGACCGGGCCTGGAAAAAGATTAACAGCAGTCTAGTGATAATAGCAGCATGACAAACCTGTAGAACTCGTACGACCTTCGGAAAATAGTGCGAGATCTGTATGTTCTATCAGTAAACATGCGAGCCAAATCAAAATGGTAAATCACGTACGGTATAGAGCCAAGATATGGCGAATGTCAAGCTTGTTTTTACTGGATCTCAACAAGTCTTGAGCAAGTTCAAAGTACGACTCGCTGGCTTGCTCACGCTCAGAAGGCGAAAGAAGAGGTTTGGCACTCTCGACTAAACGAAGCGTCACGGCGAGAATGCTCATCAAGAAAGCTCCATATTGAGCCGTGCAGATCAACCGTCGTTTGGTGACTGCGATGAATTCCTGAGCCACCATCAGCTGCATTACTTGTTAAGAGTTTGGTAGTCTCACAGATAACATGGAAGGGGCATGCAGAACAGGAAAGAATAGAGCTAGAAGGTGGAATTGATTAGTGTCGTTACAATTTTTTTCAGAATACTGGACAACTGACGACTAGATAGATGACGGGCTATCAATTCATTCATGAGTTCCTGTGGGCAACGTTGTAGGCAGAGGTCGAAGTAATCGCACGAAGAGCGCGAAGCTCCTGTTATGCCTAAGGCACCTGCAGAATGCGATGAAAAAATAATTGCATTCTTGTCGCTTTCGGAAACTTCGACGGTCCGAAGCAAACCAAGGCGAGCGAACAATGGCATGCCTGTAGACGGTCCTGAGTGAACGATCTGGTCATCTTGATCAATCAGTAGAAGGTGAGCTTTGCCAAACTCTGGGAGTGACTGTGTTCGCTACGTTCTCTTTTAGTGTACCAAGATAATGCACAAAGAATTATGTGCTCACATCATTCAGATTTGGTCTGCTTGGTTTCTTTTCAGAGCCCACTGCTAAGGACCTGGAGGCCGATCGTTTGCGCGGTGAGTCTATCGATGAATGAGACTTTCTACTTCTTGTCAGACCCCTATTGACATATTGAATATTGAACTTCTTACATGGCATGGTCAGGGTGCACCACTACTCGTCTCCTGATATAATTTAGATAGTGTGTCAGGGATAACCGCCAGAAGATACTCACGGCGTCGCAAAGGTACATTGCTTGTTACCTTTGCTGCATCTCGAGCATGGTCTCTGGCCATCACAACGGACCTAGAGAAGAGTATAATCTTAGTGTGCATTCAGCATAGCCGGAATGAGCAGAGACATGCCTTTCGTCGCCGGCAGATATCACAGGCGACTAGCATCTTCCATCTGATGTCAGACAGATCGACGACTTCCTCGTTTTGTTCCATCTTTGCCACGCCATACAAGTTCGACCGTATAGCTAGCAACTAGCGAAAAAGAGATTGAAGAGAAAAGGATTATATTGAAGATGATGCGGGACTAGGAACTGACGTGATAATGTACAATACGATATCTGATTGGCTCAGAAGGGGATAGATAGCTGCGGAAATCGAGTGCAGCCAAAGCCGCATTTTCGCGAAAGGGTTAGGGTTATGTTCGGACACGAATCATGGAGTGGTCTATATCGTCCTTCTGGCCAAATCTTCTAAAGAGTTATTACACTTTATGTGGATACGTACTGACTAGCTTTATGCTACAAATGACTAGTTTAGCGCATTCTCCCATGTGGTTTCAGCTGCCGAAGCCCGACTGGAAAGCGGTTAAGGTTTAGCTAATCTTTGTTGCTTCTAATCACGCCATTTTGTAAGGGAACTGCAAAATTCTCGGATGGCCGAGCCTTGATATGTTTGCATTCGGCATGGCGCCATTAACAAAACCTCGCTATCCTCTGCCAATCAAGGCAAGATGTTATATAAGGGACCCGGGTGGATGGCCTTCGGATTCTGGGCCATGCGTGCTATAGCTTGTGCTCTACACTACGACCTAATACGATGGCGGCCCTGCTACCTCAGAGCGCTGGATATGCCACTAGTAAGTACCAATCGATCAAAATGAGATGAAATGAGGAATTTTAACAACCCTACAGTCTTGGTGGGCGGCGCTTTTTTCGCTGCCCTGATGAATGCGTTCACATGGGTCCAAAGGCGATACACAAATTTTGACCCGGGAAAGATTGAGGAGTTCTCTTCAGCTTCGAGGTCTGTCAAGACCGGCATGTACGTTAACTGCCACCTTTGAAAAGAGAAGCTCTCACTAATTGTAGCTGTATATAGGCTGTCGGTAGGTATCACATCTGCCTGGGTGTGGGCGGCGGTCTTCCTGCAAACCGGAACACTCACATATCTCTATGGCGTTTCTATACCCTGGTGGTTCGGTATTGGAGGTTTCGTTGAGATTGCGGCATTTTCCTTCATCTCTTCGAAAGTCAAGGTCAATGCTGGTGGAGCTTCAACATATCTCCAGGTCGCCAAGGTACGCTTTGGTGTACTAGGCCACTGGGCATACATGTTCGCCGCCCTCGTCGCGAATTTCGTAGTGGGATGCGAAATCCTCATCGGCGGCGCCGGCGTGATTACCGGAATGACTGGAATTAGCGAATATGCAGCAATTTGGCTTTTACCGCTCGTTATCGTTGCCTACGTCCTGACCGGTGGTCTTCGTGCCACTTTTATAGCCGACTATCTTCATTGTTGTATTCTCTATTCGTGCCTTCTCGTCCTCATTTTGGCAACCTACACTCGAGGCGATGCTATTGGCTCTCCAGGGAAGCTGTATGACCTTCTACTCGATGCGTCCAAGGCGGTTCCCGTGGCTGGAAACGGGCATGAGTCTTATCTCTCATTTCGGAGTGATGGTGGTATGTACTATGCGCTAACAGCTACTACCTCCTTTTTCGGCTTGTCGTTTTGTGACCAGTCATACTGGCAACGAAGCATTGCCGCCCGACCAGCGGGCACGAGCAAGGCCTTTATTTTCGCTGGCTGTTTCTTTCTTTCGGTCGGTTTGGGAATTGGGTCTTCGATGGGGTTGTCCGCAAGGGCTCTGGTGTCGAATCCCGCCTTTCCAGGCTATCCCGATGGGCTTTCCTTGACAGAGCTCAACGCAGGACTTGCTGGGCCGTACGCGAGTACAGTGATCCTAGGAAAGGCGGGTCCAGCGATGTACACCATCATCGCATTTATGGCAACTACTTCGGCGTTGTCTGCTCAGCTTGTGGCTGTCGCAACCATTTTCTCTTATGACATCTACCGTGAATATATTAGTCCAACAGCTACTAACTCCCAACTGATGAGGGTTAACCATGCTACCGTCATTGGTTGGGCCGTCTTCCTTGCTGGCATCAACACTGCCTTTGCATACATTGGTCTCGATCTCAACTTTCTGTTCTACCTAATGGCTGTTTGCACTTCCGGCAGTGTTTTTCCAATTGGTCTTCTCATGTGCTGGACCCGACTAAACAAGGCAGGCGCAGTATTAGGCGTCACCGGCGGTTTGGTCATCGGGATGGTGGCCTGGCTAGTCACAGCAGTTACTACTCAGGGCTCCATATCTACCACGACACTGACTGATAGCAAAGTCATTCTTTCCGGCTCACTGTCAGCCCTGGGCACCGGCGCTATTGTATCTATTGGGTTGTCGCTCATCAAGCCTGCCTCCTTCGACTTTGAACTTACGCGAGCTATTGGTCGAGGCTCTACAGTACCCGTCGATGCATCATCCGCATCAACAGACAAGGAACCACGAATCAATCAAAGCGCTTCCAATAACTTAGAGAAAGATCCCACTACCTATGAGCCTGCACTACACTCGGTACATGGTGGTGGTTCAACACCTGAGTCGGAGGCTCAGTACGCCTTGGAGGTAGTCAAACTTGAGCAGTCACAAACCAAATTCCGTATAATAACTGGTTTCTTACTGCTCATCATCCGTAAGTCTTGGTCACCCTGTTTTTCTGGGGGCATAAATTGCTCATCAAGCTTTCACAGTTGTCCTCATCCCGGCTCCGCTTGCTGGCACGGCTGTCGTCTATCCAAAGGGTCTCTTTATTCTGCAATGCGTGGCAGCAGCGACTTTTGCATTCGTCAGTCTTATACTAATAGTCTTTGTAAGTTTATTTTCGTCGCATGCTCTTGCCTGCAGAGCATTGAAGTGTGACTAACATTTGAACTACCTACTACTAGTGGCCTTTGGTCGAGTCACACAAGGAACTCGCCGCGATATTCAATCGGATTGCTCACAACAAGCGACTTGATAAAGGAGTTGAGCAACCTCTAGATCATAGTCCATGAATTATACAGTCTCCTTACGTGGGCAGGCATACTGACTCAAAGGACTTTACCACAGTCACTGGCTGATCTGAGGGCTGAATCTCTTCGAGGCATTGGAGGATGGGTTCATACTTCGCCCAAAAGGCATGAAGGCTTGATATTTCTTAATAATTTAATATTATAATACAATTGATACATGTGATGTACCACTTTTCTAGCCTAATCCAATACATTAACATATACGTGAAAACTCACTCGCTTCATTCGCCTGTTATATCAAGTGAATCAGCCTGATTGTTTCTTCCGTTGCATGTCTTTGTCTCGTGAATCGGCCGTGCCGGTTGAGTAACTAGATGGACAAACAATACACAGAGAGTAAAAGCATCGAATCATTCCCTTTCCCAACACCTACGAGCAACTGATTTATGATAACTATTACTGAACGACTCTGATTCTGAGTCTATACGGTGTCGCACTCAGCAGGCGAGAATCGGGCTCGTGTCGCAGAATGGCTTGTTCGCTGACGTGGTCTTAAAGGGTCTATCTGTCTGCCTGTGAACATTGAAGAGAGCTGTCTCTGTGAGAGCGCCTATTCGCTCAGCAAATTCTGCGCGAGAGTCTGAGGTAGTCAGATAAGCCGAGGTTAGTAAAGTAGCGCTATTGATTTGACGTGGATTTGATGAACTAGATGAGTAATCACTCAAATCATTCAACCAAGGTATGTGAACAACATGCTTACACTTCAAAGCGCTTATCCATTTGTATAACCGAGATACTAGCAGAATTCGTATATACAAAGCACTTCCTATCGCCTGTGGACGTTCATAACGTTTAACCAACGAAACATTCCGTACACATTTTTGTCAAATACAAATCTTCTAACCATGCCTCTCTACGAAGTCATTCACGCGATACCCCTTACCGAGAAGCAGCAAGATGAACTAGCTGAAGCAATCACAGTTATTCATACCACGGCTTTTGATGTTCTCCGATTGTTTGTTAATGTAAGGTTCGTGGACGCGTCAAGCTTGAACACCTATATCGCCGGCAAACGACGTAAAGCAAACCACATCCGGGCTGCAGTACGTTTGGGTTCACGTACCCATGAAGAGTTTTTGACTCTCTGCAGATCTATCGAGGAAGCCTGGAATCGGATCATATATGAACCGGCAAAGAGTGAACAGAATCGATACAAACTACAAACCCTAGTTTTAACACCGTTCAATCTCATTGGAATTGAGGCTGGTTTTGAAAAACCCATTGCTGGAGAGGACGGGAATTGGCTGAAAAAACATTGGGACGAATTTCGCCAAAAAGCAAACGAAGGAGACGAAGATTTTATTCAGGTGGTAAAGGAAGCCGAAGAACGAGGTCTTCTGAAGTGAAACGTCTCAACTTTGTGCTATTACCGAAGTCTCGTTGATTTTCAACCCATCACTTAATTTTTATGAACTGCTGATACGTATAATGGACTGAAGATATTTATTTCTATGTTAAATTTGATCACTCTCCAGTGTCGGTTGTTTTCCGCCGTTACACAAGCTTATCAATCTCAACACCATGGTACTTAGTCGTGTAACTGAAGGCTACGTAGGCTCGTGTTGCTGCGTAAAGATATGATTGGGAATTATTTAAACTATAGTACGTTAATTCAGTATTAGAAATCTTCTGTAGTAAACAGAGTCAAAAGCCAAGGAGTGTCTACACTATAATCCCCATGCAGGTACAGCAAAAGTCATCGCCCAACCCCATTTGGGACCAGAATGATACTGAGGCATGAATATCTAAAAGCCACTCTGAGAATTCTTGGTCTTCTATTCTTTTTCATATGACGGACATTAAAGAAATAACTAAGGGCTGTCAAGAACACGGCCGGGACAGAATTAAATGGGACATCTAGCCAGTCGAAGAGGTTGGCGGAGTTGGTTTTCAAACCGTCAGCACTTCATATACCTTCTTCAAAGAGGACCAGATATTTAGAATAGCCAAATCCCTTTTGGCACTTGCTTGACTCGGGGGCTTTGGGGGCAATTGCAAATAGCTATTACTAATATGATGTATCCTAGCGGTAATTCAAATGCTGGCATAGCACAGGTCTTCTCTCCAAAGGACGCATTTTGGATATGGACTACCGGAGGAAAGGTTTCACTGTGAGAGGGAATTATTACCTTGGTTCAGGGCAACTACGAAGACCTGATGAGCTTGAATCAGCATTCGAATTGTTCCCGAGAGGCACTTGACGGCATGACCAGTGCAGACTTCTCCGGTTTTCCGGAGAGCGACATAGTTCTGGAGCCTGCTTGTGAAATTGATTTCGATCTGTGTTCAAAATTGGGCCACACAAAGCTTCTCAATGAAGATGAGCTGCGACATCAAACCAAGGGATTTACAAGAGAGGGCTGGGGGAAGGGAGGGGGATTAGTCTATGTCCGTACAAGAAGACTTAGGTGCTATATTGAATGCGAGATAGGCCACGAATTCAGTCTCTTCAGAACCAGAAATTTCCGTGTTTCGCACCATCTGCTGTTCAATAGTGAAAGTGGAAAGTCATTTCCGAGGCAGACTCATTAAAGCTTGGAGAACATACCCTCCTTTTGAGGTCGTACATCCAATTCGTGCGTCCAGGTACTTCGGGGTTGAGTATGCAGAAACCAATAAATATGAGCCAGATCTGTTGGCTGCAAAAGATACGCCTCAATATTCTCCAACTTTTCTACCGCACCCTCCCGCTGCCACTGTCGCCGTCTAACACCACCAATCAGTTTTCCATCCACCGGACTATCAACAATGACGTGCGCCGCATGTATTCCCTGATCCTGGTACTCTCGTGCCACAATTTGCGCCAGTGACCGAAGTCCGAATTTGCCAGGTGAGAAGCTGCTCAAGCCAGGTGATCCGCGTAGCGAACCGGTGGCGCCGGTATAGATTATTGTTCCTTGCCCTCGCGCCAACATATCTGGTAAGACGCATTTGGTGGACCAAAATGCTCCAAACAAATTAATTTTGGTGAAGCCTTCAAATTCTTCCGTTGTCGTGTCCAGTATCAATCTCCCATTAACTCGTCGGGCGCCAGCATTATAGACCAGAACATGCACCGCACCCAACTCGGCGCGGATGGCCCTGAAACTGGAGATAACAGAGTCCTCTACGCGCAGGTCGGTGATGTAGTACCGTGCCGTTCCTTGGCCAAAGTCGGCGTCGATACCTTCGGCCATAGTCCGGAGTTTGTCTTCAGTGCGAGCAAGTAGTGCGACTACGAACCCTTCTGAGGTGAAGCGACGAGCAACAGCTTCGCCAATTCCGGGCCCAGCACCTACAACAGCGATGACAGGCTTTTTCCCTGGGTTGTATGACATAGTAAAGGTAATTTAGGGCTATATTTGCCGTAGAGTTAGTCAATTATTCTATTCTCTTTCTCGATCATCACTCACGTCGATGTCAAAATGTAGTGCGGTGCCCTGGGCAATTTGACTATAAAAATTACCTATGCTTGAGAGTGAAGAGCCGTCGAATGGTAACTGTGCACAAGTTAAAAGGCAGTAATGACCGAAACCATGGGAGATTAATAATCGGCTACACTTTCCAGTGATCATGATGTTCAGCCGATTGCCGAGGTTCTTGGACGACCTAATTGTTGTTTGATAACTTCCCAATATTTATATATAGATATATATTTTTGTCAAAATTAGCATAACGGTTGATGAAAGACAGGGTCCCCAGTCGCGCTTCGCACTCGCACGCTCATCGTAGTCATGCCATACGTGGAGGACGACACCACAACTTACGATTACAAAGCAACACACCAGCGAACAAGGAAGGAACAATAAAACCAAAATGGGCAAAAAAATCGAGTGCTATATTGATTGCGGTACGTCTTAGTCAAATTAATTGACAAATAATGCTAAAGCCTTGAATGGCAGTCTCTCCCTATAGCTTCTACGCCTTTTCCTATCTCCAGAAAAACAGACCTGCACTGAAGAATCTAGGCGTTGAGGTCGAGTATGTATTCACGATAATTACCACCATCCTAGAAACTAATACTTTTACACTAACAGATTCATTCCCGTTTTCCTGGGTGGTATCAACGTGGGAAGTGGTAAGCCCATCCCATCATCCGTCCCTTCATTTTCCCAAATTTAAATTGGAAGTCAATTAACAATTGAAAAGGAAACAAACCTCCCTGGACCCTTCCCGCGAAAGCGGCTTACGCAAACTTCGACGGCAAACGTGCCCAGAAGTACTTCGGATTTGACTTTGAAGTGCCCTCATTTTTCCCTATTTTGTCTTTGCTGGTATCGTCATCTGGCCCATTAATATTATCTAAAATGCTGAAAAAAAGGATAGCCCCAAAGAGCCCTGACTTATATCAAAAAGTCCTACTCTCAATCCACATTTGAAGCAGCCTTCTATGCGTGCTTTGACACAATGTGGAACGGCCAGCTTGATATTTCGAAGCCGGAGCATCTAACTACCAGCTTATCCAAGGTCTTCTCTTTAGAGAAGGAAGTTCAGGATATTATTGCTGCTGCCGGGTCACCACCGATTAAGGCTCTGCTGGAAATTGTGACAGGGCGTGCTGTGAAGGAGCTCGGTGCATTCGGGTGTCCTTGGTTTTGGGTGACGAACGGGGAAGGCATAGGAGAGCCCTTTTTTGGGAGTGACCGATGGCATTATATGTGGAGATTCTTGGAGTTGCCTTTTGAGGATCTTAGACTTATTCCATCATCTGAGAAGGTAAAGCTTTAGTTGGGGTCTGTTAACTATGGAGAAACAGGTAGTAATTCACTTGACTTACAAATTTGCACATACAAATTATCAATGTTCGCTCCACCAACTTTGTGTGCGGTAGATCACATTGTCGGTCTAGCATTTCGATCGCAATTCATCCCTTTCAGTTGCTTTTACCATCAAATGTAAAAGGGTTTCTGTGTTTCGTTCGGCCGCGCTGCATGGCTGCTACATACTGTTACTTCGTACTTCTCGTCGTCATAGTTGTACAAATTAAGGGTAGTCATGGAAGAGATTTATGTAAAAGATGTAAATTTTATTATACAATTTTGGGAGAGTAATTGAGTTGCTTGTGGATGAGTCATACCTGAATTTTTAAGTTACCTAAGTACATGTATTTATCGGATTCCCGCGCAAATATTATAACCAAGCCAGATACCGGTGAAACTCGACCCAATATCCGCATTCCATGCCCCAATGTCAGCCATTATGACGCCATTGCTGGCTGCAATGCTGGTGCAAGTATGACTAGAGGGCACCAAATAGAAAGTGTTACAGTCCGATACCATACCAGTCTCATATGGTGTGAGCGTCGTGACTCCGCTTTTGGAACTGATAGTAGTGAAAGTTGAAAGCGTAGTTGGCGATGGAGTATATCTAATGATATCAATGCAGAGATATTTGCCGAATCCAATATGAGTATAGTCGGTGTTAAGCAGGGTCTTAAGTATAGAAAGTGATAGGAGAAATTCCGGCAGCTCTAGCAATGGTGAAACAAGTATCTCCTGAGACCATAAGATATATTTGTTACATATGGATGTTATGCCGTTTAATTAGGAGAGGGGTTACTGACTCCATCGCCAGTGCTGATCGTAGTGGCTTGTTGCACTCGCTGCGCAAGTAGTAGTTGCTGCCGCTGTTAAAGTCGAATTGTTTGACCCAAAATCTACTTTGAACACAGTACCAAAATCTATAGTCAAGCTTGCAGGTTGATCCATCAGCGGCCAACAGGTTCAAGCTATTATTTCAGGTCCAGATTTCTCAACCATGACTATCTAATATCAAGGCAAAAAAGAAATGTAGAAGTCTACTCAGCTTTCAAAATCCGTCGTCGTGATTCTTACCATATCGTGTCCTCTGCACAGGTCATTCCTGTAGGCCCGTTCATCCACCCACTGCAATGCGAAACAGTGATAGGAAAAGGGGTGCCTGGAACAGCACCAGGTAAGCTCTTGCTGGACCAGCTGCCAAAATGGTAGCGAGGAAGTTTGCAAGCACTAAGAGTCTCAATTCGGAACATGAAACTATCGGATTGAGTGATTTAGATAATAGTAGCACCGGAACAGGGGGCTATGCCTTGGTACCTATTATTGATATAACTATGTAGATATTCAACTAAGTGTCTATCAGCTTCCCCGAACGAATAGCTTGTGCATCTTTCATGCTGGATTTTCAACAGCATGCATGCTAGATATGCATCGGCCACTCATCAGACACTGTCTAATCTGGCGTATGGTATTGTTATACGATCTATGGCTGCCCTGCCTGGAGACTTGGTAGTGTGTATTATTGGCAAGTCATCTGATAAAAGAAAATGAACCCGGACCTTTCAACGGCATGATTCGCTAATATTTGCAAGGATATATTTAACATCATAGAGATAACAGTCATTATTGGCGGTTTAGTATAAGTACTAGCGCTGTCAAGGCGCACATCATGCACTCCAAACGGCACCGTAGGCTGTGGAGAGAGCAAACAAACAGCCAACTGCTACCCAATTTTCATGTTCCTGCTTCTCGGTAAGGCGGTCTCTTGCCCATGCATGGATCAAAGGGTGCGTCGAAATGGCTAACTTGCCTTCATAGCTATCGATGGCCACTAGCGAGAATGTTTCAAGCAGGGAAATTGCTTCGATCAATCGAATTAAATCCCATGATATACTTCCTACTCGCAAGAGTCGCGATTAACGAGATACATGCCATTCTGTTAATGCATATATGTCATTATCTTCGGGTTCCGTCTTGGCTATATATATCCATTGTAAATAGCTTTCCAGACTATTTCTAACAACAGCGAAACAGGAAGACGATTCGGTCCGTACAATCTAAAAATTGGCAGAAGTCCAATGCATCCTTAGCAGACTCTGTATCTGACGATCGTAGGATTTTAATCGAAGCCTCGAAATGTCGCGAAAGTATTTCCATACCGCGACGGAGCCTGCAAGGGCCTGAAAGCGAGCAATCGTTTTCGCTGTTTGCTGAAAACTTCGGGGTAGTCTTTCAGCGTGCGCTGGCTGCGTGCTACATGACCCAGCTTGTGTTATTGCAAGCAGGCGTGATTTCAGAGTTTTGACAGCAATTGAGTCGTCGTTTCGATATCCCTTAAATGGGAAAAGGAAAAGCAAAAAAAGCAAAAATTGACCAGTGCCGGGCTCGATCCGGCGACCTTATGTGTTAAGGTTACTGTACAGAACAGTAATGTTAAACATACGAGATAACCAGCTACTCCAACCGGCCATGGGTTACCGACCACTATTTTGGATATTCATTCATTTACAAATGTTGATTCCTGTAAATATTCGGATTCCCCTCCGCTTTGTTGCAAGGAAATCCACACTGAGAGCGCTCGCACCACGTCCCCGATGAATGAACAATCCTATAAGTTTTGTCCCTGATACAGGCGACAGTATAGACTAATTAGACTGCAAGGTACGGTTGTTGAATAGCAATTGAGTCAGGTTAGGGCACACCGTATGTTAAGTTACAAATGACTCATATAGACTAACCAGAAACCAAACAGTGCAAAAGAAGCAAACAATTTAAATCGTCCTAACAAACAATGCAAACCTGTTTTCGCCCTACTAATGTTACATTTTAACACATGAAACCATTCGAAATGTCTTATAGAATATTAAAATGTTTGCACATTAATGATGCCTCGAAATCACGTCACAAATTTGCACGATGAAGGCGTCGACCAGCTCTGATTTAAGTGGCTATGCGAGCGCCAACCGCGAGTATAAATATCGACCCGCTTCGCCACCTGTCTAACACGGATTTGCTTTCAAAAACATATAATTCATATTGCGAACGAATTGATTGGATTGCCGGGTCAGGTCGAGTTCATAGCCCATAAGTCTCGGAAATTCATAAAACACCGCTCACAATGTCCTCAATCCTCGCCTCAAACCCTATCCTCGTCAACATTGGCACCCACTCTCTGGCGCTCTATGCCCACGGCCCAGAACCAAGCAACACCAAAGAACCCGTCGTCCTATTTATCTCCGGCGTTGCATGCTCCAGCCTCAACTGGGCAGCCGTGGTCCGGCTTCTTCCTCCATCGCTGCGAAGCTACACTTATGACCGTTCTGGGTTCCGCAATTCCGAGCTCTCGCCTCTCGAGCCCACAGCCGAGAACGTTGCTCTGGAGCTTTCGCTATTGGTCAAGAACGCTCCTATAGAAAACCCTCTGATTCTCGTGGGTCATTCATGGGCTGGCGTGCTTATCAGTGAGTTTATCGCCCTCACAGGCAATGGTCCGCATATCGCTGGCCTGGTGCTCGTCGACGCCAACCACGAGACCGCACCATTGGTTCTAGACGTAAATGATCCAAATCTTTTGGCCATTTCTGAAGGTCTCGATTACTATTCCGGCATTGGTGTTGCGGCTGAACACAAATTGACGCAGGAAGAATGGGATGCATTGCAAAGCGACCAATCAACGGAAAAGTATAAATTGACTGCGTACAAGGAGGATGAAGAGCAGTACATACCAAGCTTTGAGACACTACGGAAGAAAGGATTGAGCAAGAAGCAGCCAATAGTTGGAGACAAACCGGTGTTTGTTATTGGCAGCTTGCGGAGTAGGGATTGGACTGGGCTGTACAACGCGGGTGTAGAAAGAGGCAATGGCACTGAAGAACAGAGGAGTCTCGTTAGAGAGTTGATCAGGACGGCCGATGAGAAGAGTGAGAGTTTAATGAAGGAGTGGTTGAAGATTTCGACAAGGAGCACGCTTGTGTTTGCCCGCGAGAGTGGGCATTTTATTCAGTTCACTCAGCCGGATGTTGTTGTTGATGGAGTGAAGTGGGTTCTGGATCAATCGAAAACATCTTAGGTGAAAAGCACCCATAATTTGACATCAAAACCAACTTTATGATTCAAGATATCTTGATAGGGAGTGTAATGTATCCTGAGTAAAGCTAATTTCAAAGGCAGCCTCTGCTATACCATGATGTGCCTAGCCAACCAACCACTTAACATGATTCAGAACCAGATTAAACCAACACTTCACGAATCAGAAACATCCTAAAATTGAGTACGTAACCTCTGTCCATGAACTTTCGTTGTTGTCGGTAGTACCCGTCACGGTTCAATCTTCTAAGGTTTGTTCAATGTTACCAGTCGGCATCTGTCTCATTATGTAGCACACCCACGATTCGTCGATTCGACATTTCAGGAAATTATCCTTGAACGTGCTCCTCTAATAGCTATAAACACTTTTCATATAGCCTTACACAGTATAGTCGCCATCAAGTACGCCCTTTTAGCGGCCAAGCCTGACAACGCTGATCCCCGAAGGTTAATTAGCCCTAACTCCATCCGCCATAGTTCACTTTTGCCCCTGAACCCCTCTTTACAACAGGGAAGTGCAATTGGCTACCAACGCGCAATAAGACACTGAAGAATTGCTATCATCCATACCGTATACGGCAATGATTGACAACTCGGCCTTTTTGGCAGTTTTTGGCTTTTCTGTATTCAATTTTGGGCCGTGGGAGACTCTCCGCATTAGATTAGGGCAGTGGCGTTAGTCTCAATTTGGTCTTAGCACTGATATTAAGGTATCCCGTTCGCGAGACAGGATCCCGTGCGAACCTTGAAGCTTGCTTTTTGGGTTCTCCCCTGTCCGCCTAGCTTTCTACATATTGTATATCCATAGGACTGACTCGAGAGTATTCATGAAGATCGTCGAAACATTCACGTGGGAGAATGCGTCCGTAAGTCAGTGCTTTTACCTAGGTAGGGCTCATAAATCTGATGACCGTCAAGCGGAGTCGGAGCATTCCCATCCAGACACCGACTATCGACATTCATGCTATACAAAACCATGTTATAGTCGACGAACGCCGTTCATTTACTTATCCGACAACCTGGTGTCAGACATGTCCAAGTATAAACCGCACAGGGAATAGTCCCCAACCCCGTGGCCCGCGGCACGTTCTTAGCCAGGCACAAACCTGCCTTAGAGTAAACATTAGCTCCAGTCCAAGTGGGCATTTCGCATCCACTTTTTCGCATACTTTCGCATACTTTCGCAGCTTTGCATAACTTTGACTGCTATCAATCACCAACTGATCTGCCAAAATATTTCCCCTTTTCCTACTTTAGCATCCTTTAGTTTCTCTTTAGGAGCAGGTTTAGGCCGTTTAGCAACGGCTTACCAACGGCCTCCTCAGTCACAATGCAAGACCGTCGAGGCTCGAGCCCTTGGGCTTGTCAAATGTCAACCTTATTCTGCCATTTTATATGCAGCCGGTCTGGTCTGGACGTCGAGAAACTACGTAAATATGAGGGGGAAACAGGGTATTTGTGTCTATGTCTCTGCTGATCTTTTCTGTCCGAGTATCTGATCTTCTTTTTTTAACATCTGATCTCCTCTTTTACATGCATAGAGTTTTCCATTAATACTCCGCGCTTTTATCTCATCGCATCTCATCGATCGATCAGATCTGTCATATCCATACCGCTGGAATCGATCACAACAACACAGCGCAGTCCAGCACAGACAGGCAGACTGGTATGTCCTCCTGAAAGTTGACAGAAAATGGCCGACGAGGTCTCCGTCGGCGCCACCCAGGGCATAATCTGGACCTTTGTGGCGATCAGCACTATATTCACCCTTGCGAGGATGTATACTCGGCTCAAGATTGTGAATAAGATTGGATTGGATGATTATTTGATGGTTTTTTCACTAGTAACTCCCTCCCCCTCAATTTCTTGCATGTATTTTTGCAGTCGGAGTGACAGCATGCTAATTGTGATCAATGGGGATGAAAAAAGGTATGCTGCTACCTCTTCGCCATCCTTGTCACAGTCTCTATCCACTGGGGCATGGGCCAACACACCTCCCTGCTCAGCGAAGAACAACAAGCCAACGCATTGCTATACAGCACTGCATCCTTCACTCCGGGTATTTTATCGTTCACAATCCCGAAACTGGGCGTTACCGCTCTATTGATTCGCATATTGAATCCGACACCACGGTTTAAGGTTTTCCTTTGGGTGCTTGTCGGATCGATCGACTTGATTATTTTCGGATGTGTGATTATTTTATTTGCGCAGTGTTCGCCGACGAGAGCGCTTTGGACGCCAAGTATACATGATTTGCCGGGTGTGAAGTGTTGGGATCCCGAGGTGTTGGCTTTTTATTCTATTGGAGCTGGAGGTTTGTCTCAATCAAGATAATAAAAGAGGATAAAAGAGGATAAGAGCTGATTTGGGATAGCATTGTCGGCATTTTTGGATTTGTTCCTAGCTGTATATCCGGCCACGGTGCTGTATAGGTTGCAGATGAACCGGAAGAAGAAAATTGGCTTGATGATGATTCTGGGAATGGGTATTTTGTATGCTCTCCTCCCCTCGATCCATAAGGGAGACAATGCTAATTGGAATAGTGCAAGCGCAATATCAATCTACAAAGCAACTACATTAACCGGCCTCGACGTCCTTACGGACTATACATGTATGCCCACCAGCCCATCCCACCACGAATACTTACTAACATACATAGATACATCTTTCAGCGTCTTCCTATGGACCAGCGTCGAAGGAAACACAATTATAATAGCGGCTTGCATCCCTACCGTCGCGCCGCTCCTTGAAGGCATCTTCGGAAACAACGTCCTCCGCGGCCCCTCAGCCGAGCAATCCTCCTACTACCGCAAAAAGGGGCGACGCGATGTATTCGCCCAACACAATCGAGGAAATGATAGTAAAGGCCCCATTATACCACCCACAGCATTGGTCAGGGACAGTGCATTGGCACCAAAACAACAAGAAAGGAGTCGACGAGGATCCGCACAACGTCAAGACCAAAAGGGATGGATGTCCTCCACCCTAAACAGCAGAAGCAGTCGCGACTCAAACCTCAAGTCCAAACTCTCCCCAACATCGCCCTCATACTCCTACATGAAAAGCATGACCTCCAAAACAGACGTGGAATCTCAAACCAGTATCCTCGACTACGACGAGCGTCACCTCGAAGAAGAAGACGACGAAATAGAAATGTCTCACATATCTAGACATGACTCATTCAGAATCCAGTACGAGACTGTAGCCGACCCAAACAATCCGCGCAATGAGCATAATGTCATTGAAGGCGGGACGATAGATAGGAACGGCAGGCCGTTGTCGATTTGGAGGAGAAGTTTTTCGAAGTATGGGTATCCCGGGTTGAGTGGGTATCACCACACGAACAGCAATAATCATAATCGGAATAACACTGGTGACAAGGGGAATAGGCCTGGGTCATGAGCCTTTATTACCTACCTAGGTGTATATATATAAGCAATGAATACTTGTTGATATTGAATGGTTCAATTATTCATTGAAATAAGAAAGTAAACATGTACATACACTCAAGTTGAGAGTAGTCGTCAAACATAATTGATACATCGATTTCCCCGATAGTCCATACAGAAACAACCGAACGCCGACACCATGCAAATTCTTCTAACAGACCATAAATGCAAATAACCACCTGTTCCAGACAGACAGACAGACAGACAGAAGAAAGAAAAAAACTAGATAGGTCTAGCCTGATGCAACTCAAAACCAGGTATGTGATCAAACCACTCCGTCTCGGGATTGTATCTGTACACCTTGAACTCGACTCCATACGGTTTCGGTTCGAGCATATAGAGTACGCCCAGCGGCACATCGAGGCCCGCGACTTCATCTCGGTCTAGACCCAGGAAATATGCAAGCAGAACGCGCGCAACAGAGCGGTGCGTAACTAGCAGGACATGGTCGATTGTGCGCTCAGTTTCGACAATGACAGTTCTCAAACGGTTAATGACGTCCAGGTACCCTTCTCCACCAGGACCCGGGTAGCGATATTGCAATTTCTGTTTGCGACGACTTTCGTATTCCTCTGGATACTGAGTTTTGATTTCGTCGTATGTCAAACCTTCCATCTTGCCGGCATACAACTCATCCAGCATACGCATTTGCTTGATATCGTAATCTTCGTCGTTGAAATACGACGTGGTTTGAATAGCGCGTTTCATCATCGAAGACCATACACAGAAATTGCGCGGTTTATTACTCTGTGTTCCGTACGATGGATTAGGCGGCGTGCTGTCACCAGGATGCGGCGGGAAGTGGCTCGTCCTGGCTTTCTGTGCTTGATGTGCTTCCCATCTCTGGCGTTGGTCGTCGATGAACCGGGCGAGTGCTTGGCCGTACTTGTGTCCGTTCTCGCTCAATTCGGAGTCGCCGCCGATGCGGCCGAGTTGGTTATCGATGCTTTCGCCGTGACGAGTAATCCAGATTTGGCGGGGCGATAGATTGAAATTCAGCAGATAGTAGACGACTTGCGAGGATAGGAAACCGGTTGTTTGGTGTGCGACGACTTTGCGGCCTACGTCAATCATTTGCACGTATGCCATGTCGTTTTGTTCTTCGTATTCACCGAGAGGGACGTAGGATTTTTCGTAAAGCGCGACTCGCTTTTTGAAGTCTTCGAGCGCTTTGACGGGGTCTTGGGTTCGGTAATCGGGACCGGACAGTTTCAAGCGCATATTCGATTCTAGGAGCACCGGATCAACACAGCGACTTTCGAGGAATAGGACTCCTAGTTCCGGACCAGCTCGTTGACGGATGTGGTCCATGATCGTTTTGCGACGTTCGAGCGTACTGTTCGTCGCGTCGAGAATACCGATACTACCGCCTTGGTCAAGAATATAATCCAGCAATTCGTCCAATGTGGCCAGCGCAACCTGCTCGCGGAGCTGAACTGCCTCGCGGTTCTTGGGATCGAAGAAAGCGGCAGACTGGTCGATTGATTCGCGCTTTTGTTCCGATTCCCGCTTAGACTCAACGTTCGTATCGACAGTCAAGCTTCCCTTTGGCGACAGCGGTACCGGTCCCGGCGCATCAACATGCTGACCATTAACCAAAATCTCAGCTGCAGGTGAAATCGACATTGCCGGTGGTGGAAGCGCATCCGCCTTCTCAGGCGGCGAGGGAGGAGACGCGGCAAACGAGCGTGCCCTCACACTCATTCTGCGCACAGATTCGACGAGCTGTTGGTCAAGAGAGCTATTCGTCCTAGCCTTGATATTCATCATAGACGGGTCTGGACTACCGGTACCAGCGGCGATACGCCGTCGCTCGCCGACATTGAATATGCGTGTGTCATGTTGCAGCCAATTCAGGTATCGGGCGAGCTTCTTTGTGATGTAACTCTTGCCTCGAGCCGGCAAGCCGACCATGACAATGACCAGCTTGGAGCCGACATCGCGCTCGGGAATACGTCCATCGGGCGAGACTTTGGAGCGAGTGAGGCCGGGGATGTCGAGGGTTGTGGCGCGAGGTTTGGGTGTTTGGGCGGTAGACGAGGTGGGAGTTTGCAATTGCGCGCGTCTGAATCGTCAGTAAGAATGTTATTGCGATGCGATGATCAACGGGCGGTGTTTAACGTTCAAGCATGCATGTGTAACAAGCGCGGGGCAGAAAAATCTTCAAGCGACATCATGTCGCGTTGCCGATCACAGATAAGATAACAAAATATTCGACATCGAGAATATTCAACAAAAAACACAAAACAAATATCACGAAATGAACCTCGGGACTTACATCTGCGGAGAACTCGGCGCGGTAGAAGTCGGAGTGTCAGACAGGGCCATCCCGACTCCGTCCTTGGACAGGCGGCGCTGAGAGGTCAATTGCACAGGCTTGTGGGCTTCCGTATGCAGCTCGTTCCCTAGCGCTCGTCCGATCACGGTTTTGGGAGGATTATAAGTAGAACGCGGTATGCCGGTTGACAGTCCGTTCGCAGTGCCGTTCGGTGTCGGTATTCGCTTTGCGATGTTCGGGTTGAGATAGTTGTTGTATGCAACGCCGTTGGAGGTGGTGGATGTGGGCGACGAGGACGACGACGACGGCTGTGAGGTTTGCGACTGCGACGACTGGGACTGCGACGGCGAGGGCGGAGTTTGATGAAGAGGTTGGGAGGTTGTTGGCGGGGATGAAGAAGCGGCGTCCATGTTGTGCTGGATGTCTGGAGATTGATATCTTATATACTTAGTGGGCGCCCCTCAGCCAGCAAAAAAGCTGGCAGCAAGCACGGAGCGACTAGTCTCGGTGKGTCTGAGTAGCTGCAGAGAGAAAGAATCAAGGCAGAGAAAGCAGCATATGGTGAGTTGGCGTAGACTGACAGCTAAGGAGCTGGTGGATAGAAAATCAGGTGAAGCTTGAGGACGACGCTGTCTTAACGAAAAGATGAGTCAGTTAGCCAGTCAAGCAGCGGCGGGCGGCGKCACCACYGTCTTGTCGCCTTCTCGGTCTTGTTGCCGCTGAGCTAATTTTAAGCAGCTTTCTATTATTCGCGAGTAAAAGTTGTAACGTCACGGCACGTTCGGGCCTCCGCCGGACTGTTTCGCTCCGTCAACTCAATAGATCAAAAGTGAGGCGCTTGTCTTTATAGTCGGTCGCTGTATCGCTGTACTAGCACCGGATTTTATGATCCCGTATTTTGCAGTCAGCAGAGTATGTGGTGTACCGAGTACAAATTGGAACAGGACGCCGTGTACCGTGTAGAGTACAGTATGATGGTATTCAGAACGAAATTGTTGGATTAAGTTCTATTGTTGAGATAGATCAACTCTTTGGGGCGGTGGTCAGTCGATGAAGTCAGTCATGAACGCTTCTTTCGTCAGTGTGGACCGCTCCCGTATACAATACTACCTTCGCTACTACTTAACATTGAACGATATCTTGCACATCTCTGCTTTTATTTTGAAAGCACGATTGGGAAAAGAAACTCATTGCGCTTACTCAGACCCTGTGTAGTAATATGTACTGTTGATACGAATAAGTTCTAAAAACTCCGAGCACTCCGTCGTCGACTTGTTCGCTAGGTGTCACTGTCGCGGGAAGATCCCGCTGGGGCCGGAGTACTCATTCTCGTTGAGATGATGGCAATGTACAAACACGCTCATTGATAGCCTTGAATTCGCATTCTGTCGGTGCATTCATTGGCTCCAAATGTGCGTAAACGATATCGTCCGAATAGCTCACTTTCGCATATCATATGGCTTGGCGACTAATAAAACCATGCCAAGTCATGTATGTCTACCACACAATGGACGATATACTCCCTTGCTGCCTGGTCTTGAAAGGGAGTATGTCGTTCAGTGCGTATATCCGTTAAGCCCATTATCACGACCTGTACGCGACTGCTGGCCGTCAAGCAAATCATCAGATAAGAGACTGAAAGAGAGCATATCTCGGACACCGATGCTTAGCCAGCGACTTGGCGGACATATTTCCTCCCTTTCTCTTGATTTTTTCGATACTTTCAAGCATGCCAAGATCTCGTACGACATTCCGCCACGAATGTTATCACGCCTTGCGACGATCGCCAGGACTTTGTGTAGCCAGCCGGCAAGCCAGGGCGATACACATGTCGGAATGGCTTGGCTGTCCTTCCATCCACCGGGGCTGACTGAATATTGGGAATTTGTGGTTTCCGCCCTTCTTGGCGGGGAGGAAAGGGTGTGATGGCTGAAAGAGGTCGTAGAAAGTCTTGGCTCGATCATTGCTTTTAGTCGAAAGGCGCCGTACACTGTAGCAAGCTCCTTTCTATGCGAATAGCGAAATGACACCCTCCAAACTGAACTTGCTAGGCTACAGCTTCAGCGTCAACCCAATCAAACTCGCATACGCAGCAACACTCAGCGCCGTCAAAAACACAACCGCATTCCCACTTGTCCTAAATTTGCGTCTGTGAAGTCCATCTTCTCCAATTTCCGAGAAAAATTGTCGATTGCCTTGTTGCCGACGATAGACACTGATTATCAACACACCCGTGCCGTACACCGCGAAGAGAGCACCAATACCGTAAAACTCTGCTGTAAACACCTTCAAAACGATGAGCGCAAAAGAGAACGACGATAGGGCGGTGCGGATGTAGGMGCCTTCAAAGGTGCGTTGGGCGGCGCGCATTTCGACCAATTCGTCGGAGGTGAGGACGGCGGAGCGAGCGCGGTGTAGCCGCAGGCGATAGCGGTCTGCTGCGTGTCTCTGTATGGAATTAGTTTGGTCTCTGTATGCAATTGATACACTAGATTTGGTGAGGACAAGGCATACCTCGAACATGATTGCTGTATGCTCCTGTCAACTAGAATGTGAGGGGTTTAGATTGAAGATAAGATCCGAGGGAAGTCACGTTTGACTTTGGCGGCATTGCTCATATGACGCACTAAGACTATTTTGACCATCCCAACTTCCTCTATGTATTTTTATCAACCAAATATTCTTCACTTTTAATCTATATGTACTTTACGAAAATAGGACTAGTTACAACCTTAGCACCGCTCCACTCACGGCCTACAAAGTAAATCGCTCGTTCTTGACCAGCTTCCCCTCCAAAGTCGACAGTACCTTGAACCCGCCGAGGAAGCTCGATATCGGGAATAGCTTCAACCCGAACAAAAGCTTCGGCAGATCCACCAATATCAATCTGCTCACCCCCTAATTTGCTGGCTTCAGCCCATAAGGCCTCGAGTTTGAATGATGGTTGGGCTTTGTGCGGGTTTCCAGCCAGGGCATCACCGACCTTGACGTATCCGCCTATCGTTCCGGACGCTGTGATTGATACTTCTGACGAGGGTTCAGCAAGGAATATGTTGACTCCGTCGACATCACCACTTGTGCGACTATTGAAGCTGACAGATCGGTCGCTTGTCTGGATTGATTGATCTTCTGGGTTGTCGTCCAGACCACCAAATGGCTCGATCCTGTCAATTGTAGCAGATCCCCCGATATCAATGTTACCAGACCAGACAGCTTCACGATAACGATCAAATAGTCTTGCACCACCCCACGTCACTCGAAGCACGGTAGCTGGCTTATCAGACTCAGACCAGAAATGGCGCTGCCATATTCTTCCAGAAGCATCAAAGGCCTCGATGGTTGAAAAGCCTCTATTACCAAGGAAGTGATAATCCAGCACTAAAGGACTTTGTGCCGACTGTTCAATCTCATCGCCTTGGATTGCGTTTGTCTCTTTAGCCGAGACTAGGCCAACTAGTCGCTGACCAGTGGTTGCAAAAGTATGTCTGGCACGTAATGTATCTGCAACACTCTTGCGATCCAGTTTTGGCGACAAAATTCCAGTCAATCCGCCACGTGTGCCAAAGACTGCGGTACCGGGCACCCCTCCACCACATCTACCTCTGTGCTCATCAGAGTTTGCGCATACGCCTAGTTTCCATCCGCGACGGACTGCGTCTCGAAGAAGCCATTCGAATTGTCCCCAAGCACTGCCTATCTCGAGCAGTCTTTCCAACTTTGGGTGATGCCAGGCGAGGTTGCATCGACGACCGCCAACGTGAGGAATCAAAAGAGTATTTTCCGCATCGTGCGCATATGTAGCATAAACTTCATCAAGTGGCCATGCACCCGGGACAAGATCCTCGGGACCATCTTCAGACCACTCAAACGAGCGAGCGACATTTCCATGTCTGTCGTAAGGAAACTCGGGCGGACTCGTCGCCGGGTCCGCAAGAAATACAACATTGTGGTCACCACCTGCAGCAGAATTTCCGCACCATTCGGTACCGGGGAATATGACGAATTTGCCTGGTTCATTGAGAGATTGGATAAGCTTTATTGTCGCTTCCCATTTCTGCTGGGTGATTTGAAAATCGTTCGCTGTGTATCCGAGAACATCCAAGCCGGCAATTTCTCGTCCGTACGAAAAGTTGTAAACTGATGATTCCGTACCCACTGTATCGTCTGAGTGAACATGCAAATCGCCGAACAATACCTTGGGAATGTTGAGACTAAAGTCAACCGTAAGATACGTTTCATTTCTAGCAATAACGGCGCCATCAGAAGTCAAGAGTTTGACTTCAACAATATAGTCACTATTTCCTAACTTGATATTCTCAAAGATGGCATTCAACCACTTTCCACTGGCAACTTCTGTATGCCATTGGTGTTGTGGCCATTCTGGTTTCGCTGTCTGTCGTATCGCCAGGCTCATTGTCAAACCTGGGGTAGCTCTCGCGACATTGCCCCATTTATCTTCAGCGTGGGCATGAATAGCAAAAGGTTGATCCGGCTGCACAAGCCGTGGCAAGACAATATCCAGTTTTTTGACGGGGCCCGCAACGATGTCCCATGATATATCTGGTCGGATAGGGGCAAACCGTCTGACTTGTTAGTCAATGTATCTTTCAGTGCTGCGAACAATGAACCTACGAGGTGCCTACTGGATCAATATAGAACCGCCATCGAAACCCAGACTCGACGAATGTCTGCGCTCTCGTGCCCTTTCCACCGAATTGACGATCGCCTAGTCGGATGATGATACGATCTCCGGGATTTAGGTAGCCATCCTGTATGTCGACGATCACTGCTTTTTGAAAGGGTCTCTCATGGCCCTTTTGGTCGAATCGAACACGTAGAGACTGAACGGTAGCCGGTGTTTGCCCTGGCAAGAGGGAGTTTGCAGTATACTCGGCACTGACATAATTATCTGCAGAGGGGTCTGACGTTTGGAAAAGAGCCCAATCCTATTGAAACCGGGATTAGTAGTTGACTGAATGAATCAAAGGGCAGGAGCATGCGTACAGAATAGAATTTGAAGGTTCCCTTGATCCACGCGCCATCTGCCAGACCGGAAGCACCGACTTCATACACAATGACGACTTCGGTCCATTCGCCAGCTACAAGAGTCTCAATGTTGCTGTTCACCGAGCCGAGAAAAGGTAGATTTTTAGTATATTCATAGAATCCAGTTGGCGCGAAATACTCGCCGGCAACTTGACGCCTTTCAAGCCCGTCCAGGTACTTCATTGCAACGACTGAGCTTCAACCTGAGTTCGAAGAAACCAAAGGAGGGGTAGGGAAAAAAAGAAATACGAAGTGGTGAGCATTGACTCGTTAGCAATCGCGGCTAACAGTGCTTCTTTCCCGATCTGGCAATATGTCGGCCAGCGGGTAAGAAGGCAGCGTGACACAGTGGATCTATCACGCCATTCTCAGCACCAGAGCGTCGGGACACTACTTGCAAGCAATTGAAAGAAACAAGAACAGAGAGATATCCCACACATGGGAATTCTCATTCCTCTCGCCAACATCAACACATTCACTATGCCTTCGTTCAACTTTCGCGCTCGCATGAAAGCGCTGGAAAAAGAGGCTCGCAACGATGTGAATCTTAACAAGTTCTACTCTCTTGTTGGCAAGGCAGTCTCTAGGGCTCCTTGGGCTGGGAAGACGTACCTGAGCTCCAAGGTGCCGATTGTGCAATGGATCGGACATTATTCGCCGTACTGGCTGGGGAATGATCTCTTAGCTGGTATGCATGAGTAATGAATAACAAAGTATTCAACGCTAATATGAACACGAACAGGAATTACGATCGGAATTCTGCTAGTACCGCAGAGCCTCGCATACGCCAAAGTCGCCAACATCCCGCCTCAGTATGGTCTGATTTCCAGCTGGTTGCCGTGTTTGTTCTATGCGATTATGGGTACTTCGAAAGGTTAGGCTCTCTTTACCAATCTCCAATATATATACTGAGTGCAATATAGATGTCACGGCAGGCCCTACCGCAATTATGGGTCTATTGACCGGCGAGATTGTCGCCGATCTCGTCAAGGACGGATACTCTGCGGCCGTGATAGCTTCCACGGCTGCCTTCTGGGTTGGCATCTATTCTTTAGTCTTGGGACTCCTCCGGCTCGGATTCCTCCTTGATTTTATCCCCACACCAGTCTTATCCGGCTACGTTTCCGGTGCCGCCATCACAATTCTCCTTCAACAGCTTAAGGGACTCTTTGGTCAGACTAAGACCGGCAGCGACACCGCTGGTGTGATCCGCTACTTCTTTCGTCTCTTGCCACAAACCAACTGGCGTGACTTTTTGATTGGATTATCCGGGCTAGTCATCATATTCGGCCTACAATTCGTAGGACGACGATGGGGTAAACACTATCGAGCATTGTGGTATCTTTCCGTGGCTCGAAACGCTCTTGTACTTGTACTGTTCACTGTGATTAGCTGGGCAGTGAACCGCCACCGCCCTTCCGCCCCTTTGTTCTCAATTTCCAAAGTCACGGGGACAGGTATCCTGTCACCCAAAGCCCCGGATACAGATCTCCTCACCAAAGTCGCCGGACGCAGCATCGCTGTGTTTCTGGCTGCAGCCCTCGAACATTTGGCGATTGGGAAAGCCTTCGGCCGTCACCACGGCTACGTAATCGACCAAGACCAAGAACTCAACTTCATCGGGCTGGTTAATCTGTTCGGCAGCTTCTTCAGCTGCATGCCTATCACAGGTGGCTTCTCGCGCACAGCCGTCAATTCCGAGTCCGGTGTGAAAAGCCCACTGAGTGGGTTGGCAACGACAGCATGCGTGCTGATCAGCATCTACAAACTCAGCGATGCATTCTACTGGATTCCTTCCGCCACACTATCTGCAGTCATTGTGGCAGCGGTATGGCAAATCGTGCTCCCCGCACGCGTGTTTTGGGCATATTGGAAAGTCTCCTTTGCCGACTTCTTCGGCAGTATGATTACCTTTTGGATTACGTTGTTTGTCAGCGTCGAGATTGGCATTGCCTGCGGGGTTGGCTACAGTCTTGTTTATATCTTGTTGCATTTGGCATTTACCAAGGTTATGTTGGTTGATAACGACAACCTCGGGCAGTTGTATCCCTCGTCGTCAAGATCTTCGGAGCAAGAGGGGCTACCGGATGATACGATGCTCTTCATGATCCAAGACTCAATCCTGTACCCCAACGCGGCGCGTATCTCGCGCCAGATTTGCGATTATGTATACACTTACACAGCTAGTGTTCACGAGCAATCCGCTTCTTCCTCTTCTCTTGACCGGCAAGCCACGGAAAGTCATCAGAGACTATGGAACGACACCAGAACTCACCACGCAACCCGCCTCCGCCGCGAAGCTTTCCCCTCATCTTCCTCCTCCGATCACCCGCCCCTTCGGATACTGAGCAAAGTGATAATCGACCTCACCCGTGCAACACATATCGATACCACAGGCCTACAGGCCCTAGACGATATGCGCAGTCAGATTCTTGATTGGGCTGGTCCCCGCGTATCAATCAGGATTGTGGGCGCGAATAAGAGGGTTCGCGGTCGGTTTGAGAGGCATCATCGGCTCTCAAGACGTAAGCACGCGGAAGAGGGTAGAGGTGATGGAGATGCGCCGTTGGAGGCGGGGTATCAGGTTTTTGAGCTTTTGCAGGATGCACTGGCAGGTAGGAGGGTAGCGGGGGAAAGTGGTGAGGAAGGGTTGGTGGTTGGTGAGGAGAATATAAAAGGGGTATAAAGCTGGACAACTCGAATGTGTTCTGTATATGATACATAATTGGTGATTTATAATATCTAGGTGCCTATGCTCGCCAGTCTAGATGCAGCTTTCAAATGATGGTCCAGATTTCAATAGGTATCACTCAAGTCGTATCAGAGAATACAATTCCAAAACGCCATATCTATCCTTGGATTATTTGATTTGAATTACAGAGTGGCAGCGATCGACACGCCTCATTAAAGGTTCTAGAAAAGAATCAGATCTAGACACGTAGTATCGTATAGGTAACCTAATTATTTGTGTTTCAACCTCTCAAGGTTCTCACTCGTGTGAGGCCATTGTGAGCAGGAATGTTGGGTCTAGAGTTCTAGATGTCACTCTGACAGCTTGGCCTTCTAACGCCCAACACTAACCGAAGGAATTGAGCGGCTGATTCTGTGTGTCAATTTCTCCGCTAGGAACCTAAGAATAAGGATACAAGGATGCAAATAATCGGCGCAAAACTGAGATTGGGGTAGATTTTCCAGAGCCAGAGTTGACTCTGAAGATGGAAACCTGTACCTAGATTTACATGGAAGCGTCAGATCATGTTGAATAGTATGTTTATTTGCATGGTCTTATAGAACAATTCTGAAGAACTAGCTCCATGGATCTCCAGCCAAAAGGTCGTTGAATCCGGGTTATGATTTTTGCACATCCGTTTTAGCCCCAGGGTTGGCGATCCTCCCGAGCTTCCGTTGCTTGTACCACAGGGGCGATACTACATCCCTATACCCCATAGCCCGTAAATGATGACCAACATGTCAGCGCCGATCTTAGCTTTGGTACCTGACATATATTCAGGGTATGAACCAATAGAAATGTGCATCTAGGCATGTGTATGATCGCCGGTAGACGAACGACTGCTTTATTGTAACTACAGTATGTACTTGTTGGTGTACTCTGTGCACTTGAATATCACCGCATCGTTACATCCACTTGATACAGGCGCGAAGGCACTGAGAAAAGACAGTATACTCCCATACTGGAGTAAACAGCATTCTAGTTCAGGATCAAAGATATAAAGCAGACTATTGATCTCCATTCAAATGATCATTTCTTTCCTCTCTATCATCATCAACATCACCACCCAAACCAATTCACCTAGAACTATCATATCTTATTGAAAGATCACCAAAATCAACAGTCAAAATGTTCACCTCTAAAACTATCATCGCCGTCCTCGCCGCCATCGCGGGCCTTGCATCCGCCGCTCCTTCCAAAGCCTCCTCCTCTTCCTCATCGGCCATCCCCTCCCCCTCTACCACCCCTTATCTGACAACATTCTACCTCCGAAATACCGCCATCACCAACGACAGCGGCTGCGTCGTCGAAGTCGACTCGTACACCGGCTGCGACGAAGTCGCCGTTCTCAGCGGCACTCAAAACTGCTCTGACATCCAGGGAACGATCTCCCAGCCGCTCTGTGGAGGCTCATCTGTCACTGCTGATTTTCAGGGTGGCGACCGAGGAACTCATCTTTCGTACTATGATGAGAACCAGACGCTTGTGGCTTATTGTATCTTGCCGTCAAATCCGGGGGCGTCGGCGAAGTGTGCTACGACTGATTAGATTTTTTACTTCAACTGTGTCAAAAAGTACGCATGCCGCGTCGTTCCTGTAATTTAGACGAAATACTAATTGAGTTGGTAGCAGGGTGCGCTTTATATAGCCTGTATGGATGACCTAAACTCTTACAATTTTGATGGCAAATGAAAAGTATTGCAAGAGGAGATTGACTTGTACATTGTGTTTATCAGGGCTTGCATTCAACGGTTCCAAATGCACTGAACAGTTATCGGGGCAACTATATTTGGTTTTTTCCATTGTACTTTTTGATGTGCATACATATAGAGCTATGATAGTATGAAATTAGGAAAAGCAATATATAGACATGAGAAAGCAATGACTGAGCCTGCGGTGTCGCCGGAGATGATGATGTGGTCGTAGCTGTCTGCGGCCATGGTGTAACGTTCGTTGGTACTGATCTGCTCAGGGTGGGACCTCGGGATTTACTTTCTTTACTGTCTTTTTATTTTGCTTTGGTTCAATATCGACCTGACGGGGGTGAGAAGAGAAGAGAAGAGAAGAGACGGATAGCCTGGATGCCATATTTATGAGAAAATAATGTCAAGGAACGCGGCGGCTGCCTGAGTGACACGATATCAACCTAAGCTCCATTCGGCTCCTTGTGCCCTTATATAGGTAGAGACGTATACTCACCGAGCACCATCAGTGATTGGCGCTAAGAACAAAGAAATGCATCATTCCACAACTTAACCATGACAGTATCGCAGGTAGGCGCAGTAATGAAAATCTTGAAGCGATTCGTAGGCAGACAATTACGCTTGAGAAGACGCTTGGAGTCTCCTTTCTCCGCAGGACGTCTCAGCCACGATTATGGTCACAAGCGGATTCGGGATCGGTCGGAGAGACATCGGCTCCCAGAACCTAGGACAGCTGGAGGTGAAGCGGAAGGGGGCTGGATTTGAGCAGAGATCGGGTATTTTAGCTTTTGCATGATGCCGTGGCGAGTAGGAGGAAGATACCAAAGAAGTACGAAAGCTTGAGAGTTTAAACATGGTATCTATACAATATATAAATGTCGTTCCATGATATCGTAGAGCATAAGCCCTCTCTAGTTTATACAGTCGTCTCCCGCTCGCACGCTCTAGATGCAAGATATACAACAAAAAGTCCAACGCCAAAGTCATCTACCTTCTTCTCTAGGTAATTCGTGTCAGAGAATAGAATTCCAAAACGCCATGCCATGTGATTGAATCCAACCCGCCAACCATGCAACCATAACAACAAAGAAGAATTAAAATTGATCAGACACCGCCGTAATCGTTACCACGGCTTGTATGGTCACCAAGTAGAGACTGGGTCTCTCCAGAATTGCTACGAAGATATTTGTTCAATTCGCCAGATGGAATCCACCCTCTCATCCACCCGCTTACGCGTCTCCATCGCTTGTGACCAGGGTCCTCTGGGTCATCCACCGTCACAAGCGGCTCGTCGCCTCGGTCACCATATATCAAAAACTGTACGCCCATAAAGGCGTCAAGACTCAAAACGCCAGCTGCACCGAGGAAAAATGGTGTTGCGAGAGCGACCCATTCGACCCGGTCATTGCCGTTTGCATCGGCCCATCCACCTCCGCCGTAGGGTGGATAATCGTACCATGCGTTGGGGTTGGTGAGGAGTGATGCAGAGTAGAAGAAGTTTCCGGAAAAGGCGGCCATGAACAACAAAGGCGAAAGACCAGAGGTGCTTTTGCGAAGGTAGTTCTTGTACAGTTGTGGAAGCCGTGAGCCGAGATAGAGAATTGTAGACATCCAAGACAAAATTCGGCCAATGGTTTCGATATCCATATTGTGAGGGTCCTTAATAGAATCAAATACTGAGGGCAAAGGCGAGTGAGGAGATGCAACGGACGACGGAGTTGGAGATGCGTTTGCCAGTACAGCGCACAACATCGACGTCATAAGAACGGTTCTCGGCGACACACCTAGTGGCATACTTCCAGAAGGAAAACCGGTGCCACGTGCACGTCGATTTTCAAACTTTTCCGAGTATGACGGCGAGTAGAAGCGGGGAGGAGAGTTCGCATTCGTTTTGAACAGCCCGACATCCTTAGGTTCCGACGGGCGCATTGTTTGCGGTTTCACATTATTTGCTGGTTGGTCCTCGTCTCTGACGCGAATCCCATCATAGATCGGAGCATGATCTTCGTCAAACGAGCAATTGACACTATCCTTCCCTTTGTCCGTCTTCTTCACGTGTGTGTACCAGTAGTACTGAATGACGAGTACGACATCCACGAAAACGTAGTACGAAGCGATCGTTACTTGCCACGTCGCCTGACGAGTGAATAAGGCACCGACCAGATTCGCAGTATCCCCTAGACACCATTCAACTAGGAAAAATGCCGATAGCCCTGCGGTCGACTGTAATTTGTAGTTCTTATAAATCTGAGGTAGTTGCGCGAATAGCCACGAGACAATACTCAAACAACCGAGTATAGACGATATCAGACCCAATTCATTAGGAATGCATACATGTAACGCGGACGAGAGAAACGCTAGGAAACTGGACGAAGGTTCGCAGTGCTGTGGTAGCGAGTATCCGGTGAGCGAGGGAAGCAGAGAACCAGCGGGGGACGACATCTCCACGGTCCTGGACTCAAGCCGGTAATGAGCAGATGTTGATGTTCTGATAATGACAGTATAGTCGCTAGAATAATTCAACAGATTTGGAATGAGAGTATATATAAGTTCAGCAGAGTCCAGCTGACTCTGAGTCAGGCTGATCTGTGGGTGTGGAGATAAGGCGCGTGACTGCGTTATCGGACTCCAAGATGCACTAGGTAGATAACAGCGGAGTGCGGGTTAACCTTGAAATGTGGAACGGTCACGCGCGATGGGAGAGTTGCGTTGCTGGACTCGTACGTAGTATGGAGAGGAAAAAAAAAGAGGGTGTATAGAAGAAGGAGAAAAGAATGTGATGACATGGAGGAAAGAAAAGGGAATGAGAATGACAAAAAAGCAAAGTGAGGCGATGTGTTGCATCGCCCCAATTAGGCAGGAGGGTCCTTCCGCAGCCGCGATTTGCGATAAGATCCGATCCTCAGGCATCAGAGGCTGATAAGCCTGATCCCGCGGCTGATTCGTTCGTTCCCAATCGCGTTAGTCTGTCGGCCTTCCTGCCTAAGGCTGACATGTCTAGCCTTTTTCGCCCTTTTGTCTGTAACGCACGCTGAGACCCTGAAACGAAGAGGAGTGGGCGGAGCTGTCAAATGAATACTAGTATATAAAAGGGAATGGCAGACAACGACACAGGGCCTGCATCCGGAGACCGGAGGATTTATTTGATCCGCATAGTATGTATGCAGTAATTAATATAGGACCTCCCGCTCGCCCGCTCTTTCTCGGCCGCACTGTCAGCCTTACGACTACAATTTCCTGCTAAATTTTGGTCTTCGACCTCTTGCAAGCTGTTTACAAAACTAAGGGATTTGCATGTTTTGCTTTCATCAAACTTTGTTCTTAGTCTCTAGTACTGATGTCCACTTTTGGCACGTTAGGACAAAGCCGGAAATAGTTTGAGGAAAATAGTAAGAGATGCCGAATTCTTATTACTACTGCTGTCAATGCCACGACGGTCCAAAACTTTATGATGTTCAGCCTACATGCGTTAACTGTGAACATGACCTTTGCTCTTATTGCACGACGGGTAGTATCGAAGAGTTCGACCGCTCCCAGGACCAATCCGCAAACAAGGTGAATTCTGTAACCAGAGATGAAAAGAGGGCAACGGGGGTCGACAGCACCTCGAAGGCATCATGGAAGTCAACCGGAAAAGGGTCAAGCTCACCTATATCATTACCACTTGAGGTTGATAGTGAGGCGCCAGACACCAGATTGAACAATCTGAATACAGGCTCTAAAAATGAAGAGAAACTCATGGAAGATGCATCATCTTATACTCCAACATATGCAGAAATAGTCTTTTCGGACGCTAAAGCAACTTCATCAGCAACTTCACAGTTTTCAACGCCGGACATTAACTCCGTCATCGATGAACTCGTCGTACTACTTGGTCGTGATGAAGCTATTAGGTCTCTGTGCTCCCAAGCAGTGAAAAGAGAGTCAATTGGACGGGAGCGGTTGAAGAAAAATTTGCGGCGTCTATTGAAGCTCTATGCTACTGAGTTAAAAAGCGCTGCGAAAGGATTCCTTCAGAATCTAGCTGCTCAATTTGTGCTGTCTCACTCGCGGTATATCTCAGCTGGTATTATAACATTGTCTGAACTGGCATATCAACCCTCACAGGAAGAGACCTCCGCCTTCTTCGTCGAGACGCGACAAGCGAAGGTGAAAGAACTTCTGCAGAGAATCAACGAGTCCGACTCAGAAGATGATGAGGATACTGGACCGTCTCTTGATACCTTAGAAGGCGTACATGAATTTTTGATTTCCGGCCCGGCATTCGATCATTTGCGAGAAAATATCTGGCACTTTGTCAATGGACAACCAATCATCAGTGTTCAACATGCAACAATGAGTCAACTTAATCACTCAAGATTTTCTCAGAAGAATGCTCACGATAACCAAGAGGAACGAATTTCCCGTCGTCAGCACCTCAAATATGATACGCAGGTTGCGCATATCATGCGGCCTACTCTCTTTCCGTGGGTGACGACTCTCAAGCGGCAGATACAGCGATGGGCGCGGCCCCAAGTCAAGGAAGGCCTCCGACGTTTTGAGTGGAACTGTGTGAGTACTACAACCTAAAATTTACCGTTTAGCGATACTTACCCTTGAAAGACATGCGGAAAAGAATTATACCGCGATTTCGATCAAAACATCGACCCCGAAACCCTTCGTGATTTCCACCATATCTTTGAGCAACAGAAATCCTTCGTTAGAGCAGATGCCACAGGAGAGCAAAAGCCTACTGAGGAGGTATGTGATTCTCTCGATGAAAGTGGAATTGGAAATTCCCAGTCACGCGACGTACAGACTGTACCTGATCGATCAGATAATCAACCGCACACCACCAAGATGCCGACCCTTAGGCATACCAGCAACAGTCTTCAGCTGAGTCCGCAGGTAGGATGCAAAACATCGCCAACAAGACAAGGCCAGCCAATCAAGCCGAAATATCTGGAGTTGTGCATAAATACGGGGCAGTATTCCACCAGTCTGGGAGAAATCGACCTGAGTCATGTAAAGAGCGACGGCGAGCTTTTTATCAAAATTCGAGAACGATATCGTGAAATGCGTCCCTTCCGTCTACGAAGGATTTTTTCTAAGCCTGTCGATGTCCATTTTGTCCGTGTAGGTTTTCCCCACTGCTTTAAAGGGCCTGCAGCAAATAATCTGAATATCTCTCGTGTCAGTTTTGCCTACAGCGGACGTATCAAGTTGGTATCCACGGTAAACCTATGGAAATGCCACCGGAGGAAGAGGTGAGGAAGAATCACTATGAGTTCAACTGCCCCCTCCCTCCTCCTATGGGACCGCGAGAGTTTCTACATTACTTTTACTTCTGTGAGGCGGGTGCACATCCGCACTCGACTTATTTAGAACGACTTCCCAAGAAATTGGAAACGAGCATGTATCAGCTCCAGCCAGAAGGGTTAACATTCGGGTGGGGGATACATATCATTGAAGGCCCCAACAAGGCAATATTGAGTTGGGCGTGTTGCTTGATTTTGTTGTCAAGCTTCGTGGTATCGGTGACATATGCGGTCGTAATGAAGACACAGGAGCAAGGATTTGGCATCGGTCAGTGGATGGTGGCTGTTCTGTGCGCTGCCCTATCTGCGCTGTACTACCAGTGGGAAGACATCTGATGACACCAGGACTGACAGTTCTGAAAACGTTGGAAATCCGAGATACTGTTTGTTCCTAGGTAACAAAGTCTTTCCGGCACAGCTACCTGAGACTATATATAGTGGGCCTGGCTCGCAGGCCGGGTTCAAACCCCTTTCATCCCCTTTGGTCGTTTCAGAGCACTTGGACATTCTACGCTTGACAATGACATAAATCAAGAAGATGGATTTCCCTGGGTATCGTATACTGCATATATATTCACTACCATATCCCACTCGCGATCGCTGTTACCAATACACTCATTAAGCTCATTACTCCCCAAGACACATATGCCGATCGACTTCCAGCACTTTCGCCGCCGAGTATATCAAACGCGTCCCCGACGCCCCCGAATCCCTTGGCTTCTGTATTCGACGAAAAAGATGACGTGCTCTTCGCGCTTGTTATTGTCGACGAAACACTACTCGTCGTTGACGTAGTAGTAGTTCCTGTGAATGAAAGCGTCAAATCTGTGATTGACGTTGCTGAAGGCGATGATGTCGTTACTGATGATGGAATTGAAGTAGTAGCACTCGTCGTAGACAAAACCGATGGATGAGTCGTTGTTTCCTGCACTGCAATGGTGGTGGTCGTCGAGTGAACACTCGTCAAGCTCGTACTGGTAACACTAGTCTTCACAGCCGTCGCAGTCGCAGTCGTCGAATCCGCCATCGTAGCAGTCTGAGTTGTCTGACTACTCCCGCAGAGCGCAGAAACACCGAATCCTGCCAGAAATTCACCAAGCAATGTATTGCTACTAACTCGGGCCTCGGCGCACGCAACCAGTATCTCAGCGTTGATTATATTCACGCCGGCGAGACAATTCCGTGAGCAGTCGTTGGGAGCTGTGAAATCCGTTTTGGTGCAGCCGGGGATATCTTCTTGCCATACATTTTCGCAGGAGTCTGAGAAGCCCTGTATTTGTTGGAATTGTGATAAGCTGATTGACACCACGTGTCGAGACAAGAATAAAAGTATCAATTGTAGAGATAGTATAGGCGTTGTTGTTTGCCGAACAATCATATTGTTTGCCTTCCTCCGCAAGTTGAATGAAATCACCAGGATCGTTGTACTTGATTCGAACAACAATAGGAAAAGGCAGTACAAGCCTCTTAAGATGATGAAAGAGTGTTGAAAGCGTACTTGGCCAAAATTGGGGGGTAAAATGGCCGGCTGCGACAGACTCTGTCTGAGACGTCCCGATCAGGGCTTATGACGAAAATACCTCGACAACTCGAAGCTCCGAAACAGCAAAACGTCACTAGTTTAGAATCAATCGATTGAATATACCAGTAAAATATGAGACTGGTATCACCCAAATGCCGAAAATAATAGTCGAGTATGAATCTCTGGAAACGTAAAAATGAAATAGATAGTGTAAGAGGTTGCAATCGACCAGCGACTTGCAGTATTGGATGACTTGATAGCTGACACAAACCGCGAAAAACAATTGGAGAAGAAAAGATGTAAAGCGCAAACAAAAGAAGAAAAGTATTTGTGATCTGTGGTCAAGGCTAGATATTATTCATGTTTCAGATGTTTGACGAGTCATGACGCCGCAGATACAATAGGTCAACAACCGTCCAGCCATCCAAGCCCTAAGAGCTCGAAAGATCGAATACCGCAGGCTGAAATACAGTAACGATGGCCAAATTCCGTAACGATAAGCAAAATACCTAATCGATCGCGTACCATTGATCCTGAAAATACTACATTCGTAGCCATAATCCAACATAATTGGTCACACAACGAGTATAGCATACCGCCAGTTCGCCACAAACGTAACGTTATAAACCGTCCTCCTTGCGTCCAGCCCGTCTCACTATTTCGATCACGAGTACGGGAGACTGGAGAATACGTAGTAACGTAAAGCACGAGCCAATGGTTTGTTCCGAAACCAGAAAAATAAATATTATCCCCCTAACGTCAGAACTAGCGAGTTGTGAGACATCCAATGACGCAGGGTGGAAGGGGGTGTTGGGGTTCATCTTCAAACTAGGGGGTTCAGCCGCTGGCGAATCATGGCGTTGCTTGAGGCGCCCTGGCAGCGTCGCGTTTTGTACCTGGCCTTGGCTGTGGAGAAAGGTACATGTAGGGATGCAATAATTGACATTGGATCTATTGCTGTGACTGCTTTTCAGACTTATAATAACAATGAAAGGTCACAATGCGTTCGACCGGTGACAACATCAACGACGAATGGATGCAGTTAGGGCTAGCACGCCGGAAGCCCTAAGACAAAATTATCGAACTTCCGAGGTCGTGTCTGTATCGACAACCTTCGCGTAAACCCGTGCAGGATTATTTCTTCAATCTGTATAATCTCTTTCCTGAGGGTATATTCAATTCTATATGCAAACGTGGCGAGGTATATAAGAAAACAGCGAACATGCCGCGACAAAACAAGATGTTTCAATACTTGCAAGATGATAAGAAACATCCCTACAATATCAGTGGAGCGAATAAAATGTCCTCGTTACACAAGCCATATACCTGATCTTGAAGCTTTGGCATCGAAGCGTCATGCATAAAATGCCATTATAATTGATTTTATGTAGTCTCCCTCAAAACAGAGCATTTCGTACACCATGCTTCGATTCGTTTATACATCTGTACAGCAAAATTCCATTCTACATATTTCAATATGCTATCGATATCGATTTCCATAAGTTTCTGGATATTTTGTAGTACATCCACTTGGTTGGTCCGGATGTCGGTTGGTTGGTAAATCTACCAGCGTAGCTTAATCCTGCCTCTTTCCAACGTTATATTTGAAACCTTACAGCCTCCATGATCCACCATATTTTCTAGGAATCCTGGTAGTGACACCATGTGCATAATATAATATGAGGAAGAAAAAAGTCTCAGGAACCTTTTCAATAACCGTGGAATATTTAGCACAGACAAGGAGTAATTCAGAGGAGATAATTATTGAGACCCATCCTAGTTTTCGCTATGCACATTAAACATCTAAATAATCTATATAACTCCCTTTCCATCCGCAAAAGTCTTGTTCACACCAGAGGATTCGGGGGCCATGAATTGGACTAATGCGCTCTTGTCAATATATAGTGCTGACCAGCGGACCCAATACTGATAAATTAGTATTCGAGCATACCTAGGTACCAGGCGATGTTACACCCAGCTTCGACTTAAGTACTATGAGCTCTCGAAATTATTCAACATTGAATGAAGCTATGTCAACCTGAGATCGTTGGCGGTTGGATCAATTAGTTAGATACATCATATTCCGCTTCTTCGTGTACGTCCGGATCTCAAGGACTTCACACGACACTTATTAACCCCTCGTATGTATTATTGCCGTACTGTGCATGACTATGGCACAAAAGGACTGTTTGGGCACGGCGGCACAAAAAAGTTCAAATCATCCGGATACGTAGTCCCATTAGGACTCGTAATCGTCAATCTATTCAAAGCCGGCCCATATCCATTCGCATAAATAAATGTAATCGGTAAAAACTCGCCAGCCACCATCTCATAAGCAAATGTATGCGGAAGACCAGCCGGTTGCGTATAACTAACGCCTCCGTCGGTATTGTTATTCTCGTAGCTGCTATATGCTTTCTCCCCACCCCAGAAGAACAGAGCGTTGTCTTCAAGCAGATCAGGGGCAAGGGTATAGTTCCCTGTTTGAGTGGCGTGCAGATAGCCCTGGAACACCACGGTCCATTGCGAGCAATCAGTTGCAGCGGGTTGGCCTGGTAATTGGCACAAGATTGTGGAGTAGCTGGGGTAGTTCTCAGACTCGAAGTTGATCTGTTGCGTTGTGCCGTTTGTGTAGTAGCTGTAGTTACCGTTCCAGTCTGCGGTTTCGTAGCCTCCGCCGCCATAGCCGCAGGTTAGGCAGCCTTGGTCGCCGTCGGGGTAGAAGTAGTCGTTTAGGTATTGGTAATAGTTTACGCCTGTATCAAGCATCAGTTTCAATAGTTGATCGTCCTTGAATTTGGGGTATTGCTAACCTCTGTAGGCGCTAGGGGTCGGTAGGATCCATGTTTCAGTGACGGTCTTGACAATGGTAGGTGTAACAGTTGTGGTAGCAATGCCGCTGGTGGTGACTGTGTCGGTGTCAGTTCTATAATTACAGTCAGTAATGGGCAATGATAGTTAGTATACAGTAGGTAGCCCTCATGAGAACTAACATTATATCAAAAGAGCCGACAACCTCTGTACAAGGATACCCTGTGATCGTAGGGGGGACAATAGTCACCGGACTACAGCCTGTAATTGTTGCAGGAGCAACATCACGCTTCTGTAGAGGAAGTCCGAGGAATGGATATGGCTTGATCGTTGTTCCGGTAGGTAGGCAGTCGATAGCTGTAGGTGTATAGCTTGTAATGGATACAGTATCTATTGAGATCTATACCTCAGTCAACAAGTATCTCATACAACAAAGGGTAAGACCTTACTGATGGTAGACCTGTCCGGGTGACTGTGATTGTACCCTGTGACCGAGTTAGTAAAAATTTGACTGCATTTGTCCCCCGAAAACGTACAGTGGTCACCGTCTCAGTTGTAGTGACGGTGTAGTCTCCAGACAGAGTAAAGGTAGTTGTGGTCTCGCAAAATGGCCATGGAAATGGCAGGGTAAATGCAGACGCAATGTCCACAGAAACAAGAAAAGAGGATATGAACATAAATAGCAACATGTTTGCGTTAAGGAGACTAGTCTTTGTATGGTGAGATCTTGATTGCTTGCTTCAAGAATTACAGCGATAGAGGACTTCATGACATTTTAAATAGTTCTTCAGATTGCCTGCTTTTCTGAAGAGTTACACGTTATCTTGAAAACAGTAATATATTCCATGCTCTCAATTCCATGTTTGCCCGATGGTGAATGTGGCTGGCTGGATTCAATCTCTTGTCTCGCCTCATCGTTGTCGTGATAATTTGGAGCTAGCGCTACTTCTCGTGGACTAACTGACATCTATGAATGACTAATATCAAAGATGTCTCGATTAAAGCCATAATGTCAAGCAACTGAAACTGGTTCGTTGCTTTGGAAACTAAGCACTCCCGAGCCCGTATTCGACTGCATTAAATCCGAGTGGATCAGCCAGACCGCATCAACTGAATTTTGAGGTCATGATTTCTGTAATGTATTAGGTGTGATAGATGATGACCGGTGCATTAGTATTATATCTTCTGAGCGATATATGCAACGCTCCGCAAGTCCAATGTCGATAGAACTCTACCGACACCAATGTACATGGAAAGAATTACCTATTTCATTTACGAACGCCACGAAATCTCCCGAACAGGTGTTCGTGAGTAGTGACGGCTTGCGCGATGGGCATGCCCTAAGCTAAACTAGTCCCGTATGTGGCGGGCTGAGGCCTGTCAAATTCTTATGATCGACTATTAAGGTGTCGTTCAGCAAGCCGTCATATTAAATAGTCTACAAACCAGAAGCCAAATTTTAAGCGAACCAGTGATGTTTGGCTGATCTGCGTTTTTGACTGAATATCATGCAACAATGCGTGCCTGGTCATTTGACTTCTACCCCGGTTCTGCAAGTTCATCTCAGCTTTACTTTGGAATTAATTTATTTTTGGACCTTGACCGGAGTAAGTAAGAAGATCATCTCTTTTGTATATATAGGCATAGCAATTGAAGTACTGATGGAGATGGATGGGATATTATAAAGCACGGGAAGCTACATGATCACATCACGTTGCTTAGCTAATGGTTTATACTAATTCATCTGTATACGCATGTTCTTGTAGGTAATACCTGGTAGATTCAATCAATTCAGGTCACCAGATTGATGTATGATAACACCGAATCTTTCAGGCATAATTTACCATAGCATGAGCAAGGTGGCTACTTCCAATCATATGCCCCTTCTGTATGTGTCTTGCCCCTGTCCTATTGTATCGCCGAATCAAACCGTTGCAACCCTTCAGAGTCATTCTCCGATATCAGTATCACTATACAGTGTTCCTTTCGGTTTTGGATGGTGTGAACGTGATTTGTTCAACCTCATCTATTGAATCCGATGATTCTGACTCTGGTCTTTTCATCCTATAACACAAACCCGGTAAGCTGAACAGATCCTCACCACTCCAGAGCTGAATACATACTCATTTTTGGTATATAGGTGTCGAACGAGCAACGTCCACCCAATCAAGCAAATCGAATTCGCAAGACAAAAAGAATACCCCTTTGTAAACCGCGGTGACTCAGTGGTCTTGAACACAAGGAGCCCAATCCAAGCCCTTATCACTGTGGGAGCAGTATTCATAACCACCAACGCAATCGCTCGCTGCTGCTTATCGTGCCTGAGAATGTCGTTTGCCCAGCCATACAAAACACTACTCATAGCAATGTCGAAGAAGTAAATGTTAAAGGCGAACCATTTCGCGGACTCAGGCACGTTCCATACAACTAGGATCGTCATGCTGGTGATGTTTACGATGTGCGCGAGCACTATTGACGCAGTTCGACCGAGCCAGAGGTCGGAGCTGAAGTTAATGAATAGCACGTACAAGATTCCGATGCCAGGAGCTGAGGCGCCGATGCGGTTGACCTCGGCTGTTGAGTAGCGGTTCAAGCTTTCGATCCAGAGTAGGTAACCGCCCCAAGGTTGGGGATCGCTATTCCAGAATAGGATGTTCCAAATTGTCAGCACATATACTCGCCAATTGGTGAAAATGGCACGGAGGAGACCCAGAGAGAATTTTGGTGTGTTGGCGTTGCTTTCGCCGGTGCCGTTTTTATTCATTCTCTCTTGTGCAAGACAAACTTCCTCGTCGCTGAGGAAGAGCTTGTTGGGTATGTCTGGCGTGCCGGGCCAGATGAAGAAACCCGCGATGGCGACGATGAATGTCATTAGAGCGACGATAATGAATTGCCACCTATACCAAGAATCGTTAGATCTGGACGAAAAGAATAGCAAGGTGTGATCTTACCGCCAGCCTGCTAGMCCAGCCACGCCTTCGAGATTTGCAGAGGCTGCACTTTGAATCAAACCTGCAGTGAGGGATCCAAGAGTTAAACCGATATAGAAGATCCCACCACGACGTCCTAACTCATCTGCTCGATCTACAGACAAAGATAATCAGTACTATCGGACTCGGACTATCAAATTGGGTACTTACACCAAGACCCAAGAACGTAATGCACACCGACAAAGAATGAAGCCTAAACGAACAAATCAGAAACCAACCAAATCTGAAAGATAATAAAATAAAAAAACCTCAAATAATCCAATGAAAAATCGATATGCCATAAGCTCCGAATACGTGGTGGCCCGATATTGCAACAGAGTGAATATACCCCATAAAAACTCCATGCCTGGAATCAACCAATTCATAGGGCACAATGGGAAGAGGAACGCAAATGGAATTTGACCTATGACTGAGCCTACTTGGTTTATTGTCTGGAATTGTACAAGTTGGTTGCCGTGAAAGTTTAGGTCGTCTGAAAGACCTGCGACCCATGCGTTATCTTGATTGACTAGGTTTAGACGTTTGTTTTTTTTCTTGAGGGTCAGGGTCTGGTTCAATAACTCACTGATGTTGGAGGAGTCAATGTAGTTGATCCAGAAACCCACGAATGCATATGGGACAATGAGTAGGTCGAGTTTGAAGATGAGCTTTCGCTCCTGTGGTGTATCGGTCTCTGCGTACCACTGGTACCAGGACCGCCCATTTCGTTTGGCGAGCATGGTGAAACCTGAATCTTTGACTGGTGCGGGTTTTTGCGTTGCTTGAGTCAAGAAATAGCTTGTTTGTGAGTCTGGTATGGTTATGTTGTTGTTCTTCGCGTATCTACTTATACTTTACCTTGCTACAAAAGTGTAGACATCGCAATTTATGACCGTAATGTCAACATATACAGGCAGGTAGGTAGATCAGACTCTCATCCCCGAATACAATTACCTATTAGAGACTCTACACCCTGCTTCCACTGTACGCGACTCATGCCCAATCTGTTTGTTCTAGCTATAAAAGTATATCGGGAAGAAGAGCGAGATAAAATCGAGAGGGGTTCCTGCAAGTCACCTTTCAAGCTAAAAGCGCGTGACAGATTAGATTGATAACCTTGATTTATATGAAACGTGAGATGTGCAAAATTACGTGATGGATGGGTTTTATGGTATAAGTGTGGATTAGTTATATCTAGCTAGGAAGCGTACGTACTCTCTCGCCGTTTACCAACAATTAGTGAAGGAAGTATCGTTTCAAAAGTAACCACGGAAGTCTCAAACAGAATTACACGTGTAGCTGTAAAGGCATACTAGGTTTGCTCGATACTAGGAGAGCTGTATCGACGAATTTGAAAAAGCCCTAACTAGCAGCTGAGAAATAACATTGAATTTGATTGTCGAGCTACCTAGGCAGCGTATGTGGTTTTACTGTATATTTATATGCTCTACTACTATATGTGTGTTGTGAGAATAAAAGTGTTTACTTTCTAGTTCGTAAAAAATGATTTAGATTCCTGACATATATGCTCCTTTGACAAATCTGTGGTTAAGATTGACGTTGGACCTCACAATTTTACGTTCTTCTCAAAGTACATATGTTTTAGAGTCTTTTATCACATCAAGGAAATGTACTTCCATTTGTTTCGATGTTACAGGTGCTGGTAGAAGGATCTCAAATATAAACAGCTTATAGTTCCTCCTAGAGTTGGCAACCTGGTGTCTAAGCAAGCAAGCATTCATTTCTTCAATAGTCATTCTCAGGTATTCTACATTAAGCTCAAGGATAAGCCGACTGATGATCTACCAGTACTTCAAAGTGAATGGAACTAATTCTCCCGTGTATGCTCTGAGCGCCTGTCCTCCGTACATCCCAAATTTATGTACCTATTCTGCGGAACTGCTCGTCTCAGCAAAATATATCCACAAGCCCTAGAATTTTGCTGTAACCTCAACCTGCTCTGAAGATGAGTTTGTAATCGTACTCTCTGATGTCTTCTGGTGAAGCCCTTTTCTTTTGATTACAGTCCACATCTGCTGTAATCCGCCGTCAATCAAGGGATAGAATATAGCCACGACGAGAGTGAACCACAGCCATATAAGTGATATGACGATCCAAGCAATGAAGAACTGCATCAAACACAGTTAGTAACATGCCAACTATGGCAGACAAACAAGCCGCTCGACTCACACTTTTCGAAAACGCCATCCTAGCGCCAAACATTGGCACAGGCCACAACAACACATGACCGATGACCGTAAACACAGCCCAGAACGCCGCCCATGAACTCATTCTTTTCAGATATTTGGTTCTCTCCGGCGTGAAGAAACTTCCTTCCTCCTCATTACTACCATGGCTAGCTATACCATCATCAGATTTCACCCTATCAATCTGGCCCAAAACAGCCCAATCAAACTCCTCCCTCTCCCACAACGAAATCCCAACCGTAATCGGCAACGGGACCAAAAACGACGTGATAGTTGCAAACAAACACGGCATGGTACCCCCCGTTGACGCAATAGTAATCTCTCCAAAATAGCTATACGCCGTTCCAAACCAAACCGCTATTCCGCACATCATCCCCACAATGGGTGCTATGATAGCTGCGTTTTTGGTTTGACGGTTCCATAGGAGCGATAAACAGGTTGGGAAGACACCCGGGCAGGTGAGGAGGCCGATCATGTAGAGGAGCCAGGTCATGTCGACGCCTCCCTTGTGGAAGGCTGTTGCTAGGGTTGAGATGAATAGGGATGAGAAGATGACGCCGATGTGAGACCAGCGCAGGAGTTGGGAGTTTGTGGGGGTTGGGTTGATGTATGTACCATATATATCAAATGAGATGATGGAACTGGTGGCGATCATCTGTGCTGAGGCTATTGAGGTCGTGGACATGAAGATAGTAAGTAAAATAGCACCAGCGCCTGCTTTTCCTGCTACGGCCTGCGCGACATATGGCAGGACAAGGCCAGCATTTACCTCGCTGGCCGTCATTGCGTTGGGGTACGTAGGCCATATAGCTGTCTTTTCAAGCGCAAGAGCTCCAAGGCCAACAATCGTACCAAAAGCCCATGGTACAGAAAAGGAAGCAACTCCTCCCAAAACGTAGCCAGGCACAGCAGCAGCAAAATCCGCCGAAAACCCCTTCTGCCAGAACCCCGTATCCATAATAACCGCACCAACGTTGGCAGTAACATGCAATATTCCAAAGAACAAGCACTGATCACTCCTCATAGTCAAATACGAGCCTTGATAATTCCCCGCAACGGGCTTCTCTTTGCCTGCTATGACAACGGCATCGAACAATGCCCCAATAGACCCAATCTCATTCACCGTAATCACCTTGATTGTAAACCAACAAATAATAATCATAATCACGAACGTATGCACAAAATCCGTCAAAAAGGTAGCTTTGAGCCCGCCGAAATAAGTATATACCGCCACACCGAGGGGCAGCAGATACGACGAGGCAATCACGTCCATACCCGTTAATGCGCTAACCGTGGTACTCGATCCAACAATCATACTCGTGAAGACGAATGTATTGTTCAATAAGCACAGGAAAATCCAGAGTTTATGTGCAGATGTGCCATAGCGCACTCTAATGATTTCAAGCAATGTATGTGCGTTGGGGGCACGCCGTTTGGCTTGAATTGCCAAATAAGCCATTAGGGTTACCATAGTACTAGCTGATGCTCCCCACCATACTCCCAGCGCAAGGCCGTAGTTGTATGTTAGGAGTGTAGCTCCCAGGAGAGCAGAACTGTATAACCAGGAGGATATGACGGCACAGGCTGTGAGGCCCGTTCCGATGGTTCTGTTGGCAACCATAAAGGTTTCGGTGCTGTTGGCGTCTTCATTGAAGGTTTTTTTGAGCGTTTTTGTTACCCATATCATTCCTGACTGGTCAGTGGTCTATGTTCAATGAGTGATGGGATGGGCAGCCATACCGAGTGCAAAGGCAACTCCGAGGCCGACCACAACACCGTAGCCCGCCCCTTGAGGGAGGGGAGGCGGTACTTGGCTTGACATTTTGACAGTCTGGCTACCTTTAGAGATGCTGGAAATTTGTTTGTAGTTTTCGACAGTTCAAAATTCTCTCTGAAACTGTTGGACATATGTGTCAACTGGGCCTTGACTGTACCCGACACCGGACTCGCACAGTCGTCCGAGTCGAGATCATTCAATCATTGTATCTTTAAGTATGCGAATCACGCAATCAGAATCAAACACATTGCGATCAGCGCTCGCAGTATCTCTGAACAATATGCGTGCAATCTGATAAGATCCGTCGATGGGGAGATTATAGGCACACGAGTCATGACCAAGTCCTTATCCCAACAAATGACTCAATTGTTGTCTCTACTGGCCAAATCACTGCATACACTCTATAATAGTACCTTGACTCAGAAGTCTAGCGTATGGTGTGATTACAGGACCCACAGCATGCAGCGGCGTTAGACTCCACGATTACTTGCCGAATCAGGTAATTTTGTGTCTTACCTGCCGATTAGCCCTAATTCCTCCACGGCCTTGAGAGGGACTACGTGGAAAAATCAAAGACGGAGATTTCAAAGACGTGATTTGATGTGATTTTGGTCTGGAAGAGGTGCTCATTTAGTTTTATAAGTAGTAGGAGTTATCAATTTAGTAGTCGGCGACAAGTCCGATGAAATCTACTTCTATATGGTCTTGTATGTGATTTCTCGTCTATTGTAGTTAATTATTATTTTTAGCTCCAGAGATATCTATCTAAATTCAACTTACCTAGCAAGGAATCGTTGCCAGAACAAATTGTAGCATCCGTCAACTTCAACGTTCCAATATGACTGAACACCAGGAATCTGCCACCAAGAAAAAGCAATGGGTGCTGAACGGCTTCACAATGAGCACTCCAGGACATTTGGCACCTGGTAAATCTATTTGCCCCCGTCCCTTTTAACACCCAAGTCATCTATATTGACTGCGTATATCTAGGTCTATGGCGGCACCCACGCAACCGCACAGCCGAATACACGTCTCTCAAATACTGGACTGACATGGCCCGAATCCTGGAAGCCGGCAAAATTCATTCCATTTTCATTGCTGACGTTCTGGGACCGTATGATGTCTACAAAGGTCCAGAGAATATTGATCCAGGTTTACCGGGTGTTGCGCAGCTTCCTATGGCCGATCCTTTGTACGCCCCCTGTCCATTCCAGAAATCTCAATGATAACGACTAATAGGAGGGAAAAGCCTGCCCATCGCAGCAATGGCAGCAGTTACCACAAACCTCTCCTTCGGCATAACAGCCTCGACAACTTACGAGAACCCGTTCCTTCTCGCGCGCCGATTCGCGACATTAGATCATTTGACTAACGGTCGTGTGGCATGGAACGCGGTGACTAGCCATCTAGAGTCTGCAGCCAGGAATGTCGGTCTCGAGACGCAGATTGCGCATGATGAGCGATACAGAATTGCAGACGAATATCTGAATTTGACGTATAAGTTGTGGGAGGGGTCGTGGAGGGATGATGCCGTTGTTAAAGATAGAGAGAAGGGGCAATATGCCGTCCCGGGGAGGGTGAGAAGAATCAATCACCAAGGGTAAATCCTTCCCCCATACCTAATCAAGAACCACACGAGAAGAGAACTAGCTAATTCAGTGAGCTGGATAGGGAATACTTCCGTTCCGCCGGCCCCCTGACGACAGAACCCTCCCGCCAACGAACCCCCTTCATCTTCCAAGCCGGCACCAGCACCGCTGGCAAAAACTTCGCCACCAAACACGCCGAATGCATGTTCATCCCAGGCCTGGACACAAAGGGCATTCGCAAATCCGTCGACGAAATACGCTCCTTAGCTGCCGCAAACGGGCGAGACCCCAACAGCATAAAACTGATCACAGGTATACTGGTGATCGTCGACGAAACAGATGCCAAAGCCCATGAGAAATATGAAGATTATCTACAGTATGTAGATCTGGAAGGAGCAGCGACGTTATTCGGCGGCTGGACGGGCACGGATTTATCGCAATTCAGTGACGAGGAGGATTTCCGATTTACGGGTCCCGCGGCAATTCAAAGTCTTGTGAATAGTTGGACGGAGACTGTGCCTGGTACAGAAGGGTTGAAATGGACTAAGAAACGAGTTTTGGAGGAAATTACGCTGGGGGGCCCACATGGGCGCGCCATTGGGTCTCCAAAGACAGTAGCTGATATCTTAGAAAAGTGGGTAGACGAAACGGGGATTGATGGATTCAACCTTTCGTATGCTATTGCACCGGCTGATTTCGAGGATATTGTCAAGTGGTTGTTGCCGGAGTTGAGGGCTAGGGGGTTATTTTGGGATGAGTACGTGGCTGATACGACTAGGGAGAATTTTTTGAATGACGGATTGGGACCCAGGTTGAGGGATGATCATCCGGGGTCGAAGTATAAATGGGCTGGTGACCAGAAGTAGATATACTTATGTGCTTGTTTATAGTCTTTATATATGAATGACATAGACCTTTTTTATTGATTGGCCTCCTTCGTGTCGATGTATTCCGCGTACAGGAACCCGAACTTGAAGTGGATTAAGCGGATGAAAGGGTTCGCAGCTGCAATGAGAAAAACACCGTAAAAAGGCAATMCCAGCCATATCAGTGAAAAGAAGAGAAAAAAAGGGAAAGAAGCCTACTCTTTTTTAAACAAACGACAATTTGCTCTTCACGTCGCTATAGTTCTACAGATGTACTTAGCAAATAAATCACTTGCAATGAAGCCAGCCGTGCTTTGCCAGAATGAAACTGTTGTCGTGGTATAGCCACCGCAGCGGCGCATGCTCCTTACTCGTTACTGTACTGGGTTGAATCTGGACATTTTCTTCTGAAACTGGCAGGTAGAATTGTGATCCGATCAAACTCACGGCATCTGTTACAATCATACTTGCAAGCTATATCAAACCGTACTAAATATCGTTAGACCCTCATAACCAACCGTCTTCGCACAATAGAGACAGCAAGCCACAGCAAACGTTGGATTATGCTCATCGAATACGCGCCACTCGAAACAATGTCTTTGCTGTTGCTGTCTTCCCCATGTTCAGTTTCTGTTCGGCAGCAACGATCGCCACCCTAGAAATAATGAACTTGCGCTAGGCATTTATTGCATATGTAAAGGTCACTAAGTCTCCCGAACAGGTGTTCGTGAGTACAGACGGCTTCCGTGATGTGCATGCCCCAATCTAAGCTGGTCTCGCATGTGACGGACCGAGGGTAGATCCGAATCTAAAGTCTCTTAAGTGGGTCTTGGTAGATTCAGCCAGGGCAAATTATGAAACACTTCTACTACAATAAGTGATGATGGAGTATCTGATACCTTGAAATCTGGATTAAGACTGCTGGACAGACATTTTGACACTGTACACAGGAGATGGGTCTAGTCTCAGGCGGTACGGCAAGATCCATTTAGTTTTCGGTCACAGAATGTGATAACATTTGGAGAATACTCTCCTCCGCTTGCGCCATGTTTCCAAGTGTGTTTCCGGGTCGTCCAACAGGACCTGGGTCGTTGAAAATCGATATGCTCCTCACACTTTTGGAGACCTCCAGTATGGTACCTCCCTGAATACGAATCGTGCCTCCATCCTGGTCGATGTCTTCCAGGTTTTTGGCGATAAAATCCCGTTCCACTAGGGCGAGCATCACGATTGCGACGTCCTCCGGTGATACCCATTCATCGACTGTTTCGTTCACTAACGCCTTCTTATCATCCTCAGACTCGAACCAGATCGGAGTCGCGGTGATGCCTGGTGCCACTCCGACAACTCTGATGTTCGATCCATCATCCAAGGGTGCAAGGCTTTGCACCAGAGCGCTGACTCCGTGTTTAGTACTCGAATACAAAGGTGCGACGAACACAGGCATATGACCGGCGATGCTCGTGACGAGGAGAATGTGTTTCTTCTTTTTTTGCTCAACGCGAGCTGCTGATTTCAAGAAATGGGAAATCGCTAGCTGTGTCATGCGGATTGGATGAACGAAGTTAACATCAACGATCCTATATCGACTCTCCATGACGCTGTCAGAACTCTGCAGTGATCCTGGAGGATACCAAAATGCAGATTGCGGCTGTTGGTACTGTATTAGCTCTGCCCACTCCATTCAAAACGTAACTCACAGGTTCAAAAATACCAGCTCCCGGGCATACGATGTCGATTTCACCGAAGGTTGCTTCGCATACATCCATCGCGTGCTGTAATTGGTCCCAATGTGCGACGTCAGTCTTTATAAAAATGACTCCAGGACGTGAGGCATAATAACGGTCAACAAGCTCTTGGGCTTCGGCACGAAGCTTTATATCAACGATGGCAACATTGCACCCCTTTTCAATAAGAAGACGAGCGAAACAAAGATTGATCCCTAAGATTAGAATTGAATGTGAGTGGTTATACAGATTTGACACGAAAGTAGCCACTTACCTGAACCTGCTCCGGTTATGAGGGCTGTTTTTCCATGCACGGAAGTCATCATGCTTGCTTTTATCTGGTATATATGGCTTGCATGTAGCACTATATAAGTCAAGGTCTAAATAGATCGAAGACATCGAGGGATTATATAGTCAAGGCACCAACCACATATACAGGCTCTACTATAGCTGCAAGTGCACTGACACAGTTCACATATCCTTGTGCACTTAGTTTATTGGGTACCCCACTTGAAGGGAGGGATGATTGATAGAAGACATGTTAGTGAGACTTGCTTGTTCAGTATAATGGGCTGATCACTGCATGTTGACAAAAGTGGATGTTATACAGGAGGCTCCGTAGCAGTAGCAAAAGAGCTTGATCCGGTGTTAGGATGGAATTTTGCTATGGTTCAGAGAATTGCAGCTGCTCACCAATAAGTGTAGACATGCATCTTATTGGTCTTCAATTTTACTATACTAACAGGATTTCTATCTCTATTTTCGACCAACCCCCAGGCAATGGTCTACAAGACTCAACTAGCGCTGTCTATAAGTCCATTGCCACGTCATCAAGACATCTGAACGGTGTGTACCACCATGTATAGAAGAACTATTACCTACTGCAGGAATCTTGTAATTTGATTCTGACATGGAGGCTCACTGCGGAAGGGATATGTTGACGACGTAACGTGATATTGTCTCGCGGCATCCTACGAAAGAGATCCAAGCCACCTTTTCCTTTGAAAGCATGGAGGACCAGACACATTATATTGCAAAGGAACTATAGCACGGCATCCTACTGAGGAATATTAGTAGCTCAAGCCCGAATCTTTCCTTAGCGTATAATTTCGGGCACTTCTGCATAATCTACAAGACAAATTGACGGGGATATATTTATCTTGAGGTCAAATTTCCATGTTTCATTTTCTGCGACTACGGTAAACAGAATCGAGGTTATATATGTAAGCTAGGATAGGTTTTTCGCGCTTGCCGCTGTAGTGGGCATTCTTAAAGTCTTCGTATCATAAAAATGGGTTGCATTCGTTAACTGGCAAAAGAAGTGTCTGCTGGCTTTTTGCTGTTCCTGGAAATACTAGCCACAGTATGAAGTCAAGTTTCAGGTGCATCAGGTGATATGAATGGCCTTTAGATTCTATATCTTGTTATGATCCGGATTATCTGACGAATACCATTCCGTCCAACAGGTATCGGTGACGCATGTCTCACCATTTATATAAGAGCGAGGATTAGACCCTCACAAACACAGCAATTCAAAGATATATGTGATGTACCTATTCCGGCAGTAGAACAGTGTTTGAACGTCAAGGATATTACCATGTGGAGGGTCTCTATACAATGAGATTGGGATCACGTCCCTGACCATTCTTGCACAATTTCTAGTTAACAGCACATTCCAGCCATCAGTCAACAGTAAAAAGTTTCTTATCCATGGCCATGCTCCTTCAGAAACCCATTTCTGTCGCACAGACCTTTTATTGAATTATATGGATCAACTATACTGTCCTTTTCAATGTTACTTAGATAAATAAACCTCTCACTGTCGGAACGCATGCGCAGAACCTGGATCAATACGTTGTTCCGGGGCGAATCGCCTCGTCACACAAAGCGCCCATATCAGGTGCACCCAATAGAAAAAAATCGCCGTCCGTGGTAGGTGACAAGCGAAGAGCTAAACTAGCGAAGAGGCCACCACCACCGGAATGATATAAGTGCGAGACACACGCGCATATGGGGAATAGTGTAAAGGCATTGGAGGTCAGCATATAAAGCGCATATAAGAATGACGAAACCGAAAAGAGTATCCCGAAAAACATCACGGGCAGGCCGATATAGAAGCGCGAGAGCGAAATCCCGAAGAGACATAACGAATGTTCGTAAAACATAGAGGGGCGTAAAAGCCATGACTAGGAAAGTCCCAAGTCCGCGCACCCGTTGAATAGCAGTCCGCCGAGGGAGCTCATTGTCAGTTGCTGGTCGATAGATGTCGTAAAAAGCGAAATTCTCGTAGATCTTGTCAGATAGCGGGATCTTGTAGCGTACGAGGAATGTGATTGAGATCCACGACAAATATCCATCAAATTTATTGAAGTTGATGTGGACCCTTTTCAAGGATTGTCAATTCGTGTGGAAGTCTCCAAAAGACTCGCTATCCATAATAAGAACAGCCTGAGCGCCAGAAAATGATCGTGGCTCTGTATCCTCTTTACCACTTCGAATATAAATCAGGTCGTCCATTGCATCGGACGCGGTGAACCTAGTCACATCCATCTAGCGAATATGGTTAGTATACGGAGTCAACAAGCTAGATTATAGAGATTCGAGAATAACAAACCTTGACTTGCTAGGCCTTTGAAGAGGATAAATTGCTAGGATAGTAATATGAATAGTTTCAGCTTGAGAAGATGTAGCAATGATTGATAAAAAAGGAAGCTTTGTAGTCAGAGAGTATAAGATGATAACAGTAAGAAGAAAGTGCTGAGAGGGATAATTAAAGAAAAGAGTAAGGATGAGACATAACTTTTCGTCTGCCCAAGAGTGTGGGAAAGAATGGAGATATTGAAGAAGGGGCCTGATGAGAAGGGAAGTAGATATTTGCGAAATGAACATCCCATCATAATAGTTAAACATTCAACATTCGCAAAATTAGTGGGAACAAGAAATGTTTCAATGAATTTCGGAGTTGATGGAGGGAGGTCTCACCTCGCTCAACGGTGTTCGCACGCTGCGATGCAACCTTTTAAGTATTAAAGGGGTTCTAACGAGACTCAACAGTGACTGCACGCAGTGGGACGCTAGATGAAGAGATTTGAGGTGATCCCTCGGACTTTGTATTGTCGGACAATTTGAAAATCTTTTTGATACCACCGTGAACTGTTTTGTATCGCTAGCTTAGATACTGGTAGTAGTTTCTAAGCGTGTTTCCGAGGTTGGTGTCAAGTCAAGGTTCCAGGCGAGAGCTGGACTCATTCTCGCCGAGTGACCCTTTTGACAGAAGTTGGCACCAGCAGTTGTGTAACTGTCACTAGGTCGTTCATTTCTCAAACAGCCGCCTGCTGGAGCAGAAAAACGCAAGCTTCTCATCAATCTCAGAAACACCTCTTACGGACAGAGCAGAACCTCCGACAGTGTATTCTGGCACATCGAGGGTTCGGTAAGTTAAGTCCTGAGGAACAGCCTCCTCAAACTTTCCTGCTGGTCAGGGTTCATCGAGGGGCGACATTCGAGAATCTTTTCCCCAAATGCGTTGCAATTTGCGATCTCAAAAATATTTTCTCTTTGAAACTTAGAGACCATACCTTCAAGCTGCATCGGATCATAGTACGTACTCAATGAGATCTTCAAGGGAGGTTTCATAAAAGAGTATGTTGTCCACGATCACCTCACTGTCACGCAATGACCGAATAAGCTCGGTTTTTTTGCTTTAAGTCATTTGCTCCAAGAGTAAAATATCAATCGACAAGGTCCTAGAACGAACCCCAAACTCGTAGCCTTTCAGAAGAGGAAACGTCTGACCCTTACGGTCATAGTCGTCGGTAACAAGAAAGAATAGGATGCGCAGGACACAGGAATCGCGAGGAGTGGACACCACTTGGATTTTTTCCCAATCGGCCCGCTTGCATTCAAACTATTATCCCGAATAATGTTCTTAGCAAACTCACCGAAACAGACGAAAATGGGAACCCAAATCTGCAACAGTCAGTGAGGCCCATGGGCCTTAGGTCTTGGAAAGTCTAGGTGAATCGGAGTAGATACTAACTTCGTCCAGCCTAGCCGTCACGATATCGATAGTGCAAGGTAAGTCGAAGATAACTTACGATGTATACCCAAGAAATGCTTGGTATAGCAGATAGCGGTCTTCTCTTCAACTAGTGACTTCCTACAGGGCCGGAACGGTCTGGCAATTGCGCACTTATAATGCTATCTGCATGACTAACCTAGACACCCACTCGAGGATGAACAATATGTGAGACGGGCACTTTATATGACCACCTAACTCTATTGTGGAGGGGTGTCTAGTCCAGATACAGTCATACTGGGGAAGTCCATCAATCGTGAAGCTATCGAGATTGAGTGCATCCTGGGTGGCACGCTCCATCTCTAGTATACTCTTGCACTCATCGAACTGCCCAACGAGGCGTGCATAAAGGCAGTGGGTCTTGTCATTCAACTTCGCTACCGCGTTTTTTTCAGTCGCCCACTCCGCCGCCTCCGGCTGGGTACTGTCGTCAAGTGATGTTGAACATGGACAACGTGGTGAGTGCGTCCAAAGAGGCACGGCTCTAATCGCGGAGTGGGCGTCGCGCACTCGTCTGATACACGCGACCTTCGCCATCCAACTCATCTCCACGGGTGTCTGGCGCCATTTCCTAAGAGTCCGGATCATTTTTTGAATGCGTCGAGTAACTTCTTCCCAAGAAGACTAGGTCCATTCTTACCAGAACTCTAGTTCCTTACAGAGGATAGGTGCATTTTCCATGTTATGGTCAATCTCTATCGACTGACTGTATTCGAACTCTCGAAGCTTCGGCGCAGCAGTAAGGACCCTGTGAATCGTCGTGGGATGCAGAGAATGCTATGGTAGGCGCAAAAGTATGAGGTTGCTGTAAGGGGTCTCATCTAATGCCTTGTCCACCGTCCATCTCAGCTCATGCAATTCCCTCCATATAACTACCTGCACTTGTGCTAGTCCGACGGTTAAACAAGCCCGCCAACAGTCTCTTGATTGGGAATGTGCACGTCTTCAGTAATAGGGAGAGACGGGGATTCTTCCGTCTTTTACCCGCTGTGGCCCGTTTTCCAGTGAAACGGATATAGACTTTGTTCTTCAACCCAACCAGGTAGGGCTTCTGGTCAAAATAAAAGTTTAGTAACATGGAGTGCAGCGTTTATTGAAGGTTGTCGTAACCCCTCTCCTCACGATGAGAGGCGCGGTGTCCCAATCGAGGATAACACGGTCCAGGTAAAGTTCGCGACTGATATCCATGTCATTTCCAGAACTTCAAGTAATGTAGCATCTTTAGTTTAAGGCGCATAGTGTCTGTGATATGATCGATGAAGCGTCATAATGGCTCATTTGCCCTCGCGCGCGGACTCTGACGCTGGTGTGCCCTAGTCGCATCGAAAACCTGCGGCCAGGTACAAAGCGATTCTCATTCTGCTTTGAACATATCGCGTGTTGTCCGCAGCTTCAGCTCTGATGTTTCCATGCTCTTTGATGAATTCATCCGCGGATTCATACCCAAACAGCTGCAAGACCCAGCATATCATCGACGGCAAGATATCGTTTCCCGATTAGACCAGATAATTCCTATCCAGTGGCCCCTTCCAGCGCAAGTTACAAAGGCACTGTTGAGTACAATACTTCCGAGACTTGCCTTTGGAAGTCGAATGCTGTGACCTGGTAGAGATCCGGGCCGTGGCCGCTGTGGCTTGACGCTGAGGAAATCCAGAGTCGCGTGGCGCTCGACTAGGAGTGTCATCAGTATCGTCTTCATGATCAGATAACTGTGATTCTTGCGATAACCGACAGGACAGGACCCTTGCAGACGTCGACCTGGTTTTCACTGGAGATTGGCGGCAATATTTTATTCGGCTTAGCGGTGGTTTGTACTCAGAAGCAGGAGGCGCACAGGGTATCCTGCATCCCACACCTTGCCTAGATGGATCATGAAGAGTTCATTGGACCTACCGTCATGTGAAAGTTAGCATAGCACATTTCAAATTCAACAATCGAACCTACGAGGTTGCGAGCTCGACGCAAATTGTTCCAATGATTGCAGAAGTTTCGGGACTTCAAACATCATTGCCCTGGGCTCAACGTATATATGCAAGATGTCTTAAGCTCACGCAGGGCTAAGACTTTCCCTTCATCTTGGCATGTATCGCAGAAGGGAAATGAAACCAGGAACCATCGTGGGATCCTGTGCGCATGCCAGAATCATGATTCAGAAATAGCGTAGCACTTCGAGAGGTTTGAAGAATCGTGAGAGCGCCCGACAAAATGAATATAGGCCGTAGAATTTTGAGCCTGCCAGACGAATGGTGCAGGTGAACGACGAATGTAGCCCCTCGACACAACAAGGGCGATAGGAACCCAAGCTCCCAATATAAAAGAAAAGCAGAGTTATATATCATGCTGGTTTCTGACATCTGTATCTATCACGCCGTCCGAGATACCAATTCCCTAGGTAGGTACAGAACAGCAACAATGTACCACAATTGGCCCGGTTCGACAGTCCAGACAATTGCCCGCATCCCCGTGATACAGAGCTGCGAGGATGGTTCAGTGGAGCATTTCCCATACAATCATATAAAAGATAATAGGAGATCGCTAAGCTCATCATGCCCTGCGTATACAAAATACAAAATAAAAGCAGGAGGAAGAAGTGATATCTCATCAGGAGCAGAAGACTCCTATTTATTGACTGCTGCAGAAAAGGGAGCACATGACAAAATATTGCAGAAGGGATTGTCCGGTTGTTTCTATGACCGCAAAGCGGGCGTTTGTTGCCGACCAGGGGATTAGGAAATATGAAAGAAAGGCCAAAGAAATGACGCCCTAGTAAATAATAGCGAACAAAGACTAAAAAGATAGTCATGGTTTTGTATGACGGCGGTGGTCAAATGAGCCATGTCGGTGAGGTCCAGGGTCTTTCAGGTGTTGCCCGGAAATGAATGAAAGGTATTGTCCATTGTATTACATGGAAGCCCAAAGAGTAATAATCATTTTATTGGTTTGCATCTGGATAAAGACCGAAATCCGTTCATTGCGCTTTGTGTCTTCTGACACCTGCTTACATATAGATGACTATGGTACATTATCCAAGACAATTGACATGGTGTTATACATGATTTGAATATACCCACAGATGATGACGATGATGATATGCCAATAGACGCTACTGTCGCAATTTTCTACTCCAGTGAAGCCACTCAGGCGTTGCCCTGCACTGTAAAGATAGGCTGAAGTGTAGTGGTATTCATCAAATACTCTACCACTCCAGGATATCCGGTGCGACGCGCTTCGTCCAAAGCCGCTTTGTACTGCAAAGCATGTTAATAACCCGATCATACAGTATAAACTTGCGAAACTCACCTTGAAGCCAAAGTTCAAAAGAAGGGCTGCGGCGAGACCGATACAGACCACAAGTGGCCCAAACAGATTGTCGAGATCCTTGCCACTGCGCTTCCGGATCAATCGTGCTCGCTTTTCGTGAATATACCAGCCCCACACAGATGCGAAGACGGCAAAGAATGTGTAGATAATGGCCAAAGCTTGTGCAACGATGTTGTCGATGCCCGCGGCATTGTATAGAGCTAGTGATAGCGAGGCGAGCAGAATGCTGACGTGCTGCCACTTGATGAAAGTTCGCTGGTTAGCCAACCACACCTTGGATTCGACACGAAGTGGTCCTGTATCCTTGATCCAGACTTCAGGAGCCGAGACACCCGGAGGAAGTCTGGAGGTTCCTCGATGTGCCTGTGCATATCGAGATGAGGAGAAAGACGGGAATAACGTTCCCAGGTACGAGGAACTTGTTGCCCCTTCTTGGCTTTCCGCATGCTCTGTGGGTGTCGCTTCAGCTGCTGTAGATGGCTGACTAACCCCTGTTGTACGGGGTATGTCTCTAGCAGCGAGTTGTGTTGAAGTGCGTTCAATTACCGGTGATGTGCCGCTCATGATTATCGACCTTCCGGGAGATGACCCTCTGCCTGCACCCATTCGCGATATTGGGGATCCCATCATCGTGTTTAGTGGACTGGCCTTTGTTCCCAAAAAGCTGCCAACAACGAAATCCTCCTCCGCGCGTTGTGCCTCTCGTTCCTGTTCATGCTTGAAAGCTGTTTCAGGGTCTTGGCGGATGTCATTTTCGAGCTCGCCGAGCCAGAATGGCAGAGAGTTAATATTGTCTTCAAATAGCTGTGCCACCCCATGAACAAATTTTGAGAATCGGGGAGCTTCTTTCACGAGATGTGAGACCATGAGGTCATGCAGCCATTCCACGTTACGAGCACCATTTCGCAATTTGATCTCTAGCAAAGCATGGGGGAAGCGTACAATCTCGCCCTTGTTGATAGAGCTGAAGGGGTATTGCATTGCCAAGTCATCGATATCTCTGCGATGCCAGTCTTCGGGGTCACGGCATGGTCGTTGGGGGTCGAGAGCGTCCTCCCGGATCAGCGCAAGATTGGTGTCGAGTGAAATGCGAATGCGATCATCTCCGGGAATCTGGAATGCGGTCCTGGTATAGTTTGCGCGGAGCATGGGCTGCAACTCATTCTCCTTGATGAATGATTGGAGCTCTTCCACTTCCTTCTTCAAAGCTGCCGCTTCTTGTGACTCGCCCTGTGCTCTGTCTTCAAGACGAGTGACCTTTTTCTCAAACTTGTATTCGCCTTTGAGGAATTCCTGGACGTGCTTTTCTTTCAGTTGCACTCGGACTTCACGGCTGCGGTCCTCTCCCACAATTTTCTTCTCCAAGTAGATCGCCGGGCCCTCGTTTAGGTCACCGGACCAACGAAGCCGCAGCGATCCAGCCTCGGTAGCGCGTGTAACTTTTTGGTTGTATAGATCGAATGACGAGTTATCAAAGTACAATGAGGTAATCGTTGGATCTTTTTGCGAGACATCTAGTTCCTTGGAAGTTGTAGGGTTGTACAGTAAGACAGGGAGACGGCGTAGAATATGGGTCTTGACCTCAACAATGTTGTCCGTGTGCACCCAGAATTTGTATGAGACGTAGGCATCGTGGCCTAGACGGCTGTCACCGCTTGTTTCTTGGTTTTCTGGGATTTCAAGACCAAGAATCTGGCGTGTAAAGGTGTACATCGCAGACAACCTATGCAAGAGCGGAGAGTAATCCTCGGAGTTGAAAGACAACTGAGACAACCGAACTTGAAGAAGCGGTCTAATGCGATAGCGTGCACCACGCTTACGATCATGCTTCTTTGCCGCCTTGAGGAAGCCGGAGAAGTTTATCCTGCTATATTTCTCCAACTCGCTTACCTCTTTAGTGATCTGATCGAGTTCCCCCACCAACTCATTCGCAATTTCTTTCCGCTTGTCCTCGCTGGGCTCATCTTTGCCACCAGTAGACTTTCTGACGAGAGGCATAAGCTTGGCCTCACAGGCATTAGTGCGGTCTCGCAATTGTTGCGACATCTCCGATTGAAAGGCATTGACCTTGTCCAGCTGGACATTGATTAGCTCCTGCACGAACGATTCCTCGTCTCTTTCGGTCCATGGTTGTGCTTCCGAGTCGCTGTCGTCTCCCTCAAGTTCGCGTTCGCGTAGAAGGCCCTTGAGCTTTGCGTAGTCGATGTACTTGCCCTCCCATGGCGGGTAAATAGAAGCTTTGAGCGTTTTTCCGAAACGCATGGTTAAATCTAGACCGGAAACAACCCTTCAAGCTCGTTTCAGGTCAATTCGCATCAATTGGTCCCAAGAAGAGTCAGAAACAATTCAAATGTCAAAATACCAGCGAATTGGATCTAGGGACGAATTGGACAGAATATGAATTAAGAAGGCTTTCCCAGATGACGAGAAAAGAGAGAAAGAAAGAGAGCTCCGCAATCGTCATGGATTCCTTCTATTGGCGGGGCACGTGCCTCAGACGCAGCCAACTTATGGACGGAAGCAATTCCCAGCTCGTTGATTGGCTACTGATAGGGAGAGCTTACCTTGAACAAACAGTGTAAACAGCGATAAGTGAGCTTACCTAACTGCTTCACCCTCGGCTCATTCAAGATTATCTTCAACCTCTCAAATATCGCTTTGCAAGCTCTGTTTATAGTTATGCTCTGATGAAGATTGATCCAACTTGGCCCTTTCATTGATATTGAGCTTATTGCTTCTAGTGTCCCATCCTCTGAGCTAATAGCCTGCGCCGAGGTTACACAAACATACGGACGATCCCCAATCTCAAATACAATGGCACCAACTACAGCCGCGACAGAACCATCGACTTTGATTGAGTCCTTCCATAATGCCCTGCTCAAAGTTCACGAAAATCCCTGCCCACAAGTACCAAATCCTCCAAACTGCAAGAAACGTGCCTCGGTAGCCGTTATCCTTCGAGTCCGCCCACAATATAMCCMCCTGCCACAATCGCCGGTCATAGTAACCGATAAGGCAGCTTCAACATCGCAACAATTGAGTGACTTCTTTGCCCAAGACTGGGTGCAGCATGGTGATCCGGAACTGTTATTCATCAAACGAGCATCGAGGGTTGGTGACCGATGGACTGGGCATGTAGCGCTACCCGGAGGGAAACGAGATCCTGAAGATGAAAATGACAAGGCGGCTGCTGTTAGAGAAGCGCAGGAAGAAGTTGGTCTGGATTTGACTACAGAGGAATTGATATATATCGGCAATCTGCCAGAGCGAGTGGTGACTACCTCCTTCGGCAGCGTTCCGTAAGCCATGCAACCCTACCGGATGGCTACAGGAAGCTAACATTCTATTCATAGATTGATGGTCTTGTGTCCATTTATATTCCTCTTGACATCTAATAATGCCCCGGCTCTTACGCTTCAGCCTACAGAGGTGGCTTCGACGCATTGGGTTTCACTCAGAGCTTTATTATCGCCGTCTCTACGATCCGTCGAATACGTGAACGTCTCAGCTCGCTACGCCAAACAACATGGACTGATAAGATGGGGTTCATCGCGCTGGATGACCGGAATGATGGAGTTTTCAGCTCTGAGACTGTTGCCGACCGAAAGTTTATACTCCAGCACCACTCCGGGCTTTCTTCCGGATGAGGCACATCAAGAAAAACCGTCTATATTACAAAGACTCAATCCTTGGGCTGTGCGACAGGCCACCTACGGCGAAAAGAACCGAGAATTACTGCTGTGGGGCCTTACATTGGGTATTATGGCAGATTTCCTAGATTTGCTTCCCCCGCACAATGCTGTTGATCTTTGGAAGCATCCTACATTTACTGCTCCTGATCTCAGGCTTATAGTCTCGCTTCTCACCTACTCCATTCGCAAGAGGAATGCGACAAAAGTCAGGGCTGCTCGAAGGCCCAGTCAAACCGCTGCCGATGACTCCACTATGGCGTTATCTGTCGAAGACGAGGGCGAGCAGAGTCCTAGCGCCGAGAATAAAGATGGGACGACGGTATCTGGTCATGAACATGCCACTGCTATTTTATTGCAGGGTTACTATGATCGTCTCAGGCTGTCGTTGGGTGTATTCGCTGTATGGAGGTTGGGTCTGGCATCAATTGGATCTTATTATATATGGAAAGCGCTACGACGACCATGACGTATTTTGTTTGTATAGCGATAGATTTCAGAGATATATCTGATAGACAAGATGATAATAGAAGAACTAGCCCAACTTATCAGTGAGCTGTCTGGATTGATTGATTATGTCATTGCAGCTACCTGCCATTTCGGGTGATGATTGGTTGACATAGCTCAAGCTACCCCACACTTCGTTACTTTAGATAAACAATCAATCGCTTCATAAACACTTCCCAAGAACACTCGACGCATTACCACAGATCGCGCTGCTCACTACAACCTGCGCAGCATCCTCAGAACAATCGATCAGATTGAATTTCGACTCTTCGAAACTGTCAAAATCTGTCGCCTCCCCGCAAACAAACATGGTCGCGACTCATAAGCTTTATCCTCGCGGTACCGTGAAGCGCATCGTCAAGGCCCATGCCGGTCGCAGCATTAGCAAGAATGCCGACGTCCTGGTGCGCCCTTCCTCATTCTCATCGCTATATCAAAAGTTTATGGATCCCTCAGAGCTAAATTGCTGTAGATATTTCTAGATTACATGCTATTCATGCAAGAGTACGCTGCCCCCGATTCTCTCACACCAAATCATTCCTCGCCATACGATTTACTTACGAACTCATAATCAACAGACTCATGCGCGAAGCATCAATCCGATCCCGAAAAGCAGGCGAGAAGGGAATCTCAGCGCGAAACATTCGCAGAGTTACGGAGGTCAATATGCTCGTCCTACTTTGCGTGGTCGATCTCGACAATACTGACTCGCAAATTATTGAATAGGCTACTCTCCGTAAGATGAAAGGATAGGGATTTGTCTTTGTTGGTTCGTTTGTGTGTTGATTAGCGGGTGGGGCGTTTTGGTGGGCGTGTATATGTATGGGGATATTTTTGGATGGGATAGTTTGGCGTATTGAGGTCTGTCTGGTGCAAGTGTTTTATGTCAATGAGAGAGGTTTAGGAGTATGCGAGATGTTGCGGACTAGACAATGTCCAATGTGCATATGGGTATACTTCTGCAGGATCTCCAGTTCACATGAATCAAAGTAAAATGACGAGTCCCAATATCATCTGGCTAAAATAAATGAATTGTAGACTGACAGTATTGGACTGGTGAGGCTGAAGTGTTACTAGTGTACATGGTAGGGCACGACCCGCCGAGTACGGAGAGGCAGACGGGGCAAGACGAACCGCTTCCATCGACTTCTTCTCGCCGTCACCCATCAGTCGACTTCTTAACTAGCTCTCTTGCTTTCTTTTCTCTACATCAATTCTAGGTTCCTATTACTCTCACCTCTTCAACCACCTTTCATCTCACAGCACGCCCGAACGACACCTGGCTGTGCCCAACACCTCTCGTCAACGTCACAAGGCTGCACACGACACTTCTCCACACTCGACACAGTCACCATGTCTGCCGCAATCAACACCAACCTCCCTAACCAGAACGAGACCAAGTCCTCGAAGAAGAAGCGTGCCAAGAACGACGTTTCTGCCAATGTGTCTGTTTCCGAACCCACGCCTTCGAACCCTGACATTGACGCCAAAGCGGAGTCCATTGTCAATGGCGTCAATGGCCTCGAGGATGAGACTGGCATAATCAAGGAGCTTCAACGGTATGTATCCTGACTGTTTCTATGAAAGTGACGGGTAATAATTATATTTGCAGCAACTTGCGCAATGCCTCGAAGAAACTCGTAAGTGACTCATCCAGTTGCCAAGTACAACCAAGTACAATGAATTGACTGTTCGTCTGTAGAACGCCACAGCAAAAGTCGACAGCATCCTCGCAGAAAATCCTGGCAAATCCCTCGACCAGCTCATCGCCGAAAAGAAGATCAACGCCGACCAGAAAGCACAAGCCCTCAAGAAACCTGCTCTCCAAGCGCAAATCGCACAGATCGAGGAACAAATCACCCAGTACAAGCAGTTTGCCGCGCATTACGAGGAGCGCCTAATCAGCCAGAAGACTTCCTTGGATACTGCACATAGACAGGAACTCGACACTGCTCGTGAGAAGGCTGTCGCAGAGGTCAAGGAGTCTCAAGAGTCGACCGTTCGTGCGCAGTTGTTGACTTTGAGTCAATTCTTGCGCTCTGCTGCTTCTTTTAGACGTGCAGGTGATGCCGAGTCGCCTGAAAGTCAGGCTTTCGAAGGCGTGTTGTTACAGGTCTATGGCGGCAACCAGGATGCCGTTGAATCCATGCTCAAGTTGATCAATGGCGCTGATGACAAGGTTACTGGTGTTGATGGCCAGGTTTTGGACGTGTCATGTAAGCTGCTCATTTTATTACCACATAAACCACGGCTAATACTTCACAGACGCTAAAGTGAAAGCGCTTTCCCAGGAGCAGGCAGCTCCAGCCCCCGAGGCCACCGTTGAAGAGACGCCCGCTGCCGATTCCGCCGTGACCGATCCAACAATCGCCAATGCCGGTCTTACTGAGCTCCAAGATACAGCCGTGTCTGCCGCCGTGGAAGTTGACCAGGTAGCCCGAGCTACTGAACCCGTTGTCGCTCCGACTCAGACTTCGGCAGGTGATGGGGCCAATTTGTTGGCTGAGTCCAGCTGGGAACCCCAGGCATCTGGTACTTTGACCTCTGACGAATGGGTTGAGGTCGCACATCCTACTGAGGGTGAGATCGAGCCATCGACTGCTGCCGCAGCTCAAGGCTCTACTAGCTGGGCAGAGGACGTTCCTACTGGTGCCACCCCAGCTGAAGGCGACGGATTTGAGCAGGTGGTCCATCACCAGCGACAGGGTAGCGTGCGTGGACGTGGAGGTCGCGGTCGTGGCCGTGGCGATGGATCCCGAGGCCGGGGTGGACGAGGCGAGTTCCGTGGACGAGGCCGTGGTGGCCGCGGTGGTGAACGTGGTGAATTCAAGGGTGGACGCGGTCGTGGTGGACCTGCTGGCCAGCAGGGCAGTCGCCGAGAAGCTGTTGCAACCAACTAACTCATGGACTTGATGGAGCACACATTGCATATATCACGATCTCATCCAAGCCTTGCATGATTATCCACTTGTGTGGCGCATATTCACGGCTTCGTCACACCCAGGCTATTTTCCACCAGCTCGCATCATCTTATTTCTTGTATGTTTTATAACTTTCCTGGGATGGCTAGGCGTTGGTACGGTTGATCAAATGGAACATGGCGGGGGATGGATGGGAGGGAAATGGTTACGAAGATGACAAAAGTTCCTGGTCCTACCTGTTCTCATCGTACAGGCTGTTATTGCAACTCAGCACACAAAAAAAGTTACTAATGGTTGTCGTGTCGATTAGCGTTGCATCTCATTTCTCTCATTTCGCTCATGTTGCGATGATTCCCAGTTTCTTGCATTTATTGTCTTTTCTATGCTTTCTACAAATGGTCATTGACCACAAATATGTATTACTGCACCAGCTGTTTATTCGAGGGGACACTTGTCTCCAATGGTTACGAGGATGGTCGAACAGGACATAGCATAGGCGGCTTAGAGTGCTAGATATCGTTGCTGTTGAGGATAGTCAAAGACAAAAGATGATGATCGTGATATTCTCTACTGTAATTTTAACTACATTGGTGTCTTTTCTTAGTTGTAGAACTAAGTAAACAATGACGTAGCCCCACCGATCGATTTGCACCGCCTCTTCCGTTAGTTCAGCTAGTCAGCTAGTCCACGAACCATTCAATAGATCATCAAGTGGTCCTGCGAATCATTTCCTTGATGCGCAAGCTTAATCTCGCTAGAAAAGCGTAATAAATACGCTAATACGCGCTTGCATGCTGGATACGAGCTAAACGATTGTCTTAAGCTAAGATAGCACGACCCTACGGGGTACCTAGGTACGGAGCTCTCATGAAACGTGTGAAACCGCCAGCTGTCGTGATATAAAGTCTCGCCTTTGCCTGGATATTCGGCTTGCGATATAGTCAATTCATTTATGTGCTTGACTCGGACGAAACGTATCATTACGCCTTGAGTGTCCTTTTCGGAAAAATAGCAAACATGGCATCAACACAMCCCYCCCCGCCGACGTCGTCGTCGCCGTCGCGGGATCAAACACAGCGCAAAAAAGTGCTTCGCGTGATATTCATATCTCTACTCCTCGACCTGGTACTCCCTCTTCCTCTTCCCCATTCTCCGAAGAAATCCCAGCTAACTCTTGTCTATAGATATCATTCACATTCATCCTCCCGCTCTTCCCCTCACTACTCAACTTCTACCTCCAAAAAGACCCCTCCCCTTCCTCGCTCCTGAACCGCATATTCCATTATCTCAATGCATACAAAAACTCATTCTCCAAACCCATCGATTCGAGATACGACATTGTACTTCTCGGCGGCGCGCTGGGTTCTCTATTCTCGTTTTTGCAAGCTCTCGCCGCGCCCGTTATAGGGCGTCTATCAGACCGACACGGCCGCCGAACCGCATTACTCTGGTCTATGTTTGGAAACCTGATCAGTGTCGCATTATGGGTGGCTGCGACAGATTTCAAAACCTTTCTCGCAAGTAGGATCGTCGGAGGCTTGAGTGAAGGCAATGTGCAGATGGCCAATGCGATTGCGACGGATATAAGTGATGAGTCCGAGCGAGGCGCGACGATGGCAATGGTGGGCGCTTGTTTTAGTATTGCGTTCACATTTGGCCCTGCACTGGGAGCGGCGTTGGCGAATGTGTCGATTATCAAAGAAAATCCGTACGCGACGGCGGCGGGAGTGTCGTTGGGGTTGATTTTAGTAGAGACGGGGTATTTGTGGGCTTGTCTGCCGGAGACACATCCTCGATTGACCCAGGGGGTTGGAAAGAGTGAAAAGAGCGGTGATACCGGCGAGAGTAACGCGTCAACAGAGACGGATGGAAAGAAGAAGGAGGAAAGAGTGTACACGAATAATCCAGCGCTGCTCAACCTCGTGCATCTTTTGTTTCTTCTTCCATTTTCAGGCATGGAATTCTCGCTCCCATTTCTGACGACCACGCTACTCGCTGGAAGTGACAGCAACAGAAATCCGTCCGCCGTCAACGGCCGCATTTTGGGTCTGGTAGGCTTGATCGCTTCCCTGCTTCAAGGGACAATGGTTCGCCGTCTCCCACCCCTTATGACTGTGCGCATCGGCGTTATCTCCTGCGCAATCGCGTTTTTCTCGCTGGCAAATATAACCTCTTTGCAAGGGCTGCAAATATCGGCTTGCTTTTTKGCGATTACCAGTGCTACGGTGGTCACTGGGTTGAATAGCTTAGGGAGTCTAGAGGCTGGGCCGGGAGAGCGGGGGGTTGTGCTGGGACGGCTCAGAAGTTGGGGCCAATTTGGGCGCGCGCTGGGACCGGTGCTGTTTTGTAGTTTCTTCTGGTGGGTGGGTAGGCAGGTTGCGTATACAGTTGGGGGGGTTGTGATGCTTGGTGTTGTGGGTATTGTACTATTGTTTTTGAGGGAGCCGGTTCGGTCTTAGCTGGACTGATATGTATATAGATACAATGCTGAAAAGAAGAATCAATTGCTTATGCAGGGTATAAACTGAGAGGAGACCAAATCATAGACTATAATACACATCACACATCAAACCGTAGGATCAATCACCTCATCCCGTCATGATAACACAACCTCCCCTCTTTCTCACTATAACCACGATAAGAAGCCTGCCGACTCTCAACGGGATACCTCGCATGCGCCAACGCCGGCGCCGCACCAGCCTCACCAAGACTCCCCCTCGCCTTCCCCAACAACCAATCCGTCAACGTCACAAACTTCGCCGTCCGATCCCATCCATCCGCCTGATCCGCATGCTCAATGGTGTGTGCCGCAATGCGTCCCTTTTCGTCGAATGCGAAAATGAACAAACCCTCGAAACGGCCTTCTTTGCCAGGTAAGAAAATAGGGGCGTCGCCGCCGAGGAGGGTGCTTAGGCTTTTGTTTTTCCCCGCTTCTGAGCCCGATACACCATTCTGACGCGGTCCGGAAGTCGAAGTCGATTCTGTAGAAGGGGTGTTATGACTCGTCTTCCACCGAACAACAAGCCTCTCCTCCCCACACCCGTTACTCGCATCTTCATATCGACGACAATCGGAATATCCCAACACCGAATCAGCGCGTACCATGCGCTCTGACAGAATTTGGAGTTTCACATTTCCCAGCAATGGCAGACTGCTCCATGCCATGGGGACAGTCCACAGGGCTGCTCGATACAATACGCGGCCCTTGACGTTTGGTAAATGTGGATGCGTGGAGGGGAAGAGGTGCAGGGTGATTTGTGGCGAGAGGAGGTCCGTGGGGAGCGGGTTGACGAAGATGTTGGGGAGGAGGGGGGATAGTCTTCTCAGTGCTAGAAACACAAATCGTCATTTTAGATGCTTGTTGTATATAGGTAGAAGGATAGACGTACTCTTGCCTAACCGCAGAACCCGCTCGTCGGGCGGTTTGTGATCTTCTCCTCCTTCGGTCCCAGGCCGTAGGTCATATTTTACTGTATGACCTGTCTGACCTACTTGACTGGCGACTTTGTTTCTGCATCTCTCGTCTTTCTGTCTATTCCTACTAGAATGTAGCGTGATCAAAGGCGATCTCGAGAAAAAGATTGCGTCGATGTCACGGCGGTCGTGGAGGCGTGCAAGTGGTTTGGGGGTTAGTTGGCTGAAATGTCTGCAATGACAGCGACATGAGCGTGTGTTCGCGGCATTATAACGGCGAGGATTCAATGTTGATGGTTGATGACATTCGGGTTTGATGCCGGACGCAACTCGACGAGTAATGGTAGCGTTCGCGGGGACGGAGCGGAGGAAAGGCTTCGGCATCACGAGGGCCGTTGGTTGCTGTTCTGTTCATTTATTGCATTTATACAATGGCAGAATCGATCTTCTATTGGTAACGTATTGTCAAGCCTTCCAAGGAGTGTTGAATGTTCTTGTGTCAGGATGTTTTTGTGTTGTTGAGAAGTTGAGAAGATGACGTTTGGCGGCCCGCCCCAAAAGCTCGAAAGTAAGCATGCGCAGCCAATCAGAGCACCCAATTAACAAGCATGCTCTTTTATTCGAGAAGGCAATTATACTTCATGAATTGACCCTTTACAATCATATATTTATTCATAATCTGAGGTATTAAGCAAGCTCGTCATCATCCTCCTCCATTCCCATCAACCTCCTCTCTCCCAGATCCCGAATCTTATCCTCCAAGATCGACCGATTGTATCTCTGCGCAATCTTGACAGCCGCCTCGATCATCTTTCCACTCCGGTCTTGCAGCATGCCTACTAATTCCAGAGCTTTCATGCCTCGATCTTCGCCCTCTCGGCACTCAACGGCCAGCATTTGAAGGAGGATCTTGTCAATTTCGACTTCTCTTCTTGCCAGTTCAGCGCGCTGGTTGCGCGTCGCGTTGGTTGTGGAGATGAGGTCTTGGAATAGACTATAAAACAGATTCTCACGGACGAATGCTTCTTCAAAACGGGCCGCGTCGTTGCGGATTGTCTCTGACTCTTCGTCGTCGTCTTGATTTGGTGCTGACGGTTTCGTAGAAACAGGGATTTTGAAGTCGAATTCGCTGAGCAACGGTCGCGGAAAGTATGGGTCAGTCTCGCCACCCTTGAGAATGATGCAGTGGAATTTATTCTGGGCCACGGCCACAGGCCAGTAGGTCTCTTCTTTGCGACCTTTGGATAAGCGGTCGAGCAGCTTGGTATCGAGGAGAGGGACCCATCGGGCTTGGCCTGGTGTTCGCCAGTGTTGTAGGATTAACAAAACACCTTCAGAATCATAAATACAGGGATCCTGAATCGTTAGCATACCGTCAATCTAATAGCCGATATAGCTTACCCCGTTATCAGAGAAGAAAACATTCTTCAATTGTTCCCTGTCCGTAATCGCAACGATATCCTCGTTTTGACAAATCTCGTCTCGTTTGACATTTTCAATCGAGTATGTCAACGCTGTAAATCCATTGTGTCCAACAGGTCCATTGCCGATAGTCATGACATAGTCTCTCCATGCTGCACAAGTAATAGCTGGACTCTTTTGTCTGTAAACCCGGAAGGGCGTTCCATATAGTGTGTATATGCGAACGTAGTTGGTCGACGTCAACACCACAATGTAAGACTCACTCAGTGCGATGGCTGAAGAATTAGTTATCACAGCCAATGTCAATGAAAGATATTGCTCACCTTTGACCGTTTCACCGGGAGGCAGCTGGGTTCGCCAGTCTCCCCGTGTTGTCCACGTCTCGTGAGGGCGGTAATAAATCATTGCCGCACCATCATCCTCAGTTGAAGAGCTAAACAGCGCCCCATTTTCATCTATGACTGTCAGTCGGCCGTCAGTCGAATGTCAGATATACCTAGCTTACTCAGACAAGCCTTGTCATATCGATAAGGATCCGTAAAATGGAAATTTCGGTGCATCTCGCTGTCATAAAACTCAACTGTGACTGTGTTGTGTGTTTCCTGGTCGACCGTCCACACAACTCCAGTCAAATTAAGACCTGCACCAAGTCAGCCGACATCCGCACCCAACATACGATAACATACATAAATATCGTCGATTGCCCTTCCAAGGAGTGCTTCCCGGCTGGAAAGCTTCGTGGATCGTAGGCTCCCAGTACGACGCCAGACGTTTCGAATCTCGGCCATCGGGGCCATCTAAATGACCGTTTGTTCGTTTCCCATGACCATTAATTTCTTCTGCATACCCAGCACCGTCATCGTCTTCCACGAAATTATCATCCTCATCCATACCCAGAATATCATCTAACGAGTCCGGCGAACCGCCTCTTCTGGGTTTCGCCACATCGTCAATTTTGGACCTGCTAGGGATCTGCTTCCTTGCATTACCAGACGTCTCTCCCAATGGAGCAGATCGGACAGAAAACGGTTCGAGTCGTTTTTCGAGAATGGACTGGTACTCTGGACTAACAAAATTGTCGTGGATATACAGCTCGCCATCGGATGTACTGAAACACAGCATATTCCTCGAAGGATGCCATGAAAGATTGATAACGTTGTCAAAATCGTCATACTTTTGGAGAATATTCTGTGTACTCGTCTCCCAAAGCAAGATCTGACCATCTGCACCTGCAGTAGCGAGCAAGGCACCATTAGGCGACCACCCGAGAGCCGTAATATCACCATTGTGTGCACTAGTGAATGATTTCTGCGGACTCCAGTCTGACGCCGAAAAAATAGCGACTTCGCGCGTAGCCTGCGCAGTAGCGAAAGCTGTGCCATCTGGATGCCAAATTACCCGCGACGTAGCCTCATCCTCCGGTTCAAGCCGTCGAACAGCACCGTCGATTTTGCGTACCAGTTCCGGTTCTTCCGATGCGACAGAATAGATGTATAACACTCCATCCGTGCAAGAGACTGCGATAAATCGGCCGCTAGGATCAAAGGAGACGTGTTTGGAGCCTTTGGTTTGTTCGCGAAGGTATTTTACGTTTGTCATGTCGTCGACGTTGACGACTTTGACTGTGAGTTCACTAGTATTTATGAGTATGCTTCTCACGAGGGATTGAGAAGAAGCTTACTCGCTAGCAACAGCAATCCACTTGCCATCACTTGAAATCGCAAGATCGCGCACGGGAAGCGCGCATCGTACAAGCAATTTGTCCATTTTCCCAGACTCAAGATCGTAGCGCCATACGGTTCCATCTTCAGCGCCAGTAATAAAAAAATCATTCTATCTATCATCAGCACGTCTCCTTGCAGCCATAATCAAGGTGTATACCGTCGCAATAATTCCAAAATGTGTGTCGACACCCTCATCAACCGTTCTGGGCGAGCCATCGTCGCCGACGGTGTAAATACGGATTGCGGAATTGGATCCTGCTGTAATTATGTATCGGCCATTTGGGGTATATGTCAAGACAGTGGCTCCAGGGGCATCTATCCGAGTATATGACCTGTTAGCATCTCTATCTCGTATCATGTGGAAGGTTTGGATCGGACGTACGTGCTGGCAAGGGCCTCGGCCGCATTGTTGCGGCGCTCATTGTGATCTATATTTTTTGATGTGATCGAGTATTTCGTATCAGTGAGTCGTAATTTCAGAGTATGTGATCGTCAATTGTCATTTTATTTGCAAGTTCGTAGCAATGAGCATGATTGAGGTTCTCTGGCAAAGCCACTTTGATAATGGAGGGACGCGTTAATTGCGGAGACGCGTCGCGTTGCCGCCCCTTAAACCATGTTGGGAGTATAATTAGGGCTTAGGGCTCAGGGTCGGGGTACTCTATTGACCGTTTGTCATTTTCCATCTACCTAAGTATTCGCTTTGCTTTAGACAACAAATCATTGAATATACAGTATGCTCATCGTTTTTATGCTTAAGTTCCTCCACACTATCAATCCGCACCACTCGCCGTCAAAAAATCAAAATCGGCCCCATCCTGCGCCTGATTGACCGACCGAATATACAACCCTCTATACCCACGTTGCGATTTCTTCTCGACCACACTCTGCGCAATCTCTATCTTGCGCTCATCAACCCTTCTCTGAATCTCCTCATCGGAGACCTCCAGACGCAGTATCCTCTGCTCCACATCGCAGGTAATAACATCCCCCGTCCTCAAAATCCCAAACGGCGACTCTGGCAGTGCCGATTCAGGCGATATATGCAAGACGATCGTTCCCCCAGCAGTACCGGACATTCTCCCATCTGAAAGACGTAACATATCGCTTACCCCCTGCGCACCCAATTTGCGTGGTAAAGGAATTAATCCGGCCTCCGGCATACCAGGATTGCCCACAGGACCAATATTTTTGAGTACAAGCACCGAGTCCTTAGTAACAGGTAGTTCCGGATCATCAATTCTCCTCGCCATATCAGCCGTATTCTCAAACACTACTGCAGGCCCAGAATGCTTCAAGAGAGACCGATCCTTCGACGCAGAAGCTTTTAGTACTGCTCCATTCGGCGCAATATTCCCTTTGAGCACGACAAGCGACGACGACGGATACAATGGGTTATCCAATGGTCTAATGACCTCCCGCGAATACGCAAAGCTTTTGAAGGGTGATTCATCAAGAACCTGGCCTAGGGTCTTACCGGATATTGTCATTGCATTTAACCTCAGTAGTGGGCGAAGGGTATGCAGTAATGCCAACATACCACCCGCATTATGGAAATCAGTCATGTAATTCGCGCCACTGGGTTTGAGGTCTATCAGTAACGGCGTTTTGCGGCCTACGTCGTCGAATGTTTGGAGCGTTATCTTTCCTTGGATTTTGGGGTGTCGGTTCGCGATTGCGAGTAAGTGAACGACGGCATTTGTGGAGCCGCCTATTGCTTGCAAGACCGTGATTGCGTTGAGGAACGAGTCTTCAGAGAGGATTTCCTGAGGTGTGCGGTGCGCGAGTGCGACGGACACGGCGTTGGAGCCTGTTTCTTCGGCGATGCGCAGTCTTGCGGAGGATACGGCTGGTGCTGAGGCGCCTTTTAGGGGCATCATGCCCAGCGCGGCGGTTATGCATGACATTGTGCTTGCTGTGCCCATTACGCCGCATGTTCCTGACTGTATAGCGTCAGCTATTCCATCTTTAGCAAAAGAAAAAAGAGAGATGATTAGAGGAGGCGTACGGTAGGCGCCAATTCCTCGTTTATGGCACTAATTTCCTCAACATCAATCGTCCCAGCTCTGTATGCAGCCCAATTATTCCTACAATCTGTACAAGCACCCAGCCTCTCACCTCGATGACTACCCGGCATCATGGGACCTGTTATGAGTGGCAGAACAGGCTTATTAGCTGATATTCCGCCCATCAACTGCGCCGGAACAGTTTTATCACATCCTGGAACATGTTAGCCACAAATTTCTCTCCGAAGTAAACAATTGCAATGTAAAGAAAGAGAGGGGGAGAGAGAGAACCTCCAATCATAACACACCCATCCATCGGCTGCGCCCTAATCATCTCCTCCGTGTCCATACTCATCAAATTCCTCAAAAACATACTCGTCGGATGCGCAAACGATTCATGTAAGGTGATAGTCGGAAAATCGATTGCTAGTCCACCCGCCAACTGTACTCCTCTTTTAGTTGCTTCGATTAGTTGCGGCACGTTTGCGTGGCAGGGGTTGTAGCTGGAATATGTGTTTATTATGCCAATTAAAGGCCGGGAAAGGGCGTCGTCGGTATAGCCTAGGGCTTTGATAAAGACTTTGCGCAGAAATAAAGAAAAGTGCGCGTCGCCGTAGGAGGTGAGGCCTTGACGGAGACCGGTGGTGGTGGTGATGATGGGGTTTGTGAGATTATAGTCATCTTGAGGGGTGTTGTCGTTTGTGTCGGAAGGAAGAGACATGTTTCTTTCTCCAGTTAGGATCTATTTGCGGTAATTATATGATTCTATTTCGGATCCTTATACAGGTACTGCGCACAGTTTGAGAGGGGGAAAAGTACATGCTGAACTACCTCAATATTAACCTGAAATACTCCGCAATTGCACAATTTAGCGGATTTGGGGTATCTCGGAAAAAAGTCCGATATCGATATATACCTTTTCCTTTCAGCACCTGGGCACTTTACAACAAACAAAGTTCTAATTATGTATTGAAGTGTTAAAAAGATAATTATTAAAAAAACAGTCATTATTAAGTATCAGTATCTGACAAAAGAAACTTGTACAGTATCATACAAACTCGCTATAACAATTGGTGAATCATCTCTTTAAAATCAAACTGCACATCCATCCAACTAATCATTAATGAAATAGTTTCTTGGTATCGAAAGGGTTTCCATGATATGAAAATGTGGCCTTGTCCATTACACGCCACCTAGAGTCGATTGAACGGTGGCGGGGCCGTCAAAGGCACGGTCTACTTCCTTCTTGAAAGCACCGTTGTTAGCAGATTGGTTGGTTACGCCGTTGATCGGCGACAGTCCCTGTCCGCTGGATCCGCTGGCTGCGGCTCCGGTGGTTGAGACGCCATGGAACCCGTTGAGTGCACCTGCATTGACTCCATCGGCTCCAAGTCCATCAACTCCATCAGTCCGTGGGTGCTCCTGGAGACGGCTTTCGGCGGTGGTATGAGGCTTGCGAGATACAGCAGCAGGCTTGGGCAAGTTGCTAGTAGGTGAAGCAGCACCCCAGTTGAAGACTGGTGATTGCCAGCGGTCACCCTTAGCAGCAAGCTCCTTGTACTCGGTAGCCTTGGTAGTAACACTACCAGGGAGCTTGATGTCCTTGAACATAGCATCCTGGTGAGTCATGGCCACCTGAACCCTGGTACCACGCTGAGCAATGGCTTCGGCCTGCTTCTTCTTCTCGGTAATGACTTGGCGAGTAGCATCGGCATAGCGAGCGAAGATGTTCTTTGCGTTCTCGGGATCTTCACGAACAGCCTCCTGAGCACGCTGGGCCTCGGTTTGCACCTGGTAGGCAAATGCATCTGCCTTTTCGAATGCCTCACGAATCTGGCTTTCCAACACCTTCTCAAGAGCGGGGCGGACAACATTCAAAAGCATGGGTCGGAAGATGCTGAAAAGCACCTTGTGCTTGGACTTCTTCAATTTAATGCTAAGGTTTTTCACATTGACCTTGACACTATCAAGCTTGAAGACTGCGTTGCGGTCGTTCTTCTGTGCCTTGGAAGCAGCAATCTTGAAGCCGAAACCGGTACCACCAAGGAGAATGTCCATAACACCGGTGTCGGTGAGAGACGGGAAGCCTTGCTTCTTCTTCAGATAGTAGCTCACATCACGGAGATCAGCTTGGATGCCGGAAGCAGAGATCATGATCTTGTGATCATCAATGTTGCTGATCTTCTTACGGCCCCAACGCCAGTAGTTGTCAGTACCAAGCTCGACGACATTAGGCATCAAGTTGTCACTCTCGATGATAAGGTTTTCAATGACCTAAAAAATTAGTATTATCATCTTGTTATCAATGCAGAAATACGTACCATGTCAACAGCTGGGTCAGACACCTCAATGCGAGGAATAGGAATGTAGCTGGCATTCTCAAATATCTCAGGAAGAATCACATTGGTGATATCCTTGATCAAATGAGGCTTGAATGTGGGCTTGCCGTACTGATCCTGGCCAAGATCCTTGAAAAGTTTCTCCAAAGACAGACGGAAAGCTCTGTTCTGAGGATCTTCTTCAAACTGAGTGGCCAAAAACTTCGCTTCATCGGCGATACGGTCTGTGTGGTTTCGGTAGCGGTCTCGAAGCAAGAAACGACCTTCATCGTACAGCTTGTTCCACTGGTTGTTAGCCTCATCTTGCATAATGAATCCTTGCTCGCGAAGACATTTCCTATTTATCATCAGCAACGAATCATCGACATGAAAATGAATAGGCTAACCGAGTATAAGTATCAACATTCCTGAACCAGTCCTTCAAACGTGGGTCCTGGTCTGCATCGCGGTAGATCGTGTTGAGCGAATCGAAGAAATCATCGGTCGATGTGCTGTTGGCAAATCGCTCGATTAAAGTCTTGAAACGCATCAGCATGTCCTTTTTGCTATCTATCAATCCTACATACCCTCAAGTTAGTTTCAGCCTTACGCAGTATAGTATTTTCTCTGGCACCTTTAGTGGCGGTCGTTCCCTGGGTAGAGACATTTCTTCCATGTCCAGCATATGTCTCGGCCAAACTCAAGAGAGTCTCAATGGCTTGTTGATCTGTACGGTTATTAGCACTGACACCTGTATTGTTAGAATCCGGACATACAGTCAGAGTGACCCTGAATCTCAACAATCATCTTCTTCAAACGCCAAACGACCTGCTCGCGACGTTCTTGGGGCATCTTGGAGGCCAAGAAATCCTTGGTACGCTGGCTATATTCGGAAGACACAGCTTGTGCTTGTTCGGAGACTTGTTGAGCCTGCTCGCGGTCCTCAGGCGCAACATTTTGCTGTGCACGCTGTTGCAGAGTTTCCTTCGCAGTAGCGGCACCAGCACGGGCATCGATCTGGGAGATTGGAGCATCCTGTCGACCGCCAGTCGCTGAGGTGGTAGCGGCCTGAGCGGCTTCCTGAACATCTTGCTTGCTCTAGGCATGTTTAGTACATGAATATCTTGGAAAAAAAAGGCATGACTTACACCAGGCTTGAAGCGGTCTGCCTGTTCCCTCCACTGTGCTTTCAATGAATCCTTGTTAATGTCGGGCTTTTCATGCCAGACATTGGCTTCGGCGGGCTGGTCGATCTGAGCAAGGGCATCCTCGTCCGGTCGGAGCTTGGAGGCAGCCTTCATAGCGGTGTCGCCGGCAATATCGCGGAGAAGGACGACAGCATCACTCACTAGAATATATTAGCGACCCTGACAAATGAACCTGGGGCCAAACTTACACAGCTTGCGGAACTCTCCGTTGGTGATCAAGAGCGTGCCCAGAGTCTTGAAACCCTCAGCAGCACGGTCGGCATCTCCACGAGCAGAGTCCTTGCTGACAGGGCCGGTGATTCCTTGAAATTCTTCACCGGTAATCTGCTGGGCATCCCAGATGAACTCCTGCAGAAGCTCGCCCTCGTTCTTGGTGAGGAAGAGCAACTTGGTCTTGTCAATGACGTCACGGAGGTCCTTGACTAGGATTTGGCCATCTTCAGACAGCTCCTTGGAGGGAGACGAGAGCCATTTCGACTTAATGGCACTGTTCAGGGCGACATCGCATTGTTTGTTCTAGTAGTTGTTAGTCATGCGCTCGGATGTTGTCATCAATTAATCCGTACCGATGGTAGCTTTCCGTTGGCAAATGCTATAAAACAAGTAGTTAGTTCCGGTCATGCAATTAACTCGCGTGCCAATACATACCACTGTAGATGCCATATAGTTGCAGTTTTGTGGCAATGTCCTGTTGCCCTATTAGCGTTCACACTCAGCGCGATACTGGCACATGTCAACTTACGGCATCCCGCTGCTGGGGATTCACCGGACGATTCACAGCAGCCTTCTCACCCATGATGGCGGTTATTCAAATTATCAATGGACTAAGAAGCAATGATTCAAACGGATAGCAGACACAATTGTGGTGGTGAAATCAATATGTCGCAGCAGATTCGATAATGATCAATTCAAATTGTTATTAGGTGTACAATGGACAAAAATTCGAGCAGTCGTAACTGGGGTATCACTGAGGAATGGAATGAGAGCTGGGAATGTTGGGGAAGGAGAAAACAGAAAAGATTAACGGTTGGGCGAACCAGGGGGAGGAGGACTCGCCTTAAGAAGGGGGCGGTGGGTGGATTCGACGTTCCGACCAGTTACCTCATTTTGTGTGCTCAAGGAAGGTACGACTCAAGGCTGATGATGCTAGGAGGAAGGAGGTACGTCTGTCGCATGTACATGTGGCAGGCGCGATGCACGATTACCAATTAGGGTTTGTTGACGTCACGCTGGCGTGAGGAAGGAGCTGGGGGGAGCTCCTTCCCTTGTCCCCACTGCCAGCAAACCATTTGATTTCACATGATTTCAATTGCTTGCTGTCCACTACTTTCACACTACTATGATACTACTCAGTGGTAGTCGCCATCGGATCTCATATCCTCTCCCTTTTGTTGCTAGCCCGGTTACATAATGCTGCATCGATCTGCCTAGACCACCGGCGAGCCACGAACCTGTTTACTAGCGCACAAGCCACACAGCTTAAGTCAACATCTGTATCGAAGCGTCATCAATTGCTGCTCTCTACTGCTTCTTGATTTTTTCCAGAGTCACTTTGACGTCAATTGATCGCTAGCATAAAACTCAAAACCCTCGACAATCCATTGCCATTTCGATGATAGATTCGACTTTTCTCCAATAGGACAAATGTCCGTCTGGTTGTCGATGATGTTGATGACGAAGATGGGCGCCATGGCAAGTAGATTACTACGTACTCTCTTCTCTCTCTTGCCTTTGGCAAACACTTGTTTGACATGCCATTGGTTTAGTTGAATCAGCCACTGGTGATCGCTGTATTTATTAAATCATCGGAACATGGTCTGTACCTAGGTAGATCTGCGTTTGTCCACGATTCGGCTCGCGTGGTCTCATGTAAACAGTCTAGCACGTAGTACAATTGTAAACTGCAACAAGAAAGTTCTTGAACAAGCTCGATCGATGTTGTGATGACGAGAAGATGACGACGTCACAAATAACAACAGGCTAGTCCGATGCAGTTAGTCCCATCTATAAGCGGGTCACTTCTTTCGATCGTAGCCCGCACCATTGAGCCCTAAGTCCTACACAGCTCGTGTCTTTTCAGCCCTAGCCCTAGCCCTAGAACTCTCGTCCATAAGTAGGGAAAGGAAAAGACAATTTATGGATGGTGCTACAGTAGGCACCTACATAGTATTCCATTCATTTGTAATATGATGAACCCTGGTTTATGTTGGTACGCAGCTTACGGAGAAGGTGGCAGTCAACGAAACATGATGAGATCAGTCAGGATAGGCAGAATCTTTCAAAGCGTTAATTAATTCTGATCTCTCCTTCCTTTCTACACAATGCTAGAGTAGATCCTGACTCATATCCAATGATAATGGATTCAGATAGGTACAAAGTTGACAAAATCCCGACCCTGGAGTGCGAGGGAGAGAAGTTTTTCGTCCTCAAGTCCATTGTTTGCAAACACTCTCCGGTCCTTTCAAAGGCGTGCAATGGTCACTTTGAGGTAGAATAGCTTACATTCAAGTCTATGTTCGGGACGATGTCTTGTTTGATAGCTAATTCAACCTAGGAAGCATCGACAGATGTGATCTCCGTGACTCAATTCAATGCAAAAACCCTGCGGCGTATGCTAGAATTCATGTACGAAGGAAAATACGAAGCTAGTGAACTGGAAAAGCATGAGGAGCTAAACTATGACAACTATTTTGCCAGGGGTAAAATAATCCCTTCGTCGCAGAAAATAATACCTCTGTTGACCCTGACTATACAGACGAACATCCGGAAGAGGCCACTTTAGAGGACAAAATAGCTGCTTTGGAGATCTGTGAAGTCTCTAGCACAGAAGAAGATGAGCCGCCAACATATACTATCCTGGATATGCTCCAGCCGCATATCCTTGTCAACTCCATAAGTGATTATTACGACGTTCCTGGATTGAAGTCGCAAGCCAACCAGCACGTATGCGACGTTCTTGAGAATTCATGGTCTGCTAGCGATTTTATGGCAGCAGCGGAGCTTACATTTGCGTCTACATCGGATACAGAACTCTACGCGATCATAACTGCAGCCATAAATGGCCATATCAAGAAATTGCTGGACCGAGAGGATTTTCTCGGACAGGGATTACTAAATCCATACTCGGTCGGTATCATACAAGATTTGCATAAAAAGCTAGTGAGCACTGAACGAGAGGCAAAAGAGTTGGAAAAGAGGATAGTAAATATGGAGGTTTCAAGTGGGGTACATGAAGACTGGTATAAAGGAAAAATCTCGTGTCTAGAAGGTACTATCAAAAAATTGAATGGCGCCATTGCTATCAGTAACTCGAGAAATAGTCGTCGACACTGCGGCAGGGAGTGGCATAGTCACAACGACAGGTCGACATGCAAAGTTCGATGCGGTCGATGTGGGACAATACACCCATGAAAAAATTCGCCTTCGACAACTTCCTCTTCATCGTCAATGTCTTCCTCGTTCTTGTATTACGAGCGAGAACCCACGGCTCGGCGTGCCTATATTCAAACTATATGAGGCGAACGTGTCTTGCGTAGTCACTAGAAGATAGTGCTTCGAGTTTTGAGATAGATGATAGTCCACAGTTCAGTCGTATATGAATGCCTCGGAAGAGCTGCCTTGGTACACATCGACTGAAAGCCTTGTCGACCAGACGGAGGTTGCGCAAGGCTAGTCGGGCTATTTTCTGAGGTGGATACAGGTGTAGGTTTCTGCGATGCACAAAGTCCGGGTCGTCGCTCAAAGCTGCCACGTAGGCTGTGATCTGCAAGTTGTTAGTGCTAAAATGAAAACGTATCTGGGGAGCCTCACCTGGTCATATAGTTCAGTGGGAAGTCGTTGCATCTTGATGGTAGATATGAATTCTTACTTCTGCCAAATATGTAGACCATTTGGTGTAGTTTTTGATTGGAGTGCTCCTGGGGTACCAAAGTGAATATAATCAAATCAAATATATGACTATGAAGGGACCTTAAGCTTGCTATTATAATTCAAACAAAGTCTTTTTTCTCCTCTTTCAATGGGGAATTCCGTCAAAATGATACATCTGCTTTATTTGCCTCAGGCAGGAGGGCGCTCTATACCGTCAATTTCCCACAAAAACACAGCTTTGTTTGCATCTTTCCATTTTTTGGTCTTCTTCCTCTTTTTTTCTATTCCCCTTCATATGTCCACCGACTTTCCCATACGGTCAATACTCATCTTTCAACCTTTTCTATCAATCCAGTATCAAAACACCTCCTGACACAGAATTTGAGTGATACTCGCAGTACGAAATTAATAAAAGTACTCGTGGAGCGTCCCCAATACATATCTTCACAACTTCTTTGCAGCGTCCGGTGCCTCCCCGTATCGAAAACATACTATTTCAAGATGGAGCGACTACCCACAGAGGTTTTGGATCATGTACGTTCTCTGCAAGTAAGAACCCAAATTCATTTGGCACTAACTAGGCTCTCGCTACAGATCACATCCTACGTTGAGGACTGCAAGACATTGGCTGCGCTGCGTCTCGTCGACAAAGCTTTCTGCCGTAGCGCGTCAAGGGGACTGTTCCGGCGTGTGATCTTGGAAGTGGGCTATAAGCCAGCCATCACGACGAAGTTTCAGGCTTTGGCTTCCAGCGAGTATGCCCAATTTGTTCGCGAAGCAGTCTTCAGCCCGGACCCAATATTCAAGCACACTAGATGGCGCCCTAAGTTTGTGTTCGCGCCAAACATCCTGACTCGCCTTACATCTGTCCTCAAGAAGCTTCCAAAGTTGGAGACTGTTGCAATATGTCCTCTTCCGTGGGACCCAACTTTATCATGGTCTTCGGTTGCCCTCAGAGCGATCGCTGACCTGAAGCATCACAACGTGACACGGCTAGAGATGTCTCTCGATAACAGCGCTTATCTCAAAAGGTGTATTGAATGTCGTCAGGAAAAGCCAGTCACGCAACTCATCCGACAAGTGCAACATTTGAAACTGTATGGCAAGAACGAAGAAGAGGATGACATGGATGATCTCCATCTCATACTGAAAACCGCAGCGAATCTTGTTTCTCTCGAAGTGAATAGTTATTGCTCTGTTTACGGATCCTCCGTGAAAGAGTATAACTTTCATCAGCATCTTCAACTGAAGTCCTTGAACTTGGTCTGCGTATCAATCACCTCTTATGAACTATTGGGCCTACTGGAATGGTGCAAAGACACCATCAAATCTGTCGCGATCGGCTTCTTGGCATTAAATGCAGGATCTTGGCTACACGTTCTCATGCAGATCAAAAAGAACCTGAAGTTGCTCAAGTTCTTCTTTAACGAATGGAACATATCTCGTGCAAAGGAGACTGAATATGGCAATTACATGTGGCGCTCGCTCGGGAAGTTTCGACGCGACCACGAACTCATTGGCTGCGCCATTGGTGATTTGCAACGTCAAACAAACGCGAATAGGATTGCTGAAGGACTTCGGCCTCTGTCCAAGGAAGAGTATCGAGAGCTTGATCTTCCAACCTTGGAGTCTGCCATTGATGATGCACGGTACACAGAGCTCATTTCACGATCTTGGGACGCAGAGAAGGATGCAACCTATGAGTGGGATACCGGTAGTGATGACCCTGACGATTAACTTTAGGCTGGGTTTGCATTATCAAGGCTTTTCGAGAACCGGACGAGTGGTTGAGCATGTCAACTCTTTGCTTTCTATTGTATTTTATGTGCTGATTAGTTCCATTCTTTGAACAAGTATTGAATGGTAACATCCTGAGCATGGCGGTAGTTAAAATGAAGTTGAATGTTGAGCAATGAACGTATATTCTAGCTGTAGAATCACGTGCGCATTGACGCAGTAGGTACCGGTAAGCGGGGCCGCAAACTAATGTGGGGCTCATACAAGCTCATGCTTCTTAAACTTCAACAAGAGATACGTACAACGATGACAACACGAAGAGATTCTCTCTCAGCTTGAATGAGACTATCCTCTCATCATGGCCGGTGCAAAGGGGAAGAAAAAGCAATCGCGTCTTGCTTTTGCCCCGATTCAAGACTCACCATCGCCCCGTCCAACCGGCGCGTCTCAGTCAGCGTTTACACCCTCTAGGCTGCGATATGCGAATCCGTTTACTGGGAAGGTTACTGTGAGGGGACAACTACAGTTGGAGGACTATACGAGGCCCTGGGGCAATTCAGCGGCAGGTGATATTAAAGAGGAACTGAGCGAAGCCGGGCAACCTTCATCTGAAGTTGAGGTGAAGCGGAGTATGTCTGAACAAGTACTTTCTTTCCTCTCATTCTATCTTACTGACACTGACTTTATGCGTCTGGAGATTTGATAGACAACCGTTCAAACCAGACTTCATCTCGTTCAATATCTCTCCCTCGCGAAGACTCATCTGACGATGAAGTGATTCGACCCTCGAAACGTCGACGGATAACGAGAGACGTGAATGATACTGAACCTGACCAAGATTCTCAATACTCACTTTCACCAAGTGGAACCAACAACTTACATAACCACGACATCACAGACGACGACTCAGACATGGGACGCCGTGCGACCAAGCATACCCCGCGTAGACGGAGTCCACGACTCCTCGCCAGCTCACCGACTGAGACGAAGGCACGCAGAAACTCTTTGAAAATGGATCTCTCTAACATTGGGGAACCTGAAGAAAGTGATGCAAATGAGCTAGCATCACCTGGCACTCATCGCAAGCGCAGAGGTCCGAAGCTGAAGCAGAAAAGTCCATCCGTCGTCGTGCTTGATGATTCAGATGCTGATTCAGACGTGGTTATTACCAGCCACATACGAAAGAAGCGCAAGCACAATGATCAACCCAGTCTTGAACAGGGAGCCGATGGTGATGATTCAGATGACGTTATCATCGCTCCTACTCCATCGCGACGTGGCTTGAGAAAGTCACTACAGAAGTCTGTTGCTACTAGCAATGAAGAGGCTCCAAAGACGCCAAAGAAGTATTCTCAGCAGGATGAGCTCGACCTTGAAGAGGACCTCGAGGATCTGAGAGACACAGGTGAGAACTACAGCCTACAAAATCGTAAATCTTACTGACACTATCGAAGTCGTCCGAGAAAAACGTACGCGCGGCTCAGCCATCAATTCCGCCAGGAGCAACCGTCAGAAACATCTTGAGATGCTTCGACGTCGCCGCGCAGGCGAAAAGGAAATTGCCGAGGATGAGGACGAGGACGAGGAAGAAGAAGATGATGAACCCCCGCGTTATGCAAGCACCGCTGGTATAAACTGGGACGACTACTCAAAAAGACGAGACGCTTCAGATAGCGACGCCCCATCGATCATCGAAGCAAACGAGGATTTGGATGCAGATGACTCCTCATTCGTCGAGGATGACGGCGAGTTGGGTGTTCCTGGCGACGTCACTGTCAGCGTCCCCTTTGAATTTAGTCGTCACCGCACAAAGACTACTCGAGACTGTTTCCGCGATGTTGTTGAATGGATGGTCCACACCAAACTCAATCCAGGGTTCAACCGCAACGACGATCTCTACCAATTCGCATTTGTCAAGGTGAAGGACGAAGTCGTKGGASGAGCCGCATCGCAATTGATATCTACAGTATGGAATGCAGATTTTGTCAATACGCTACGTGCTCGACCCCATCTTGAGGTTACGGCTCATCCGCTTGATGATGATCATAAGTGTGACGCGTGCAATCGGTCAAAGCATCCGGCTTCATCGGACCTGAAGTTTACCGGAAAGCCATATTCTGAAGAAACCTTTGAACCACTTTACGAAAGCGATAGCGAAGGTGATAGTGATAGCAGTGACACCTGTGACGAGGATGAGAACGGGCCTGACAGAGATCGCGAAGGTCACATCCTACCTTCAGAGGACAAGCATTACTACCTCGGCCGGTACATTCCCTTCCCCCCAAACATGCCCAATGTAACCCAGCTAACATGAACAGAACCTGTAAATCCAACGCCGTCCTCACCCACACCTTGATCCACTGGCGCTTCCACCTCTACGAATGGGTCGTCGACTACCTTAACCACGAAGAAGAATTATTATCAAACCCACAGAAATCGCTCGACCGCGAGAAAATGTCTGCCAAGAAGCGCACCAAATACGCCAACAATGTGGTTGATCGCATGGATGAGGAGGGGGAGGTGCAGCGTCTGTGGATGGATTTCCATCAGAATCTCAGGACTGTGAGGGAGATGAAGGTTTGTTTATCCTACATATCCTACTTGAGGAAGAAGTTTGTGCTAATGTTTGTACAGGATGTCCGTCAGTTCTGAGACGTATCTCTTTGGATCGCTTTATGGATTCTGTGATATACACTTCTATGACATGACTTGATTTAATTCTTATACCTTGATTGCTTTTTCGAATTCCGTGATATATCCTTTTTATGACATGACTTATTCTTATACCTTATGATGCACTTGCAATTTGACGGTTACCTGAACATTGACACATTAACATATGTACTTCTCCGACCCAAGCGGTCCTTGATACCAAAAGAATAAGTGCAGTGAAATCCACATCTATCAAACCAAAGAAAATTATTTTAATACATCTAATCGAGAAGAGAGATCGAACCAATTACACAATGATACATGACCATGGCAGCCAAAACAAAAAAAGACGAAAAATAACCGCACAATATACAAACACAGCACCTGAAAAAGCACTTCCAGTGATGCAAGTAAAGTAAATTTTCGATCGTGCGTGGAGTCGAATTGTAATATGAGCGAATCAACAGCGTTGAAGTGATTTCGTGTTTCATATCCCTCTGACCGATCATCCATCCTGCAAGAAATCGTGTGGTCGTATGGAAAGGGATAATCTTATAATATCATAGATTTCCCGCTCTTTACAGAGCAGCCTTTGGCTGTTCAGTACCAGCCGCACCGAGCGCAGCAGCAGCAGCGTTTGTGCCGGGAGTAAGCATCTACCCATCATCAATCAGCCCAACCCCCAACAAAACTTCATCCTGGAGGATCATTTGCGGGGAAAAAAGACAAACCTCATTAGCACCCCTCATCATTCCCTGCTCCCTCTCCATCTGCACATACTGCTCCTCCTCCGCAAACGCCAGCGCCCAGGGCACACCCAACAAGAATGCAGATGTCGAAATGACCCATAACGCTTTCCCGCTGAATGAGAATGTACTCTTTGTCGCGTCCGAGAGGCCTGCAATGGTGGCTGTGATGCGGCGGCGGGATTGAGGAGGAATAATGTCCTTGAGAGCGACGATGCGGTCGTACAGGGTTTCGTTGATGGGGTCGTAGGTTGAGTCTACTTCAGAGATTTCGGATTCTATCCCATCACACCACCAGAATTATTAGTATATTGCTTGCGAGATGAGATAGCGAGGTAGAGAGAAGGGTTACCGGTGTCGGTAAAGTCTTCATCGTCTTCGTTATCTGAGACGAGGAGAGCTTCCTTGGTTGGGATAGGCTTTTCGGTGGTGAAGTGTTCGTCTTCGACTTCGGTGAGTTTGACCATTTTGGCTGTTATTTATGGAGTTGGATATTAATAAAAGTGCGAAGAGTGAATTGATGTGGAGCGATGGATAGTGGTCTTTCAAGATGGTCTGCTGGTTGATGTTGATGTGGTTGAAAAGAGTGAAGCCAACTTTTTCCCGATTGCCCATCTTAGTCCGGAGTCACTGGACCAACCGCGGAGCTCAGAGACCCACTCGGCTTGGCATCTCAGTGATCTCACTCAGTATTCTTACAATTTGCACACTTTTATCCTTTCAATCTATATGATGAATGCTTATGATATATATTGTACAGTGCCTAGACAATCTATCACTACATAGAGAAGAGAATCAGACTTTCCATCCTACAACCGACCAAGCTTCCACTTTGAAATCCGATCTTGAATCTCGTCCCATGGGAATGCGCGCGGAGTATATCCTTCTAATTCACCTTCCTGAATGACGACCGTCGGCTTTCCAGTTCCCTTTCCAGGGTTAAACACCTGCCCACCAAACACCTGTTTCGCGACACGTCGCAGATCGTTTATCGTCAAGGAGTCAATGCGATCGCACATTTCCTTGACGCCAATCTTGCGTCCGTGGACTTGTACCTGGCGCCCGAGATCTTCCAGCTCGACCATGCGAGACTCGAGATTCATCAACAGCGACGACCGGAGTTGATTCTTGGCGCGGTTGACTTCAGGCATTTGTAGGGCTGAGAAGCCCTTGTCGAGGGTCAGGGCTTGGAGTTCGCGGCACATGACTTCCAGCATTTGTGGTGTGCGCGTTGGGCTACACGACGCCGAGATACCGAACAAGCCACTGTCAGTGTAGCTGTGGTTGAAAGCAATGCAACTCTCGACCCAGCCGTGTTGATTCAATACGTTGGTGTATAAGCGGGAGTACATGCCCTTTCCGGGCCCGCCGGCTGAGAATGAGCCTCCTCCGCCAAGCAGTGTTTGTAGAGTCGCGAGCGCGTAGATATCGGGAGAAGAGATGGGGAGAGCTTCGAATGCCAGGTGAATATGACTTAATCGAGGATGATTCGGGTTCGCAGGAGGAGGAATGGGCGGCAACGTCAAGTAACCACCAGTATAATGCGCGGTGCGGGAAAGATCGACAGAAGAAGGTTTCAGCAACGACGGGTCGAGAGCTTTCACAGTCGCGGTATCTGGAGCGGAAGAAGATAAATTTTTGAAAAAGGGAAGCTTCGACAGAATGTTTGGTTGCGACGTTCCGGCCTGAGCATTGGCTGTGACGTTCGCAGTCGGTGTGCTGAGATGAATTGTAGGCAACTCTCCTTCCTTCTCACCGGAAAGCGTAGATTCTACACCCTTGCCATGCAGTGCCGGCCCTTCGGCAGATTTCATATCCCCAAAGTACTGCTCCGTAAGCCGCACAGCATCCTCATGGGCAACACCTGCAAATGCAACGACTATTCTCTCAGGTCGGAAAAAAGCTGCTCGATATTTCTCCACCACCGCCTTGTTAATCTCCATCAACCTTTCCTGAGGACATAGCAACGGGTTGCCCAACGTATTATTCTTGAATCCAGCCATGTGCACGAGTTCCGGTAAAATGAGTTCCGGCTTATTCCAAATCTCATTAATCTCATACTCCGCCGTCAACAATTGCTGCTCAACTTCTTCTTCTGTAATCAGCGGATCACGAATCGTCTCTGCCAACAGGCCCAACGTCGTGGGCACCGTAGAATTAAAACTGGCAGATTGATACATCAGTGACTCTCGGGATGAGGCGCACTGTATATTCCCACCAAGCGACTCGAGTGCCTCTAGCATTTCGTCGGCGGAGCGCGATTTAGTGGATTTGAAGGCGAGACGGTCCATTATGTGGCTTACGCCGCGGATGCTGTCGTCTTCGTACCTCGAGCCGGCGTCGACGTACACTCCAACGCCGGAGAAGGGGCCGGGGAGGGATTCGCTGGCGACACGGATGCCATTTTTGAGAGTTGTGATTTGGTCGAAGTCGGCGGGGTCCTAAGTCATTAGTCTCTTGATCGTTCGATGTGAATTTTCAGTAAAATGTACCTGAGCTATCGTGGAAGCGCTTGCTAAACCTCTGGTACTGGCAGGCTGGCTGCGTATAATCGGACCGATGGATTGAGCGGTCCGCAGAGCCGCTCGACGCATACTGTATCACTGACCGGAGTATTAATAAGTGAGCGATAAGATGAGAGAACGTTTGTCGCGTGGTCCGGGTGGTGTTGACGCAGCAGTTGATATTTTTTGGGCCTGTTACGTTACGTCTTAGTCTGCCGGCTGCGGACCTCCCGGCGGAATTCCGGGAAACTTGCAGCTAGCCTAATTGGGACGACTTTATCATCATCTTAAACGACTCTATGTCTAGTTACTCTCGTTGGATCGTCGATGGGGAAAAAAACCCGAAATTATTATCAAGTAACATCTCTAGTGCTCTGCAGCCCATTTTTTATACCCGTCCAAACAAGCTGCATTAGCCACGCTCGCGGACGTTTTGATATTCAATCCGCAAAGTATCTGTTTCACGGCATTCTCAACCTTCTTCCCGTTCGAGGTCAACGGAATCTCATTGCCCGGACACACATCAATAATTCCTGGTACGTGTCGTGCACTGAGTTCCTTGCGAATAGCAGCTTGAATTCTAGCCACCAGATCCGGTGACATGGGCGGGATACCCCCTTCGACAGCTTCTGGGACGAGCTTGACAAAAAGAACGACAGTTTCGTCGGTATCAATCCCCTCACGCCTGCGTCCAATGCAGAGAGAATCCTCTATCTCTTGAGAAAAGTGCTTCAGAATCACATTATATATTTCGGCACTTCCAAAGCGGACTCCTGCTGGTTTAAGAACTCCATCACTGCGGCCAAGCATCGTCAGACCGCCGGTATCAGGATCGATCCGTACAAAATCGCCATGGTGCCAAACAGAAGGTCCAAAGACGTCGAAATAACTTTTCTTATATTTTGCTTCTCCTTCAGGACCAGGTGGCCAGAACATAACGGGCTGGGCGGGAAATGGTACAGTACAGACCAGGTCACCAGGCTCGTTTGATTTCGTTATATCATTGCCAGCATAGTCGTAAGCGGCTACAGCCATTCCAAGTCCTCGACATTGAATCTCGCCTCGGTATACAGGCGATATCGGACAGGAGGCGCCAAACAAAGATATGATATCAGTACCGCCAGTAATTGAACCGAGCATGACGTCGGGGTGGAAGGAGGAGTATATATATTCGAAAGTGGACGGTGCTAATGGCGCAGCGGTACTGAATATCGCCCTCAGCTTTTCCAGTTGCACTGGGCGGTTGGGATGCTTGCGCGGGTTTAATGAAGCCTGCTCGATCATTGATAGATACTTTGCAGATGTTCCAAAATGTGTGATACCGAGCTCCTCGATCAACCGGGCCATGGCCATCTCGCCCTTTCCACCTTCAACGTCGAAAGGTCGGAAAGGGCTTCCATCGTAGACGACAATGGTGGCACCACTCGCAAGCCCGGATACAAGCCAGTGCCACATCATCCAGGTGGTTGTAGTGTAATAAAATAAGCGATCACCAGGTTTGATATCGCTGTGTAAGACGTGTTCTTTCTTATGCTGCAAAAGTGTCCCTAGTGCGCCGTGGACGATAGGCTTAGGGGCACCGGTTGTTCCCGAAGAGTAGAGAATATAGACAGGATGATCGGGGTCTAAAGACTCGAATTTCAGAGGTGTTGTAGAGCCCTGCGCTTCGCGGACAAAGTCCTTGTACCGTGCGGCCAGTCCGCTTTGGGGCTTCACTTTCTCTAGATCAAGTTCAGCCGACTGTATAGCCTCTAATACCACGACATGCTCTAAGCATGGTAATTCTTTCACAATTTCTGCGACTTTTGGTTCGGTGCCGTGAACCTTGCCGTTGTAAAGAGAAGCGTCGTCTGCAAATAATATTCTCGGCTGTACCTGGCGGAGACGCTCAACAACCGCATGCACGCCGGTATCTGGGGAGATCGATGTCCAAAGAGCTCCAATAGACGTTGTGGCTAGCATCATCACGACAGCGTCGACATGATTGCCAACAAAGCCGCCAATGCGGTCACCCACTGTTATACCCTTTTGGCGCATAGCATTGGCACATACTCTGACACGCTCCCTCAGCTCTCGCCATGATACGAACTCGCGATCTGCCTCTGTGGCACCGATGATAGCAATTGCTTCGTCGCCTGGGCAATTTGCGGGAAAGAGAAGATTTTCGGCGAAGTTCAGACGGCTTCCCTCGAAGAAGTGCGGTCTGGGAAAGAGCAGTGAATTGGAGTCCAAAACCTAGATGGAGAGGTGTCAATTGCGCCCCATTTATCAACGAGTCTTTTCCTACCTTGGAATATGTTTTATGTGCTCTAACCCCTGTGTAATGCCAAACCTCCTCCCAGAAGTCAGCTGGTTGCGAGATACTCCATTGCCAAAGATCGTCGTAGTTCTTGAGCTTCAAGTTGTATTTTTGTCCAATATGAGTCTTGAATTTGAACATCTCAGTCCTCTCGGGCGCCGAGGGTCGCCATAGTTCTATGGCATCGAGATCGTCATTGATTGAAGAAGGCATTTTTGAAGATTGCCTCCTCACTTATTGTGGTGAGTACGTCTACGGCGTCGTGAGCTGTACGGTATGATGGAGAAAGACAAGTTAAGGACAGACTTGTTGGGGCGTTGATTTTGTCCCCCAGTCTACGAAGGAGCAGAAACCGCGGGGAATATCCGCGCTTTTTGGTCGGAATCCGTTACTGACCGTGTAGCTGTCCGCGCATTCATTCCGCACTCGTCTATGGTCGCACCAGTGAAAAGTAGTCTTCAGCCTACATGTACTACTTACTGTTTATTGCTGCTTTTTCTCGTCAAAAAGCAATATAGGGAATACACTGGATCGTTACTCGACCGGTGAATATCTGATTGGATAATTTCTACAATACATTTCTCCGGAACCTGACAGGGGCCTGGACCATACTGCGATGTACTACATCGTAGTATGAGCCAGTCTTTGTGGTGCTGCAACAGGCAACACCAGTACACTGACGCGATCACAGGCAGATGGTGATAGTCATCTTCTGCTGTTTGCGGCACCTTCGGATGGAATCGATGAACCGGGTGTATGAGGTCATTCTCCATTGCCGAAAAAACTTCAGGCTTGAAAGGCGCCAAGTGTTATCGATAATGGGATAATGATCGATTCTCACGTCGCTTCGGTGCGAGGGAAAAAACTTATCGACCGTTATCTTAGTGCTGTCTGGAGTAACTAACAAAAACTCATATGGATGATATCAAGCCCTTGAAGTTGGAGGCAAACGGCGAAGCTTGGTCGCCCCTGACTCCGGAGTCTGAGCGAGGCTGCCTGTATTAGGCTATCAGCGTGTCCGTATCGATAATCCAGGCTCTCGACTAGTCGTCGCGGTGATTGCTCGGCCTGATCAATAACCGTCCATTTTAGGCTTGGTTGGCGCACTAGGTCAGCCCAGCTGCGGCGGCGAGACGATCCAGGGGCAGCGACAGAATTTTTAAATTACTTACTTGTGTATTACATTTACTAATACCGTAACTTAGGTATTTTATCTCCATATAAGCATGTATGTGTACTGTCATTTGATACGAATAAATTAATTGTACCGTCACATACGTGGACCCAGCTCTCCGCTAGAGCCCGAACTAGCAGACTAATCTTACAATCATCGAACTTTGGTCTTTCCCAACGTCTCTCGGTTTCTCTGTCAACACCACCTCTCTGTCCTCGTGTCAGGAATACATCTTCTCTCCATAGCTCATCTTTTCCTTCGGCTCCCTGGGCGACACTTTGAAACATATCATTTGTTCAATTGCTGAGCGGCAAGGGTTGTTACGGTCGGGCGATTCTCTCCCCGCGCGCGCCCCTTTGACCGCTGCTCTGCGGCTTCGTCGGATGTACTTTGCTGCCCGGTTTTCCAAGGCTCGCCATTGTATGTCACTCTGTCTTGACGTTCTTCGACGTGATCGGGTTCTATATGAACATGTCGTTGTTCTAGCAGGATATTCTGAGGCAAGAACGACGCGCTGAAGAATTTGACTGACATTACCTTAATAGTCGCTTAGTTCTCGAGCATCGAACACGCCTCCTTCAATCCTTCAGGAGCAATTCAATGCGTGTATAACCTTTGGTACTGGTAAATCACAAGCCGCGATATAGTCTCCTTTATACAATTGTGCGACAAACAAGAAGTCTTGCGATGCCTCGTCGACTGTCGAATACCTTTTCAAGCAACTCCTCGCCATCGACCCCTTCATCCTCCACCGAGAAGGGCCTCAAAAGCTCAAGAACTAGCCGGCTGAGTCAATTTTTTTCGACTTCGCCAAAACCCAAGGCCGAGCCTCCAACCGCACACGCGACCCTTCTCGCAGCCAGCAAGTCGAGCGCTGTGAGCACCGGCGTGCCCATAGGTTCCGCGTCATTGTCTCTTCCCACAATCTCACTATCCACGGCAACTGCCGATAACCGCAATATGGATGAACCGCCAAAGACACTGTTTCAGCCTCCGTCCCAGGAAGAGACGAAGCGATTAGCGAAGCAGCATGCGCAATTCGCTCCGATCAGCCATCMAAGCCACAGATACACAAGTCGACMCCCTGGCGGGCCGTTTCCCGAGCCAGTAATGGACGAACCTCCGTATTATTACCTCTTGACTACATATATCAGTTATTTGATCCTGATTGCCTTTGGCCACGTTCGAGACTTTTTTGGCAAGCGATTCAAGGAAGAAAACTACCGCCACTTGAAATCACGAAACGGCTACGGCGCATTGAATAGCGACTTTGATAATTTCTACGTCCGTCGATTGAAATTGCGTATCAATGATTGTTTTGAACGTCCCGTGACGGGCGTTCCGGGTCGTTACATTACACTTATCGATCGTGCCACTGATGACTATAACCGACATTTCTACTTGACCGGCACGACTACAGATACATTGAACATGAGCTCTTACAACTATCTTGGATTCGCTCAATCGGAAGGTCCTTGCGCAGATGCTGTTGAGGAGAATCTTCGAAAGTATGGTATCAGCACAGTAAGTACCCGTGCTGAAGCCGGAACGTGTGATTTGCATGTGGAAGTGGAAGATCTCGTGGCCAAGTTCGTCGGAAAGGAGGCTTCGATGGTTTTTTCGATGGGTTTCGGGACAAACGCCAGTGTTTTTCCAGCTCTAGTCAGCAAAGGGTGTCTCATCATTTCGGACGAACTTAACCACGCCTCTATTAGATTCGGAGCTCGTCTATCAGGGGCTTCTATCGGCATGTTCAAGCACAACGATATGAAATCCTTAGAAGAGAAGCTCCGGGAAGCTATCTCCCAAGGTCAACCACGTACACACCGGCCATGGAAGAAAATCCTAGTTGTTGTGGAAGGACTTTACTCCATGGAAGGATCGATGTGCAATCTGCCAGGACTGATTGAGCTGAAACACAAATACAAATTCCACCTATTCATTGACGAGGCACATTCCATTGGTGCTGTCGGCCCCCATGGACGCGGCGTATGCGACTACTTCGGAGTTGACACCAAGGATGTTGATATTTTGATGGGAACACTCACCAAATCATTCGGTGCCAACGGCGGTTATATTGCAGCTGACAAGGCAATGATTGATGCTCTCCGGGCTTATAATGCAGGCGTTATCTTTGGAGAAGCACCCACGCCTCCAATTCTCACACAGATTCTGACATCTCTCCGCCTCATCAATGGAGATATCTGCCCAGGACAGGGAGAAGAGAGATTGCAACGATTGGCTTTCAACTCACGGTATCTCCGACTTGGTCTGAAGCGACTTGGATTTATTGTTTATGGACACGACGATTCGCCGATTATCCCTGTTCTCCTCTTCAACCCAGCCAAGATGCCCGCATTCTCTCACGAAATGCTCAAACGCAAAATCTCCGTGGTCATTGTCGGCTATCCCGCAACACCATTGGTTTCCTCCCGTGCGCGATTCTGTGTGTCGGCGGCCCACAACAAAGAAGACTTGGACCGCCTGCTCACTGCATGCGATGAAATCGGCAACGTCCTTCAACTCAAATTCTCCACCGGCATCGCCGGTGGTGCCCTCCCACCCGCCGATGGACTCAGCCCTGAAATGGAAAAGGAATACTACCAACGGCAACAACAGCGCCTCAACAACCCCAACGCCACAACCGTACCTCCCCGGTGGCGCATTGAGGACGTTGTCCGTCGCGGAGCTCAAGATACGAAGCGTCCATTAGTATAAACGAAGTACCATTGCAATGTGCTTCTTCATGTATAGAAAACCCTTACTTAATACTCGTTTGTCCGTGTATGTTTATATACCTCATCCCTGAACCCCATCAAGGCTGGCTGGCTAGCGTGTCCTTGGTTTTTTCTTTTTGTGTTATTCGACCAAAGACGTAATGGCCCAAGTCTGAACGAAGGACAGGATGGAAATTTATTAGATATGCAATGCATTAATATGACTTATAATAATGAAATGTACGGTCTAATTTATCCTGCTGTGTTCAATTGTAAAATAGGTATCCGCGTGTGGTGCGAAGGACAAGTAGATGAACTATCCACCAGATTGACTATACATGTTTAAGCTCTATGACTAACTTAGTTGGTTGAATAATTCGGAGAATATTTAAGTAGTGGCCCGATAAATGTGTAGATACACCGCACACGTCGCGAAAGAGGCTCAGTGCACCTCGGAATGGCTGACGTTAGCCATTTACCCTGACTACTTGCCCTAACATGTCAGCCATCAGCCATGATCCATCAACCAAGATATAAGTCGAACAATTTCCACATTCTCTCTCCTCAATGATCTGAAATTCGAATGAGATATCTTTCGACTGACTTATATTTGAGAAAAAAAAAAGATGTCAAAATCAATCCTCATAACAGGCTGCTCAGCTAACGGCATCGGGGCCTTTCTCGCCCTTTGCCTCTCAGCACAAAAAGAAAACCACCGCATCTTCGCAACATCACGCGACACTTCCAAAATCCCTGTCGAGCTCTGCGCACGTTCTAACGTGACTATCCTCGCGCTAGACGTCTCCTCCCCTTCGTCGGTAGCTGAAGCATCCACCTCCATTCGCGCCAGCGGCCATGGGTTAGACATTTTGATCAACAATGCCGGACTTCCGTATTCAATGCCCTTACTCGACGCAGACATAGCTTCTGCGCAGAGAGTGTATGATGTCAACATTTGGGGTGTAGTGCGGATAATCCAGACCTTTGCGGATATGATCATTGAGCGAAAGGGGAGGATTGTGAATGTAGGCTCAATTGGGGGTTTGGTGCATATACCTTGGAATTGTATTTTACCCCTACTCTATCCTCTTTTTTCTAGCTTTTTATATCTTGGTTGACTAATGGGGGCTGGTGGTGGGAAGCGGTATACGCCTCCTCCAAAGCAGCGCTTACAGTTCTCTCGGAAACGCTAAGGCACGAACTCTCGCCCTTTGGCGTGAGTGTTTTATGTCTCCAGGTCGGCGGCGTGGATACCAACTTCGACGCTCGCACTATCGCGTTCGAACTCCCGCAAAACTCGTATTATGTGCCTATACAGGATGATATAGCCGGCTGGGCGACGGGATCAATCAAACCCAAGGGCCAGTCTGGGGAAAGCTTTGCGGAGGCAGTGATGGATGATATATTAGGCAAAAACAAAAATGGATTGGTCTTTAGAGGCAGGTTTGCAAGGGAAGTGAGGGTTTTGGTGGATTGGTTTCCGGAATGGGTCGTTGTAAGTCCTATGCATAACATGCTCGTCGTTGGCATGTCAATTTGGATGTTGGGTTGCTGATTTTTTGGGTAGGATATGGTGATTAAGATGCAAAATCCAAGTCTGACTAGGCTTGCAAAATTGAGAGAAGTCTCGTGAAGCAGTAAGGCAGATTGTATCAATTGACATGGTTTTCATTCTCTTCTGGTGTTCACTTCTTCATGTCGTGTGAGAATGTTTATTTCAAGTGCTATCTTTGTCCCTGATAGATCACCAAGTACCCAAGTTACTTACCTAGGTGAGTATACATCAATTGCCTTACATATCCATTAATCTCAGACCGTCTCATTGTCGACCACAAATAACAGGTAGGTCATGTCGTCGGCTATTGACCCGAAAACCGACAGTCTAGGGTTTATCCACCAATCACCGCGCCGCCGATTGAAAGTTGGGGTAGTTAATCTATTAAGTTCGGCGAGACCTCCGAACGCACCTCTCTTATCTTTCTTTTGTTCTTTTCACGACATACCATTGCAATTGAGACACTGATACTTCTGCTGATACTGTCAATATTGTGTTCACAGGAATACACTCGCAATGGCCAAAGTATTTGATGCGGCTGAAGGTATGTTCTTGTCTTGAGAATGTTCCCCGCATTTGTTGTCCTCTGACAAAATCAACAGTCGCGAAACACAATACGCCCGAGAGTTGCTGGGTGATTCTCTACGGAAAGGTCTATGATGTATGCGCCAACAATCCTCTGAAGCAATTGGGATAGAGCTGACAACACAGGTCACCGACTTCATGTCCAGCCACCCCGGCGGAGTCAAGGTTATTCTTAGATTAGCCGGTACCGATGCCACCGAAGAATACGATCCCATCCACCCCCCGGGCACATTGGAAGAAAACCTGAAACCCGAAGCTCTTCTCGGAACCGTCGATCCAAAAACGCTCCCCAAACCCACCGCAGATGCACAACAACAATCATCAGAAGAAGACCAGGGCCCACCATCCATGGAAACACTCTTCAACCTCGACGAAATCGAACAAGTAGCCACAAAACAGGTTAGCCGCAAGGCATGGGGATATTACTACTCAGCTGGAGATGATTTGATTAGCAAAAACTTCAACCGCGAAGTGTACCGTTCCATCTTTCTGCGACCTCGCGTGTTTATCGATGTTGGCAAATGCGATTTGTCGACGACGATCATGGGGCATAAAGTCGGTCTGCCGATCTACATATCGCCAGCGGCAATGGCTCGGTTGGCGCATCCAGCTGGTGAAGCAGGTATTGCCGCGGCTTGTCGCGAATTTGGCGCTATGCAGATGATTTCCAACAACGCGTCCATGTCGCCTGAACAAATCGTTGAGAATGCCGCGCCCGATCAAGTCTTTGGATGGCAGCTATATGTCCAGGTGGAACGAAAGAAGAGTGAAGCGATGATTGCGCGAATCGAAAAACTCAAAGCTATCAAGTGCATCATCTTGACCCTCGATGCGCCGGTGCCCGGTAAACGAGAGGATGACATGCGCACCGACAACACGGCCAAAAAGTTGCCCGTTCCTTCTGGCAAAGTTGCAGAAGAAAAATCAGACACGCTACCGGACGGAACACCCGTGCCCAAGGATGGAGGCGGTGGCGTGGGCAAGCAATTGTTCGCTGGCACGGCTTATGATCTTACCTGGAAGGAGACTTTGCAGTGGCTTACAAAGACTACCAGTCTGCCTATTATTCTGAAGGGATTACAGACGCATGAAGATGCGTATATTGCGTCGTTGTATGCTCCGCAGGTGAGAGGTATTATACTGTCGAATCACGGTGGCCGTGCACTTGATACTGCGCCGCCAGCTGTGCATACCCTGCTCGAAATCCGCAAGTACTGTCCTGAAGTGTTTGATAAGATTGAGGTACTTGTTGATGGCGGTATTCGACGAGGCACTGATGTAGTGAAGGCGTTGTGTCTGGGTGCCAGGGCCGTGGGTATCGGTCGACCAGCGTTGTGGGGACTTGGTGCTGGAGGTATTGAGGGTGTTCACAGGACGTTGGAAAGTAAGATCGCACCTGTCCCTGCGATAGAAAATGGAAGCTGACATTTATAGTTCTGGCGGATGAGACCAAGACGTGCATGCAATTACTGGGCGTCGAGAAGATTTCAGATCTTGGCCCTGAATACGTAAGCTTCTCTGTTCATACGACCTTACTTGAGCAAGGTGCTGACAACTTGCAGATCAACTCGAGAATAGTCGAGCAACAAATCTACGACGGTCCCTCCGGACTCGCAAAAGCGCTTCGTGCTAGACTCTAGACTATTGCCGGCTCTCATTCTGTTTTGTCTACATTGAGCGTTACTGTACAAATGCTTTGCATATACAAATATCATTGAATATATCTAGGTTGATTGAACAGCAAAATATAGACATATTAATTAATCAATAAATCAACAACCCAAGCATAACACCCTCCACGACAACACTCGCCCCAGACACAAAATCACTCGCAGGACTAGCCAAAAGTAACAACGTGTCGCAGATCACTCGGATCCCCCCATCTCCCTGCCGGATTCCTCTGTATGATGAGATCATTATATCCCCGATCAAGCACCAGCGTCATCGTCATCGGGGTCGTAAACTACCTATCCACAATCAGCCTTGCTGCTTGTCGTAGTATATGCTTTACTAATAGAATTAGGGGAGAGTCGGTCCCTTAGTATTGGAGACAGAATCTTCGCGTAGACATCTCGCATATGACCATTACTGCCTAGAGAGATGGGCGTTCCCAAGGATGGAGTAACTGTTGATCACTTCCATTCCTCGACGAGACGGAAATCTAATAAATACATATACACGACTCGCCATTACTCGTACTCCTTTTCTATGGTCATTTGACCGTCTCGAAGCTATCTATTCAAATGGCTCCAAGCTATTCACAATGGAGCCACCCCGACATGCTCATCATCAATCCGCCGACAAATTGTACTTCCCATGTCCTCCGTCAATTTCACCTCATATCAGCAACTTTCACTCTAATCCGGAGAAACGAATCTAACTCAGGGACCTTTTTGAACTGTTCCAAATGGTCATTCCGGACGCTGCTGCCCAACGAGTCCTGTTCGTACCACTTGCCATTTTGGACTTCGTGAAGATCTATTATGGTAAGCCTTTCAACTTGCGGGCAAGTTTATTGAAACTGACGATGATCGAAACAATGTCGGCGGAGAGATTTTAGACTTTATGTTGACCAGAATGGCCAAATATGGCTGTGTAGCTGCATGGTAAGATTTCCATCGACTGTTTTTATATGAAGCTTTATGATGACATATTTGGCTGACGCTGTCCGCTCAGTGGCACCATTGCAAAGTACGACAAAGACGACAATATAGTCAGCTTGAAGAACTCCTACGTATGTCCCCCTCCCGTGATACTGAGTGTCATTTAACCTGCCTTTCTGCCATCAGAAAATCATCACTATGGTCCTCAAGATCCTTGGCTTCATCAACATCGACTGGATTGAGCACCTATACGAAGTGCGCGCTATATTCATTGAGGGGTGTAAGAAGGGGAATTCGATCATTGGCGACGAGAGCGAGATAGTGATTGATATTGAGTTTGAGGATATTCTGCGTACTTGGATGATGTTGTATTCTGGCGCGAATACAGAGAAGTTGATTACATGTACCAAGGGCAGGAAGCACCGAAGCTTGATACGTTCTCTCCTGTATGATCAAACTACAAGATTTCTCCTTGGGATATTCATGACTAGACTTAGGCACAGATAATCGTGTGATAGTCCTCCTTGAGTACAGCTACTCGTGAAGATCTCAGAGAGAGTTCAAATTTGACTAAATAGGAGATGTTAGGGCTTCGTAAGGTGGGTTCTTATTGGCTCAGGAGTTCAAAGTCGATGATCATGACGTAAGACTTCAATGAGCTCATAAGCGAAAGATTAAAAAGAAACAACAACTTTTCATCGTTGTCTTCAAGTGCTTTTGGCTTTTGGCCATTAAACAGATAAGATCATCGTATCTTCATAGCAGCATGCCTCGTCTCCCAGACCAAGAAGACAACATCGTCACCCGCGTCCGCGGTCGCTTCAAGGAAGCCTGGGACGGGTTCTGGGACTTTGCGCTCCGTGACAACGTGCTCGAAGTTGCCATTGGTTTAATGTACCTATCAGCTACTTCAAGTCACAAGCATACAAGCTAGAGCTAACACGTACATATAGCATAGCAGCAGCATTTACCAAGGTTGTCAACTCCTTTGTATCCGACCTATTCCTGCCAATCATAAGTCTGCTGCCCTTTCTGCACCGAAATCTAGATGATAAATTTGCGGTTTTGAGGAAGGGAAAACATTATCCTGACTGGGGCCCGGATGGATACAATACCCTGGAGCAGGCCCGGGACGATGGCGCGCTGGTTATGGCTTATGGGTAAGTCATATGTAACGAACATGTCGCAATCTCTGCATGTTTCGTTGTTTTCTTTTCTTTTTTAGGCTGACAATGGGATTATGCAGAGCTTTTTTGAATAAATTCATCAGCTTCGTCGGTATAGGCCTGACGCTCTATGCTGTTGGGCAGGTGTATACCTATTTTTCGGAAGATGTGGTCATTAAACGTACCGTGAAATGCAGGTACTGTAGGAAATGGATCAGTTCTAAGGTGAGTGCCCACGTTATACAGTGTTTTAGATACGTTGCATCATGGCTCATAGTCGGATTTAGGCAGTACGATGCGTCAATTGTACCAGTTGGCTGGATGGGAGGGAAGATCAAATACGCAGCTGAGGCCGAGGTATAATGTACTGAAGCCTGCGATTGTAAGAGCTCGCAAATAAATACACATATGATGTGCTCGTTGAGGGAGATGATTTTCCTTTTTCTTATGAAGGCAATGCATCGAAAGGGCATCAATTGGAAGAGTCCCATCGCCTTGGTGTGGTACATAAGTTGCAATTACACAGTCAAATCGTGTGAGAAATGATCTTTTATGTAATTTGTTCAGAGACATCAAAAATCAACCTTCTTCAGCATATTTTCAGAAGCATGTTGTTCTGCAAAAGCTCATTTTATCATAAGGACTGGTTTGAAACGATATCGTGTACGAATCAAGCAAACGACAAGTGATCACAGGAAAAGGTGTCACGCGCTTTGGTTACACCATCCACGCGTCGGATTAAAGGAGTCAAATAGAGCTATAGCACGGACGATGCAAAAATACCTGGTACAACCAGCAAGCTGAAATTTGGACAAATGAAGGTTGTACAGCAGTGAAAAACGGGGCCGGCGTTGTGTCCGTGGAATGTGGAATGCTGCCAACCCCAACAGTCGATCACTGCAGTCAAGGGGTCAATAAGGTGATGAGACCGATTAGTGAAATACAGAGACGATCAGTTAGCGGAGGACTTTTCCGAAATATAGTAGGGACGTATAATGATCAAAGGGATTGAAAAGGGCCCATTCTTACGTACATACTACCCCTGAACAAGCTGCCAAAGTTGAAAGAATCTCCAAATGAAGAAACGTCATTATACTCCACCATACAAGCAAGATCCTAGAATAATATAGATAGAGAAGAAAATGGGTACAGTCTACGGGTTAGGGACAGTCACTACTACTCGCTGTCAATTTCCATGACGGCACTATGGGTCCTTCCATCCCAACCTCTTCACTCAACATCAGTCTTCTACAGTGTTGATTCATCTTTCTGATTTTGTACTTGCTTATAATCCAAAACTTGAAATTTTCCTATTTATTACCAAGTTAGAACGAGAACTTCAATGATGGAGCTCTTCGATTGCTAATCCACTCTAGCATTGATATCATACTTTTGTATCACTTGGAATGTTCTAATTCTGGATATGAGCTGCCTCACTCTTAGGAATGCAGAGTCAATGCACTGACTTCATATACTTCCGGCCCGATGATATCCTTACTGTGCAACATTGGCCAATGGACATTCAAACACCTTAGCCAATCTAGCTTACGTCCTTGATGGAGATTCGAAGGCTTGCTTCTGAGAATGATGTATCCCTCCTGCCCTTTCGTCTTATTTGAAGGGGTGTATATGGCGTCTACCTACTCTGGGTATGGGTTTTTGCTGAGAAAGTTTCGCCCAAATCTCTTTGCAACCAATGTAAAGCAGCAAAATTCAACTTCCAACAGGTCATGAAATTTATTCTTGATCCCTTCTTTCAACTACATTTGAAGTCTATTCTCTCTTTTTTTCCACCAAATCATCATAAGACAAAGAATTCTAGACATATTTCAGGCCCATATTGGGCGAATTGACTCCTTTCCAGGATGTCCGCCGAAGATATCAAGGAACAAATTGTCAGACGAGAAGAGTCAAAGAAGCCAAGATTTGTCAGCTACCTATGGGACACGTTCGACAAGCCTCTAGCAGAAAGGCGACTGCTGACGAAACTCGACACAGCACTCATTTCCTTTGGAGCAGTTGGTAAGAACATCTGGAGATTCTAAAGTCGCGTGCATTGATACTGATATATGAGCAACTAGGATACTTTGTCAAAAGCGTCGACCAATATAACATCAACAATGCCTTTGTTTCTGGAATGTATGTGCCAATTGTCGCGATATTGAGCGGAGTTCTCTGGCTAATCGCGATTGATTTCAGGCAGGAGGATTTGAAACTATACCAGAACCAGCTGAACTATATGCAAACAGCTTGGGCCTTGGGATATATGCTGGGGCAGATTCCAAGCAATATTATACTCAGTCGGACGCGGCCACGATACTGGATACCGAGCCTTGAGGTACGAAACACGAGAGTCGACTGATAACAAGACAACGGACTAATTATTCATGTGTACAGGTCTGTTGGGCCGTTCTTACTCTCTCATTATCAAGATGCAACCAAGCATATCAATTCTACATAATCCGGTTACTCATCGGTAAGACTAATATCACTTCTTTCGGATTTGCAACGGCTGATCAAGAAAGGCCTCTGTGAAAGCGGGTATTATCCTGGCTTACAACACTCGCTCGGTTCATGGTACCGTAGTGACGAACTCGGGAAGAGAGCTTGTATATTTCAAATCTGCAGTGCCATGGGACAAATGGCCTCGGGATACATTATGGGCGGAGTATATAAGCTAGGTGGTATTGGGGGTTATAGAGGATGGCAATGGTTCGTCAAATAGATCTTGAGGACTGAACTGAATTAACCAACTTCGTGTAGGGCTTTTATCATTAATGGCTCCCTTTCATTACCGATGGCTATTATGGGATACTTTATACTACCGGATGTGCCTGAAATTACAAAGTCGTGGTATCTCAAGGAGGAGGTGCGCTGTCTTCTAGATCGGTATTTTCCTCATACTGACTACAAATAGGAAATCAAACTCGCACAATTGCGAATGCATATGGAGGGTCGAAAGCCCCGGTCCAAGTACACGAAGGAGAAACTGAAGAGGATCTTTACCTCATGGCATATATACCTTTTGTCTCTTCTATACGTGTAAGTCGGCGATTCGCCATGCTGAATGAATACTTGGGTCTTTTACTAACCCAGGTGGTAGAGCTTATAACAACGGCATAGCAAACATGCAACCAATCTTTCAGCAGTATGTCAGACAGCCCTTTTGTTCCATTTTTGTACTCACTGTTATAGATATCTACGCCATTCGACGAATCCTCGTTACTCGATTCCGCAAATCAACAACTACCCGACAACTACGTCGGGGGTACAGATACTTATGACTATATTATATGCTTGTATGACCCCAACCGACCTTGCACGCTCATATTGCTGACGGCCTATAGGGCTATCCGATACGGTACTACGAGGCAGACGTTGGCCACCTCTTGTATTTGGCGGTGTAAGTTAGAAGTAATGTCAATCTGTGTTTAACGGCCACTGACATTCTGCAACATAGCTCGTAAGTATTATCTGCTATGTGTCATTAGCCATTTGGGATATTCCGACCTGGTGGAAGTGGACATGCTTCATCTCAGCAGGAGCATCCTTTGGCTTAAGTGGGCTTTGCATGGCGTGAGTCCATAAACCACCAACCCATTAGTCATTCCTTGAGACTAACAACGTGTAACCAGCTGGGCCAACGAAGTCTGCGGCAACGACAGCGAAGAACGCGCCATCACAATCGCCGCCATGAACGAAATCGCATACCTCCTCCAAATCTGGCTCCCCTTACTGGTCTGGCAACAAATCGACGCACCACGATACTTCAAAGGCTACGTCACCGTATCCGCAATGTCTGTTCTATTTATTGTCATGTGCTTTGTGGTTCGCAACTTGCACAATAGGGAGGCTTCGGCCGCTCGAATGGCGAAAGAACATGCCACGGAGAGTTGTATACAGCTGCAGCAACAACATCAACAGGCGGATGGCGAGAAGGATTTATCCGGTAGTGATCTACAGCTGAGTCGTTTCAAGAGTTTGGAGACTTCTTCATCCTCAGGACAGTATGATAGCGAGGCGATTTCGCCTTCGTCCTCGTCGAATATCATTTCGCCTTGTGATGACGAAAAGGGGCCGTTTTCCAGACGGTTGAATGGGACATTTCCTACAGAATCTGGCGATGTCAAGGGCATAGAAGTTCAGCCATCGAGATTGTTGTGAACAGAAAATTTTGAAAGACGCATGTCTTCTCTCCGCAACAGATACAAGGTCCTTTTCCTGTGTCAATTCATTTCCTTCTTTTCTTACAGTACTCTTATTTATTAATGATTTAGCTTTCTTTATTTATCCAAATCTTGTTAGCTACCTAGATATATATAAGAATCAAAAAGTGTTTATACAAATCAGAGATTGTCAAAATATCAAATGATGCCTCCTGCTATATGTACAAAACATCCTTCCAAGTATTGCTAACCTACTCTGCCGTCTTCAAAAACTTCMCCAGCCTCTTTTTCTCGCTCTCATACTGCTGCAACTTCGAATTCGCATCCCGCAAACTGTCTGCTACCGACCGCAACCTCCAACCCACAGTCATTGGGTACTTCTCCGGATCGCCCATGAGATGCAACTCATTCTCATACTTTGCAATCTTCTCATTCTCTCTCTTAATCATTTCGCGCGCAATACCAAGATCGAGTCTGTTGCGCAGTATATCGTCCTGAGTGAGAAACTTAAACGCAGCGTGGTAGATTGGTCGACCGGGTCTGATTGTTGCTGGACGACCGTTTACAGTGCTCACGGTAATGAGTTCTTTCTGCTCTAAGGCGGATAAAGTGCGTTCTCCGTCTGCGTCATTGAAGAGGTCGGAGACCATGATGTGGCTGTAAGGGACGGTGCCGTTTTTGTTTTCGGCGATGGTCTTGATAAGATACCAGGCTTGTTCACGGGACCATGTTGGGGTGTCGGTGGCGTGGGTTGTGTTGGGTTCGAGGACGTAGGCTTTTACGATTTCGGTGGCGGCTTGTTCGATTATGTGTTTGACGGCGCCTGTCATATGTTATTCATGTTCTTGATAGGAAACCAATGTGAAATGGAATACTCACTCTTTGGGCTCTCGCCAGACTTGATTCGATGAGCCATAAATTCCAAATCGGTTAGTCGACCACCGACAAGCTCAATACATCTGTCCAGATCTTCCAGTCCCTGTGGCGGTGCGTTCTTTTCAGGATTGCTCTCGTCAACCTCCTTGTCACCATCTTCATTGCGATGTTGCAAGTACCGAAGGATAAAGTTCCTGCCGACTTCTAATGAGCAATCGCCCAATGATACCGAGCGGAAGACTTGACTGGGTAGTGCTTTACCCAGCGTCTTCGAATATGATGTATCTGGAGTGAGAAAGATGACATGTGCGATGTTACCAGTGACTAACGCCGCAGCCCATTCTGCCAATTTATCATCTACAATATTGCTCTCGCGACCGCCGTGTAGGAAATTGTCGATAACAACCACCGGTCTCTTCTCGGGATGCGCCTCGAGATAATCGTCATCCGACATGTTACTGCCGTCCTTCTTTTTATTCTCAAGTGCAATCTGCCTCAAAGCCGTGGCAGTATTCGTCCATATCTTGCTAAGCTGGGAGTCTAGCGTCTCGGAAAATCCGGCTTTGGTGCCAATGATTCCCTGAGCGGCCAAATCGATGAAACTGCTGAAACTATTCATCCAGGAGAATATCGGTCGGTAACCGACTTGCTGAGCCGCAACAGAAATTGTAGATGCATCGCCTCTTGCATCCTGAATTTGCTTGCAATCAATAATCAGTTTATGTTTTCGATCTTTTAGAGCTTGATCGATGACAATCTCTCTCTTGCCGGATCCGTGAGGACCTTGAACGACGATGAATGTGTTTCCATTCTCATCCAACCATGACTGTAATTGACTGATCTCTTCTTTTCGATCATCCGACAAAGCTTGGAGCACGTTCTTCTCGTTGCGTTTCTTAAACGACGATAAAAAGTTGGCTCGGCGAACCTCGTTTCGAATCCATGACCACAGAGCCTTGTCGTCCCCATTGAATAGGTATTTCACTTTCATCTTGATAAAGAATGTACGAATTGGATCAAATATGATGACTGTAATACCTGCAATGAGTGCTGCGATAGCAGGTATCACAATACGGGGGTGATTGAAGAGCCAATCTCGGATCCAATGGGCTTTGATTTTGCGTTCGTAGGTTATCCTCAGGACAGATCCTCCAACACCATCACCGCTGACTGTTTCCGGTAAATTGACTCCATGAGTGCAGCTCCGAGCAAGAATAGCATACTTTGCTCTTGTAAACTCCACCATTGCATATTTTGGCAGAACCTTGGAGTCGGACGGCTGTCGATCGATACTTTTGATCTTACCATATCTGCGGAAGAGAGAGTACAAAGCCTCTGGCGTCAACTCCGCCGGAGAACTATCCGATGACGGCGGAAGGAATTCGACTTTCAGCTTCGGGCTGGGGAAGTGGTACATATCTTCTATCCATGGCTTACCCAGAACGCGTCCTACACCGACACGATCTAAGGGATTGAACCATGGGCGAATAGGATTTTTCTTTAGGAATTCATCGACCGCAGCTGCAACCTCCCCCTTTGTCCTTTTCTCGCCATCGGAAAGTGAGTATTTGATAAATAAGCCTCCTTCGCTAAGTCGGGGTATGACTTGTTTGATGTTGATGTGTAGGTCTGGCGGTAATGCGCGTTTCACGACGGCCCAGTGATCTGCCGCAGCGTAGGAGGGTTTGTCGACGCGTTTCAAAACTTGGTCGACGGCGTAAGAGTCTCCAAACCAAAGTAATCTGTAAAGCCATTGGAGTCTGAGTGGAAGTATGTCTATGTTAATTATCTGTTGTTAGCAGACTTTCCAGCACAACTTGAATCGCAAAAAGTTGGCGGGGCAGTGTGGTCCTACTATTGATGAATAAAAGCTCCTCATCGGGCCCTACAGATATGTGTCCTTGTTCTAGGGTATCGACAATTGAGTCATTCGTCGATATCTTTGTCGTTGCTGTCGCTGTTGCTGTCGCTGTCGAGTTGTGTCGTATCAACGCAGCTGTTACACATCTTCCAGCCGCGGCATTTTTGTAGATTGCCGGACGAACAAAACCACCAAACTGTTGATGGCGACGACACTGAGGCCGGATAATGGCTGGCAGCCGCATCATGCTATACAGTCATCGATAGAGATCTAGAATAGCTATCCTGGCACCTTGCACGAATGTGATGAAATAAAAGAAGATCAAGATTCGCGGGTTAGCCGTATGACGTCGACACTTGGACCGAGTTACTTGCCTATCTCGGGCTAGTGTCTGATCCCTCCTCCTTATCCTTGACCCTACGCTTTCATGGACAAGCAGCCATTCTACCTGTATTCTTCTACTAGATGCATCGTGAACTGCAAACTACCAGAGGAAATTTCTCCACTCTTGTAAAAGCTTGGACAAGCTCAGTTTCGATATTACAAGTCTCTATCATACAAAATTCCCTCAATTGCCTCCTTTCTCGAACTCTATCGCGAGGGATGTCCCGCCGTTTCACTTTGTAATCCTGCTTTATTTACATGCGCGTCGCATTCTTACTGTGATGTCGAATCTTTTCACCGTACTATTACGCTTCTATGTTAATGGACGCATAATTATTTCTAGGAAAGGATCTAACTCACGTAGAAAAGGATGAAAGGGATTGGAAGAAACACTATGGAGAGCCCTCCAAGCAGGGAGTTTCCGGGACCGATACCAAGATTGTGAAATAAAGCTCGTGCCTAAACGAATCTGTCAGGATGAAGCGTCTGATGAGCGGGAAAATTGTCTGTGAGTGACTTACAAAAAGCGGAAACACCACGCCACAGGAAGCCCTGAACAGAGTGTTCCCTGCAAGTACCGATGCCGCATAGCGAGGGTATGACATACCGAGATAACTCAGCACCGGCATAAATAATGTAATAATGCTGATGGTAAAGCACCCAGATCCGACTAGGGGGACTATCCAATGGATGCTCTCGCGCGATGTCCAGCCGTACCAGAACAAACAAACCGGTAAAGCGACTGCTCCAAAGAATGTTGGCGGTAGGATGACCTCTGGTTTGAAATGACCGTCTGCCAATCGCACCATCAGGTAGTTACGGACCCAGAAAAGGTAGCAGGGCACTGTAATGAGGCCGCCCACGAATATACCTAGGAATGCTAGCCCTTGTTCTCCTATGTTGAACCCGTATATGTCTCCAAAGACTAGGGGGAACGACTCAAACCATATGTACAGCACTCCGTACAGCAGGGCACAATATAAGTCGACAAAGAAAATGACTGGCTCAGAGAAAGTCATTGTAAAAGCCCTGCTGAGTACAACTAGATGATCTCTGAGCGATACCTCCGCGGCATCAATCTCGGATTGGCTTTTGAGCGTCGGTTTGCCGGTCTGTTTCCTCAACCTTTTCGCCCTACGATACAATATATTGGCTGCACTCGTCTCAGGCATGAGAAAGAAGAGCACAACCAACACAACCGCACACAACCAGGTAAGTTCCCAAATAGGCCAGCGCCACCCCTTTGCCTGTGCCGCAAAACCACCCACAAGCGGTCCAAGCACTGGCCCCAAAACCCCTGATGCACCATATATGCCGATCCAATATGGAACTTCGACCGGCGGATACATGTCTATGATGGTAGCGCCACCTGTAGCTAGGACGGGCCCGCCGAAGAATCCGGTAAGGAATCGAAAGACGAGCAACATGGCCATGTTCACTGCGTATCCGGTCGGTAGCTGAAGAAGTACGAAGACGAATAGTGTCCAAAAGTAGATTCTGCTGCGACCTATTGTTGGTATCTCGGACATGGGGGAGAAGAGCATCGGTCCTAGGCCGTAGCCTCTGTTCACTAATGGTTAGTATGCGGTTATACATATCGTTCATGAGGCTATGGTTGTATACATACAGTACGAAGAGCGAAAGACCTAGTGTAGCCACAACCTCGCTGACACCAAACTCTCCCATTATGTCTTGCTCTCCGGGTGTGTAGATAGAACTACCAATATAGATTCCAAAGTTGAGGATACATATTTGGAAGGTCACTAGCAACTTGCGGCTTTTTGACCAGTTCTGGGGGTTCTATAGTCTATCAGCCATCTGACTTCAGTGAATGTGATGGTGATTGGATGAACCTCTTGGTCATTTGAATCATACCAATCCACCAACATGACCTCTCCATCTTTTTCGTCATTGGTCACGGGATCACGGTATGTAGAGTGCTGTTCTTCTGAGGACGATGCTTGCGCAGTATTCACAGCATTGGCTGGATGCTCTCCATCTTGATCAATCCCAATATTGCTTCTCGGTGTACCGTCATAGTGCTTGCCTTCCGGAACAAATGCTTTCCACAAATCCGGATTCTGTTCATCGGGGAATGTTAGGAGCGTCCTTCCTGAGAGAAGACGGACGGTTTGGCCAAAAAGTGTATCACGCAAGAGATCACTCATATTTCTTGTTCTCGGTTGATACCTGTATATCAATTTGTGTTATTGCTAACCAAATTCCAAGGGCTGCTTCGGTGTCCCTGGATCCATGGCTTTATACCCATGATAAAAACATAGCAAGCACATCTCTCATGACGATTGAAAATCAACCCTTTACCAAAATAAGGACATAAAGCAAAAGTGATTTCATATTCTCCTAGAAAGTAAGCTCGAGGAGTTTGCATACAACGGAGCTTATCCGATCGGATTTTAGAGGACTTTATTCGAGTTAAACATCAGACTAGCCATCTCTAGCGACCTTGGGGCTTGAGGCTCCCTGGAATAAAGATCGCCCTAAGACTCGAAGGAGTAAGGACCCTTGTCAGTAAGTGAACTTATTGTTATTAGGGCATGTTGTTCGTCAATAGCAGAGAGATTCTCGTCATTATCCCCGGAATATCACGGACTTAGCGGACTTAAGCAGGGCTCTGAAATATTAGGGTTAGCTATCTCCGGGCGCATGATTCGGGTAAGGCCTTTTCTTAGGGTTATCTAGCTCGAAAAAGGAAAGGTGTTATGCTGATTGACGAGACAAACTCAGCCTCGTTCGACGTCCCTCTTCTAAGTTTTGACAGTCTGACATATCGTGTTCTGTTACAATCATCTGCTTTAGGCTGTAAGTATGCTGAAATTATGCTGACCAGCCAGAGAAATGCGCTCAAGTCCGCGAACTCCAGTCGACCCCGACTTGGCAGACTTGTTCGCCAGCCGGGGAAGGCTCGACGCGCATCGATATATGGAAACGAGAGACGCTCATGACCTTGAAAATGCAATCTCAAACATGCGCTCGGCAATAGCTCTCACTAAAGATACCCAGTCGGCTATATTGGGACCAGCATTGGGTAATTTGGCTGCACTGTTACTGGAACATTTCAGATCAACGAGGAAAAATACCGGACTGAATGAGGCCCGGCAATTGGCAACATGGGCTCTGGAGTGTTTGTCAGACTGTGACGCAAATCAGGCTCAAGTTCTTGCTACCCTCGGTACCATATTAACCAGCCAGTATGACCGTTCGGGAAGGACTCTTGATCTAGAGGAGGCCATCTCCAGTCTATACATTGCGACTCAGGTTCGAAGCCTTTCTGACAATGGCACGTTTCGGGCTGTCGTGTTGAACAATCTCTCCTGTGTCCTGGCAAAGCGCTATGAAATTACTGGAAGAAGGGAAGATCTCAATGACGCCGTTACTAGTGCGCTGGAAGCGACTGAAGTTAGTCTGTCAAATCATCCAACCCTATCGGCTGGAGTAGGCTTGACCCTTGCAAGTCTATTACTGAGGCAATATAAAGCTACGGGAAACTTAGATAGCCTGACCAACGCATTATTTGAGCTTCGCATAGTCACTGAGATTTCGTCAGAAGACTCAAAGCTCGACACTCTTCTTAGTCAGTTAGGTGGTCTGGCAATTGAACAACACACTTTGAGGGCCCCGCAAATGGATCAAGGGATAGAGATGTCGCAGTCGTATTACCCAAAGTCTCTGACATTCTATTTCTTTCTGTTCATATCGACTACGGTATTCGTCTTTTTGCCGATGGCATTCTACCCACTTGTTGTGTTCTTTGGCGGCATTGTGTCCAACTGGGCTTTTCAGCAATACTATCAGCAAATTACCAACAGGGATAAGTCTCGTTATTTACTTTATTTAATTTCGACTTGGGTCCAGGAGAAATTCTTGCTGCCATATAACAGTACCGGTTTCACGCCAACACTTTTTCCTACTCCGTGGATTGATATCTGCCCTACTCTTATCTTTCCAAGGTCAGAAGAGGAACCGTATAAGCTGGATATATCGCGTAAACAGAAACCAATACATGCTACGCGATTGCAGTCCAAATATGATGAAGTACAGGAAAATTGGGCTAGAGATCGGTCTCCGGCTCCTGATACTTTTTCGGCATTTAAACGGTATACGTCAAAGTCCAAGAGTCCTGGTCTTTACGATATCGCCGATTCAAAGATCTGGGATGATGTGAATAACTCTCTAAGCGACAATGAACACTCAGGAACGCTGCGATCCGTGTCTGAAGAAGGGAAAGTCTTTAATCACTTTGATGACATATCAGGAGATGGACCAAATATTCTTACAAGACGAGTATCTACGACTGAAGATGTTCCTGAGACCGTAATGATATCTTTCCCAGGAATCTCAGGTCCCCGCTAACCTAGAATAGGACATTGCGTATCCCGTGAAATTTATAGAATGTTTTGAGCAACAAGAGACAATTTCAGAGACGGTGCCTACTTCTGTTGGGCATCCATCCAAACAAGCAGTGACTGAGGCGGTCCTACCTAGTGACGGAGAAGATAACATAATGGATTCCACTAAACAAGGCAAGTATATCATGATTCTTTCGTAGGCAGAGCTGAGCTTATAGTTGATGTTTCTTCAGTTGAAGATAGACCACCCATCGAGGATTCACATAGTACCTTAGGGAAAGAGTTCATTGATCAAAAGGTCCACAGTCGTGTATCTCCTACACAGCTTGAAAAAGAATCCTCGGCATTCGACTCCGTGGCCCAAGGGAATACTTCAAACGACATAAACAAAAATGAGGGCAATGCCATGGGAAACATCTACAGTGAGGAAGCACACGTTGTCGGTGAGATTTATAGCCCGAAAGAGAAACCGAGATGGAGCACACAACTAATGTACTTTTTCAGGTCATTTGAGTCGTCACTATGGTGATAAATTTGGTACATATATCTCTACTAATCGTTTAAGGGCATCTTACTGAAATCCGAGATTAGAAACGAAGAACATTTCCGCAGTTCTCCCCTGGCACAATATCCCGGCTGCCAATCAGAGTCTGTCMCCCGCCACGCTGGATGAAACAGATGCAGAGGATATCCCGCGAGAGGTTATTCCGCGAGAGGTTATTCAGCGAGCGGTTATTCAGCGAGAGGTTATTCCGCGAGAGGATATCCCGCGAGAGATTATACAAGCCTCACCTGAATCTGAATCAGAAGCCTCCGCATTAGAGAGAAGATTGCGTCGGCTTCAAAGGTATATATCTAGTCTAGAGCACAAACAAGATGCCGCATCGAAGGATCATCTAAAATCTGCTAAAGAAAAAGCTGCAAACCTTTCTGGGGAATTACGGAATCTTCTCGAGATTTCCGCACGGAGGTATATCAATGGTCATTCAGCTGAAGCACAAACCGCGCGAGTTATCAATCGGCCTGCCGAGTCCGATGTGGAGGTGGAGGTACCTTCACCACCAACGAGCTATTATGGAGAAACCAATAGTCAGGCATCATCTGACAGGTATCCAAAAGATTTCACCTATGAAAGCCCCAGAATGCGCTCGGACCATATCGTCCCAACACAACGAGAAAGCAGAGCCAAGAAAAAAGTAGTAAAGCAAGTGCGAACAGTGCGAGCAGACCGTACTTCCATGCCCCCCCAAGCGCCAAATATCAAACATTTCAAAACTTCCCGCGAACAAGTTGAAGTGCTCTACTCGTACTTCCGGAAATACCTACTACCACTTTGTGACTTATATGTTCGTTATACTCCAGACGATCAAAAAACACGCGAATCCCAGCATACGAAATTGAGCGAGACTATTATGTCTCAGGTGCTTCTGAACGCCGATTGCATTGAAATAGATAATGAGTCTACTCGCAATGCACGTCGCAGACTGGTGGGCGAGGCCCAGGCGACCTTGAAAAGACTCGATGATGCATTAAACAGTTCAAGAAAGGTTGCATATGTAGAAGACATGTATGACGACTAAATAACTACCCATTAAGGGGTCTCGTTTTTGGTCGCATGGTAATATTGTGGATTTCACAACATGAGTGGCACTGGTAAGCTGTAAATCCACATGATGGCCAATGAAATTATATGCCGCTAATTATATATGTAGCCTCAAATAGAAAGGTAAAAGGGGAAGTGTTGGTGATAGTTGGTTTTTTGGCCTAGGGGTCACTACCCAGTCTAGATCTTCATACGCTACCAGGTGCTACGGGGTGCCAGTCTCTAATGCTAGGGTCGAGATGCCATTCGATACATGATTGATCTCAAGTAGACAGAGGGTGTTAGAGATGGATTTTTGTTAATACATGTCTACCCACACATTTTCACATCTAGTGTATAGGTAAAGAAAGTATCGCTAGGTAATTATTCATAGCTATACTCTTCAAATGTATGTTTAAGCTATATTTAGGAAATGAATAACTACATAAAAATTTTCATGGGTTTGGTTCTATGCTGCTAGATCATGTCCATCCTGTTGCTTGCTGTGGTCTACGAATTTGGATCTCAGTCGGGTCCAGAATTTCTCCTTAGGAACACTGCCCTTGATATCGTCCCTAGCGCTTATTAGAGACTTGACTATTGGTCTACGTTGTGTAGCTTCTAGTTGCTCTTGCACTTTGTAGAGTTTTTCTAGGAGTAAGGTCCGCTCCTCGTGCAATATCGCTTCGAGACTGAATGCCCGCTGTGTCTCCTTGGGGCCAACGGATACAACCCGTGGCTTCTCCTGGGTCGCTTCAAGGCTGAATGCCTGCCGTTTCTTCTTGGGATCCACGGATATAAGCCGTGGCTCCTCCAGGGTTCTTTCAAGGCTGAATACCTGCTGTCTCTCCTGGGTATCCACGGATACAAGCCGTGGCTCCTCCGGGGGTATCTCAATTTCTTCTTCTACCCATCCTTCTCGAGGTTCAATTTCATATTGTTCGGTCGATTCAGAGCGATAAGATAACGGGTGACGGCTTCTACTTGCTGCTCTCACTGCTCTCCTTGTCGATTCCAAAACCTTGGGCATTGCGGACAGAACCGATGGCTCCTCCAAGGGTATCTGGCTACTCTCATTTACCTGCCAGTGTTGAGGTTCAAATTCCACTTTTGTAGAGGGAATAAACGAAGATCGATGGGACCTCCTTGTCTCTGGCACCACCCTTCCCTTCGATGGATAATAAGGGTACCGCCGAGATGGACGACTGAAATTCTCTCTTTGCCAGTAATTCATGCTAGATGAGTCGGACGGACTATCGTACATGTCCCTGCTTGAGAAGGCGCTGCTGACTCTACTACGGGGTGTTCGCGCAAAATGAACGGTGTGACGGTTTCGCAAGATGGGTTGTCGTCTTCTCTCATAACCCACGCGTAGCGATGGCGATGGCCGACGTATCCATCTCGCTCGATTCGGAGCATACCATTCTCTCGTCGGTGATCGCGGGAGGGGCGGGGAAACATTCAGATCTGGTGCAAAGTCACTGGACACAGATTCGGAGGAGCTGCTCTCATTGAAAGCAGATTCGAAGAGCATGTTATCGAACTTGTAACCATATAGATAGGTTTCGCGAGCCGTCCACTCGTCGATGTCAATACTAGGCTCAGGATCCGGTTCGTCTAGCTCAGAGTTGCTATAAACGAACCCTGGATTATAGGTATAAGCTTTTTGGGTGCGAACAATTTGGCGTCCGTGATCGGGTATGATCATGAATATGTTGTTGGAGATTGCCTTTAATCGGTCTGCGATGCGTAGGTAATTCGTGAAGGCATCTTCTTCGAGGAGATTGCTGGCTTCAGGCTTATTGAGATTGGCGACCGTGCTTCTCACGGCCATCACTAGAGTGCGGGCCTGTAATAGCTCGGCCTGAACAGTGTTGACCTGCTTATCTAGCAGTTCAATCTGGCGGTCGACTTTACCGAATATCAGCGAAAGCCCTTTCTGAGTCCGGGTCTCCCGCATGGGGATACTGCGGCTCGGCAGGATACCGGTGTTATGGTGGCTCGATTTGATGTTTTCTAGTTCTTCTTCTTCATCATTGTCTTCCTCTTCCTTGTCTCGCTTCCGCCATTCTTCTTCCCAGGGGTTATCTTCGATCACTTGTAATCGGGCCATGATTCCCACAGTTCAAGGAAAGACAGAAAAGGCTGGGACTAATGATGATAAGAGGATGCGATTTCTACGTATTTCGAGCAGCAGCGCGCAGCGACTAACATTAACCAATAGTATGATTCGTGGGGGCTGAGAGGGGAAAGTGTTCAGCCTTGCGCTAAAAATAATTGCCTGACAGGTCCTCTCCAAGAACACTTCGAAGATAAAGCGCTGTTGACTAAATTTCCCATGTTCATCGCCATGTAGGAAGCTATTTACGAGCATGGAGTCGCTCCAGTCGGGTTACAAGCCCAATCTGGTGATGATATTTGCCTGTCTTGGCGAAATCCACGCCGAGCGACATCATAGAACGAAGCGAAAACTCGACCTCGACGAGGCGATCTGGGCCACGAAACTTGCACTCAGCATCTCATCCGCGGACCATCCCCTCACAGCCATCCTGCTGGGTAACCTTGCGAATGAGCTCTGGCGACGCTACCGATCTAGCGGCTGCGAGGATGACTTGCAACAGGCGTTGGATTATGGATTTCGGGCGTTGGAATCGGTTTCACAGGAGAGTTCCCACCAAGCGGCAGTTTTAGGCACTCTAGGAGCCATTCGCGCCAGTCTATACAATTGTCGGGGTGATTTCCGAGACCTGCAAGAGGCAATATCGATTACACAAAAGTCGATCGATATCGCGACCCGATGCGCCGGAACCACTCCCATGATCTCCTTCAATAACTTGGGCGCATACCTGTGGACACAATACTGTCTTGCTAGCCAGGGAGATGACATGGATAACTCCGTTGTGTCATTTGCCAAGGCTCTCGAATGTGCGACAAACGAGACCGTCGATCGGGTGACTTGTCTGATCAACTCCGCCCATGTTCTGACGCAGCGATACCACCGCACCGGACAACTGCAGGACTTAGGATGCGCTTTGGAGAATGCTAAGGAGGCCATGCGTCTCGATCCCCAAAACAATGATTTGGCGACTTTGCTAAAATGTCTGGACCGTTTCCTCGACCGCCGTCGAGAGTCTACATCCTCGCTGCACTGGTTTCAAAGCCGCGGGCATGCAAATACTAATCGCAAGTTATGGACGCCTCTGATATTGTTGGGTGTTTTCATATTCATTGTCACAATGTATGCGTACCATCTAAGAACAGAAATTTTGCTCTCTATAGTCGCTTTCCCGATTGGGATTATCTACCATTGGATGGCCAGTGCGAGACCTACTACTGCACAAGAGGAAAAGTCTACGCAAGATTATTATACACCGATTCTGTCAATGAGAGGACTTCTCAATTCTCGGGGCCGATCACACCAATATACCCCCAAGCTATTAGCAGTTCCATTAATGCCGGTGCCGTTTGCTTCATCACTGCGGGATATCCACGCTCCAGATTTTTCTGCATACGCGTCTTCGTTGTACCATCAGCGACGGCAATCATTACAATCAGTAAAGTCCGAACGAAAGGTCAGAAGCCGATCGCCTGCCGGTTATCGTCGGGACGGGGATGAAAGGGTGTTTGAGGGCAGGCACAGTGGCCACCGGCGTGCGTCTTCTTCTCGGATCCATCAAGGAACACCGACCATGGGCAATGTGACGCCGAGTGGTTTTGTGAGTCCTAGATCTCAGAACAATTCTTCACCCTCGACTTTGCGAAATGTAAGGCCGCAAGTCGAAATTGAGCTTTCGCGGAATGTGATGGGCCTCAGCCGCAGACAGGGAGAGGCTTATGTTGTAAGTTTCCCTCCCGAAGTAGGATATGCCAACATTAACAGATAAGACTCCTCTGTTAAAGAGAGACAGCAATATGCAACGTTCCGTCGGTACTGATTCTGGGTATGGATCATCCAGCGCTCGACATGAAAGGGCCAGGGATGTCGAACACAACGATGGTAAGTTATACGGGAGAGAACCCTGGGGGGCAAAATACAATGCTTATACCGTGGCAGAAAACCACGGTATTTTATTATCTGATGAGCAGCATCATGATTCCAACGCCTCGCACAGCAGCGCCAAACCCGTTGAACACGTTTCATCTCCCCTCATTCCATCACAGAAGCTCTGGGCTGCGCTAGCAAGCCAATACTCGGAGCACAGAATATGGGAAGAAGGAGTGTCATCCCCGGAGGAAGAAGAAAAGGAGCAGATATCGCTCATTCGCCAAGGACATACAAATCTCAAAATGGAAAAGAATAGTGGACTCGCCATGGGCAATGTAACCAGCACGCGAGCGGAAGTTGTTGGTCAGTAGTTTCGTGACTCGACATCAAGTTTACATGCTAAACAGAAACATTTAGGATACGACAATTCCAGAGAACCACAGTCCCAGCATCAATATCTGTATCACGAGGAATTTTCAATGATGGACAGAGCTGACGGTGTCCAGAGTCAGATCTCCTCACAAAAGGAGGAAGTGCAGGTTGTTTCTATGCCAGAAGTCGCCCAGAACACTGTGTCTGCTGAAGCCTTCGTTCGTAATATAGAATTACGAGTGCACGCACCCCTCACATCTATTGATGAGAATATGGTGCGTAGTCAGGTTCCTCGGATTGTAGAAGTGCAGGATGAGGATCCTGAAATCGAGGCGGAGGATTTCAACATCGATTTGGTGGACCAGTTGGCGAGAGAGTATCTAGAAAGCTCTACCTTGTAACTATAACTATAATATGAATAGAACACATACTTTAAAAAGCCTACGAATATGTATTTGCAGACCACTGTACATCAAAAGAGGTTATCAATAAACAGCCCCCACTACGTCAGCTGGTAAATGTATGTATAGACAACCCCTCACCATCTCGCTGTGAATGAACAGTATTCCCTACCCGGACCACCCATTTACATGTCTGCAATATGACCCTCACGTACTCCGACTATACCATCGGATGGATTTGTGCCCTTCCCCTGGAGATGGCCGCCGCCAAAGCAGCCCTCGACGAGCTGCATCCCCGACTGCCCGCCAGCCCCAATGACCACAACATTTACACCCTGGGCGCCATTCACGGCCACAATGTTGCCATTGCCTGCCTCCCCTTTGGCATATACGGCACTACCTCCGCGGCCATTGTCGCCAGCAACATCACCTCCACCTTCAAAAACCTCCGCTACAGCCTAATGGTCGGCATCGCCGGCGGTGTCCCCCATCCCAGCACCACCGACATACGACTAGGAGATATAGTAGTCAGCAAACCCACCGGCAACAGCGGTGGTGTCATCCAATACGACTACGGAAAGACACTAACAGACGGCGTTTTTCAACGCACAGGATGTCTAAATAAACCTCCAGCGGAACTCTTATCCGCGCTGGCGACACTCGAATCTAACCATTTCCTCAGTAAGTCGGATATTTCTGTAACTTTGGCTCAGATGCAAGCGCGATTTCCGGCTTTTGCGTCCCCTGGGTCGCAGTATGATTTTCTCTTTGAACCTCTGTACTCGCATGTTGGAACAAGATCGGAAGAATGTCATCTCAAATGCGAGAGCAGTTATCTCGTTCCCAGGTTACGGCGGAGCTCTTCTGCTCCACGGGTGCATTATGGATTGATTGCGTCGGGCAACCAGGTTATGCGTGATGCGGTGACGAGAGATAACATTTCACGCCAGCTGGAGGACGTACTGTGTTTTGAGATGGAAGCTGCTGGACTGATGGATCAGTTTCCTTGCTTGGTTGTGAGGGGTATTTGTGATTATGCCGATTCGCATAAGAGCAAACGTTGGCAGGCGTACGCCGCTGCAACTGCTGCTGCGTATGCGAAGGAGTTGTTGGGCATTATTCCGTTGCAGCAGAGGGGCCAGGAGAGTGCTGCTGCTGAGGAACCAGGCCGTGGACGCCTGAAGCAAGTATGATTAGCTTTTCTCCCTCATATTACCTGACTACTCCTCGTGAATCAGCTGCTGATCTGGTGGTCTGAGTGCAGCACCACACGGTACATCAGGGAGATGTGAGCATTGGATCGGTGGGTAGTAACACTGGAGTGATTATGGGGAACCTGAATTATACGGGAAGTAATGGCGTCAGCATTGTGGGATCATCCTTCGCTAAGTGGTATGTATGAAAACTTTCTGTGACATGCGAGGCTGACCTTGGTATTTGTAGACTCCGGAGAGGTACTGCATATGAGCCTGCCCATGTGCGAATGATATATCAACGCAACTACTACACCATTCCGACTATGGGAACTAAAAAGATGTACATACCATTCTTTAGTTGCCTAGGTAAGTTCCAACAACTCCTGAGCAACACTTGGGATTTTCCAACGATACGTACTCAAATATCAGAGTAGTAAACGCCTTGGGCATATCGGTTAATGCAACAGGCAGAATATCTGGGGTCGAATATGATCAACCTTTATGGATAATGTATGCTATAATAAGTCGACAATCTAAGGTTTTCTTTTACCGTGGTTGGTTCTCACACACTCTAAGGTAAAATGATCGAGTTTGGCAAATCTGTTTTGGGACTATAGATTTTATTTCTAAAGTCTGAGATTCGATCAATTAAAATACAACTTCGTGGGGGTCAAATTATGTACTTATTGTGCACTTACAGTGACCAGCACGTGATGTTCGTGACAAGTCCATAGACTAGGAGCTACTCATGAGTCATTCGAATCCGCATAAGATAACGAAAAGTAACTCTCAACTTTCTCCAACGTCATCATCTACACTTCAACAGTTCTATACGAGATGGCAGCTCCCAAAGTAAGTAACGTGGCGAATATGTGACATTCCATCAACGACAACCCCTTAATAGTAACATTCAACAGGCGAAAGCAGAGGCGCCTTCGACGCCAAAAGCCAGCCTACCAACAAACCCCCAAGAGAGTATGTCTCAACCCACGGAGTCAATTTCTACCTCCGGATTTCTTGCAGAGGTGTACAAGGAGAAGCCCCTAGGGTCTGCTGGGGTTGAGAGGATCGTCACTCGTTTCCCCCCAGAGCCAAATGGTTTCCTTCATTTAGGACATAGCAAAGCCATTGCAATCAATTTTGGCTTCGCGGAACATCATGGTGGAGACTGTTATTTACGCTACGATGATACCAATCCTGCTAAGGAGGAGAAGAAGTACTTTACAGCTATTGAAGATATGGTTAGATGGCTAGGCTTTAGCCCTGTCAAGATTACATATTCAAGTGACTATTTTGATACCCTCTATGAGCTTGCCGAGGACTTGATCCGTCGAGATGCCGCTTATGTTTGCCATTGCTCCAGTATGTTAACTATCGTCCGCTTATCATTCACTTCCTCACTTACTAGTGCGATATTCAACCTCCAGAAAGTGAAATTGCCCAGCAACGCGGTGGTGGTAAAGGTGCCACTCCCCGCTACGCTTGTGGGCATAGGAATCGTCCAACCGATGAGTCGCTCACAGAGTTCAGGGCAATGCGCGACGGCGAATATGGTCCTCAAGAAGCTTTGCTTCGCATGAAGCAGGATTTGACGTCTAATAACCCCCAAATGTGGGATTTGACTGCCTATCGTGTGATTCAACCATCAAAGTCTAGCAACGCAGAAGAGCACGTTGAAGACGAAAATCCAGACCATACAGCTGGAGTTCACTATCGTACTGGAGACAAATGGAAAATTTATCCAACATACGACTTTACTCATTGTCTGGCAGATAGCTTAGAGGGTATTACCCACTCCCTATGCACGACTGAGTTTGAGACGTCGAGAGTTTCCTACAATTGGCTATGTGACACGCTTGGTGTTTATAGACCCATGCAGCGAGAGTAAGTTGCCTCGTACCTTGACGTCTTCTCACCCTCAAATCACAGGGAGATTGATCTATTCGTCGTCGTAACTAACTGTTATTGAAAGATATGGCCGACTCAATTTGTCTGGCACTGTGCTGTCTAAACGAAAAATCATGGACTTGATTTCGAAGGGGCATGTTCGTGACTGGGATGACCCCCGTTTGTACACACTGATTGCTCTTCGGCGTCGTGGTATTCCACCAGGAGCCATCCTATCGTTCGTCAGCAAGCTTGGGGTCTCCAAAGCTACAACAACGATTGAAATCAAGAAGTTTGAACAGTCTGTTCGGCAGTATCTAGAAGTAACTGTTCCGCGCTTGATGGTCGTACTTGATCCAATTCGCATTGTGATCGATGATCTTCCTGAAAATTATCTGGAAATGGTGGAACTGCCGTACTCTAAAGATCCGGAATTTGGAGTATGTTCAATTCAAGCAATGTCAGCTCTTATCGCCTCATACTGAACTAGCCAGACACACCAAGTTCCATTCACTCGAACGGTATATATCGATCGAAGCGACTTCCGCGAGACGCCCAGCAAGGATTTCTTCCGGCTTGCTCCAGGCACATCCGTCGGTTTGCTCAAAGTACCATTTCCCATAACTGCAACCAGTTTCGAGACGGACCCAGATAGCGGACTTGTCACATTGGTGCACGCTCAATACGATAAGCCTGCGGAAGGTACCAAGTTTAAAAGGCCCAAAGCGTTAGTAGAAATCTCTTGCCTCGGATCCTTTCTTGTCATCACTGACACTGCTACAGCTATATTCACTGGGTATCGGATTGCCCGTCGCTGAATAGCCCTGTTAAGGCCTGCGTTCGTGTCCACAATCCTCTGTTCACCTGCGACAATCCGGATACGCACCCGGATGGCTTTCTTTCCGTCATAAATCCTCAGTCGGAAGAAACATTCCCCGGTGCAATGATTGACATTGGTCTCCACGAGATCACTCAAAAGGCCCCTTGGCCGAAAACTAAGAGTGAAGAAATGGCAACGGATTCCCAGGCAACTCCAGAGACTGTTCGATTCCAGGGGATGCGAGTGGCATATTTTTGTCTAGACCGAGACAGCACGGCCGATTACAAAGTCTTAAATAGGATTGTGTCATTGAAGGAAGACACAAATAAATAAAGGCTGAGCCTCGTGTATTGTTACAGCTTGATAAATAGTAAGGGCTTCCTATAGCTAGTGTAGATATTAGTCAGATCATATAGTCAAGCAATATATCTTTCCTTCGTACAAACAGTCCTACGTCAACGTGCCATATACATCGATCCTAATATGCATATATATGTATATAACTTACATGTAGGAAAACTAAATTTTGAGAAATACTACCTAGGCATTTCTCACACCTATCTGTAAACACTGGACATATCCAAGGTAAAGCAAGGCCCTTTTGATCTCCACATTGGAAGTACCGCCGAATAGAAACGCCGAATCAGGAAATGGTGCTTCGAGAACGAGCCTACCAAATTGCCTATTTCGGCCGGGTTTGTGACCTACCGGCCTACATCCGTTCGTATTTGAAATCCTGAACTCCTGAGCTCGTGGTAGAACGATATAAGTCTAGTCCAAGGCTCTAAATAGTATATGAAAGAATTGCTATTCGCTTCGCTCTTGCTAAGCATTGGCCCAAGCAAGTTGGAAGCTGTCTACTATGTACAAATTCGTGACCTATGATTGGCCGGAGAGACCATGTTGCATGTCGACGCGTCGGGTCGCATCGCATCGAGGAAAAGACGGAAAATGAACTCCTCCTGTTACATGTACATGCACACTATCCATACAGAAACCAAAAAAACCCTAGGAGAAACAGAATCCCGAGAAAGAGGGGGAGGAATCGCCTCCGATTTTCGCAGCGGACAAGCAATTCCCACGCTCAATCAAACGACGAATTGGCCACTGCATATTGCCTTGGAGTGCACTGTGCCTTGGAGTGGAGGTCCCGAATCCTCCCGAAAAAGACAACAGCCAATTTCAAATGAGTCAAACAGTGCCCGTACTTGCGCTAAAAGGGTCTTTCGGTGAGCTTCACTAGCTTTTCCTGCTTTTGCGTTTCCGGCGAAGCTGCCGGCCTGCCAAGGAGTTTTGGTTTTCTTCGCATTTTGCAGTAAAAGCAAAAAATAAAGAGGACGGAGCGTCGGGGAAATTCGGGTGCTGTTACTGCCAAGAGGTTTCCGGTATCATGTGATCATTTCCTTCATCATTTTATGTTTCGTGTATGGTAACATGTATGTAATATCAGTAATTTTCCTTAGTTGTTTACTTTGGTATGTGTACTCGAAGATCGTATGCGGAAGAATTCAATTCCAGGCCAGGATCCTATTACCTTTTTCAATAAATTCATCCGTACGTATTCTAGAGATTCATACATTATCTAGCATGGATAGCTAGGTAGAATTCCTTGTAGCTAGTAGCACGGCTACGTAGATGAAGCGGGGTTGCATATGATTATGCATTAAATGAAGCTGCGTGTCATCGTATCCTTTCTTTGCTTTTTCCGGTTTCCAAACTGCTGTTTGTCTGTATGTACGTATGAGAAGATTCGTATGCTTCTCCGTATTCCTGTCGTATGGAGTTACGGCAAAGGTGGGGAGTTTTTGCCGGACTTATGCTGTTTACTCCGGATGGGACCTGCCACGCAACGGGGTTGTGTATAAGATGAGATGGATGGAACGGTGGTACTGTGTAGACATAGACGGAGAAGGTATGAAATATTGTTGGTTGAATTGTGTTCACACCACCTTAGAGAAATGTTTCGTAGTGCGTTGCCTGTCTTCGACGATCCTCCTTAGACCTACATCAGATTGTCAATGATATCATTTCAATTGACTAACATTCTATCTCTATCCATCTCGAAATCTTCAAATCGGTTCAAAAGCAAAGACCACCTTCAAACCTGCCAAGGCAAAAGCCATACCGACCTAGGACTTCCCTTAAATCCCTACGGGTAACCCAAACCGATTTATTGAATTCAACCTTACCTACATGCGACTAGCGGGAAGATAAGCTCGTGTTAAACTTCAAGGTTATGGATTATTTTCCATGACCGTTCCAATTTGATAATTCTTATTCCAAGTGCCCAGCCAATAAGCGAGGAAATTAGTATATACACTATTGAGGCTCCCGCTTAGCCGATGTCGGCTGTATCCACTGTCCAATACGATGTTTAGTACGGATCTGATACAGTGTACACAAGTAACGGAATGCTCCGTACTCCGAGTCAATCTGAGCGAGGCGAGTAATTGCGCAAAAGTGTTCTGCGAAAGCATTGAAGATATTTCGATTCATTGTATTCAATCTCTCTGCCGAAAGTCTCAAAGCATGCAGCTACAAGGGAGGAATTGGATGAGCAAGAACAAATTTGAGGTGTATGTGCCTCAGCACGTGAAAATCGAAAGCTCGGCATAGGATTCCATACTCGGTATAGCGCCAGATCTTACGAGTCACGCCCTGATCTTGGATATTCCAGGTGAATGCAAAAAGAAGAGCTACGTACTAGATGAAAGCCAGAAATTCTTACTTACATCATACACGATTATCTCCCAAGCTTTATCATATAAATACACAAGGCCTGTGTATACGTACATCGCGATCTGCTGTCTCGTGTCCAGCGTACAGCTACGTACATATTCCGCTACAGCATGCAGGAGGCCAGCGTGGGGTACATCCGTGCCTTCATGCCGGGGCACCCTCCGTTCTCCGTCCAACCCATCCGAGAACCCAACCCACATCCGTACTAGCCTCTAAACTGTATGGAAAGTATGCAAAGCTCTCCGACCATCAGCCAATAGCCCTCTGAGGAATTTTCCAGTTTGTAAGCTCTTTGGGGTCAGTGCTTCGGTTAGCTGCATGCACGTCCTTTTTCTCTTTTCTTTTTTTTTTTTTTTGTGCTTTGGTTTCGACTTGAGTTTGAGTTCCCGATTTGGTGCGATTTGATTTGTTGTGTTGAAGTGTGGAAGGCTTGAGCCTGGGAAATGTATACTCGAAGTGGATAGTAATGATCATTGACTTTTGTTTTCTTTCTTTTATTATTTGTATGTTCTTTCTTCAGGTTCGATTACATCTTTCTACTGTAGTAATTCTAGCAAGGCTGTTCGCTTCTTGCTCGCGAAGTAAGAGGTCGCTTTAATGGCGGCAGGCACGGTTGTAATAAAAATACGTAAATTCGGGAGAGTCCGACGCATACTCGTTTCTCCCATCAGTGCATAACCACTAGGTACATGTACTGTATTCTGCATGCTGTAATGTAATTGAGTTGATACGGTAACCTATTCCTCCGGCGCCGGTACGGGCCCTAAGAACAGCACGGCTCCGGTCATTGGGCCCCCGCTCAGCGAAGCAGGGCGTCTTACCTGTTCCGGAACGGACTCGAAGCTCGGCATCTGCAAACGGTGTTGATGTTCATATACTTACTCTTCTGCGATTCTACTAAAGTCTTGGAACGATCATTATTTATCGTAGAGCGACTCAATTGTCGATCGCAGTCTCTATTTTGAGGTTATGGAATATGTCGAGTAGGTCATGGAAGGTACCTGTGAGCGGGGTAGGTAACGATTTGCTTAGCTGGCATTAGCAAGGTACATGACCTTCATGGTGAGTCACTGTCCACAGCGACCGGTGGCTACTGTCACAGTATGTTGAAGTTACATGTTGTCAATGCTAATTTACTTCCTGGCCCAGGCTAGAGAATGCACGGCGGAGCGTGTCGTATATTCTTCGGCCATTCAGGAAATGACTCGGCCGACTGTAACTGCAGAGCGACCAGCTGCTACACAGCAAGCACACTACAAGTAATGAGCAGCTTAAAAACGAGACTCAAAACATTCATCTATTTCATCATTAATTGATATTTACTTTGTCTGTAAATTGCCCAACTTTTACCTTCACACTCATTAGGAATATTGACTGTATGGCATTACGGGAAAAAGTATTGGCGAAATTTCCGCTCCGGAGGCCTACAGTCCGACATGGCAACAGCAAATCAATTCGCGTCAAAGCTGGCGTAAGCAGCTCTGTGAGTGGCCGGACGCCAGGGAGGCCTCCGGTCGGCGGCCTCCATTTCTTACGGTAATACGGTCAGCGGGAAACACATACCAATACTTTGGGCTTACCGTACCATATGTACATGGGAATGGAGAGTGGGGCGCCATGTCGGCCAGCAGCAAGCCTTGTCATGCAATTAGAGCGCCCATGATTGGCCCGTGCGTGCTTATCTGCTTTATCTGCAGAAGTCGTGCAGACATGATTTCATCGGGTCAACATCTGCTGATGTCGATTATATGTCACTGCGATGATTATTAGGAGCAAATAAGATCAATTGACTTCTGCTTTGTGTTTGACACGAGGTTTTTTAAGTTGTAAGTTAACGACTGCAGTAAGTAACAAGGTAGACGAAAACGGGGCAAGGAGCACCTCCGAACACGCAGTCAGGCCAAGCCTTGCGAACGATAATGAGAATACATAATGAAAAATATAATAAATTACATGCCACGTACAATCCATTCCGCCCGAAACAGAGACCAAGCATACGCTCCCGGGGCCCGTATTATTCTTACAATACCTCCATTCTGGCCAAACATGTCGCAGCAATTGTAAGCCAAATAATGTTCTCGATCCCAAGAATATTTGCCACGATTCGCAGTCCCACGATCCTCCGACCTGACCAAAAAAATATCATCTCTCCCCACAATTCTGTATTCTATTTCTCTCCTCTTTATAGTTTTCTCTACACTGCTGGTTACAAATCATCGATCGAGTCATTGTGATTTGAAGATTGGCAATACAATACGTACTCGGAAACAAGCCGCTAGTAATCCGTACTGTAAGTTTACCGTAAGTAATGTATTTCCGGCCGCTCCTCCCCATCTTTGCTTGCCCTGCCCTGCCTTCCTGCCTTCCCTTCCTCGCTTTACCAATTCAGCCGACTAACACCTGCCTGCCCCTCCTTCACCATTATTTATTATTTTTTCCTTCTCCCACTTCTTCCCTCCTCTTCTTCTCTTTCTCCTCACTTTCTCACTCCTTCCACAAAAACACCAGACGCTGGGTTGATTTGCTATCATACTCCTCAAAAAAGTAGTGTCCTCGCTGCGAACAGTTGCTGACCCACCCCCAGTCGTCGTGAC